TGAAACCTTTCATTCTTTTTTTTTTTTTTTTTTTAGCTAACTAAATTTTATGTTTTGCTACCTTTTCACTAATTCTATTAACTACCAATTATTTCATTTATAATCTTTTTTCTCGAAAAAAGAAAAGAAGATGAAGAAAACATTTGTACTTAATTTTTTTTTTAAAAATGATATTACCTATGAACAACTCCATTTTCATGCATGAATGCAGCTGCTTCAAGTACTTGACGCATTAATACTGAAGCATCGCGTTCCGTAAATGAACCCTGTAAAAAAAAAGATTATCAAAAACACTTTTTTCAATTCATATTTTTAAAATATTATTTTTAATTAATTAATTTTGATTTATTTCATTTGATTACAAATCCAACATATGAAACTAATTGTATGAAATATTAAGTATTTGTTTTAATTAACACACAAAGATTATTAGCAATCATTTCGTATGGTAATAAATAGCAAGTTTTTTTTTAAAAAAAATTGTGAAGCATTTGAAAAAATGATTATCATGCAGATTAGCTTATTCTAGAAATATTTTCGTAGCACTAAAAAAAAAGTATTTGTTAGATTTTGCTAAATGATTATGTTTCAAATAATAGATGCTGAGTGTTTCTTCTTTTTCCGATCTAAATAGGAAATTTTCAAAATAAAATGTTAATTTAAAAAAATATTTAATTAAATTTTTCTTTAAATATGAAGGCGCCAAAAAAAAATGCGCTGAAAGTAGAGTAGTTTTAAAATGAAATCACACAAGAATATGAACATTTATGTAAATAATACTTTTGCAACAATTCGATCAAAAAGTTCACCACCAGTGACAAGTTCCATAACAAGATAAAGATATTGTTTTTCATCAAAGGTATCATATAATTGCACTATATTTGTATGTCGTAATCTATAATCAACTAAATGTGAAAAAATTTTTGAAATTTTTAAAATTCAAAAGAAAAAATAAAAAAAACGAAAAAAAGAATTATAGTAGTTTGTTAGTTATTTACATAATTATCAAACTACTATCTTTTACTATAATTCTTCATTAAAATTAAAACATTCTTCTCCTTTCATTTCAAAACTTATTGAATGTATTAAACTGATTGAACATTTAGCATGAAGCATTTGATGCTGAAAGCAATGCCTAATTGTATTATGTCTGGTTTTTTTTAAACTTTTTTTCACTTTTTTTGTAGAAGAATGATAATGCTAATGCTAATATTTTTTTTTTTTAAATATTTTTTTGAACATAAAAACTGGTTTTGCATTTATTTAAATGAACGACTTTTTCTCTTTCTTTTTTATCCTTCAAAATAAAACGAACTGTTAGTGAAAACAAAGTGATAAAGCGATGATAATGTTAAATGACATGGAGTGCAAATGATGAAATGATAATGCTATATCAATGATAAAATAATTATTTAGACAAACAAAAAAGAGAGAGAGAAAAAAAAGACGAAGATGCATTGTTTCAATAAAATATCATTGATTAAATAATAAAAGATAGTAAGTGCAACTTACTTGCGTAAAACTTTAATTTCATTTTCTAACGATTCCTCTTTACCTTTCAATGCTTTCTTATCAATGCATTTAATTGCAACCAGAAAACCAGGCTCTGATATTTGTTCAGCCAAGAAAACCTAAATGTTTTTTTATTTTTTTCGACATTATAAATTTGGATGTGAAATAAGAGTTGTAAAATTCATTCATATTGCATTGAGAAATTATAATATAAACCATCTTATTTAATTAGGATATTTATTTAACTGAAAATTTTTTAAAGCCAATTAAATTGAATGAATTGAATTTGCTCCACTTTTATCAAATATATCTTTTCAAGCAAATTAAACCAAAATTATTTGTCAATATATGTTGAAAATTTTTACTATTTATGTTTTTTCATTTTTTTTTCTTTGAAGTGATTTCATATCTTATCGTCTTATTCTTATCGTCTTATGCAATAAGAAAAGTGGTTAAATATTACTGGTATAATTAAACATAAAATTAATTTGCAATTTTTTTCTTTTTTTTCTTGATATTTCAAATTTTGCTTTTTGCTTCATTTATATAATGCAGTATCATTATGATGAAGTTTACATTTGTTAGTTACAAGAAATGATTTGATTTAATAAATTATATAATGAAATAGGATAGAATTCGTCATTAACAGAGACGTCATCGTTCAGCAAATAAATGATATTTAGGCTAAATGAATCTTTTTTCAATTGTGTCATATGAAAGCTTCACATTTTGAAATAATTAAAAAGTATTCACTAATTATTCCATGTTTCATATTCATTATACATTTGTACACTAGCAAATCTATCTACTGAGAATTCACTTCCATAAATTGATATTTCTCACTTAATTAGGAAATAATATCGTCATTCAATATTTTCATATCAAATATAGAAAAAGAAAATAGATAAAGTATTTAAAATTTCAAAATTTAAAAAATGGTGTATTAAATGCTTGTTGAAATATTTCTTTCAAATTTTATTCATAAATTGTTCTATCCGTCATGTCATTTTAATCCATCAAAATCTATCATATATGACTAAAGCAGTTAATGTTAAACTTTTGTTATTCATGAGAATGGAAAATTTTTCAAACCTAAGCAAATTGTTGCTTCATTTAATAAGCGAAAAAAATTGGATTAATTTTTTAATTTTTCTTCAAAAAACAAAGAGGAAAAAAAATTTTTCAATACTTTGTATTATATACAAAAAGAAAAGATGAAAAATTGGGAGAAAAAAAAATATGAGATGTGACAGGTATGTATATTTTTAATTGCACTCATTTAAAATCACAAAATGTGTAATAATTTAAATTTGCAAGACATGTCTTGTATATAAGAACCAAAAAATGGCAGGTAAAGAGGAAAAAAAGAAAGAATGAAAGGAATGAAGGAAGAAAAATTGTAATAATTTCATAAATTTAAAAATTAAAAAAAAAAAGAAAAGATAATGATTAATAGTAGATAATACATTATTGATATATAACAAGAAGAACTGAACGATTGAAAATGGGAACAGATGAAGAAGATTGTGATAAATGATTCGTGGAAAGTAAAAGGTATACGTAGAATTTGTAAAAGACTTTCAATTTATTGTTTCTCTCTCTTTCTTTGTCCCCCTTTCTTTCCTCCTCTCATCTTGTCTTTATTCTTTTTTGTTTTTCTGGTTTTTTTTTTTTTTTTTTTTTTTCTTGAACCATTAAAATTAGATTTTTGCATAATCTTATTAATGCTATCGTTACTCCAGATTACACAATCAGATTTCCTTAAAATTAACTTAAGTACACATGCGAAGGTGGAAATCAGATTACCTGAAGAAGAAAAGAGAGAGCAGCAAAAAAAATGAATTATCATAGAAGAACACACCTTGGAGAAAGCACCGGTACCCAAGATATCCTTGAATTCGTAATAATCACGAATAGTGAGCTGTTCTTCCGATCCCTTTTTATCTTTCCGAAAGAGCGGCATCGATTTATTGTTTTATTGTTTAGTACTATCTAGCATGTTAAATAAATTCAAGCTAAATTTCTGTTTATTTTTTAACATTTATCACATAAATTATTAATAATACCAATAATAGCTGAAATAAATATCATTTGCTATTTTTTTAAAATTTATTGACAAAAAAAAAAAAATGAATTGTTATCAATTAAATTAAAAAAAAAAAAAGACAAAAATAATAAACAAATGGCTGATATAATTAAAACTAACAGAGAGATAGTGAAGAGCAGAAATGATCTAATGATTGAATCCAATATTGAAAGATTGAAATGAATGCGTAGCAGGTGGAAATGTCGAAGGAGAATGCTTATACATTATCTGACCATATTAAGTTGCAGTGACAACATCATGCTGCCAGCTAGTTAGTTAGCTTACACTACTCTATTTAATCTAAGCTATACTCATATTCTTGTTTATAACATTGCACTTCTTTTTTTTTCGTTTCTCTTCCCTTTTCATTTTACTGCCATTTATTGAAATATTCTAGCGTACACACACATACACACATGCACAAAGATTGAGAAAAAGTTCTGATGGAAGGAATGAATTATTTATTTATTATTGCTGCATCAACTCCACGCTAACAGCAGTAATAATTAAGCAGCTTTTGTTGTTGTTGTTGCAATAGTAGTATTTGTTATTGCCGTATTATGTTTTGTTGATATAGTGATAACACTTGAATACATAATAATAGTAATGATGATACAACATAGTTGTGATAATATTTATGATAATAGAAATAATAAAAAGAAAGGAAAAAAGCAATAACAAGGTAGCGACAACAATTAGTAAAAATAATAGTGATAGTGATAGTAGTAGTAATGATAGTAAAAAAAATTTGTGATAGCAATTTTATTGCATAATTTGGCAAAAAATTTGCTAATAAATTTGTTATCAATTGCTAAATAAATCAATTTTAATAGCTATAACTTCTTTATGAAATTTTATATATTTTTTTTTTTCATCCCTCGTTATCTTCTCAATATTTCGATACTTGTTTCGTAAATGTTGCAATATTATTAATCCATCTTTTCCTCGAATTTTAAATATTAATATGTTAAATATTAATATTATCCCTTATTGGATTAGTTGGTTATTGAGAGTGTAGGAATAGTGTTATTTGATGGTAATTATCGTAGATATAGTAGTGACCATCGGAACCGGTTCATAAACGCTACAATGATCCTTCTTTTCTCAACGATTCTGTCAAATAATTTGGACATTCTTATCGTCCACTCAATACCGGATGCAATTTCATATAATTCACAGGACGATGTAAATGATAAAGTATGATGGGTTGCAAAAATAATAAAAAAAACGAAAGAAAAATGTGGTATATATAAAATAAATGAGGACTGAGTGATGATTGATTGAATGAACACAATTTTACATTGATCAACTTGCTTTATTAAAATCACTTCTTAACTAATGAGCACCCAAAAAATGTATTTTAATCGAGTTCACAGAATACAGGGAGAAATGAAAAAAAGGATTATCTTCGTGTTCCATCTTCGAAGAATATACCTCCGTCCAATGCACAATATTTCGGACAAATACCTCGTTCACCCTGTGGACCTGGTTGACCGGGTGCACCAATTTCACCATTAGCACCAGGATTTCCAGGTGGTCCCGGTGGTCCTGGTGGTCCATTTGGTCCGGGACTTCCTGGTTGTCCATCACGGCCTGGATTTCCATCTGGCCCAGGTAAGCCTGGGGGTCCTAAAATTCTTGATTATTTTACTGCAAAAAAAATGCATTTCTGATTTTAGCTTTTCTTTGCAGCAACAGAGATAAAATATACTAAAATTTGCAAATGGTTAAAGCATGCCTGGTTCACCCGGTTGACCCGGATCGCCTGGAAGTACAGGTGTACTTGATGCTGGTCTTCCTGGTTCACCTCTTTCGCCGTCAGCTCCTGGCTGACCTGGTGCTCCTGGTGGTCCCACGGGTCCTGGTGGACCAGCATTGCCTAAACAGATCATTTTTTACTATTGAATTTGATAAAACATTGTATTCCAATTGCCCATATCATTACACAATACACATTTCGCCGTAGAAAAAAATACAGTAGCGTAAACAGATCTGTTTCAATTGAAAAAAAAAAAAGAAAAATTTTGTCTACTTCATGTTAAAAAAAAGCCAAAGCCACACCACTATTTCCTGGTCTGCCAGGTGGTCCGGCTCTTCCCGGATTTCCAGGAATACCACTAGGTCCTGGCGGTCCTGATGGTCCTGGTGGGCAGGGATTGCATGGCGGAATATCAACCTCTTCGCAAACTATCGGTGGCCGCCCAGGTGCACCTAAAAAAGTTGTTGGAAATTGCAGAAAATTTTACAGAAACGATTTAGATAAATAAGAAAAATAATGTAAAGAAATAAAGATAAAATATTAATTACATATCAAAAAAAAAAAATATTATACCAGGCCGTCCTGGTGCTCCTGGTGTGCCTGGTTTTCCATTTGCTCCTGGTGGTCCTGGCCTTCCGGGATGTCCAGGTTTGCAACAACCTAATTTTAATGAAATTAGTATATCAAAGTAATGCAATAATTTGAATTGCATGAAAATCTTGAAGCTAACAATTTCTTGGAAATAAATAGAATTGTAAAGTAGATTAACGACCAGCACAGAAAACTTACTATCACAGGCTCCAATTTGCCTTTTTGTTCTGTTGGTTGCAGCAGCTGCAAAAGTTATCGGTTGTTTCTTGGCTACTTCAGACATAATATCTCTTGCTGAGGACTACAAAATTAAAAATTATATTCAAAACGAATAAAAAAAGAGAAAAGATGCAGTTTTCACAGATCAAAATGCCAGAAAATGCTATTTTAAAATAAAAAATGACCAAAAAATTATTATTAACTGATAGATGAGAAAAATCAGAAGAAATTCACTCGAAAAAAAATATAAATACTAGAAATGAGAATTTTTTCTAAGAATGAAAAGAAAAAAGTATTATATTTAATTATTTAAAAAAAAATATTAAATATCTGAAAATAGAAAGAAAAATTTTTCTCAGTAAGTTAAATCAATGTTAAAATAGACAAATATACGCATAATTTCAACATTTCTTTTAAAGATAGCAATTATTTTGATCATTTTGCTGTGGATAAATATGAAATAATGGAAATTGAAAACTGATATTTTAAATTTGGTCGTTTCTTTTTATCATCCGTTAAAAAAAAGCGAAAGAAAATTTATGGTATTTGAAAAAATGAAATTTGTAATGTAGTGGAATAAAAAAAAAGAAAGAAGCAGATATCAATGCAAAGAAAAAAAGAATGTGAAGAATTTTAATCGATATGTCAGATTTGATGAACTATTTGTTATTTGTTAAAAAAATTATAATAAAGAAATCGTTTTGCCTAATTCAATATGGTCAATTAATATTTGAATTATAAATTTAAAAAAAAATTTTAATCCACAAATAGAACATCTCCAATGAAATTACATATGAATAAATGCAATAAATGTTATCACCTATTAAAAAAAAATCATTTATAAAATTATCATAATTTAATTAAGTAATAATAAAATGAACAAATAATAGCATAAATATTATAAAATGATTAAAACTAATGATAGATCAATCATACTTTGCAAAATTGAAGATCTTTCCGTGTCTGTTGTTGTATATGATCAACAAAACTATAGACGATTGGCATAGTGATACACACTGATAAAACTGATATCAGAGAGAATGTTACAGCTGCATAGGCAACTGCCTTGTATGCGCGTTCTCTTTGCTCCTCCATTTTTCATCCATCCGCAATGACAACCTGAGTGTCCTTTTATACCGTCCAGGAACACTGGTTCTCGGTCGCCGTCGTGGAACGCATATACACGCAAAAAATTGTTGTGCACCTCTCTCGTCATCCTTTGGTCCTCCTCCATCCCTCCTCCTTTTGTTTATTTTCATCAACCGTATCCCTTGTTGATACCTCATTTCAAATCTCTCTCTCTCTCTCTCACTCATAATCTGATTTAATATCACTTAATCTTATCTAATCTAATTTAATCTTAAAAAAAAAGTCTGAAATATCATTACTCTTTAAATTCCTTTTTTTTTCCAATAACACATATTCATTTATAATCCTTTCGCTACTTACTTATTAATAATTATTTATTACTTCATTATTTTCATTTTAATATATTTACAAGAGATTATTGTTGCTGAAAATATATATATACATATACAACATACATACATACATACATACACATATATATATACATACACATATGAACTTTGAATGTCATTTGTATTGCAGATATGAGGGTTTCATTTCTGATATTTCATCTTAATTGAATTTTCTAGATAATAGTTTAAGTTACTTTATTGTCTTCTCAATTAAAGTACATATATATATATATATATATATATATATATATATATATATATATTGAAGCTTGTTACCTATTTTCCTTTTTTATACTTGCTGTTTCTTTTTTCCTTTCTTTAAACAACTTTTACTTTGTTGAAGAATTAGTTTTATAAGTTTTAAATAGAAAATTGAGAATATAAATAGAAAATAAATAGAGTTGTAGTAAACATTGTTACTATTTTCTTACATTTTCAATAAAATATAAGAAAAAAATCTTGGCTTTTGTTCGTTTTTTTTTTTTCTTTTTTTAAAATATTTTTGAACAATATGCCATTTCTTAATGATTTTAAAATTATCAAAATTTGTTATTATGCAGTTTACTTACCCAATAGCCTTCTTTTATTTTCATCTTCGTTCCTTCTAAAATCTGATTCTTAATGATCTCTATGACTAAGTATTTTAGGTATTTTGTAGTAACTTGAAAAAAAGGGGGGGAGGAAAAATTTTTTACTGCTTTCATCAAGTATTAGTTGTACCCGATATCATTGCATGAATATCTTTATCACTTTATCAATTCTTTTCACTAAATGCGTAATATGTTCCATGATTATAAAAGTTCAATAATTTTTAAACAAATCCTTCTTCTATTCGGAAAATCAAGAAATGTTAAAAAAAGTTAAAATTTAATTTAATATTCATTTCGCTAATGATAAACTCCATTTAATATAGTATGAAATAAATATTATCAAAATAATTGTTTAGAAATGCATTTAATACCTAACAACATTTGGTAGTTTTTTTTTTTATTCTTTATTTCTCAACTTAAACAAAATCCTCTCAATGATAGATGAATTTTTTTCCGGTTTTTTCCATTAAGCACCGAATTTTTTACCCTTAAAATTATTCTTAGATTAAAAAGTTTAAAAATATGCGTGGAAATGTCACTGTTATGTGAAAAGATATGGAAATTTAATTCGAAAATCAGTAACAATCATTCTTTCTTCTCATTACTAATAACTTTGTCGATAGTTTTTTTCTAACACAATAAAGAAAAGTAAATACAACAATTTAAAGTTTATCAATGGAAGATAGAAGAGAAAATATGGTAAATAATATAAAATTGAAAAGATTGTTATATTACGATTCCATTCATAAGCAAAAAAAGCAGTAGTTTCATTATTATTATTCTTATTATATTCCTTGTTTTTTTTTTTTTTTTACTTTTACATCATTAATAAGTTGATGACATTTCATAAGTTTGTTATATTGTACATTCGACAAACAAACTTCATAAATTCTTGCCTGTTGCTTATTTGAGTAAAATTAGGCGGCAAATAATTGATGTCTGGAATAATTGTGGATATATATATGTATATGTTAATCAATTTATTTGTTTTCATGAATATAATCAAGAAAAAAAAATTATTAACAATGCTATTAACATTAGATTGTCAATAGCATTGTTAAATTAATAATTGATTTAAAATAATTTTTATGTATGATTAAAGCTGATTTTCTACGTCTTTAACTTCTACACCTTTTATATTTTTGCTAATGAAGTCAGTAGAGTTAAAAAATTGATATGATTTTACTGATGTGCTCTCACAAAAGGATAGGAAAAAATATAGTCATTAATTCAAATTTTTTAATTATTCAAATTTTTTTTTTAATATACTCAAATATTTTCATTGCATGTTTTTTTTTTTTTTTTTTTTTTTTTTACCTTTGATTAACTGATTGAAATTAGAAATGAATGAAATTGATCAAAATTGAACATTTATGTGCTATTTTATTCAGTGAATTAATTTCACTATTTTATTTCATTAATTTAAGCAAAAATGAAATAAATAAGGTTAGAGGCATAAAAGATGTGATGGAAACTCTCAAAAAAAAATTCTTAGTGTTTTTTTTTTTTTCAAAAAAAAATTCCAGTATTGCTTTGTATTATCCATAAAATTTTCGGACAGATTTAAATATCCTCATGAATTTTTTTATATCGTACCAAGAGTTCACCTTTGTTAATTTACTTCAAATCAATAGATTATTTTTGTTGCTGTTGTTAATAATTTGATTTAATTACCGGATATTATATTCTGACATTATAATTGTGCTTTAAAATAGTATCGTTTTCTTTTTTTTTTTTAATAATTAGCTATGTTATCTTTTATACTTCACTTTTTTTTTTTAAAAAAAAAGTACGATTTGTTTTATAATTAGTCATACAATTTAATGATGCGATAATTTTTTGAAAAGATAGAACTCAAACAGAACAATATAAACAAAACAACTAGAAGTTAGACGATCCGAAAATTAAATTGCAAAATATTCATCAATAAATATGTAATATATACATATATTTCATAAATATACAGAAAAAAAAAAAAACAAACGGTGTTAATTTGTTATATTGATAGATTAATTAGAAGAAAATAATTAATTATGTTTACTTCTTCTTTTCCCAATTTTTATTACGACTTTTTTTTATGTGAATAATCGTGTATAAGAATTGATTCTATGGAAAGGGAAAGAGAGAGAGGGAGTGAAAAAGAAAAAAGATAAGAAAAGCTGGTTTTATTCCAAGCATTTTAATGTAATATACTTTCTTCGTACCGAAATTTCCTCTCAGGAACACAATATAATTTTTTTCCTTTTTTTTTTTTTTTTTTTTTTTCTAGACAATTAGGTAAAAGATGATGAAATTGAGATCTGAAAGTTAAAAAAGTGTTTGGTGAAGAAAAACTAGATGTTTGTTTGTTTGCTTTTTCGTATTATAATTTGTTTATTTGAACAGAAAAACTAATAAAGTGTGAAAATCTAGTAAAAAATGAATGTTAAATCGTTTGGAACACATTTCTTAGAGAAACAAATAGCTTAAAAAGAAAGAATATGATTTAGAAAAAAAAAGTGAAAAATAAACTGATTATGGTAGCATTCTTTTAAATTTCAGTTTTTCTTTAATTTTTTTTTGGCTTGAAAAATGAAACTTGCAATCACTTTCTTTTTAATCCAAAGGATCATATATTTTAGAAATAATAGAAATGAATCATCTCAAAACTGTTTTCATTTCAAGTAGCATTTGCGGAAACTGCCTTGAATATAATTAATTAACCAATGGATGTAATGGAAGCTATGTTGCAATTGTTCAAATTACTCAGTAATTTTAAATTTTGATTAGCTGCAAAAATTCGACACAAATAAAAAGGGAAGTTCATGAGATGTATGTAAAGAATCTCTTGAAAGCAGCAAACTTTGAATGCTAGATTGTGTTGTAAAGTTGACAATTGTACAAAATTTATGTCATTCTAGCATTACATAATGAATATGATACTATCATATTTCCTTGCTTGGAATAACTCGGAAATCTAACTCTTTCGGAGTGAAAACACAACAGTGAGTCGATGGGTAACCACTCAGTGATTATCATCGATAAATTCCTTTTAACTAAACACTTTTCACTTGTTCTCGTTCAAGTATGAGAAAATATGAGAAAAACAATAAAATTATAACATTCACTTCAATAATTACATCTCCACTGATTTATAAAAGAAACTTTTTGCCAATCTAATGAAGCAGTCATATGTCTGTAAGAGACCCTCGAAAGTATTAACGCTTTCGTGCCGGTCAGTTTCTTATATTTACAGGAACTTCGAGAGTAGTATAAGATGTTTATGTAGAAATTCAAATAGAGATAGAAAATAGCTAAAGAAAATTCGCTGTATAGTACAGGATAAAAACTGAATGATACTTTAAAAATAGCAGTACTAACTGAGTTTGTGTCACCCTCAGTGCTCTCGATCTTCTTATTATTGGTATGGTGAATTAATTCCAAAATCTCTCTGGAGAAAAAGAAAAAAGTACATGTTTCGATAGATCCTTCATTTTTTTAACGCATTTTAATGATAAGAAAAGATATGCACTGTGAAATTCGACAATTAAAATGGTTAAAACCTCCTTCTCTAGCTGTAGAATTAAGTGAAATTGGAAAGAAAACCGAGACAACAACTGGTCTTCTAGTTGTAAGTTTGGAAGATGTTGGGACTCAATTGCAACACGGTCTTTGTCACATTAACATCGGACTATTAATGCAGAAAGGACTATATACACCGACAGAATTCTGTTGAAAGTATCTGGTGATATTATCTGGAAATCTTTCCGTATTCTTGTTTCATATAAATATCCGACTCAATACTATGACCTTGTGTATTTGATTTTAGCCAGCATTAGATTATATCATATTCGTCCAGAATCGAAGAATTCCGTGACAATTTTGTAACCTTCAATGTGTGTATGGTTTATATGTGTGGTTCAATATATAGTCTAACAGTGTAAATCAGTTTGGACATTATACATAAACGGATGTTAAATATATATTTTTATGGGACACTCGAAGTTTGATAACACAGAGCATTCGAAACACTTAACTACAAAAAAATATCTTTAATATACAAAGAAAAAAATAATTTCAGTACTGGAAAAATAATGCAAAGAAAATGATGGTTTCTGTACACATTTCCAAATACTTTTATCCTTGTATCGAGGTATCATAATTTATACTTGTATGATGTTTAACATTCACCTACATTCGAACAATGGCTATCAACTTGCAATAAATGAAAATTAACAAAAAATGATTATACATCAAGCTAATGGTGTTACTAATGTCTTAGTGGCTTGTTTTGTGCGGAATAAAACTTGGGCACTATGTAAGGATGGATTTGTTTCTTGCAAATGACTGATCCAAGCAATTGCAGTTTTTCGATAAACTTTGCCAAAAACCGAAAGTGCTAGAACTGTTTCATGTTGCTGTTCGTGAATGTTTGGACGTTTTTCATACCTTCTATCCCACTCGCTTTCCCAATTTTCAAAGTCTTCATCCTGAAAAACAACCAGATCAGATTTTCATTAAAAAAATGGACAAGTCACGCATCGATTAGTGGCTAATTTGATTTTTTTTTCTTAAGTGATGTTTGACCGTAATATAGTAAAATTCCAGAAATACTGCAATTTGTTTAAATCCAATATTGCCAATCGTGTATTGCAATTTATATTGCAACACTAACACACATAAGAAATTTAATTTACATCAGAAATAAACAATTTTCAGGCAATATGTCGACATATGTCAAAAAAAGATCAGGATTACAGAATACTTCAAGACAACTGCTTTTACGAACAACCTAACAACCTTAATTTTATTTAGATTAAACAGAAGTCGTATTTAATCTAAAAATTAATCTTAAGTGACAAAGCTTCTAATATAAAAAAATTCTTACCAAATTATTGTCATCATATTTTTCATAGTAATGAGATTTCGGATTACTAAAGAGACCAACGTACTCAATACAATTATCCATTAAATATACTTTATTAGGTCCATCCACATATAACGTAGTACTTTTTCTCAAACTTTGTAATAATTTCTTCTGAAGATGACTTTGAGCCGACAACAGCCACCTATCAGATTCATTTAACTCTGTATCGTTCATCTGTAAAACTCTACATCTAACAACCTTAATTTCGAATACAGTGTTTCCCGAAGAGAAAAATGAACGGCTAAATATGACTTCTATCACACGATCATTAAAACCCTAACTTTTCAAAAGTTAATTGTTCAAAAAAATAAAAACCCCACTAATGGTAGATTACAATTAACACTGAAAAACTGCAGAAATAGTAAACCAACCTCAACAAGAGTTATTCGTGTACCTGGGTCACGCGATATCATTTTTAACGCTAAATAACCAAAGTCTACAGCACTCAACTTCTTGCCTTGAATTTTTCGACGATCCAAGTAGCCGTTCGAGTGTTTCAACTTCGGCATCCAATACATCATACGTTTCATCTTTTTCGAGGCATAATTCCATTCACCAAAAGCGTTAACGACTAAATCATGGATTTCTTTATCAGGCTGCACTCCTGTAACGTTTAGAAGCAGTCAAGAAATCATATAAATTCTCAGTTTTCACGTTCACATATAGTTCTTATACACATAAAGTTCGAATGGACACATAAACGTGCTATCCTGTTAATTTTATATCTCTGAAATGCTATTTCTATGTCAAAATTATTAGGGGTAAAATGTTAGGGAATCTAGGAAAAGTACCAACCAAACCATTCCATTTCGTCGAGAAGTTTAATACAACATATCTGCTGCTGAGGATAATATAAGAATCTTTGCTGAAACTCACAAGATTATAGCAGTTTGATCTCAGATAAGAACAGAAAATCAGCTAATGCCTCAGAGAGGAAGAAGTCCAAACCTGAAAAACATTCGTGGGTATCATTGGCCCCTTCGGAAATATGTTGAGCAAAGCTTTATAAATATCCAAATCCTTTTGTAACCCATATTCTTTCATATATTTCAGAGCGGCATTTATAAATTCAACGTGTCCTCGAGCATGTGTTTGCTTTTTACAAAAATTATCTGGAACAAAAAAACATCGAATTTAACTTAAACATTTACAAATGACACAAAATTTTGCTTCTCGCGTCTGACCTTAAATAATATAGTAACTGAATAGTAGAAAATCATCAACAGTCTAATTTTGAAGCTTAGCTACTACCATCACAGGTATCCTGTAAAAACTGATTTGTTTTCTTTGTTCTCATATACCACCATCGATATGAAAAACTATGTGACTCTCATTAAAACATTCTAATAAAAGCTTAACTTCTATATAAGTCACAATCCGCCATTTTTTCTCTGCCATCTTTCATAGATTCTCTTAATGATCGCAATCATTTAAGCTTACCAATAACATTTAGAAAAGTTTGTTTGCTGCGCAATTCAATGACCACTTCATCAAAACGCTGTTCAGATGGAAGTAACTTTTTTCTAATTGTTTCGTTGTTTTCGGATGCAAAACGATATGCTTGACATACTGGTTTACAACACAACGATATCCCGTAATGTGACACCAACAATTTCACTGCAGCTTTCATTCTAAAAAGAATCAAAGAAAAGTATTTCAACTGACAACAAGAAATTTACTTTTAATATAATCGAATATTCTAACAAATGTTAGATCAAAGATAACAACATAGAAAAAATTACTGAATTAATACACTTAAGAATCAGTATATCAATATACTCTTTCAGCTGCCGGTATTTCTCAATTATTGAAATCTGTATGAAATAGGTTTGAACTGAAGAAATAAACTGTAAACCGTTATTACTGCATAAGTGAAATATTCACTCATTATTTCAAAAAAGGCAACTTAATCTGAGGCATTCTTAACATATCAAACATGAAAATTATTGTCTCTACCGTTTACGTTGTCGTTGCATGCAACTACTTAAAGTGAAGGTGTGCAAGTGGGGATGTGATGTGTGTCAGTGTGTTTGGGTTACAGTGGGTGCGGTAGTTATGTTGATAAATGGGGAAGTGAAGTGTTTAAAAGGGTTAGATCAATTGGAGCATTAGGTAGGATCAAGAAGGTAAGGTTGTTAGGATTGTATGATATTTGAAATGTTTGAATAAGGAAAAAAATGTTGAAATGGAACTATTGATTATGAGAAATGGTGCAGAAGAGCGGAATGTATAACACAACAATTTACAAAGCTTTCCATTTATTATTATACTACTGATTATAATTATTAAATGTTTAAAGTGTTTATGAGGACGAGATTATATTTATGAGAACATTTTGAAATATCTCTCATATGTAATGCAATATTTAATTAGCTTATCTTTACGAAATTATCTTGAATCATTTTTCAGTGTGTTAATTGCTATCATTGGATTTTGCGGAATTAATGGAGGAAATTAACAAATATTCAAAAATCTTCCAGATTTTACTGCCAATTTATTCTTCTTGAAAATTTCATTCAGTCATTTCATTTCATAGATTGTTTTACGGGCGGTATTGAAAGAGGTAAGCTCTGATAAGGAAAGAGCCAAGAGTATCTTCGAGATGTTGGAGTAAGAGTTCCACGTTAACTGTGATATACATAAATAATATAAACATGTACTTTTATCCATGATTTATCCACTCTTGGCAATGTGCCAAATAAATAGGACCATGATTTTTGTAATGAATTGTTGGATTGATTAACGCTAATTGCACGGGTTGGATTTTAGGATGGATATATGGATTTTCATCCCTTACGCTATTTTCACGCCTTTTATTATTATTAAAATGATGAGATAGATAATAAAATTAATGATGAGATGAGATAAGTAGTCATTCTTTAATGACATATGGTTGGACATGCTATAAATTAAATATGCCATAATCGGGTCAGTAAGAAGATATGATCGGGCTTGCGACTGCAAATATGACCGGATTTGTAAAGGCTTCAATTTCAACTCTAAAAATCATCACAAATATGACTATGAAAGTGTGAAGAAAGAGGGGATGATAATTCTTGACGTCCAACCAGTAATGAAAGAGGGTTATCCGCTGAATAGTGTGATTCTGTCACAACCATTTGAGGGGTTCAAACAGTGAGATTCTGTCATAGGCATTTGAAGGATTCAAATAGTGAGATTCTGTCATAGACATTTAAAGGGGAGATTCTATCACAGGGATTTAAGGAGCTCAAGCTTTTAATAAATTTAGTAAACATAGCGAATTTTTAATTTTTTTCGAGTTATGGCATTCATCAGAAAGATTTATACGTTGCTGGATGTTACGTTTAAACAGAGATGAGATTCGGTGTATACTTATACCTATTTCTTTTTTTTTTTTTCACTTTTTCTAGATCTCTTTTTGGTTTCTTTCGAAGTGGATTTTGTCAATATTTAAAAAAGCGCCTTCTTGGTAGATATGAAAATCGATCCTAAAACATTACGACCGTGTAGTGCAGAAATTGTAAGTTGAATTTTTTTTGAGACTGTATAATTATTTCACTGGTCAGAATAATACTGAATAAAATGTTTTATTCAGATCCTGCCACTGCAGCAAATAGAGTACCCGGTTAAGAGGGTGTGAACTATGATGAACTAGCTTGGATGAATTATATATTCAGCTGAGGACTCATTGGTTAGAAAGATGGGCCGCTTGTAATTAAGCAGTGAAGATAAGCTATGCTGAGAAAGTTATTGAACTTTTCTGGAAAAAATGTCGTTTTTTAGTTTCCTCGATGTATGCAACTTATTGAACATATCAAATCAGCTTCGGATCGGAGAACATTTGTGGAACGACTAACTGAAGTTCATGAATGGCAGCCACAATTTGGGAAGGTAAGGAAGTAAGGAAGTCTTCGTTTTCGTGCACTCATCAGTTTTCTATATCAAATTTTGTGTATTAAGAAGTTTGATTTGTGTTTTTTATAGTCTGAAATGGCGAGGTGGTCAGACGTTTTGAACATGTGCGATGATGTATTGAAAGATGCCGTAACGTGTAGTTCATCACCGGGTGCAGCGATGGCTATCGACGAAGATCAGACTTTATTAACAGACGTTACATCTGTTCTATCTTTTACCGCTATGCTTTTCGAGAATACTTTCACCCGTTCAGTCTACAGTTCTACTGACGTTAGTATCACAATTCAATAGTATTTCATCAGCACTTGAGAGTTAGATTATTTTACAAATGAAGCTGAGGAAATTATGATTTCAAAGTTGGATTAAAGTTGTTTTTGTAGTTTCCATGCATCTATTTCTATAACATCATTTATGAAATTACTGATGCAGCTTCCAAGATGTAAGTATTAGGGCTGTCCTGGTTTGTTGAAGACAGTCGCACAGTTTTCTCGAAAGGTGTTCATATCCCGTCTAATCCGTTGTTGGTAATTTTCATTTCGATTTGTATGTTACCTTTTAAAACCAGAAATTTCTAGCGGTTGTTAAACTTGCTGGATTCTGGTAATGTAGAGATTGTTGTGGAGACATTGAGATTATTATTGGTTATCAGTAAGCGTTCAAGATTTCTCTCACAACATCTCAGTGATGTCCAGCAGAAAAAACTCACTGTCCGACTTTCTGCTATTGCTCAAGTTTGTTTTTGACAATTCGTAATCTCCTACTGTTAGCTTCTTTTTGAGTACTAAAATTGGAAAATAAAAGATATAAATGTGGAGAGAGAAGTATTTCATCATCTTTTTTGTTTACAGTAGTCTTAATCTAAGTTGTAATTATAGTGCTGGAATGGTAAACTCAGAAGTATGAAGATGGATGAATGTTGTACTACGAATGTTCGACCTTCCGCTTTGCTTCCAATCGGATTTCAGACGGATACGAATAATCTTGTTCGTTCTGTACATGTAAGTTAATCATTCCTTTTAACACGTTACATGTAGCTTAAGGTAAAAATTCTTTGGATAAAGAAACTACGAATCCAAGACTCTTTACTGCTCACCAGTGTTTTGTTAATCAGTGATAAAGTGAGACATTAAAGAATTAGCGTCCTTTACAGTGAACAAACAGTTTTTTTTTTTTTCAGTTAGATAAAAGTTTTGCGGCTGAACTGGAGCATTTGTTATCTGGTAAAAATATTGAGGAAGATGAACGTGCATCTTTCATAGCTCGCTTACGTCTGGTACGATCTTTCAACACTTCTCGTGGTCGACGTCTTAGTATTATTGCGCGTCTTCTTTCACTATCTATACTAGGTGCATTTTTTTAATATGTTTTATATTTTAACGTTTTGTTCAAAAAAATAACAGGACATTAAGCAGTATAACATCCCTTTTTCAGTTTATACTCGTAGTTTAATAGAAGAATGGGCAATGACTACAATGCTTTATGATGGCCTTATTGAAGAAATAACTCGTTTATTACTGATTAATAATACGTCGGAATCAATTATTGATGCTGTTAAAACTGAAGCACTTCGTACACTAACCAGTATTGTTTCACTTGGAAGACCTGCAAAGTAAGATGCTATTCGGACATATTTTTATTTCCTACTAATTTCGCTAAGAAAAAAAAAAAAAAAAAAACAAACAAACAAAAAAACGAACAAATGGCTGAGGGCGGAAATAGGGGGCGTTCAGTACATTTAATCCATAATGATGGTAGATTTGCCATTTTGCCATTAAGACCTGGTTAATGTGGTTAGCGTGTCTTGTCTACCACAGGTTCAGTATAACTATTTGGTATATTACTAGCTTGTTAGTTAGTGATTGTTGTTGATAATTCGAAGCACATAAACACTTTTCAAATATAGAATGTAAGAATTATAGATTGAATATAGTAATAGAATCCCTCGGAGTAAATTCATATCACGGTTTTTTGGCTCGAATGACTCGTCAGTGTGTCGACGACTTACGGTGTGGGAGAATTGGAAGTGGGTATACAACCGTACCATTCTGCACTGCCCTATTTTCTTTGCTTTATCATCTTGCTGGCTTTGAAAACGGTTAGTTTTCGTTTCTAGTTAGTTCTCTTTAACATTGTAATACTGATTACTGGTATTCGTAGGAGATTGTATATTGTATGTTGCAGGTGGTGAAGCATTGGTTTCGTGCGCTTTAACGGAGACATTACTGGGTGTGGTATCCTGTGAAACACTGCCTTTAGAACTAATTACTTTTGTGACACGTGCTGTTCGCGTTATCGATATTATGACTTCGTTAGATGCTAATGGTTTTATATCTTGTAATGGGATGAGCACTATTGTTCATCGCTTAATTGTTAGTGTTTAATATGGAGTTTTTGTTAAGTTGAATGGGAATGACAGCATTTGAGTTACTAACCTTTGGTTTGATTTTTACATTGAAATTCTTAATCAGTAACTGGATTATGTGGAATATTTCAAGCTGTATTTGTGTGTAGATGGTATAATCGAAGATCGTATTGATTATTTTCCATTTTTATAGTTTGATGTCAATATATGCATGAAACATCTGGCAGAACTGAGTATTACTGGACCTACAACAGAACAGTGTCATCAGCAGCGTGCAGCACTAATTAAATCATTGCTGAATTTCATCAAAAGAGCTGTTCAAGATACACAGTTTGCTGATAGTACTCGACATAGTAAGTTTATTATCTGCTTTCTTGAAAATGGGAATTTTGAATTTCTATGATTCATGTGCATGCATTTATAATCATTGCTAGGCATGATGAAATTTTACGAGATTTCAGTCATGGATAGTGGTTTACCGATTGCTTTAGTGCATATCTTATCGAACTGCGGATTTTTTGGAGCTTCACTGTTTCATAATGGTTAGGATTTCATTGCTTTCTAATGACTGTGTCAGGAACAAATGGTTTGGTCAAGTTGTCATATCATGAGCAAATTTTCAAATCACTTTCATTTATAATAATCTGAAAATATCAAGTCTTGTATAAATTGCTTGAAATGAAATTTCTTTGCTTTCACCGAAATTTATGGATTGTAATATCGATTTATTTACAGCTGTTTGCTTGATTACAAATTTCATCTATCAAGAACCTTCTTTACTTACGTCCTTGCAAGACAAAGGTGTTACGAATGCTATTCTAAAGACAATATTCCGTGAAGAGGTATGTGTTATAAAAATGCGAAGCAGATAATTGTAAAAAATGCTTCACTTTTGCAAATAGTAATGTTATTTTCTGTTTTTAGTTGCCCACTTCTCGAGATGTCATTGCTGCGTTGCCGAACACTTTTACCGCGCTTTGTTTGAACGATCGTGGACTGAAAGCTTTTATGAGTGAAAATCCTTTCGATCATTTCTGTGACATTTTCGTGTCGACAAAATACATATACGCTATGAAATGTCGTCGCAACGAAATGAGTAAGTTTTTGACTTAGTTGATTTTACAGATCATTAAGGCAATTTCGTGATAACAGTGTCATTGTCGACGGCTACCAGTTTTTAGGGCTGACACTGTTAGCAGTTAGAAATTCTAGTTAACTATCTTTATGGTTAACGTTTATTTTGATATTTGAAAATTTCTCCTTAAAATTTATTTTGTAATTGCAGACGAGGTGGCCTTGAATCTCGGCACATCGTTCGATGCCTTTTTGCGTCATCACCCGACCTTGCGAGAAAGTTTCCTCAATTCGTTTGCAAAGGTTTTTTTTTCTTTTTTCGAATCTCTTTCTTGATTAATATATCTGAAGAATATAAATTTAGAATGGAATTGTCGCATATGGCATCGCTTACATATCTTCGGTATTTCAGATGTTGAGTAAATTATTGGATGTCGCATCTACGGATTCGCCACGTTGTGTCATGTCTTTTGCATCATGTCGCAGTACTCAAGCAACAGTAGCCGTTTCATCAACCTCCCCCAGCCAAGAAGAGGAGAATATCATGGGGGGCAATGTTTCTTCGGATGATGACGATGAAGATCCAACTTCAGCTGTTGCAAATATGTAATATTTTTAAATAAAAATTTAAGGCCTTAAATTTACTTGTAAGTTTTGTAGTTATTTCATTAAAATTGGTAGCTGTTTTTTTTTTTTTTTTTTTTAATATGACATTTCCTCGCAACGAAAATCAAGAAGAATTCGAAAGAATGTTGTTTATTACATTGGTATTGTTTAGTTAGTAGCTTAATGTAGAATTTGCATATCTCATGTAACTGCGTAGCCATTAGACAGAATCGTTATCGATTACCATTGTTAAATTTAGGGACGAATTGCATACAACTGAAAATGAATGTAATCAGCTGGATCTCGGCCTGTCTTTGTCGATTGTGTGTGACGGAATTCCTCTTATTCCTCTTGGCGAGTATCTATTGAATATCGGAAAATTTCTGGAAACACTGTTGACTCATAATGCATCACCTGAACAGGCTGATGTTTTCGTGCAGTCTGGTACTGCTGATAAATTGCTTTCTTTACTATTTGTTCGACAGATTCCGTTAGAACTGTCGCAGTCACTATTTCCGCAGTTAGTTACGAATATAATACGGTTTCTTTTTGTAAGTTTTTCATGTATTTACCATTATGTGTATAACTTCTTAAGAAATCCTTGATCAGAGGGCAAGTGTTTAATCAGTTCACACAATGTTGGTCCGGATTAAACATCATCAGTTCATAAAAAACTGAAACGTAATCAACCATTCCATAAATCATCGTGCATATGGTGGATAATAGTGGTTCGAATTTTCAGAATTGGATTTTATCTTTTTTTAAACTGTGGATATGGATTTCTTGTTTTTCTCTCATCACTTTTCAGTTAAGATTGCAATGAAATGTCTGGTGGATTTTGGGATAAAAGTTTATGAATACTTTTAAAAAAAAAAAAATGTTAAAACCGCTAGTCATTGTTTGCATATTTATTACACCATTTTACAGCAACATACAAGAAGTAGTGATGTAATGGATATGGTTGCGAATCGACTGAATAAATTTTGTCTGGATATGTTAAGTTCGTGTAACACGAGTGAAGATTCGTCAAAGCTATCGTTGCTTGCGATGAGTTCGTCAGAGGCTTCATTGGCAAACATTTGTGCGATTTCAGTTTTCTGTTCTGTTCTCAGCAGCTTATCAAAAGCTGCTTTAGGAAGTAACACAGCCACTAAAACAGCAGTTCTCAGATTTTGGACAAACGAAGGTTGTAGACTTCTCGCTTCCTGTAACCATGCTCAGAGGTGAACTTTTAAATTACTGTTTCGCTTTGCATCATGGAAACTAATGGAATCACCAGAAGAAGTTTTGTTCTTTTTCAGAATAGTTGTTTGGGAAAGTGCGGTTTTGCAAATATTTAATGCAACAAACAAATGCATAGCTTCCACGCAAACGGATGATGTTCAAACAAGTGAACCAACAGAAGAAGCTAATATAACTTTGCAAGAAGATTCAGTTGGAGCAGATAGTGTGCCACAGCGCATTGGTCGACCGAAATATCTGCGTAAGCAAACATTTGAAAATGAATTCACTATTAGATTTGTCTTTGAAAGCTTTATTTTGTAAGTTCGGTTACAAAAATTCAAAGTAACTCAAGTTTTTATAGACAAATTAGGGAATTTTTTTCTTTCTGAGAGAAGATGGTTGGAACAAAACTTAGCCAGTAACTTGAAAGGGGAGTTTTAAATCCACCAAAAAATTTCTTGCAGTAAAGTGCTGCTAATCGTAAAATCTTACCGGCAATTCGGGAAGAGTTTTTAAAGTTGTGCTAATACAGTTGTCTTCTTAGTTGATGATTACTGGCTTCGTTCAAAATCGGGAACCAGTGCTCTGAATCGCTGTAATCGGCACTGTACGGAATTGTTGTCAATGCTTGTCAAAATTTCTATTGGTGGGATGACCAGAACGAGAAGAATTCAGGAAAATGAGGGTGGTACACCATGTGAAAATGCTGTGCAGCTAGCTCTGCAAATAATGAAAGGTTTCCAGCAAGCTCTGGAATGGAAACCTCACGATGAAACTGATCCAGCTATAATGTTAGTTTCCTTATTTTTTTATTTTGTAAGAAAATGAATTATTGGCCAAAATTAAGTGAAGTTCCAATTACTGCTTCCTCTTTTTTTAAGGTTACCCTACTTGGCAATTTGGATCAACAATCTCAGCAACATTCTATTTGATGAACGGAAGATTCCTTATCATTTGATGCTTTCCGCCTTTTATCGTACCGGCACTCATGATACATTTTTTAACATTATCTCAAATTACTTCGCACCTGATCGAGATCAGAATTATTGTGGTATGTAATTTAAATCGTATTAATATGTTGTTATTGACTGTATTTTTCATTTAGTAGCCCATGTTCAGGAACAGGTATCATTTTATTGGTACTTATATATGAGTATCCTTATTTGTAGCCGAAGTTAAAATTTTGCAGATGAGCCGTATTTTGCAAACTTGTATCTGATTAAACTAGTTTTTTTTTTTTTTTTTTTTTGAATAGAAGTGGGGCAGTTGTTACAAGCCTGGTTATCTTTAACGGAGCGATTGGTCAGTGCACACCTATTCCGTCACTCACGCTATAAAATGTCGGAAAGACTTGCGGAAGCCAAACGTTTCCCAACCGAGAAATATCTTGCAAAATGCCAACAGGTTTTGCATCTTTTTTTTTTATCCTATGAGATTTCGGTTTTTCGAAATATTACTCAAAATTTAATGAATCTTTTAACTCTTCAGGATGCTTTTCGGCAATCCAATGTTGTTTTCGGGGTGTTGTCTGCATTACCCTTAAGCGAAGCCGTTAGTTTTAATATCTGTGATATGATTATTTCGATATATCGAGAAATAGTCAAAGGAATTGTGCCTTTGACCGAAAAACAAAAACAAGCTGTGGTAACAACGTCTGAAGATCGCAAGAAGTACTTTTTTAGTCTCCTTTTTGGTTTGCAGGAGTTTTCAGTAATACGGAGCTATTTCAGTCAGTTGCAGGATGGTGTGTTAAAACGAAGGCATTAATTCGACAATCTCTGAGATGACTTCTTTTTAGGATGGAAGCGGAACTTGATGGAGCGAGTATTGGTCTCTTAGTTGACATGGGATTCGATCGTGATGCTGCTGTTGATGCACTGTTGGAATATTCAACCGTTCCTGAGGCTGCCGAATATCTGATCGCAACTGACAGCTTAGGCAGACTTCGTCAGTCGTCAACTGATGAAAGGATAGATACTGATGAAGTTAGCCACCAAGCTTTATTTCAAATGTTAACAAAAAATTTTATTAATGTGAAACTCCTTTAAAAAAGAAAGAAATTTTTTGCTTAGACCGATGCAGAAGACGGAAGTGGACAAAATGGTGATTTGAATGTGGAATTCGAAGATGTTCTTTTGAAGGAACCGATTTCCTTGAACGAAGTACCTTCTCTCGACACCCGCCTAATATTATCCAGCCTATGTAAAGATGTACGCTTTTGTTATTGTGCTCGTTTAGTGTTTCAGCATTGAAGGCATCAGTTTCGGTTTAAAGCAGTTGGTGATTTTGAATCTTTCAGAGAATTCTGGGGATGGAAATAACTGAAGAAATGCCATTTTTTTTTTTTTTTTCTTTTTTTTTTGACTGTTTTTACGTTTCTCCCACAGATTGATGCTTTTTGCCTTTAGGAAATCATTGTATCATATTGGATCATTCTTCTACAGAACTAGTAAACTTTGTTTATTTTTATGTTTGTTTGATAAATTCCTTTCAATGCCATAAATTACAGTCATTTAAGTTTGTCACATTAGAAATCAGAGTTTCCGAAATGGATTTTATCATTCAAAAAGATGGAAAGTTGTGGTTTTACAGGTCATTCCAATTCTTTTGAATTTGATGGAACATGGAGCAGAACTAGTGTTCAGTACCTCGGAAGTTATGTTGGTAATCTTGAATGAAGTAGACGATGATTGGAGAAAAAATATGCTTATTGGTGAATATTTGGTACAGGATATTCTTCTGATGGTGGACGAACTGCGCTGTGACGAGGTTAGGAAAATTACATGATGCTGGATGTTGCTGAAATACTCTTATAAACTGGCTGCATTTTTGATAGTTGAGTTTGTAAAATATTAGAGAATAAGATTAATACATATTAATCTATATATATAACAAGAGGCCAAGAATAGTGTAATGCACTACTTTTAATCGAAGTTATGGTAAGAAGTTATTCATTGCAATGATTGGAGTGTCTCTGCTATCGATTTATTAAACAAAATCCGAGCAAATTTTAGACTGACGAGAAAGCAGTTATCTCGCTTTCAACTCGTTTGCATTTCGTGTGTTTGCTGTGGCCTGGGATTGCTACTACTTATATGGATGTCTGCACAGAATATCGCCTTCATAGTGTTTTAATTTCTGTGCTTGACATGGTTGTCATACACTGTTCAAAGAGACCTGCATTTATTAGGTGAGCTGAGTTGTATTTATAGAATTTACCTTATGCAATGGCGAATTTGCCCTATATAATGCTGTTTTATTTTGTTTTCGTTATTACTTTTTTTGTTTCACTCAGAATTATAGATATGATATCCCATCTTTTGCGCATTTCAGGCTTATCGCACCAATATGTTTATGGCTCGATCTCTATGATAAAATGTTGAAGCTATTGGATAGCAAGGATAAAGTTGAAAAGGTAATTATACATTTTGAAAACAGTAATATTGCGTTTCTCTTTTTTCTCACTTTCCTTGATTTAAGGCTGTTGAGTCGTATGCGTGGAAGTATTGGGATACTGATGAAAGAGGTGGTGTATATACCTGGATTAATTATCCTCCCGCGGCCTCGCATACACTCACAAATGCATTTCTTGCTGGTCGCAGGAATTGTAATATAAGCGTAGGAGGCCGCCAATACACTGTTGATTTTCCGTCAATGAGCCACCGTAACGCTGAATCTCACATCGAACGACCGATTACAATTTCTGGTCGCTTGAAGGATGGTGCTATATTATCCGAAATACTTACTGAGGTTTTTTTGCAAGCTATTATTTTTAAATACTGGGAGACAAAATTATTTGAACTGAATCTTGAACTTTCTCATGGATTGGATTAATTGATCGTATTTATCGTGCTGTTTTCATCATCACTGATGATTGGTAAGCTTTTTGAAAAATGTTAATTTTTTCATATCTTTCCTTATTTATTTACAATAAACACATTTAGGGTAACGAGCATAAAGAATGGGATGAGGTGGTACATGACAGGCTCGTACCAGCTATCATTGGCCTTCTTGGCTTAGCAAATATAGATGCAGCTTCGATCCATGCGATTTTTATTTTGGCTGCACGTATTACAAGAGATTTTAAAATTGCGAGGGAGTTTTTACAGGTTGTATGATATTTTTGTAAGCTTCATACTACGGCTTTATAATTTTGCTATGAAGAATTCTGACATATAGCGTAGTCGTAACGTCCTGGCCAATGGTTTTCGTAGACAAATGCTTATGGTTCTTTTCTGATCAGGATAGTAAGATCTTTCGATGCCATGATTTAGATCCTTGATGGTTTAGACTTACTGCAGTGGAAATAATCTAATGTAGTTGCTTTAGGAATAGTTTCATCACAACATCCAGAAAATGGTTGAAATGAACATTTTTATTGATTAGGGTAGATTTTCCCAAATTTGTGAAGGCATACATCTTACTGAGTTTTTTCAGCAAGGGGGCGTACAAACAATGATAAATGTGTCGGGTGCCGCAGTGCCATCGTCAGCTGTTCTTGGGGCCCTTATTATTCGTCACTGTCTTGACGATGAAATTTCGGTAAGACAGATTTTCGAGAAAACAGTGCGTACAATTGCTGCAGGTGGCTATACCATCAGTCCACCTTTAACAAGATGGAATCATATTAGGCGAGTTTATTGTTTTGGCATGATCTTTTTTTTTAAAAAAACATAGTGTTTTTTATAGGTTATGAAGCGTGCTATTGCTTTAATGAGAGATATTCTTGTTAATGAAATTGTGCTTTTTGTGCTTAATTTGAAACTTTAGGACACCACGAACAACTCGTGACTGGCTACATGCTATACGCGCTCTTTCTCCGCTGTGTGCACGCCATCCGCAGATTTTTGCTGCTACTATGGAACGTGTTACGCGAAAACAGAACGGTCAAATAACTGTTTTACCGATGACTCCCGTTGATCCATCTTGTAAGCAGTGGACTGCATGCTCACCTATTAAACAGGTATTGTTATTGTCAGTTATTTATGGATAGCGTTGCTTTGTTCTAATGATTCTTTACGAATTAACGCTGTTGGTGTAAATATTTTCATTCTTAAAAAGCGAAAACAGATGCTTGTTACTAAAAAGACACACAATTGCCCTCTCCTCTCATTTTCATTTCCCATAAAGAGTTGAAGTTATACCATATTTGAATGAACCCTGTGATCAGGCTCGCATTTTGGATGGAAGCGTTCCATGCAGTTGTAAAACTAAATGATAATTACAATTTTGTCAGGTGTTGACGCATTTGTTGAATCACACGTTGGACTTTTCATGGGAGGATTCGAATAGAGTGGTAAATCGTGCATCACTTGTACGATTGATTGCTGAGTTGGCGAAGAGCTACAGTATTGTAGCAACATTAGTTGCTGAATCACATGACCTTAATGGACAACCTTTTATGGTATCGATCCTAGATAAATGTATTATCCCAAGTGGTTCTCCGACCGCTGATGGTAGTCTTTATATGGCTGTGAAGACCTTTGTAGCTGCAATCGCTTCGTGCAATCATTCGCCAAAAGTATGTATATTTTATTGAACATAATACATGTATATTGCTTATTCGAAAATATGTTTAAATTCTTTTTGAGTATCTGAAGGAATTCGAAATCTAATTATAAATTATTCTTTCAGGCTCAGGAAACTTTGATCTCAAGCATTATTTCTTCTCTTCATATTGTTTTCTGTGAAGCTAATTCAAAAGCAGCATGCACTAAGGTAAATAATAAACAAAATACATTAAAATTCTTGAGCATCTTATTGATATTATAAATCTTAGAATTCAAAACAAGTCATGATACAATTGCGGAAAAAAAGGGATTAAACTGAAAAGTAGTATGATGTGGTTGGTAAATGCAGATGTAAAGTATAATTTTTTTATTTTTAGTTAAGGTTATTAGCGGATCTATTTTTGTTGGCACGTGATGCATGTCCAGCAGGACCGCAAGATATGCGCAATAACACAAATTCAAATGCAGTTTTGCGTCTAATTATAAAGAAACGTGTTTGTATTGAACTGAGTAGAGTGCCATGGTATTTGAATTTATCAGCGAAGGAAGGTATCGAGACTTTAAACTACGTCCTGCGAGTTTTGGAAGAGTTGACGCGTACAATCAACAGGTTTTTTCAAATTTCGTAGTTAATTCTGTGACCATATCTTATGGTCATATTTATCGTGTATTGTGCTGATATCGATTCTTTTCGAGAAAAAGAATTAGATCATGAAGTCGGCTCTTCTGTTTGTACTTCCCATATTAATTTTCGTCATTAAGGTCCTTACAACTTCGATCATTTGTATATCTGTAAAAAATTTACTTCCGATTTACAGCAACCATTCTGCACAAAATGCAGTAAGAGAAAATATGTCCGAATCACTATCAGTGACTCAGAATGCGTCAGCATCCGTAACGCTAGTTGCAACATCGGAAAACGATGCATCAGTCACAGTAACAGCGCGCGAGGGTGAACATTCCCAAGATAATCAACATGTCGAGGACAGCAGTAGCACTGCTGATGAACATCGTTTTGAGACCCATGAGGTACTAATACTCTCTATGGTTGTTATTTTAATTTGTTGAAACAAATGTATCATTGGAAACAAACTTCTAGTTTTTTACTCTGTAATATGACTTTGACCGTATATAATTATAACGGAATATTTCAGATCAAGACTCATTGTGATAGTTATAAAATCAGTTTATGTCTTCTATTTTTATAGTCTTGAAAGGGAAGCAGAGAATTTTGGGGGCATCAAATGAATATATGATGTCCGCGTGGATTAGTTCCAGGTAACGGTTGAACGAAATAGACCTGATGATGATGATTATTGTGCGGACGATGATGAGGATCGTGGTCGTACTAGACATCCGGATGCTGTTGAAGATTCAAGTGAAAGTGAGGAAGACGAAGATGATGTAGATGACGATGATGATGTAATTATATTTTGTTTTATTAAATATTAGACTTTTATATCTAGAAATTTATGTCAGTTGAGTGGAGATTTATGTCTCCAGTTGGTATATAATGAACACAGTTTGGCAGTGAACTTGGATTCTAGTATTAAAGAGCTTTTTTCTAGGATGAAGGTGCTGGTCTTAATGAAATGGACGTGGATGATGAATCGGATGATGAACATGACGATGTAATGGAAGGTTCGTTGTCTGTATTGTATTTTCTTAGTAATTGATCTTACGCATTTACACTCTTGTCTCAAGATTTCTTCAATATAAGTAGGGATCACACAATAAGGTAGCGAACATTTCTCACATGAGAATCTATGAACGAACTGCACCTCAAAGGAAGTTGGATTGCATGTAAATGTTTTGATCGTTTTGTCCAGTAAAGTTTGGGTTTCTTTAATTTTAGAAGAAGGACGCGTGAGTGTCGAAGAAGAAGACGATTTTGGGATGGTAGAAATAGAACCGGGAGCATTAAGTCGTTTTACCTTAGTCGATAGTGTAGATGATTCTGGACCCGCAGACCGATTTGAAGATGGCGATTCTGAGGAAAATTTTGTCAATACAAATATATTTGTTGAAAATTTGGATGATATTGATGCTCTTACAAATGGTGCCTTCACGGGTGCTCGCCTTTTTGTAAATACTAGTAAGCATTTTCTCTACAAACCCTGTGAGAAACTTCAAGAAATGCCTGTTCGTAAATTCATTCTAAAACAAAATGTCTAGGTATGGAAGCTGCACATGCTGATCGATCGTTGGCTACAGTTAGTTCTGTGCATCCGTTATTACAAAGATCATCACAGACCACTGGTAGTGATAGCGTTATAGGTCAAAGACCTACGGCAAGTTTTCTCCAACATTTATAAAGAAACTGTAGAAGTTTTCTGTACAAGGTTTTTGATGTGCTATTTCTATACCAAAGGTAATGAGCTTTTGTAACAAAACTAAAATATTCATGTAAAAAAACTTTTCAGAGTTATCGCCTTCTGGTTGGTCAACGTCGTGGAACTGGAAGTATGGCTTCAACAGGGTTGCATCGACAGAATGCGGTACGGCGTTGGACAACATTCGGCACACAGAGTGAATTCATTGAACGACTGCTTGATGGTTCTACAACAGCTAATGGCAGTCATCTTTTTGACGTCGCTCCATCGCGTCAGCGCTTCTTGAATGTTGTTGTAAGCTACTTTAAGTTTTACTTATGACATATCCTATGACATTTATGAAATGTTAAAATAACATTTGTATCTCCTGATGATATATTCATTGTTGAACTTTCACCAATAGTTAGATCATATGAACTGTTCTAGTACTTATTGCTGACCATTTTATTCTAGAATTCGCGATGTAATGAAAGTAATTTCCAGCATGTTAAGTTAGCTTTAGCTTTTTTTCTTCAGATGCAAGACCACGGATTGGATAGTACAACTACAGTTACCGGTGAAGAGCGACGGCAAACATCTGTTCCACTTCCGCTGGAACGATTTTCAGATGCTGCAAGGATAATTGATGGTCATGCTCATTTGTACTTGTGGGTTATGGTCGCGTCTTATATTACCAGTGTTATGGATGCTATTGAAAAGGTAGTTATTTGTTTTAAAGTATTATATGTCCTTTTTCATAGTTTCTAAATAATGAGCGAGTAGGAAAATCGAATATTTAAGATTATGGTGTGCTTGCGAAGTCTTAAGAGCAGTTCGCAACTTTTTAATTCCAAGAAATTTTTTATAGGACGAAAATGAGAAGAAAACAGAAGAAGAAATAATGAAAACTCAGAAGGATTTTACGGAGGAATCTTCGAAGAGAACTCTAGATGATGTGACATCAAATGAAAGTAGCAGTACTACACGGCTGTTTATTGATGAGGAAGAGCATGGAGTTTGTTTCAACATTATTTGTATATTTTTCATGTGATTATCGCATGCCTGACACCATTCAGTTATGCTTCATTTTTAATTGAGAAAAACTGATTAAGCTTTTGTGTGGAGCCGTTAAATCCTGCAGTGAAAACACGGATATAATTAACAGTGGCAATAAGGAGTGGCAGTATGCGAAAAGGGTGAATCAGTTTGCACCATATTGCCTGATTTTGTATTTTAAAATGAAAATTTCATTGAAAATTCAGGATGTTGGAAACGTTGATGATAATGTTGCTGATGCACAACTAGAATATTCATCAGAATCTGTCGATATAACAGTCCAAGCGCCCAGTGTTTCAGAACCCATGGACCAGTCAGGTTGTTTTTAGATTTTTTCTTGTGTGAGTGTAGCTTACCTCTATTTATTCTAGGTACTTTATATTATGATACTTCCGAAAGTCTTGAAAATCAAATTCATCGAACTTGTGAACAGGAGCAGGAAAATATTACTTCGAATGTAAACAGTGAAATTTCAACAGATGCATCAGTACATACAGTACTAGTTACTGCAAATGAAGCTGAAGAACAAGGTAAATGCAAAGTATTTTTTATTCATTTCTATCTTTCATAGAGGAAATGTCGAAGTACTACTTGCAGGTTTTGAATTTGAATTATTCAACCTATTTCGAAAAATTATACTTGCCAAAAAAAAAAAAAACTTGGGCGAAAGGAAAAGAGCGCTCGACATCCTTAGCTTTAACTTTCTCTGTTACTGAAGATGTTTTAGGAAATGTAGAACAACTAAGTGCACCCGAAGTTACACCAGAAGCTTCACTTGCTAATCAAGATGATTTCAGAGAAATATTAGGAGGTAATAAATTTTTCAGTTTTTCACGTAGTTTGAATAGACAAGCATATAAAGCAGTTTGTCTCATTTTTTAGTACGATATCTCAAATTTAGTACCCATAAATTTCTTTCTTTATTTAGATATTGAAATTCCTGAAGGCGTAGATCCTGCGTTTTTGGCAGCCTTACCAGAAGACATACGTACGGAAGTGATTCGAGATCATATCAGACAACAGCGTTCACAGCGTTTGATACAAACTTCTGCAAACTTAGAAGCAGCTAGTCAGGCAAATGGTGAAGTACCTGTAGTTGAACCACTTGATCAGGAATTTCTAAATGCACTCCCACCGGATCTTCAGGAAGAGATTTTGGCACAGCATGAGAGGACTGTGAGATTAGCTCAGGAAAGAGTGGAAAGTAATAGTGTACCGACGGCTGGTTAGTTTTTTTAATATGTCTGTAATGATAGTGACTCTAGTTGTATCAGGGGTTTTTTTCTTTTTCATTTAGATTCATTTTAGACGCTCCGGTTGCTACAGATGATGCAGCTGCATTAATTGAATCGCTTCCACCAACTCTGCGAGCACAAGTACTTGCTGATGCAGATGATACGGTCTTGCAAGTTTTGCCCCAGAATGTTGCGGCTGAAGCGCGACGTTTGCGAGCATCTTATGAAGCACAGGCATTGTTTTAAAGCACTAATTGTATGACTCCATTTCTAATCTCCTGGATAATCTCAGTTGTAATTATTGGCAATTTCAGCAAGTTATGCGTTTTGCCCGTATGTTAACGCCAACTCAACGCTTTCGCCCTGCAAATGGTCGGTCAGTCCCTGGAACAAGTACTAGCAGTACTCCTGTAGGCGCACTTGCTGGAGTTACTACACTTGCTTCGAAGAATGCTACACAATTATTGGATCGTGATGCCATTGTCACATTATTACTTCTTTTTTTCATCGATCCAGCCCGTCTTAATACTCAACGTTTGCAGGTTATCTGTTCTTGCTTTTATTTTTGCTCGGATTATACAACATGTTAGCAAAATGATGAATGATTGGGGATGTCGTTAAAGTAATCGCATTAAGCTTTTGAACTAGATGAAACTTTATAAGAATCATCGTACTTGAAAAAAGCATTCTTAATTCATTACAGAAGCTCATTAAAAGCCTTTGCGCACAAAATGTAACATGTGATTTTGTGATCTGGTGCTTAATTGCTCTGCTTGACAAAGTAGACGAAGAAGCTGTTCAGTATGAGGATTTTGGTGGTACAGTGTCCGGTTGGTTAGATCAAATATGCGTATACAGCGGTATTGGACAACATGAACAAGCAATCAAATTCTTCAAGAGTACTCATATAGGTAGAAGTTTAGATATGCTCCAAAAAATGCTGATTTATATAGATTAAGAAATTCAGTGTGCATAATTATAGTGAAGCTGAGTATGGATAATTGATTGATGAATCTGAATTGCTGCAGTTCATTTTGATTTCTGTGTGAAATTCTTAATGCGTTGTACTTGCAGTGGCGTTACATCCGGCAGTCTTAGCAACGGTCTGTCGTCTTGTACTAGATACACTAATCAGTCTTGCAAAAACTTATCCGGGTCATTTTCTTCCTGCGAACCTACGTGATCCAGGTTATCTCTCCAATGCTGGGTTGTTTACGCCACCATTCTCACAGTTTTGGGCTATTGTTCATAGGTACGCTGTTGTGAAGCTGATTATTTGTTTTTTTATTTTTGTAAGTCGGAAAAGTTAGAAAACCATTCTGTAGTTTTCGTTACATGAGTACATTTTAAATTTAAGTTCGCTATCGTTTCTTCAAACTTCATTTGATTACTATGTAGTACTGGTACGGTCAGAAAAGTTCTCGTTAAAGCATTCTGAAGAGAATTTGGAGGACTTGTCGACATTTGTTATGTTAAATTGTTTCCTTAAAATTTTTAGCTTGTCGAAAGCTGATGTGTTATCCCGTGCTACACATCGACATGGCCTATCATTAGAGACAGCTTTGGGACCAGGTGGCCTTAATGCAAGTATGGCTGCTTTCTCACTTGAAGATAGTGCTATCGGTGTACTTATGGAGCATATTAAGCGTCCAGTTATTCTCTCATCGTCAATATTGCAGGATAAATTGCTTCGCCTTGTATGCACGGTCAGCCATTTGTTATTTTTGTTTAGTTTTATGACCAGATAACTTGGCTTAACCAACTTCTTCGATTTTATAGTACAGGGCTGGTTCATATTTCTTATCCAGGATTCTCAGAATTTATCATTTTTAGATTGTCCAAACTTTGCCAGAGGAAACCATCACGAAATTGGCGATTGATTCGACTGCAGAAAAACCTCCACTTAGCCAGCAACTCGAACATATTGTTTTAGTTCGTTTTAGCTCTTGTCTTTCGACTGCATGTAGTGTGATAGTTTATGGTAATTTGAGTTTTCAGGTCTTGACAGAAGGTGATTGTTCAGAAGAAGGATTAGCAGATGGACGTACCTTGCTATTGGAATTGATTCGTGCTCTCACTCCATCTACGAAAACCTTTATAATGTCTCTCCTTATAAATGCTGCTGAACGCCTAGGAGCCCGACTTTTGCCACATGTAGAGAAACTTGAAGAAGAGCTGAAAGAGCTACCTAACGACGGAAACCCTTCATCATCGGTTGATCAACAACCATCGGGCTCGAAAGTTGCAGTTAATCGGTTAGGCTTACAAATCAGCATCTCAGAAAGAAGCAGCAATTATTTGCCGTTTTTGGATGCCTAAGATAAAAAAAAAAAAAAAGATAGCCCTGATCTGAGGTCATAAACCAATATGTTTTGGTTCGAAAAAAAAAAAAAGAAATTTACTCTTAACTTTGCAGGTTTCCTGTTTTTTGACAGCATAAATTTTCATTACAGTTATGACGAATCGGTGATTGTGATCAGTGGAATTTTGAATTCGCGAGCGGTCATGAATGCATCTGGCTGTTACGAACTGCAATTACCAGCAATGAAAGCACTTACTGACAAAAGTGGAATCCAGAATATATTTCTAAGAACACTACAGACAATTATCAAAATAAGAGAAGTACTGCAATCACATGCAAGGTGTATTGAAATTGATGTGAGTACTGACACTGCAGGTGAGCAGGACGACGAACGTGGAACGGGAGAAAACACCGCAAATGCAACCGAAGAATACGAAAGGAAAAGATTTGCCGAGGTGAGGCGTATAACTTCAGTTCTATTTTTTTTTTGAACTCACTTTATCTAATTATGCACAATGTAGTTTTGACATTAAAAAGCTTTACTCTATTTTACATTTATCTGAATTGGAATGAAATCTCTTTTCTTTTTTTTTGTTGTTAGATCCGCAACATATCTGTAAGGGGTGCAACATTTTTGCATTTTTGGTATTTAGAGATGTTCTGTTTGCTGTATTTATCTCCAATGTTTTAGAAAGAAGAAAGCATGAGTGTATTATTAAATACGTTAGAACCGTTATGGGAACTTGTATCAAGATGTCTGAAACGTCTTACAAATGCAGATGCACATGCAGCTTTAGCTCTTCAGCCAAGTGCGGAAGCTTTTTTTCTGGTATACGGATCAGAATTGTCTTCTGCTGACCCAAGCAAACTTCATGACCATCCGGATGCTCAAAAACTTCTTCATTTTGCAGGTCTACTTTTACCCATGTGCAAGTTATCTGTCCTGAAGAGCCTAATTCTGAGATTTGGCGTATATTATTTTCTCTTTGAACACCGTCTTTTTGTACTTTTTACTCTGGTTCCACCTTTACTTTTCAACTCCGAAGAGAACTGTGGGAAAGAGTTTTACTGAATGTCCATGAGATTTCAGCAATTTTGGTATTTAGTCATTCACATTATGAGCGGTTATTTTCAGAGAAGCACCGGAATATGTTGAATCAGGTTCTTAGGCAAAATGGTGGTGGGTTAACGGATGGTCCATTCGCAGTGCTAACTCAGATGCCGAAATTATTGGATTTTGATGTTAAGCGTATCTACTTTCGGAAACAGATGCAAAAAATCGATGAACGTGTTAGGTTTGCGTCTCAATTCAACATTCAATAACATTAGTTTTGATTTGCTAGTATGTGTATGAAATTGGTATTCACTCCACACAGTGACTTCAAGATGATTTTATTACCAGTGTTCCTTACAGAGGTGAAGACGTAGCGGTGAGGATTCGTCGCAGTCACTTATTCAGTGATAGTTTCCGTGAGTTATTCAGACTGCGTGGTCCGGAGTGGAAGGCGAGATTTTATATCATATTCGAGGGTGAAGAAGGACAAGATGCTGGTGGATTGCTACGTGAATGGTTTTCAATTATCACAAGAGAGATTTTTAATCCCAATTATGCACTCTTTATAACTTCTCCAGGGGATCGTGTAACATACATGATAAATAAATCTTCGTATATTAATCCGGAACATTTGGAATATTTCAAGGTTTTTCATTTTATAATTGCAGTTTCAATTTGATCCCAAGAAAAACGTTTTGTGATTTATTCTTCAATTACTACTTTTACTTCGATATGCTGCTAGATTGTTCACTTTTTTATATTACCGTAGTCGTCTTTTTCAGTTTGTTGGAAGAATAATAGCAAAGGCAATTTATGAGAATAAATTACTGGAATGCTATTTTACCCGAGCGTTTTATAAGCACATTTTAAGTGTTCCTGTTCGAGCACAGGATTTAGAATCTGAGGTATTGTTATCTTCTTTCGTTTAACAGATGACGAGATGGAAATAGGTATCTTTTTTAAGATTGATGCGTGAGATGGTTGAATATTGGGAAGAGAGAAGGAAACGAGAGAGCTAAGCGTTGCTTTGAGAAGTTTATTATTCTAAAATATTAGTAAGCGAAAATCAGTAAATGTATATTTCAGGATCCTAGTTTCTACAAGTCATTGGAATTCTTGCTCAATAATCCGATCGAAGATCTTGGTACTGAACTTACGTTTAGTTTAGAAGTTGAAGAATTTGGAGTTAGAAAAATGCGTATGCTGAAAGAAAATGGGTCATCAGTTCCAGTTACTGATGGAAATAAAGAAGAATATGTAAAGCTCGTTTGTCAGATGAAAATGACTGGTTTGTGTTGTTTTCACAAATTTAGTCTTAATATTTATTAGTGCTAGCATTGATGTTTCAATTACTATTAGTATTTGTGAGATAACGCAGGCAAATAAAATTTTAAACAGTTATATGACGTGTGTCGATTATTTTTATAGGTTCCATTAATCAGCAGTTGAATGCATTTTTGGAAGGCTTTTACGAAATAATTCCGAAGCATCTAATATCAATTTTTAATGAGCAAGAATTAGAATTGTTGATAAGTGGACTTCCAAATGTTGATATCGATGATCTCTATGCAAATACAGAATACAAGACGTACACGAAATCCTCGTCTCAGGTAAATTGTTGTTTTTCGATTGTCTGAGTTCTTTTACTGGTGAGAACTAATCAGTTCAGGAATATAAAAATAGTAATGTGCTGTTGTGAGCAAGTGAGATCAAACAGGGATCATAGGAGGCCATTGAAATTTCAGACCGAAAATTGTATTTGACCAGATTTACCAAAATGTTATATATGCAGATAGCGCGCATTATTAATCTGATCTATTCTTGTTATGCATAATGTTTTATTGTAGATACAATGGTTCTGGAAAGCATTACGTTCGTTTGAACAGGAAGATCGTGCAAAGTTTCTACAGTTCGTTACTGGTACAAGCAAAGTTCCCTTACAAGGTTTTGCTGCACTTGAGGGCATGAATGGTACACAGAAATTTTCCATTCATTTGGATTCACGATCTTCAGATCGATTACCAACAGCACATACATGGTATTGATATTTTTATTAAACAATTGAAGCATTTTTACGAATTTCTATTATCTTTTTTTTTCAGTTTTCTAGATCATATTAAATCAGTTCGTATCATATTTAAGTCATTGTTACAGTTTCAATCAGTTGGATCTTCCTCAGTATGAAACATATGACAAGCTTCGGGATATGTTATTACTAGCAGTACGTGAATGTACCGAAGGATTTGGTTTTGCTTAAGACGATAACTATGGCTGTTTATTAAAAATATCTGTCTTCCTCACTGTATTGATGTCTTTCTGCTATGATCATCTGTTATCTGATTTCATGATCCATAAATCTTTTTTAGAATGGTATATCTTCCTGCTTTATTTTCTATATCCGAATATGATGGAAATAATAGATTGGCATAAAGACAGTAATTGCATTATCGCACGCATCCTTTTTATGTCCAATCTCTTACAAACTAAAGTGTTGTTGTGTATAAGAAATGACGATTCCATGATTTTATTGTGTTGTGCGTTTTTTCTAGGTCTGCCTTTCCGCCATTATGCAGATTTTTGCAAATTTCAGTTTTTTAATTGTTCGTGTGATTGCTTTTGGCACCGTGCAGGAGATTCCACTGTCTTATCACGTTTTATCTGTGTGTGCGTGTGTTTAAATTTCGGACTGTATATACCTCGTTTAGAGTGGTGGTAAAAAGAGCCTGAATGTTGGTGCCTTTTCTAAAAGAAATACCACTCCAGTGTTTGTGCATAATTGACTCCATGTTCCTTTTAATTCATTTATGGTTATCCTCTTTTGTTTTTTGCTAAGGATATAGGGATAGTGATGCTAAAGCTGATGGATATTGGACATGTTGGATATGTATTCAAGCAGTGCTACTGATGCTTTGAGTATGTAATCAAAAGGACGATGTTGAATTGATTGGATTGTTCCCGAACGTATGCCTTCATGTTTATATTGACTCTTGACAATTTTTATACGTTATGTTTTTTGAGAAACGTTGATATGCATTAAAAAGAGGAGACTTTCTTTTCGTGTGAATTTTAAAAGTAAAGAAATTATTGAACTTGTAATTATATTCATCAAAGATAATTGCCATTTTTCTTGTACCAGTACACTTCATTCCTATTGAAGGATTATGCAACGCTATATTATTTCCCCTTCGCCAGTTTGTTTTGATAATGAGTTTACATCTCATTTGCTTTCGATTTGTTGAATTTAGGATGATGCAGGATAGGGACGTAGCGTGTTACTTGTTGGGTTCATCTAAGAACATTACATTTCATTGAGATTAGACGAAGATATATGGACGTCCAGGTGGTGTACAATATAGTTACCCTAATCCTGCCTTGTAAGTTAACTGGAGAAGTGTTCACAGTTTCTCTCTACATACTCCGATTGCTGGAGCGGTTTTTTATTCTTGTATTTCCTGTATGAAGTATCAATTCATGTAATATGATTAATCAGTTATTATTAAAGTGTATAAAATTTCAGATAGTAACCATGCTGCTACATAGTGTTTTTAATGCTTTTGAACGGGTTATGCATCGTTCATGTGCATTTTATTTACGACGCTGTTTTATTCCATTCCCAGCGGTCATCAGAAGAAATATGGCATCGGCAAGCAATAAAGAAATGGTGAAACAAAGCCAATCAATTTTGGAAAAAGTGATATTAAAAGAATCTCAGACTACAATGCAGAGAGGTATTTCTGTATGAATTCCGACTAAATGATATTTGCCGATGTTATTTAAACTGGATTATACACTGTACGGGCCTCTGAATAATTGCAATAATGTAACATATTTGTCTAAATTGGCCACACATTTTGGCCATTAGCTATTGTAGCTGATCGATGAATTTTTATGGCTTGGTCTACCTTTTAGTATCCAATGAATATGCTTTACCATATTTAATATTATTCGGATATTGGAATTCTTGCATCATTTGTGGTTTTCAGTGAAGGAAAAGGCAACCAATGCATACCTGTACATCGTATATGTTGTGTCAATGATTGTAATGGGAGGTATGGCATATTTGTTGTATGAGGAAATACTCGCACCTGGAGCACCGCAAACAGTGTTTTCAAAGGCATTATCCTTAATCAGGAAGGATCCGAATTGTCTTAGATTATTAGGTGACTCAATTATGGGATATGTGGAAGGACCTGGACGAATGAAACAAGTTGAGCATCACATTTATAAAAAAGTAGGACTTTCCACAGTTTTTTAAAATTGAAGATGTGAAATTGTCCTTAGTTCCACTCATTTATTACTAATACATTGGTGCTTACTTCCACATACTTACTATTAATTTGTCGTAGGATGGAAATGATAGGACACGCGTGATATTCAACGTAAAAGGCACTCGACGCGAAGGTATTGCAACATGCGAAATGGAAAAGAGCGACGGAATGTGGAAGTGGCGTTTTCTTATCGTTTTATCTACTGATCTTGTTCCAGAGTGTGTCGTTCTAATAGATAATCGTTGAAAATCATATCCTAAATAGTACATTTCCATCGTTCACCTGACCTACTTCGTCGTGTAAGGGACTCAACTTTGATGCACATCCTACACTCGCTAGTGTAAGGAATAGCTAGACCGGAAGGAAAACTTGAGTGTGTCGAGGTGCCACTTTCCGCCCAGTCGCACTACCCTCAGTTTGGTCAAGGTCATGCAATCTTCCTCAACAAGCAAGATGTCAAACAGACTGAAAGATCGGCTATACTCCTGCTCTCTTCCTAAAAAATCGTTTACTTGTAGGAATAGAATTTGTAAAAAGCGATTCTTTATCTTTTTAAAACTTGGCATTCATGCCAATCACAAAAATACCGAAGACTCTGAATCTCATAAAATGAAACACGCAAAAACACTTCTAGAACTTTTGGAATGAATGAGAAAAAGTCATATTCACAGTTAGCCATGACAACAAAAAAAACCAAGAATTATCGGATGACTTTTAAAAACAAAGTGAAGCCTAGCAAATTTCAGTTCATTTTTTCCAATTTCAAATCGTTAATGAAATGAAAGTATTAAAAAAACATGGATATTGTGATGCAAGATTAAATTCCAATTTCGAACCTAGTCCTATCATAAGACCAAATCTACATTTTGTCGCAAATTAATAAACATAGATACTGTGCAATTAATAGTAACAATGCTATATCGTCTAAAGGATTGCAGTGAAGCTAGCTGTGTAAAAAAAAGAAACTAGTATTAAATAAGTTATTTGAAATGCAGTAAGCATAGAAGACTATAAAACAGGAAGCCAGAATCCGCCCATATTAACCTTGCGCCAAGTCATCATTTGAGATACATTCTATGGAAATGAAAAGGAAATGCGCGGAGTTATCAAAAAATGTACAGGGTTGCAATAAAACAAAAGGGACATCCGTGTCAATAACACACTGACGGCAAAACTATTACTACTATGCTTGCTACGATAGAAACAATAATCAATGAATGTTAAAACCGCGCAATGTTGATTATCCTTCTCAGTAATTGACCAGTACTTCGGTAAGAATCGCACTAGTATATTATACTAGAAATGTATTAATCGCGCAATCCCAATCGAGTGTTGATGCTCTCCAAATATGCACAGTGTAGGCGTGTTACAAAGCTATCGTCCTAAAAAGACGAACGTACAGCTCAGCCACTTTTAGGTACTTAATAACATCACAAACTGCTCAGACTTCATATACGCATATATATATTTGCACAGCCATTATTAAAATTCTTCATTAAAAGTAACTCATGTTTGATCTCATGTATGGTAAAAAGAACAGTTACGCTGACAAAATTCATATTACTTTGAACAGAACGAAAAGAATTTTCACATATGAAGACTAAGAAGAACTTTCACAGGTGGAGTATTCAAACCTTCAATAAATGTTTTAGTGCCACCAACAACTGATCCTTTGTAAGAGAAACAACTTGCGAATTATCCTCAGACATACCATCATGCTTGTTTCTGCTTTTAGATCGGTGCTGAAAAAAAATAATAGTAAATTACTTCCACAAAATAATAGTAAATTACTAAAAATCATGTCTTTAAAATCGATCCGTACCTTCTCCACAACTTTTAAACTAGACGATGTCTTGGCAGCACAGAGAGACAGATTATTCACTAAATTCGTTAATATATCATTTTTTTCGTCCCCTTCAGAAGCTGATGCACACTTCCTAAAAATGCCCCAGTTTCAGGAAATAATGAATCTAGTGAATCCAATTCTATAAAAAACACACTGCTTCTTTGATGTTAAGAATTTTTTTTTCTTTTACTTCTTTTTGATGAAAAAAAAAAAAAAAGGTCTTTTGAAGTGTCCAAATTTCGAAAGCAAATCAAAAATTACTCTGTTATTTTCGCACATGATTTTTCCGTCGACACTACGGTACCTTCCCCCCAAGCACCTCGGAGAAGAAGCTGTCTTTCAAACTGATCTGCACTCAGAGCACCTCTAGTAGGCACATCCGGTAATTTGGTGGTTGTTTGCTTCGAAAGCAATTGCTGCAGCAAAGCGGGCATCTCATCCAGTTTTTTACAGCGGCTGTCTTCAATAAACCGAATAAGGCAAGAAGGAAAGAAAATTTCGTAAATTCTTCTATAAATTGTGATGAATGAATAAGAAAAAAGCCGATTCATCATCATGAGCTCTACGACAAGATCCTGCTGGTCTACCACTGAAATCAGATATACGGCTGTTGTAACATTTTATTCTGCCTTTTATTCGTCATTTGATCTCAGAAATAATGAAAGAATTAGGCAACGCTAGGCTTGGTAAAACAAGATGGCTAGTCCAAGAAAACAAGTAATATTAATCAAATCAACAAGATTATTATAAATCTATTTTAGAAATTAAATCCAAGGCTTACAGGAAACATTTGGCTTTACCTCTTCCTGTAGCAGTATTTGAGTGTGCACCAAATCCATTTTGCGAATTAGCTGACACTGCTCTTTTCGAATCGTTGACAGTAGCAGATGTCGATGGATTCGATTCAGAAACAAGTTTGACAAGTAATTTATATAAACGCGTACAGTCATCTTCATCATAAAACCAGAAACCTCTTATGTCACCTTCTAAAAACACACGTTTCAGGAAAATAGATGTGTAAAGTACAAAAAAAAAAAAAAAAAAAAAAAAAAAAAAACGATGCAATGAGTAAGGCAAAAAAGGAAGAATGACAATAAACAAGTCCGTAATGTCCATCGCACTACTGAATGCTAGACAGCAGTAAGATATGAATAAATGACGCAAATATACCTTGAGTATTCATAAACAAATATGGAGTTTCAAGGAAGAATCGTAACGGAGGTGCTATCGGTTCGATATGATCTTCAAGAGATTGGCGGTTTGCAATCAATAATGAGTGGAGAGGCATATCAGCTCGTCTGTACAAAAATAACGGACCCTCGATTGCAGACTTCACCCACTGCGTCTTACATTTATCAAATTGGTATAGCGCTGCATGTACAGACTAAAAAATCAAATACTTTTAATTCCCTCCTAAACGATAACAAATAAAAAGGAAAATGGTGCTGACAGGATTCATTCGGCTTTTTAGTGTATACGAGTTTACTACTCTTCCCTTCCATAACGAATTTGTTTTAGCAGCCTGTTTCATAAAAATTAGCTGCTATTTCAAATTAGTTTCAATTCCGTTGAAAAATCTTAGAGCAAAAAGAGGTTTTGAATGGTAACATGTACAGGAGATTTCCAACCCGATGCAAACTGAATTAATAACCTTGTCAATGATTGCTACAGCACATGGATCCAGTCGTTGTATGGATTTCAGATTCATTTCATTGATTGAAACAGGCCTCTTCTTGACAAGCATGGTGTCGCCCATATTTTCCTGAACCAACATAAAGCGATAAATACCCGTTATGAGGTAGTTATAACTACCAGCTTTCAACTTAGCATGTATTGAGTACTTGTTAGTGCAAAGTCCGTATGTTATCGAATCTTGTTTTCAGACTCTGAAATCTCCAATACATTTCATCGATTTCAATTTTAGATAACAATCAAAGCTCTAACAATTTTGTTTCAAGTGCATTCACAAATTCATTCGCCACATGACTGTTACAATTAGTAGGAAAGGATGACTAATCAAATCTACCTAAGATATGAATGCAATGAGCTGACCTTCTATCCTAAAATGCTAAAATATTACAAATCCTAAAATGCCTGAAACGACCCAGATACGCAGATAAGAAACCTAAAAAATGATAACTAGCACTAAATTATGTAAGCGAAAGTAATATCATAGAAACATGTAGATAATAACTGGTCCATCAATTCGTGTAGCATTATAACAGTCTAATGGTAAGAATAAGCTTCTGAAACAATCCATGACGTCAGCCAATATAACAGTTTCTCTAATTTATTCTTCGGTTAGAAGAGCAATAAATTGGAAAGAAAAGTTTATAAAATTGAGCAAGATACAGAAAAGATTTTAAATAAACAGATAACGGCGTTCATATTCCGGAATGTACCATAGAAATCTTCCTCAGCAAATAGAACAAAATATTTTACTCATTTTCGTAACTCCTTCTGCACTTCAAGCTTAATCTAAAGTTCCTGGCAATATTCCCAATGAGAACAATTTTTAAGACTGGAAAAACTACGACCTATCACAGTTTCATAGATTGTAGAGAATGATCAATGAACAAAGTTGGCAGTTATCTATAAACTTACACATTCTAATCTATATGTTTGACGATCTTTCTTTTTTGTCTTTCCTCCTCTTCCTCATCACTTGAGAATGATCTACGGATAAAACAGGTGATGATTCCAATCCCACACGTTTTAGGATTTTTTCTTTTCCTTTTCATTCTATATCCTTCTAACACGTATCCGATCTCATTCATATCCCATTAACGGAAAATCCGAGACTTCACTTTAATCCTGTACACTCCAGATTACTTTTTTTTTGATTCAATAACTAAACCCCAGTCCTAACCACACAATAACACCTATCCAACCGCTCATCGGCCTTTCACGCAACCGAATAATACAAATCAGGTAATGATTGGATTAAATAAACTACTATTATGACATCATGATTAGGCCTAGCATGAAATCAGCTAGTCTCAGCGATATGATGTAAAAAATAAAATGCATAATGCGCTAGCCAAATTTTGATGTTATTCTGAGGTTTCAATCCGATGACTGTCTTTTGTTCCATTATTAAATTCTAATGTTTGACTTCTTAACATTTTAAGCAACACATGCAACCAATCTGATTAGCTTAATGAGGACTCTCAGGAGACTAATCTAATGTCGGGATATGAAAATTGGCATCGATCGTTAATTTGGTGACATTACATATATATTTGCAATAATTAGCCAATTCCAGATCCCTTGTAGTTGTTTCATTTCGATACAATGCAGATACCACAAATGACCGTAGAACATTTTCTGGTTGACCGCTCCCGCTCAATTTGTTAGATTGAGGAAAGGGGGGGGGGGGGGAAGACGGGGGAGGGAGGTGGGGCAGAAATGAGCTGTTTGATATTCATGTAACTGTTACATCCTTTGTCCTATAAAAATTTGCCACCTCTTGTTATGGGCAGATCATTACATTTATTTGCAAGCATTTTGAGTTAATTATGTGATTTCCTTGCTAATAAAACATAATGGTGTTGTTTATATCCCACATAAAATGCTAAGAAAACAATAAATCAGATGTTAATCTACTTCATAATCACGTTGTAAAATAACTGTATGCCTGTCAGTGTAATTTTTTTTAAAGTTCATCATGCATTATTGTATTACTAGTCTAGGTTGAAAAGAAAGGAATTTTTGCTTCTGGAGATTTACAGGAAAATCAAAATAGAGGAAGCGTTAGATCCAGGAAACACTGAAGTGTTTCCTCGTAACATTTGAGATAAAACGAAGAAAATAGACAACGCTGTTGGTAATGTACCAAAAGAAAGCAAAAGACACATTTAAGGGAATCGAATTCAACTGCTGTTAACGAAAATCTTGTGAAAAATAGCCACTAAATTTATTCAGATTGCAAACATTTGAATAATTAGTGACAGAAAACTAATAAAATCGCATCATTTCGTCCTATCAGCATTCATGTACCAATTATTTTCTGAGCAACTGTGCCTATTTTCTTGTCACGCAGCCGTATCCGTCCATTTCTGTCTTATTGTGCAATAGGACCCATTCCTACCGTTGCGGTTGAACTGTGTGTTTGTTTAATACTATAGAGTCACTTTTAATGTTATTTGTGGAATGGTTTAGACTGATTGCGCTATAACAAATTGAACACTTATAACTAATTTTGCATTTCCTTATTTTGCGTTCTGTTTGATGCACTGATATCCTGGATAGCATTATGGATTAAACAATTTTCTTGTTTGTACAAGCATGACAGTGCTTTGTAATTGTATTTTCAGGGTATCCATGGAATCACTTATTCCTGTTATCAACAAATTACAAGAGGTTTTTTCTGCAGTTGGCACTCGTGAGGCAGAAATACAACTGCCGCAAATTGTTGTCGTTGGCTCACAGGTTCACTATTTGAAACCACTGATTTACTTGGGAGTTTTGGATTCTTAATTGCTTTGCTGGTTTTTTGCAGAGTGCTGGCAAAAGTTCTGTCTTAGAAGGTATCGTCGGTCGAGATTTTTTACCTCGTGGAGCTGGTATTGTTACTCGACGACCGTTGATTTTGCAGCTAGTCAATGTACTTACTGATGATAAGGAAGCTAGAATTACTGATAATGGTATGCCTTTGACTTTTTGGTGTACGCTTAATTTATTCTCCTGTTGATTATCGTCGTGTTGCACTCATCGCTTCATGTGTTTAAAAAAAAAAAACATCAGGTATGGTAATACATGCAACTGATTGGGCTTTCTTTGGTCATTTGAAGGAAAAGATTTTCACAGATTTCGATGAAGTGAGGCAAGAAATCGAACTTGAAACGGAAAGAATCACGGGGAAAAACAAAGTAAAATTTTATTTTGTTCTGAACTAGAAGTAGTCATTGTTAATATAATTCCTTATGTGTATACGACTTTATGGTTTTTTTGTAGGGTATATCTGGAATGCCAATTAATCTTAAAATCTGTTCACCCAATGTAGTGAATTTAACGCTCATAGACTTGCCTGGAATGACGAAATTACCAGTGGGTGATCAACCTACTGATATTGAAGTGCGGATAAGTCATAATTTTCTTTTTTCAGCTGAAACAAATGCTAACAGTAGCCCCAATGATCTTGCTTTTTAAAACGTGACATAGTTTGTCTCAAATGCCACTTTTCTGCATATATTTTTATCTGAAAATGTTTTGCATAATCATTAGGCCAGTAGAGTTCTCAGCCATAGTATTTTCCCTTCTCCAGCAAGTGGAAGCGCGTTTTAATATAGGTGACTTTTTTTTTATTTTAAATGTCAGCTTTTTCAGCTCCTATAGCGGTTTATTTCTAACTGTACATTTTCAGACCCAAGTTCGGGACTTAATTATGAATTATATAGGAAATCCAAATTCCATTATTCTTGCTGTGACACCAGCAAACCAAGATTTTGCCACTTCAGAACCACTGAAATTGGCACGAGAGGTCGATCCGGAAGGTAAAGTTTTGCTTTACTTATTATCACTTTTATATAGAGTCACAATCAACGCCTTTTTCTGTTTTTAACAAACTGACTTGAATTGTAGGTTGTCGAACGCTAGCTGTACTCACTAAACTTGATTTGATGGATCATGGTACTGACGCTATGGAAGTTCTTCTGGGACGTGTTGTTCCAGTAAAACTTGGCATTATAGGAGTTGTGAATAGGTTACTGATTTTCTATTCTTTTCGTCTTGGATATTTTGTAACGCTTTCATATCTTGCAATATGATATTTATTAGCTGAGAAATTCTTTAGATCTCAAGCGGATATCATGAACAAAAAAACAATTGATGATTGTTTACGTGATGAACAGTCATTTTTGCAACGAAAATACCCTACATTGGCTAGCAGAAATGGAATTCCTTACTTATCGAAAACACTGAATAGAGTAATATATTGAATCTTTGTATGAAATCTATTATTTTGCAGCAATGTTTTATTTAACGAATTTCTGCTATAGTTTCAGTTAAAAAGAGAGTTTAATCTCGGTTCTGTTAAAGTTTTGTAATTTTTATTGACTGTTGCTACGAAGAGTGCTTCTCAATTATGCATGTTGAAAGGAAGTAGTATATATTTTTCAGTGTTGTTAGAAAAATGTATGTAGTACAATGTTTGTCAATGTAATGTAAGGTTTTTTTTTTTTTTTCAGCTACTAATGCACCATATACGAGAATGTCTTCCACAGTTGAAAATGCGGGTAAATGTTCTTATAGCACAATGCCAAACACTACTCAACTCATACGGAGAGCCTGTGCAGGATTATGGAAGTACACTGTTGCAAATTATAACCCGTTTTGCAACTGCTTACACTGCAACCATTGAAGGTACATCAAGGAATATCGAGACTTCGGAGTTGTTAGTTTTCCTTCTTTCCTTCTTTTTTCTAGATTAGTTCCTTCAGTTTTGTTTTTTATTCTTTTAATTCCTTAACAATACAGGTGTGGTGGAGCACGCATATGTTATATCTTTCATGAAACATTTGGTCGAGTCCTAGAATCAATTGATCCATTGAGTGATTTAACGCAGTTGGATATATTGACAGCAATACGTAATGCAACGGTGAGTCTTAGTTTTTTAAAACAAATAATGATAAACTTAGTTTTCATTGTTGAATTTAAAATAACTTCCCACTAAACCTAACTTTCAACTAAAGCCATTGTGCAGGGCCCTCGGCCGGCTCTTTTTGTACCCGAAGTGAGCTTTGAATTATTGGTAAAGAAGCAAATTCGTCGGTTGGAAGAACCTAGTTTGCGCTGTGTGGAACTTGTGCATGAAGAGTTGCAACGAATTGTACAACATTGTGGCATTCATACACAGGTTCTGTTGTTTTGGTACTTGTTTTACCTTTTCAAACTTTAATTAGAAACAAAGTTGGAAAGAAAAAATTAGATTCATCTTTTAGAACTATGTTCAAAATTTCTTTCTGTTTGAGTAATGATTGGCTTCCAGCTTGGGGCCATGTTGTAGCTGACTGGATGCAATTGAAAATATGCCTTTGATCTCCAAAATATATTAATTTGGGTTAAACATGGGTGATCTGGATAATAATTGACGGACCGAAATGAAATGTTTAGGCTTTTAGGTTTACAGTTATATCATCACCAGTAAATGTGCGTAGAATGATTATAAATTAGATGCAAAGTAAGAAATTGATTTGGTAGCTTTTCTCGTCCAGTATTTTCAGCAGGAAATGCAACGGTTTCCTCGTTTATATGACAAAATAAATGAAGTGGTAAGCAATGTCCTGAAAAGTCGTTTAAAGCCAACGAATGAAATTGTTGAAAATTTAGTAGCAATTGAACTTGCATATATTAACACGAAACATCCAGAATTTGCCGATACATCACTTGGCAATCTTTTAAAGGTTTAAATTTTTTTTAGCTTTCAGCAATTCTTAAGGAAACAGGTTGAGAAAACATGATCTCTTTGTCGAATTTCTCTGTAATTCACTATACTGCTAAATAACCGTCCTTAAAAAAGATGTCGTAACTACAAAAATTTGAATGTATGAGCAAAAAAAAAAATGTAGTTTTTGGATTTTGTTTAGAAATTGCGTCATGGAGGTGAAAATTTTTTCCGTGTTTTTCCACCTACCATTCTAAAAGATCCGTGTAGTGGATCTGAGGGATTAACCGTGTTTGTCGAACTATATATTTTGTTGGTCTTATTAGCAAAGATTAGTCTCACTGAAATAATTCAGGAGCATGTATCTATTGACGATGATTCAAAACGGTCTGTGAAACGCGGTATTCAAACTGAAATACCAGTGCACAAGGCACACGAGAATTCTGCGGTAAATATTGTAATTTTTTATCAAATTATACATCTTTCACGATACAATTTGCTTTTGTTTTTGCTCTTTTAGGCTACCAGTGCATCTTCAGTTGGAGGTTCAGTCGGCATACAGGCAAGAATTGCTTCAGTTGTAACTTCTTTTTCTTTTAGACAAGGGGAAATGCTGTTATATTTTTTCTTTGTGCCCTAGGCAGTTGCTGCCTTGCTATTATCATAAGTTTAAAACAGCGTTTACACTCCTCTGCAAAATTGTCATAGTTATATACAATCACTGTAGAATTCGACCGAAATTTCAAGCTTCACTGGATGGTTCTTCGGTGGAAATACGAAGGAAAAGGAATCAGTATTGTCGCGTTAGTTCTTGAATTTTGATGCGTCTTTAGATGTTCTATCAGGATACGACCATATATAGTTTTTGAAATATTGTCCGTTTTGCTGAATGGTATCAAAAAACCATCGCTATATATGTAAAAACCAAATAAATTACAAACGTGTATAAAAAATATCTCAGACTTCTTAAACAGTTATTGCTTATATTGGATCACTTATGACACTTTTGTTACTACATAGTGTAGTACTATTGTTTCAGCTGCATCAGCTCGGAAGCCTGTGAGTTTTTTACCGGAAGTGCCGGAAAAGACAATTACACGGAAGTTGACTGCTCGTGAACAGAAAGACTGCCAAATAATAGGTAAGTTGCTTGCTTCATCTGTCTCATCCTTTGGTTAGAACCTATTAATTTAATTGGCCAATACGGAATAGCTCGTCTCGATAAACCACTGCACGATAAGCCTGTCAGGCATGCAGTCATACCAACATCAGATATGATGCACTGCATAACTTGATAATTCTGTTTTAGACAGATTTTTCATACCTTGGCAGTATGTAGTTAATTTCACTGACACGTGACCACTCCTCATTTATACATTTAGTTCTGGATTAATTAGGTTCAGCTTTTGTTGCTTATTTTCTCCTTTTGTTCCGATGAGCTGACTTGTAAGCTCCCGATATACTGTCAGTGTTTTGTTTAAAATAATGCTTGTATATTTCAGAACGACTCATTCGATGCTATTTTATGATTGTCAGGAAGAATGTCCAAGATACAGTACCCAAAGCCATTATGCATTTCCTAGTGAATTATGTTCGCGTATGTTAAATCCCTTTTCATTTATGCAAAACATTTAACACAAATTTATCGATCCATATTGTGCGGAGCTCTCCCTCGACAAATGAATGATATCTGTTGTCAGAAAGGGAGTGGAAAAATCTTTCTCAACACGTGTAGAGATGAGATTATTTTCGCTATTTTACAGGACAATTTACAAAGTGAGCTCGTACAACAATTATATAAACGTGAAATAATTGAAGAACTGCTCACTGAAAGTCCAGTTATGGCTCAAAGGAGAAAGGAAGCGGCTGAGATGCTTAACGTATGATATGTTACTACTTATTTACCAAGATTTCGTCGTACTTTCGCAATGTGGATATCGTGACAGTTAACCTAAATGTTTTGTAGGCGCTCAATAAAGCAAGCAGCATAATTGGCGAAGTTCGTGAAACCCAGATCTGGTGAACATATTTATTTTAAGAGTGTCAACGTCCAGCTGGTGTTGGATTACACAGACGTGATTATTGTATTTGATAAAAGGTCTAGACATCTCAATTTGCTCGAAAGTTTTCAAGAATCCTATATATATATTCCGGAATTTAATATGGTCACCGACATTATAGTTCTGTCCTATTGCTCTTCTCTGCTAACCAGTAGCAGAACATGTGATTAATCTCCAGAAGCATTATATACATCAAATTTCTTGTTAAAGTTGTCCGATGCGTGGTCTCTAAATGGACTGCTAGATTAACCAGTTATTCAAATGCTGTTGCAACAAAGAAGGAGAAGCATTAATCTACAACTTATTCGAAATGACAAAATAAACGCGAAGATGATTGAGTTTTCAAAGCAAATTACTCTAGTAATTTAATCATTGGAACTTTACGTTTCACCGAGATCATCGAAGATTTAACGGATTTTTTTCCCTGGTTTTTACATCGCACAAGTGAAATATACAAGGACTTTACAAAGTGAAGCAAAATGTGATAGCCAATATTTCCTATTCTCTTTTGATTTTACTCAAAATGGAGGATGTAAGCATCGTTCCGACACTGTAAACAACAAATATCACCGAAAAAAGTGGTAATGCACATAGCAGTAAAGCCTGAAATGGAGGACCTATCACCAGCTGAACTGCGACTCAACATAATTCAGTTATCGCACTCTACGGATGTTGTATTTATCCAATTTTTTTTTGCATTTGTATTATTCAAACTGTTTAAAGTAGAAAAGCATATACTACTGATAGCCTGACTACAGTTTCTACATTTAAAAATTCTAAACCTACACCAAAATCATAGTTGGATCGACAAGACGTTAACCTCACTTCCAGCATTGCCTGGCTCTTCTCATCACACAAGTATAATTTTGCATAACCTAAAAGCTCTTGTATTTACTTTGTAGGTCTAGAAGACGGTACCATATTTAATTTAAAAACAAAAGAATGACCAACTCCTAGATGAGCTGACATAAGCAATGCGCTTACCATTTTCACCTTGTGATGTATTCAGGTATTGCGAGTCGGATATCTTTGGTCTATCTTTTTCTTTTATCCGCGATTTATCGCACAATAAATTTATCTAAAACGGGCAGAAGTTTGTATATATATATATATATATATATATATATATATATATATGCTACAAGGCGTATCGGTAGCAAGTCACAATAGTATCTCAAATACAGATATATGATTTTTTTGGACACAGAGGAAAAGTTTTCCAAATAAAATCATACCTGAAAATTTTTGTTTTCCAAGTCCCCATATTTAATTTCCATTGCTCTCAATTGCTTTTTTAACTGTGAGACATGATCTCGAAGCAAACTATTTGCATCCACCGCCACAGAGAGTTCATTTTGTAAATCAGAAACTCGCTGTCTCAGAACCGATGACTCTTCTTCTACAACATAAAACTTTTTTACTAAATAATCATCACACCCCTGTGAATTCAAATTTCCGTATTTACTTTTACAAGTGAGTCTTGCAAAATTAAAGATTTTATACCAGCATTAAGTAGGCTTCTTTCAACATCAGCAAGTCGTAGCAAAGCCTCGCATCGTTCTTCTTGTGCTCTACGTAACGATTCCTTTGCAAGCGATTCAAATTTGTTTTTGTCCACAAGTAAGTCACTCATTTGTTCTTTTACCTTTTCGCTAAGAATATTTCTCGAATACAATGCAAGCTGTCCTTCCAACATTTCGATCCGCGACAACAACTGATCTTCGCTTATCAACGCCTAAAACGGTTAATAGTAAAATGATTTAGTTGGATTTTAGCAGGAAACTCAAATACTTTTCATTTCGCTGGATTTCATGTACTTCAACATCAAAATCGTATTTTTTACGTAGTATATAGTTCCGGATGAAACTGGGAATTTCAATAGCAATTCTAAAATGAGATAACTTCGGGCTAGAAAAATGACCTTTTTAGTCACAGTCTAAAACAAGCCTTGCTGCTTTTAAAAACGTTTTACCTATTTCCTTCTCTTGAGAATTTGGCAGTAATAATTACCTGGCAGCCTGACTCAGCCGCCTGCTCAGTAGAAGAAAGAATACTTTCTAGCATTGTTAGTTTTTGCTCCAGTGCACGTTCCCGATACATTGCTTCACGCATGTAGTGCTGCAACTGGAAGAGCTGATGAGAGTCAACCAGTGGAAACATCAGGGAATCATTGCCATGATGAGCTCTTAAATATCCATTAATTTCCATATTATCCGGAGGACAAGCCTCCTCACCATTTGCATCATAAAGACGTATCATAGCCAAGATACAACCATGAGTAACTGAAAACATTTAATTCTGTAGGATGTTGGGAAACACTGAGATACCGTAATGGTCAGAAAAATTAAAATTGTAATCCTCAAGAACAAGGGAAATAACTTGGATTAAAATCTTTATATAGAGATGTGAAGCTTAATATAAAAATTAGTGATGATGTATGCCATACCTTTATTAGCGTTTTCAGAAATTTCTACACCGAATTGTAATATATCACCGGAATATATCTGTCGCGGGGAACTCTCTTCCGCACTTTTCGACAATCGGTCATTATTGACAAACGTCCCATTGCTGCTTTTCGTATCTTTGAGTAAGAAACAACCTTCCTCATGCCATAAGACAGCATGATTTCTTGATAACACCTTAAATATCTGCATAATTAATGAAAAAAAAAAAAAAGACCGAGTTCTGAAAAGTATCAGGAAGTGAAATTTGTAAATCTTTACAAAATAACTTCGATAATAGCAGACAGGTAAAAATCTCACAATTATTTGGAAAAATAAAACAGAGCGGAATAGTCTGTCATTAACCTTGCAATCAAAGATAGCATTATCTGAGCTAGGTTTCCATCGTGCAACTGATCGTCCAATCTTTATTGCCTCTTCTTCTGAATTTGGAACTGTAAAACGCCTTTCTTCAAATACATGCGACTGTGAGCAAGCTGTCAGGATAGCGTATGGGCATCGCATTCCTGTCATACTACAACAGCTGAAACCCGGACCTTTAATTTCATTAATTTAGAAATCTTGCATCGAAAAGATAATATTACTCAATGTGTCGAAGAAAGAAGTAACTTGGCTGATGTTAACTAACGCTCGATATCACTCTGATAGTTCACAACGGAATTCTTATAAATGTTTTGGTGGATGGAATCGTGGGATGGAGGCGGGCGTTGTGTATTATTGGGGACTCTACAGGTTCTGGATCAATTTGCGACCGTCGTAAGATTCTTAAATGATTTTAAATTCTGCTGGTGTTGGAATTCCTGGTAATTGAGCTTTCACTTTTTATCATTTTCGATATGATGGATTAATTCAAGGGTAATAGGTATGGATGAGAGTACGAGATAAGGGGATTTGAAGAAGAGTTCCATGATATTCTGGAAAAATGATTTCCAGAAATGAACGACATAATGTTTCCTTTAATAAAAACGATGCCTTTATTTTCTCCCTTTTTAGTCACTTGTGAAATTCCAATGCTTGCTCTGTGTTTATACTTCAGAATATGACATACATGTTGATAATTGGACCAACAACGCTGCGCTTCAAAAAGCGACGATGCTGTACTTCAAAACGTAACAACGCTGCACTTCAAGACATGATTCCGAACGCAATACTGTAAACATGATTCTGGGATCTTTCAGATAGGAGTAAAGTGGACTGCACACGTTAGATCATTTATAGCTTTAAGGTAGCGAATGCCTTACTTAACACAGACAACAGCGATATGGATCCTAACTTAGTCAACTACTGCCCCTGTTCTTGATATCTGCGCCGAAATGTCTTTACTGCGTAGAAAGTGAAGAGCGAAATTTTCTTGCAACATAACCACTTTTTAAAGTTACACTCCGGATATCATTTTTTGTAGCTGGCTTGTTAAATGGCTAGAAGCAAATATTGATTACAGAATTCCAATGAGTCATGCATAAATTGTAAGGCATCTTCCTGTAGCATTATTCATTGCATTTCTGATCTCTCTGACGAAACAAGTGGCAAAAGACTAATTTCTGCAATTGTTGGGGATTCTATGGTGCATATCGTCGTTATCATATTTTAGGACGGGCCGCGTTTTCCATTGGTTTACTTGTGGGTCCATTCGAAATGGGATGCGAGGTTAGTAGGTGGGTCTGGGCGCTGCGTGGTCTTTGTCTTTGTATTGTCCAAATATTTTATTAGTTTCATTTCTTCTGCGTGATCGCGTAGTATTGCGTGTTCATCGTTCTCAGAGTGTTATGTAATGAGTAGTTCCAGGTACAGCAACCTCTTGTATAAGTGCTTTGAGAGTCTGTATAATGAGTTCCGTATCTTGTGTTCATTTCACTCTGTTGGCTTCTGTGTGATTTTGCTATATATTATCAAGAAGTTCTATACATAGGTGAGTATGTTGATCATTATAGTTTCATTTTGAACGAGCGCTTTAATAATATGAACTAACTGACGCTAAAAAATGCAGAAGATGGGCTTGTGTTGCGCAACTCGTTTCATGTTACTGCTAATCGACTAGAAGTGACTGTGTTAGCATCTGCATATAAATCGCATTTCTGTCCCAGGAGTAACCTTGAGACAGAAATGCACACTGTCAGATATCGACAACGGTTATGCCAAGTTTAACTGTCTGTTTATTAACCTAATTTCCTGAATATGGAATTCACTTTGACTATGTTTTAATTGCGTGGCTATTGATTGGAATTCCTTGATCCATAAATGATAGCCCTTGGTTTATTCAGTTCTTGGGATATCTGCGACATTAGGTTACTTAAGGTCTTTTCTACTCAAGACGTACTATCATCATATGTTTATGCAAAAATGTTTTCATCATCATTTCATCTTTTCCCGCGCGTTTGTTAATTTTGAGTACTATATAATGTATGGCATCTGTTGTCTTTGAATTGTAAAACCAATCAGTACTTCACATAGAGAAGGTCAAAACCGAAATATCCGTGGAATAATAATGGGGTGGCTGCTTGGATCCTATTTCGATCATTCCATCGTTTCATAGCCATGCTAACCATGTTGCTTTTCATAAGCGTAGTAAGAAGAAATTCCACTGGGTTGAACGGTTTACAACATTTTTTATGTTTGGTAGATTATTGCTGTGTGGTAATGCGGTTTAGAAAGCAAACCAATCTAAGATAAAAAATAGACTTATTGCATTGTACACTTCATTTAGTGTACTACGTTAAATACTATAGCAGAATCAAATTTTTATCTTATTAGTGTGGTGAATGAATTAGACTGTATGTACTACTGTGTGGCGGGGTAGCGTATTCATTGTTGTATAATGGTTAGTATTACCGTCCAAACTTTCCTTGCTATTCATCGATGTATTCTCCGTTTTTCTTTAAGATTAGACATTTCTAATTTCTATTGGCACTAATGGGAGTGAGTTTTCATGAAGTCAGGAATTTCTTATTAATGTCATTCCATTCGTTAAGAACTCGTCATGTTGCGCTAGTTTATAAGATCGGGAAAAGCATGCTTCATAATTATTAACACAGGAATCGCGTGTTTGCAGTGGTCGTTCTCATCCAATATGAAGATGGAGGGAGTTGGTGATGTTATAAATGGCCGTGCTAATGAAGTTGCCAAAACACCGCAACCATCGCCCAAAGGTCATGTATTTGTCTGAATCTGTAAATATTTCACATAATGTTAACAACACAAGGATTCCTACACCGATTGTTGAAACATCATACGTAGTTGTTTATGGGAACTATGAAGTGATGAATAAGATTGAACACTATCCGTCGTTGGAGTTCATTCATTTCGTTCATTAGGCAGTTGATGATTTAGATTATCGAATTTTCGGGGTTGCATTGTTAACTCAACTGGTTTGTAACATTTAAAAAAGTACATGGGACATTCGGGATATGATAAAGAATATAATTTATGTCCAACCCACTTCTAGGAAAAAAACACGCATCACATTTTATGCTGTTAGAAATTTGATGTCATAAATAATGGATAACGGAGAAAATATTTTTTTTTTTCTAAGTCCAAATTATTTATAAAAAAAAACGATTAAAAATTAGTGAGAATAATTTTTAATTCCAAATTGTTCGAATTTCTACACCTGCTTACTTTGAATTCTAACTAATATACACTTTTAGAAATTGGGCGTGAATTTGTTCGTCAGTACTACACGATGCTATCAGAGAGGCCACAAGACGTTTTCCGCTTTTACAGCCATGAATCATATTTTGTTCACGATACGGATCAGCCTGTTCAGGGACAGCAGGTTATAATTCATAGTTCTTAAATATCCTTTAAGGAACATGTTCTTTATAATATGTGGATTGTTACTGAATGCAGTTTTCACAGTTACTGGTTATTTAATTTCCAGAAAATACAAAAAGCAATCGAACGCTTGGCTTTTATTGACTGCAAAGCGCGAATTTATACTGTTAGTGGCACTGCCACAATGAACAATGGCTTAGTCATACAAGTAAGTCATGGAATTCTTAGGAATGATTTTTTTGTTTGTATGAAACTTGAAAGTAGAAATGGCAAAGTCGAACTTTTTATAAAAATTGAACATTGAGTACTGAGCATTTTTTTTAAAGCTTCTTTTGTCTTTTGATCTGAATGATTTGATCACTGAGTGAAATATTTTAAAGGTTTGTGGCGAGCTTTCAATTGGCGATAATCCCGGAAGGCGTTTCTTGCAAACGTTTATTCTCTGCCCGCAAACTCCAAAGAAATACTATGTCCACAATGATGTTTTCCAGTGGCTTGATCGGGCCTTCGGTGATGCTGTTATTCAGTCGCAGAAGAGCGGTTTTTTTTTTCTTTTTTTTTTTGATGGCATTGTAGTTTGATGCACTTGTCAGGAAAGTATAAAGCCTATGCGGTACCTATTCCCGGCCAATCATAAAAATTACATATGAAACTTGAAGTTCAAAACTACCATAAGGCTAAACAATCAGTATAATGAAGGATATTTGAAGATTAAAAACCGAAGTTTTTTTTCAAGCTCAGTAGAGTCTTATTTTACGCGGTGATTTTAGTTGATCCATGTCATGTTACATCTTCTGGTTTTTTTTTTTTTTTTTTTTTTTTTTTGCCGTAAGTTTTTCAATGTGTAATGCGAGCTTGACAGTTAGACTACTGAATTCATAATTCATCATTAATGAAACTCCTTCAGTGGTCAGCAGCAGTAGATCAGAAGTCAAATTTAATATCTTGTTGGAAGGAATGATACATAGCTTTCTTTTCAGATATCCAAACTCAGATTGCTACTGAGGAGAATGTTGCAGCAAATGGTGATGCTAGTGGAATTAATGGTCATACTCAGGCCCTTTCCACAAGCCACAATCGTTAGTGATTATAATTTCACTGTATATTTCATTCACCAAATTTTTGGTTAGATTGGTTGCATCTACCGTTTGTTGCTTGAGTTTTTCTTTTTTATGTGTAAGGTAATGGCTTTAGACGTTTTTGTTCTTTTTTTTTTTTTATTTCCACAGTTTTTGTCATAAAGATAAAACTATAACAATCAACCATCTGACCTAGAACAGTAGAGTTGATATGCAAAAGAAGTTCTGTGGCCCTCTTCTTCGAATGCTATTTCATAAAGGAAGTGGGTTATACATTTGAAAGGATGTAATTAATTTTGGAAGTTTTCAGAAGATGAGACTACTGATCAATTATCTGATAACTTGAAGAAAGAGCAGATTCTTGAACCCATTCAAGCAATGAATACAAATGTTGTTGTTCGTGATGCAAAGCATCAGATGAATGATATAGTTAGTAGCAAATCAGATGACAGTTCCACTGAAGAGGCACACGTAAGTTATTAGTAATGAAGTCATGATTTTGTATTATCTCGAAATTTGAATTTCATTTCAGCATTTTTTATGTGAAGATGCAGTTTTGTTTTACAAAAGCAAAACTGCATCTTCCTCATAGCAACAGTTAAACACAGAATGGAAAATTCAGCATTTCATAATAGAATTTGTTTATAGACGGATTCGAATTCGCTTACAGTTGATTCAACACCGAAAACTTGGGCTAAATTGGTCGGTGGTAATCAAGCAGCTGCAGTAACTATGGATGTCCAGTTGCAGAATATGACTCAGGTGGCAGCGCAGCCAGCAGTGCGATTGCCTATAATACAGAATCAAACTCTGATCTCTGCTTCAAATAACACAAGCCTTCCTGCAAATTTCGGTACATAATTAACATGTATAGTAAATGGGAGATTTTGTAACTTTTTATTTACATATTGTAAATTTAAAGCTTTATAGAAGAGAATTGTCGACTATATGTGGGCGGCATAACTCGCAATATTGTTCCAGAAAGCGTAGCTGCAATCGAAAGAGATATACGTTTCGAGTTTGAAAGTAAGCTTTGCCCACGTTATAATGATTTGTATTCGTAATTCTTCAAGCTTAATTTTAAGGCACATCATAGATTTTATTTTCATATCATTGGTTTTCTTTAGAATTTGGACATGTTGCTGCAGTAAATGTTCCCCGTCGTGTGCTGGATTCTGCGGATCCACAACGAACTGTTTTTGCTTTTGTGGTTATGAGAACAGCGGAGGGTGCAAGAAATGCATTTAATGCTGCAAGAAAGGTCATTTAAAATTACCTTTAAGTTAGCTTCCTTAATTCAGTGGGAATAACTAATTTACACGTAAGCTATGGAAAATGAATAAGTAGAATCTTTAAAAAACTTGCTTTACAGGAAATAAGGGGTTTTTTTTATGTCACGAAATGTTTACAGCATGTGAATTATAAACTTTTCAGGAACGGTCGCTTTCACTTATACATCTGAAAATTGACTCACTTGGATTCGATGGAGAAGCTACTCTTTCGGAGCAGAAGGGTGGACAGATGAACGCACGTAGTCCGTTTATACACAGAGGTCCACTGCAAGGTTACACGTTGCTCTGGATTTAACTGATCCTCAGTCGTTCTTAAAATGTCCAATGTGATTTTCGTATACATAGATTAGAGGAGGTTTCAGGAAGGTGGAGATGGTTTTCAAAATCAGTTAATGTTGAAGTTTTCCTTTTACAGGAAGTTGTTCTGGCTTTCCTCATCATTGATATTTGAATGAAAAATAATACAAGTTTTCAGCCTTAGCACGAGGCGGAGTTAATGTGCGTAATGGCTCTGGTAGTGGACGTGGTGGCGGAGGAGGAGGATCTCGCGGATCGCGACATGGTAGTGAGTACCGGCTGTCAAGCGAACACGGTCGACACTAGTGCTTATTGGTAAACTCCCTCCATTAGCCAGCGATTATCAATCAGTCAAGCAAAGCAAATCCTAACCATTGTGTGCACATGCGATTCCTAATCTGACTTTTTTTTTTGTATGTGTGTGAAGTCTCAGATGACATTTGCTCAGTGATCTTCCACCATGATAATGAGCTAAGTTTTGTCTACAGTTGGAGGCACCAGTTCCTTTTTTTTTTTTTTTTTGAAATACCTTTAAAACTGTACTAAAGCTGTTTTAATCAGAAGTGTATTCATCTGAAAAGTTCCTTAAGCCCTTTGGCACCTTCACATTTTTTTTTGTTTCTGTCCTCCAGTCTTTTTTTTTTTTTCTCGTATTTCAAGTTCAACCGGGATCTTCTGTATTAATATTAGTGCCTCACTTGATTCGTTTTTCACCATCACTCCTCAGCTCTCTGATTACTGCAAATTGCTCTTCGAAAACAATTAGCAGGAGCATATACTCTAATTCACTCTTATATATTGAAAGCAAGATTTGGTGCTTTTGACTTGCAACAAATTTTGCTAGGTCCTTTTAGTTTTTCGTATTTTCAGTCTTTTGCTAGTTAGAACTTCCCCATTTGTTATTATAGATATGGGGCACCACTGTATGCCTTATATTTTTTTTTCACGTGGTAATTCATTTTTGTAACACATGTTATTTATCTTAATATGTTTTATCCACCCCGGATGCAGGGTTCAAAGATGTAAGATTTTTAAATGTCATTTTCAAACATACATGTATTTAATATTCTCTTACAATAAGGAATCTACTCGCCGTAATGACCGTATTTTTTTCTCATTCATTTTAGGTTTATTATTTAATAATTGCCCCATAAAATTTTAATTTCTTGATATTTTTCCTGCATGAATTCTACGGTTTTGTATTTCTTGGTTCTTAACTTTTATCCATCCTTATTCATTTTTCTTTAGGTGAAAGTTCTAGAGCGCCTATATCCTTTTGGAATTCCTTTGATGCGTTGTGCTTTCGATGAGGAGAGTTACTAGGATATTTCCCGTATAATTTTAGTATGTTTAAACTAATAATTTCCAGGGCGGTTCTTATCTCTTTAAATGTGTCTTGTTTACAACTAGGGTGTCTGGGTTTCTTTCACAAATCTTAGTATTTCTGCGCAAGGGCGGTTTGCAGGATGTCTTTATGATTCTAAAAATTTCGAATTGGACAGTTTGGATTCATTTATCACATCAGCTTAGAAAATTCATCCAGTTTTTTGTATTTTATTTCGTTAGTGTATAGTTGTCTTATGCAGCCTTTTATGTAATTGACTGGTTACTTCTGTGGGAAGTGTTGTAACAGTAGCTCATTTAGCTGCAGTCTACATAGCTAAATCGTTCGGTAGTTATCACTATAAAAATATTTGGAACGGGTAGGATTTAAGTATTTATCATTTGACATTGAGCATAGTACCAGTTTTCACTGACCATTCATTCTTTACTCTAATGACCCTTAATTGCTAGTATACTATTTTCATAATCGAACTGTTGATTTATCTCCTCCCATGTCATACTGGGAGTCATTCTAGTTTCAGATTCGGTAACTTGATTTGTTTTTGAAGATATCAAGGGCCTTTTTAGTTAGTCATTTGAAACATTTGGAAAATTAAAGTTGAATAAGTAAGGAATTCAGTGGAATTTGTAGGATTTTAAGGAGAATTCAATAAAATTCCTAAAATTCAGATCAAAAAATGTCTACGTTGTAGTTGTAGCTTATGTGACCGTATTATTATGTATCACGGTAACTGGTAGAATTATTAGTGTCCATTCACCCGGTCAGATATTTACTAATGCATATGTAGTTCTGTTTGCTTTCCTCCGAGCCGTAATGCGCTGTGATCCAACTTTCTCTCTTTTTGTTTATTGTTTATCGTCCCATCCAATTCTGTTTGTTTATTCGTGTCTATTGTCAGTTCTTTTCTTGCACATCGTTTTTCTTAATTGTATTGTTTTTATTATCTATTTATTTCTTTTCTTTTTTTATTTTTTCTATATCGCAGTTCTTATTCTCTCATATGTGACATGAAAAAATTGTTATAAAGAAAAGGAAATTGAACGTTGTTCCTCTGCGATGATTTGCTCGATGTTATGCATGCTAAATGCGTGATACAGTTCTGGAAGTATTATTATCTTCATTATTATTGTTATTATTATTATTATTATTATTATTATATTATATTATATTATCTTTTCAGTTTTGTGTATCTGTAATGACTTTACTAATGTTTTCTTCCAAATACATATTTTTCGTTGAAGTTAGTCTGGCATGCAAATCACAAGTGATCTGGTATGCAAATCACAAGTGGTCTGATATGCAAATCACTGATGTACAGGATCTCCGTTCAAATACATGGGAGCTTGTTCTTTTTCGCATGCATTTCTCGAAAAATGTCTGTTTAAAAGTATAAGTCAGAAGTTGCTTAATTTAGCCTGCAAATCGTTTGTTGGGAGTATTTGTGGGTTGGAGAGGAAAATGGAATAGCTCTAGCTAAATTCTTGAGTGGTTCATGGCTTGTTTGGGTCGTAAGTGCAAGTTGAACTGTGTTTTCTTTGTTTGATTCAGGATTGAACTGATGGATCCAGATGTTTATAATGAGATTGCAGATTTTGCAGACAGTTCCTTGAATTATGGGTTAGTTGTGTGTGTATGTGTTTTTTTTTTTTTTTTTTATTTTATTTTATTTTACCATTATATGATGTAATAATGGTTGCCTGATTCATAGCTGTAGAACTTTCTGTTCTCATAAAAATTTTTTCTGCAGAAAAAGTGATGCGCAAAGTAATTCTTCTGTGAATATTTTGAACAACATCGTAAGGGGACTGCCAAAACGGATATCGGCACCTGATAACTGTGATGCACTTGGTATGATTTCTCCCTTGCTCGCATTTTAGCATGACTGGTATGTTGATATGAATATGTAGTAATCATTGAGAGCTTCTGAATTAAAATGAATTTTTTATGGTCCGTGTTTTGCTGATTCATTCGCAGATCTATTTCCTATATCTGATCATGTTACTAGGTAAATCAGTGCAGTTGTTGATTGGACAGTCCTGAGGGTGCTACTTATTTTGAATGGATTTGAGATTAAATTTGTAACAAAGTTGCTCTAACTTTCTGGTCGAATTATTGATAATGAACTTGTGAGTATTTACAGATTGGCATATGCGAGTAAACTGCGACAATAATGAGAAAGAACGCGATGTGAAACGAAAAAATATTGGCGATGAAATGGTTGAACGTCTTACACGACGCATTTCATGGGTTAGTTGGAACATCTCAGAATTAATTGCCTTGGACATGGTAGTACAGAGGTTCAAATGCTTTTAAATTTTTTGAGCGCTTTTTTAAAACGTATATTATTTTCCGGGTAATCATATAACAAAACTTATCTCACTACGTTATGTTGGTGCCAGAATCAAAATTTCATCATGCAGAATGTATAATCTAAGTTTCTGTAGCGTTTGCAGGCTCGAAAAAGGCGTCGCTTAACAGACTTACAAACAGATGAAAAGACAGAACAAAATGTATCATTAGGATCGAAAAAAAGCGAAGTGTTGTTATATCCACCGCGTGGTGGTGCACCATGGATTGGTTTTACAGATCCTACGGAACTGCAAAGGTCAGACTGATTAATTGAAAATCTTCATACAACAGCGTTAAAGATTTTTAAGCTTTTTTAAATAGTTTTTCGGAAGGAATTTTTCCAACAATTATTGGAAATCTTGGATTAGGATTCAGAAAGGTATATAGGTTTTATTTTAGGTTGGAAACTATTTTCAGATTCTATATAGTGTTAAGAAGTGCTGAGCAAACAGTTCATAACGGTGGCGGTGATAAATCACGAATTGGTACTTTGAAGTTTGGTTTCACCGAAAAAGTGTTAAATTCTGGATTTGATTTTGAGGTTTCTAGCATTGTTTCCGAAGATACGGAAGAAGGGTCTGCGTTCATCCAAGATAACTTGTGGGTTGAGAAATATGCTCCGCACACTTATGCTGATCTCATTAGTGATGAGGTATTTCTATTTTTCTTTTCTATTGTTAATCATATTTACGTCTAGGTCTCCGCAAACCTTCAGCGGACTATGCTGGTAATATTTTAGGGGATTTGCCAAGAAGAAATGAATTTTAGACTGTGAATCGTTTGTTGCTAAATTGGTTAAGACTGTGGGACGAATGTGTCTTTCATAAGGTTGTTTCGGATATCGTCTTGAGAGACGCGTCAAATCAACAACAAATCATCTTGAGCAATGAAAAACCAAGGCGCCCGTCACATAAAGTACGTATGTATTTTTTTCGTAGGAAACATTATATATATATATATTAATTTTTTCAAGTGCATCTGAAAAAGCATTCAGAGAAATGTATTTAGGTAGTGCTCCTAGCTGGACCTGCCGGTACTGGTAAAACTACACTAGCAACTTTGGTAGCACAACATGTCGGATATCGAGTAGTCAGTTTGAATGCTAGGTAAATTTATTTAATTTGCTGACATCATTGTTGCAGAGTTCTTCCATCCTTCTACTTAGCTTCTCCAATTTATAAGTTTTCCCGAAAATTCTTTGTTTCATTAGACTGGTTGCTGATATTCTTCAAAACGTTCGGCTCGATTTCATCTTTAAGGTTTCCGCTACACTGCAGAATGTGCACTATACTTTTGATATTTTTTCCCATCCTTTCAGTGATGAGCGGAATACTGCAGATTTCAAAAAGTGCTTTGAAGATGCTTTAAGAACTACAAGAACTCTGGATGCAGTAAGGATGAGTTTTTCTTTGAAGAAAAATTGCCTTTTTTTGAAATGTCATTGGAATTGGTGCATTATGAAAAATTTTTTCCAGGATTCTAAACCAAACTGCCTTATTTTGGATGAAATAGATGGCGCACCTACGCAATCTATTCATTATTTGTGTAAAGCTGTAGCTGCAATTGGAAGACATGCGCTTCGACGACCAGTAATATGTATATGCAACAATCTGTTAGTACATGTTCTTCGTTCAAAAAAGGCCACAGTCGTTTTGATTATCGAGTGAAATTTGGTGTTGCTTTAGTATTTTTTATTGTAGAATTATTGGCATTTTTATTGCAGGTACACTCCCTCTCTTCGCGAATTACGATTAACTGCTTTAGTGTTGCAGCTGTCGAGAACTGACGAAAAACGTTTAACCAAAAGGCTCCAAGAGGCACTAATTTTTCTTCGCTCTCACTAAACAAATCTCGTAATGACACAGCTAGCATCTTTCTCTCTTTTGCTTTTTTAGTTACGGGAACTCATCTTTGCTGATCAAAGGTTTTTTGAAAATGAATAATATTGTTTGAAGTGCCAGACTTCGTTTTGATTTTAAGTGTATTATAATAAATTTTCCAAGGCTGGAATTTTTGTTTTTCTATCCAGAATAGGGGATTGGGTCTGCCCAATGTCAGTGACGGTGATTAGAATACTAGAAAAAATCTCAAAAGATCGCTCTTTGTAAAAATCAAGTGCATAATTAAGGAAAATGATTTCCAGTTGTTAAAACTTATTTTTTATTAAACTCCAAACAAAACTTGGGAATGCGTTCACATTATAAACCATTAATTTCATTTTACATTTATGGAAATCGTAATCCTTTCTTTTTAGATATCAAAACTGGAACATCTGAGAGTTGAATCAAGTGCGTTGTCGGAAATTATTGCTGTATGCTCAAGGGATCTCCGTTCCGCAATCAACAACCTGCAGTTTATTGCATCTAGAAATTGCACCAAAGTAGATCGAAAAGCCGTTCTTAAGGTATACATTCTTGTATGTTTTACTATCCTGGTAATATATATGTACGCACCGTACATATATGTTAGAGTAAGGTTAACAATATTTTCTATTTTATGTATGCAAATCTTTTCAAATGAGGACATTTGTAGTTTTGTAATCGTGAGAAGCAGTTCGGTGACAAGTCATTGTTCGATTCATGGGCTTCAATTTTCGAAATTTCGCGACATTTGGATGCAAATGGCCGTATTCAAGGTGTGGCTTCACGGGTCAAACAAATTACACTTATTTCGGAGCTGCATGGAAACGAAACTGATCGTTTCTATTTGGGACTTTTCGCCAATTATTTAAAAAGCAAAAGTGCCACTGTGCTGATGAATGTAAATTATTTCATGAACTTTTTGTATATATATATATGTAAAGTTAATATTGTTTTCTAACTTAAATACTCATAACAGATATGTAATGCTAAATCATGACGAGGTAGTGGGAACTTTTAGCAGTCCAATAATATATTCCTAATTATTGATTGAATGAAGTCAAGATTTCAAACTGTAACTTAATTGTTGGCGCAACCTCCGTATGATTAAATCAGAATAGTTAATAGTATTAATCAGATCGGCGTGCTGGTTATGGTATTGTTTTTTTTTTTTTTGAATTTAATTAGGCGAGGTTTATAAAATATTAGATTTTACTATACCTGATTACGGCTCAGCTAGAATACTTTTTTTTTTTTTTTTTTTTTTTTTGGATTTAGTTTAATTGGTTTAATTAAAACTTCTTTTTTTGCATTAGAAAATAGTTTTTTAAATTCTTTGGTTTTTCTTCCTAACTTTTACTTGAATTATTTGGCAACATGTTGAGGATTATATTGATATTCCGGATTGTTGCTGTTTCTTTTTTTGAATTTTTATTATACGGCAGGCGATGTTTTTGTTGTTGTTTATTTACATATTTTTAAAGGATTGATTTATGGAAGTTATCGTCTTTCAGGTGTGTGAGTGAGGTGTGAGTATGCTGTAGAGATTGATCCTTAGCTTTTTTTTTACATTTCTTTACCTCTCTAGCTAAGGAACAAATGGTATTATATTTGAGGGTTTGGAAGTATTGATTACCCAAATTTTCATTTTCAGACTGCTATGGCTATTCATCAATTATGTTATTATGACCGAATAGTTACATCCGCGAATAGTGTCCAGGATTACAGTCTTCTGAAATATTTGTCCGCTGTATGCATCAGTATGCATATGCTTCTATGCTGCAGGGGTCGAACACATTTGAGCTTTCCAACGGACTATCACGTATTTCGTTCTTTTTATGATCATTTAGTTTTGCTTTCACTAACTTTTTTTCTTTCTTTTTTGTTACTATGGCATGCAAAAGAAGTTGATTCTGTTTGTTAAACCGAAGTATATTTCAGAGTGCAGTACAGCGTTATGAGCAGTCTGTTGAAATAATAGAAAGCATGCGAGCTGGAGCAGCACAGAAAAATCTTTCATTGTCAACAATTGCACTCGAAATTTTGCCTTATCTCATCAGTATTGTGCAACCAGATTTCAAGCCGGTTATTCTCTGAAATTTTTTTACGTCTCTAAATTTCTCAAGTTCCTTTACCGGATTCTTTTTTAATGAATAATGTTTACGAGATCAGTAGAAGTAGCGGATATTTACTCGTGATTATGGCATGGACGGCTGATTGGCAATCTATGTATTTTGAATTGTTTTGTTTGTTGCAGATGAATGTCCAATTGTATAGTGTTCGAGAACTAAATGTTTTGCATTCGATTATTAGCATCATGCGTACATATTCTCTTACCTACGCCTCTGTTTTGCACGATGAATCCGTCAGTTTTGTTTTTAAACCGTAAGTTGCGTCGAATTTTTATCGAATTCATTTTGTTGAATTAGGTGACATTTTTTTTTTCTTTCAGTGCTATTGAACAATTGGTTATGTTTACCGATGATGATGCATGCTGCAGTAATCGATCCCCAAATACATTGTCCGTTGCTGCGAGACAGTTAATAGCACATGAGGTTTGAGCTCCATTTGATTGTTTCTCTGGATTGTTCGCAAATTTAATTATACCTCATTTCTTTATTTTTCAAAATAGCGATTATTAGGAAGCATCGGAATAGTACATCGTCGATCTGCAACCACTGTACAAAGTACTTTTAAAATCATTACGTCTTAGATTGTTTCATTAATGTTTTCACTGTTTAGATTGAACTGGAAAAGGTGCGAAATGTAGATGCTTTAGCTAGCGAAATTGCTGCTAATTTACCAGGGAAGAAGGAAGAACTGATTAAGTCTGGCAAGTTTGGCGCAGGAATTATTTTATGTTATAACTCGGGATCATCAAGTGCCATAAGACGACGAATTATGATAAAAAATTTGTTCTCATCCTAAAAGGGCATCTTATATCTTGTGCATATTTGTTTCTTTAGTGAATATGTCCATTTTTTCGATGTTTTCAATGTTGTGTTGTTCTTATTAACACGGTCTTTTAAAAAGTTTTGATTTTTTTTTTTTTTTTTTTAGCAATTCCAACCCGATTCAACGAAGAAACAAGGGATAAGATGAAAATGGCCGTAGAACCTGTTTTGTTCCAATATGTATGTTTCAAATTTAGGTCTTTTCGGGACTAAGATCTGAAATCGTCCACTGCATTAAAGGGCCTGAAAGGCTCTGATATTGCCCTTCAAAATGGAGTTTGTTGCAAGAAATAGCTGCGGTTTTGCAATAAACTGAAATGAAATGAGTTATGAGTTGACGATGTACGTCACCTTGTGGATAGCTAATAACGCCATGGATTGTTAAGTAATATTCTAAAGAGGGAAGACGAGTTTTGATATTGGAGTTGAATGTTGGACGTATGGAAACTAGTCTTGACAGTTCCAATAATATCGGTCATTGAATTAGAGAACCCTGAAGGTTGCACTTCGAAATTAAGAGTTAATGATTGAATTCTCGAACCTGGAAAGTAGGATTCTCCACAAAGTGATTTCTGTTCTCCTAAATACGGCAAAAGAGATTCGTGTCGCCTGCACAAAGCATATCCTAAAGTGGTGGTGGGTGTATCACCGTTTTATCATGCTTGGAAGTGTGTGAATGACAAGGTAGTCTTGAGTCTTGAGATAATTTTTTAATAAAGCAATAATTTTTGTGCTAGTTTGATGGGTGAGGTTACGGTACTTCAAAAAATTTGTTGAACTAAGAGATATCCTCATGATTCGCTTATTTGGAGTAATTTTATGTCAAATCATCACTTTCATTCTATTTACTGGTTAAATCGTTAGCATTTTAGTACCACAACAATCAAAATATGATGAAGTTGAGGGCATAAAATATCTATCAATTAAATTTCAATACTTTTTTTTGATGGTTATTTGTCTGCTAATTTGCTCTAACACGATTTTTTTTTAAGTCAATTAAAAGCTGAAATTTGCTACAATTGATAGTCATCATTACTGTTAATTTCAATCATGTAACTTTTACTACAACAAAGGAAGTCCGTGATGAAAATGTAGTTTACAGTGAAATTATTATTTGTTTGGTGATACTTTAAAATATTAATTTTAGTGTATATCATAATTGAGATAAGTGGAAACTTTTCACCATACTATAGCATTAATTTTGGAAATTGAATGACTCTATTTCACTATTTTTAACATAACATGATGTCATCTGCAGGAATGTTTTCATTAGATTCGCGAGAAAATTCTGATACAACTATCGCTGATTCTATATCGCATTATATTGAGCAATGTTGCTTGGCATTTTTGAAATCATTGGTGGATAATGGTAAAAATCCAAGTGGATACGTTACATTATCCAATCCATGGTTTTATATTTTTCTTTATGGTTTATGCTTTCCTTATATTTGAAAAGTGTCATTATTAGCCTAAGCATTGGATAATGATTTCAGTAGTGTTAGGTAAACAAATCTGAAGTAATTGTAATTGCATCACATAGATGTCAAATTAATTGTACTTGTAACTGAACATGTAGTCATAAATTTCTTTAGTGTGATTGGTCGTAAAGGATATAAGCTAAAGTTAACTTCAAAAAATAGCCGATTAATCGCTCAAATGCTACGTACGATTTCTATGATACATCAGTTGCGAATTTTAAAAACTCATAAAACGAAACGGTAATTGTTGTTGGACCTTTTTTCAAAGTGACATCAAGTTCGAAATTTCTCCAGCTTTTTTTTGATATTGGTTGGTTTATAGAAATATTGATTAATACCACTATGTGAGACAAAAGTTGTAATCTTAAAATCTTTCGTTTTAAATTTTATCGAAATTAAGATAAACTCGACAAGCATTTTCAAATAGATTCTATTGTGCTTCTAGTGATCTTTTTTATGAACAAAAGAATTTGTTTGGTGAACAGCGAAATTTGGATAGCTGTATTAATCAAATTTGTTGTTGGCTTGGGATGGATCCGACTTCTGGTTATTTGGTAAGTAACAAATAGCTGATATCTACCACTTTCCGAATTTTAATTATTAGATAATTTAAATTTATCATTTCGAGGATTTTGGTTGTTTGAAGACTTGTTTTAAATAAACAGTGACACATTTTGTTCGATTTTTTTGTTTTTTTTTTTTTTTTTTTTTTTGAAAATTATTGCTATGAAGCATCAAAAATAGCACAAAATAAATCATAATGCTGTAATAGTTAGATTATGTATACGATACTGAAAGACATGGTACATTGAATGATTTAAGTTTCAGCTATCATCTGGTCATGGCCTTGTGATTGGTCAATTGAAAATTTATAGAAGCACTGGAATGGTGGATTGTTCACTGAAAGCTGCACTGATTGATGACTTTTCCGACGCAAATCTTTTTACCACTTCACAGTGCATATTAGTGGTCGAAAAAGATGCAACCTTTCAAAAACTGATTGGCGAAGGATTTCTGAAACTTTTTCCCAGCACACTTCTTGTAACGGTTAGCAGTTGATATTAAGACGATATTTCTACATTTTATCCATTCGCTATTAATTTATTTTGTCTTTAAGGGTAGAGGTTATCCGGATATTGCAACGCGAATTTTGTTAAATAAATTGAGCAACCTTCAATTATTTGGCTTGCTGGATTGCGATCCACATGGTATGCATACTATGAGATATCATTTCATTTACTTCAAACTACTGACTGTTTTTCATGATCGTTATTTGTGTTTCATTAATGTTATTTAGTTTTTTAGGTATTGAAATAGCAATGACATATAAATATGGTAACTGTAGTAAAACATTTGGTGTGGAAAATCAAACATTATCTCATTTTGAATGGATTGGTTTATCGCGTTGCGAATTACCAAAGTACATATAATTTAAGGAAAAAAAAAAAAAAAGAAACGCAATTTACTTCTGCTCTCTTTTTCCTTATATAATATTCCTGGAAATTTTGAATATAGAAATAAGAAAAGCTGATCTTCACTGAAAACAGTTATGGATGATATTGTCTTCCTTTTTAAAAGTAAAAAATTATTCTACAATGTAGAATAATTTTAATTTTCATTATTTTTCTTATTTTAAGTGATTTTCGGATATTTTCCAGCATTCTCGTTTAATAGTGGTTCACTTATAGGTTCGTTATTTCGGCTGTACAATTTCTTCCTCTTCAAAAGAGTGAATTAGCGAAAGTGGAAAAGCTTTGTCAAAGAACTGCCATTTTAGGAAATACTGCACTATTAGAAGAAGTTTGTTACGTTAATTTATATATTGATTTTGTTTTAGACCGACTTATGCATGTTTTCATTATCATCATATAATTTACAATTCTAATCATATTAAAGTCGCGTTTCGTGTTTGGGTTTTGCAGTATGCATTGTAGGGTCTCAAAAAGTTTTTCACTCCTCATTTTTATTTTTTACCCTCAGCCTTGTAAAAAGGGAGAAAATTAACATTTGGAAAATGAGATTTGCATAAGTTAATTAACATACTCTGTTCACTGTTGTGTTGTGACTAAAATTTACTATTTACATCATGTGTGTCTATATTTGTCATAATTATTTTCATAGCTAATAAGAATGCGTCAATGCGGCAACAAATTAGAATTGGAAGCAGTAAGTGGTATCGCCCCGGGTTCCATGTGTCAGTATTTGCTTCGGACTAAACTGTCCAAATATGCTGTTGTTAAGAAGAAGTAATTGAAAGTCGATGAAATTAATATGATTTGTAACTTTCATTTCAAAATGGTAGGTTATTATTGATCATGGAAAGTAATTCAAATTTCAAAATAGAAGATATATAGAAAGCTGTGACGTAAAAAAATTTTTTTATTGGTAAGGATTGTCACAATTTATCTATGTTTATCTCGAAAAAAGATATATATTCTTGTCCTTATTTGGAATATTTTGTTTTGTAAATAAAATTGTTGTATTATTTATTAATTTGTTTTTACGCAATAATAAAACAATATGCTGCTTTTTTTAGACATTTACAGCATACATTTTAAGGCAGTCAAAGATTTTTTCTTTTTCCACCATGATCAGAAGATTGTAAACTGAAACGAAATTACTAAATAAATGAAATTAGCATCACATATCAAAAATTCACACAATTTTCTTTAACTTATCATTTATCATTTTGATATCCATTTTATGCAATAAGTAACTTTGCAGTTCATACACATTAATTATAATGCATCAACATTTCACATGTTTTAATTGCCATATTATCACAAGCAATTGAAATAGCTTAATATAAGTCTAACATGAAATCTTTTTTTCCTTTTCTTCAATATATTCATTGCACAATAAAATGTACAGATCATAAAAAGCCATAATCGATACTGCTGTGAATTTTTGATCATTTCAAAATTAATTTTTCCATTTTTTTCTCTCCTCTCTTCCTCTTTTTCTTTCCTGCTATTAGATATTTTACACTTCAATCTGTCACTCTTCAACACTCAAGTAATTATTATTATTTATGATATTAGCTCGAAAAGTTATTTTCATCTAGAAAGCATAATAAAAATATTGGAATGAGAATTTCGAAAAATGTCACTAATTATTATGTTTGTGTATGTCTGTAGTCCGTCTGCCTGTTTGTCTGTGTGCATGTACGTGTGTGTATATATATGATGTATGTATGTTTGCGTGTATGTATGTGTATGTCAATATATTTTCGTTTTAATATTGATATTACAGAATGTCTGTTCGTTGAGTGGAAGAGGAGTGAGTGGGTAAAATGGATAAAGATATAAAACATAAATGTTCTAGCAGTATTACAGCAAAAGAGTAAAAGAAGATTACTTTTATTTTCAATATTTATAACTTTGTTCTCTCTTTTTTTTTCTTTATGATATATAATAGTATGAAGATCAATTTGAATCATTTTATTTTCCATTTATCATAAAAACAAAAATTTAATGAAAATTTTGACGAAATATAAAATGCAATGAGTTTATTATGCTTTCATTTTTTTTCTTCTAAATCTATTTAGATTTGTATACAATTGAAATCGATTGACAAATAGCATATGAATATAATATAGGATGATAAGTGAAGGGGAAGCTCTTTTTTTGTTTTTCACTTTTTACTTCTTGTTTTTTCTTTTCAATTTCTTTTTAATAGATGTCGTTTTACATGAAACCTTATTGAAACTTTATACCTTATTTCTCATTTATATTCCCTTGGTATCAAGTCATTTTATGCTTTTAGATTTATTCTATCAACAAATATTTCTTCACTAGTAATTTATTCATCCATTTTATTAAAATTTCAATCAACAATCTTTTTACAAACAGCAAATATTTTTTTTCTTTTGGAATTTAAAGGAGGTAGTATACATATTATTTTGTTTCTTTTTCTTTTTTTTTCTAGAATTACAAATGTTAATTAGCATCCTTTATTATTACTGAAGTGATTCGTTAATTCAAAAACATCAAGTTTTCAATTTTAAAATGAAGATAGATATATCAAATACTCTAATTGCTTAAATTAACAAAGATTATAATGATAGAAAAAGAATTTTTTTTTATTCTGTATAGCTTATTAATGCAATTTAAGTGTCACTAAGTCAATAATTTTTTCTTTTGCTCATTTTCATTATTATTTTTTTTTTTTTTTCTGTATAATTACGTCTTTATGATTCGGAGTTTTATTTTTCCTCGTCCATCTATTTTACTTATTCTTTTCTTTTCTTTTTGTTAACTTCTTTATTTTTTTTTCTTTTTTGTGCACTTTTTGTTTGCGTGTGCTTTACTGTTGAGATGTGTGATTTATTTAATATGTGGAAATAATACAAAAATGATTCAATTTTTGTATGAAATATGTCATTTAAAAGTGAAATATTTGTTTTTTTTTTCTGCTTAACTTCTTTAATTCCCCATTTCTGTTATATATTTGTGTTATTTCAATCAACAAATTCATCATGCCAAATGATTTTCTTAAAATGGAAAGAAACAATTTATGAAACTTAGAAAGTTTTGATATTAAAATGTATTCTCAAATATTGCTTGCACTAAACAACTTGTTTTTTCTCTCTCCAAATGCATAATGTAATATTTTGCATTTTGTTAAAATATATAAAATTAGCACTATATGACAATATTTTATATAATAAATTATATAATTTTTTTTTGTTCCATAATCTTATATACTCTATTATTCCATTGAAGTATTTATGCGAGTTATTGATGATATTTGTTGTTAGATCAGATCAAAAAAAAATTTCTATTTATAGATACAAGAATTGTTTTATACTTTCTGAAATTGTTTATAACAAAAATGATTATCATGAATTTTTATCTCGAAAAAAAAAAAAACTAGAATTAATGCTTAAAAGAAAATTTCAATGAATTTCTCAATTTCTAAAAACAAAATAATAATATATATTCATGAATAGAAATGAATTATTCCTAATTAATATTTGCAAGGCAGATATTCATTTTCTTTGTTTTTGTGTGCTAGTTTCAAATTTCTAAATTTTTAAAATATACGCATAGATAAATGAATCGAAAAAAAGACAAAAGCGATTGAAATACATCAAAATATTGTTTATCCTGTAACAGAAACGATATTGCTTTTTCTTCAGGAATGCAATTGGAAATTCTTCATGTTGGCTTTTTTATCCTGTTTTACCTGGGTAAGTATTGCCTCCATGTAAATAAATCTTATGATGAACAGTTAGTCGTAAATTTGTGTTTCTTATTAATTTGTTGTTTTCTTTTTTGAAACTTAAATTTCTTAAAACAAATGAACGATTCTTTCAATCTTTGCCGTTCTTCTCTTTTTCTCTTTTCTCCTCGTTATCCTTCATTTTAAATAATGTTTGAAATTTTCAAATAAATGATGATGGTATAACAATTTAAAAAAAATTTTTTTATAACCACATTTAATCTTAAGCAATTTTTCACCGTACAATTGATTTTTTTTCTTTTTTATTTACTTTAATGAATTAATTTGTTTTGCAAACTACTATTATAAAATATTTAAATTTTGTTGTTGCTATAATTATTATCTATTTTAATTTAATATATGATATATTTAATGATATGTAAGAATATATTATCCTGCGAACTATTGCTGTAAAAAATTGAAATTATTTCACAATTGCTTGAATTTAGAAACAGCATATACTTATTTATTTGTTTATTTGTTTACTTAAGGAATAAGCAATGCAATTGAAACCGTTGTTAATTGCACGGAAAAAAGTGGTACAAATGCGTGTTATACGTGTATGGGCAGAGATATGGAAAATTGTCAAACAGGAACCGTTTGTTGCAGTGGCGCATGTTTTAAGCTTATCGATGAAAGTTGGTAGCATTTCTTTTTTTTTCCCTTTTTTTAAAAAAAAAGATAAAACGACTAAAAATTGTATTAGAAGCGTGAAGTGAAAAAATAAGTTTGTTCATTAAAAAAATTTTTTTTTCCTCACAAATGTTATATATAATTTTTGATTTCTTTTTCTAATATCTTTTCCTTCTCTCTTTTCTTTTCTTCCTTTCAAACAAAATAACTGCAAAAAAAAAAAAAAAAAAAAAAAAAAAAACGATAATGAAGACAGTACAACTGTAAAATATGATTGATGATGATACTTTCTTCATTAACGAGAAGTATATTATCTTGTAAAGAAAGACTGCGGAGTAAAATGATTGAACTGATTTATAGAAAAGTTAGGTAAATACAATTTAGTGATAAGACCAATAAGTTTAAATAAATTATCAGTTTTAAACATTACCAAATTGATGGAAGACAGAAATTCCATTTTTTTTTTCTGGATCATAAAGATGAATGATTGACATGTTTAATGTTAGTAACTGTCACCTGGAGTATATTTGAATGAATGATTTGATTAAAATGGATTGAGCAAACGGATGATATCGTAAGCCTTCTTAGGAATTTTTTGCAGGATGATCGACTGCATCCGTCTTGTAATATCTTTATCATCAACAAATATATTGCAATGAACAAATAATCATACTTTTACCAGTTTTAAAATTTAATCCAGAAAAAGCGCTTAAATAAAGCATTGTAAAAATCTATTTAGTTTAATAGTGTAACAATTTTTTAAAAACTAGGAATTTTATTCTTTTTATTTTTTCCCAGTGTTTATTTTTTAGCCAATTCAAAAATTCTGATGTTTAAATCCAAAAAACACTTCCTTTCCTTTCCTTTTTATTGAAATTTGCAGAACATAATCTGATAATGAAAGGCTGCACAAATGAAGATCAAGAAGATGGTAGCATGAAAAGACGAACATTTGATATACGATTATATTGGGTACGCAATGAAAAAGTTACAGGTATTTTCTCTCATATCCTTTTTTTTTTTTTTTTTTTCTTTTGAAGTTTTATCGATTATTTATGAGAAAATTTAAAGAAGTTTTTAAGTAATACATGTGAAAAATCTGAAAGAAGGATGAACGAAGTATTTCAAATTTTTAATAAATCGATATTATTTATGAGAAAATTGCATAAATTAATTATTCGAGAAAGGAATATATTATTGGAAGCTTTATGCAATCTCATGAGATGCTCACTACATTAATTAATTAATTAATTCAAGCTGAGGTACTCACTTAAATGTATTTCTATCTTAATCATGTTTGAAATATTGTTTTTTTTTGAATAAGTTGAGATAGAATTCAAATTTCTAAAAATTAAAATTTTGGAGAAAAAAATTATCAAATTAAAGTCTTACAAATATTTAAATCAAACTGTCTGTTACAGGAGAAGCATTTTATTGTAAAGGGAGTGATTATTGCAATGCAACTTCAGTAAAGTTCATTCCGTCATCCTTATTTTATTACATTTTGCTCAGCTTACTTGCAATTTTATCATTTTCTCAATCATAATGTTACAATTGCTAATAAGAGTTAATTACAGAATCGACTAACTTTTCAACCTTTTATTTTTTTAGATGAATTTTTTTTTTCCTCATTGTATTAGTAAATTTGTAAGGCTATAAAATCATTGGATATGATTCTTATATTGATCATAAAGTGCATTAGCTATGAAATCAATCGTCAAACCACTTAATTTTAATCTATCATTCGCTCCTTATTTTATCTAGGCTTAATTAATCAACAAATTACCCGTAGTATAACTTAAATTCAAATTAGGATTTCTAATACATTTCACGTTTTCATGCCAATGTTTACGTCAATTTCTCTCTTGTATATCTTTACATTTGAAATTATTACATAAATTTAATCAATCTTATTTCATCAAAATACTCATTTATTACGAAACAACATTCAATAGTGATATGAGCTTTTTCTTTTTCATGTTCATCTTAAACCATAAATTTTTTTCCAAATGACATCTGTCATCTAGAAAATTAATTTCTGAAAACTGTCAAAGGACATATGTATATTTAATTAATATGAATTAAGTAATAAAATATATAAGGATTATTATCATTTATAAATCTGACATTAGATACTAATGAAGGTTTTATTTATTTATTTTTTTTTTCAACCGATGTTTACACAGGAAAAATTTTGGCTAAATAACAGATTAAAAGATGATGAGAAGGAAAAGAGGATTAAATTGCGGAATTTCCAAGTTCTAGTTTTCTATTCAATCTAATAATCCTTACTTTTCTCTTTTAACATCAAGTTTTTGATACGTGTCATTTTCAGTGTCTATTCATTATATCTGAATGAAATAATTGTGTCAAAAAAAAACTTCATAATTTGAGATCTCCTTGAAGAATTTCACCAACTCAACTATACACTCTAATTCATTCCATCACTTTTAATCGTTAATGCATTTAAAAAAAAGAAAACAGAAAAAAAAAAAAAAAAAAAACCATTACCTCAAATCATTTTCAAATATGATTCATTCATAGATTTAAATTTATCGCATTAAAGATAAAGTGATGAACAATACTTTAAGCTAACCCAAATAATTGATAAGTCTTGACAACTTTTTCTTTCTATTCTTATTAACTATTTTGACTATTTTAATTAACTATTTTGTATCCAACAATTTTAGATTATAATCAAAAAATTATTGTTATTATTATTATTATTGCATGTTACACATAAATGGTTGGAAGATTCATAGGTAAAAAATTATCAAAAAAAAAAATTTCTTTTCTAATATATTATTCATTGCAATATGAATCATTCCTGCTGTGCAATTAATATTGATAACTTCTTATTACTGATTATTGATTAAATCTTTAAACGTATAATAATACGTCTATTATTGTTCATATTAAGTGGTGGAAAATTGCTCACTGCATTCATCATCGACAACTAAAATTCATCCAAGTTTAAGCTCTTCATACGTTATCTTTAATATGTTAGTTTCATTGAAAGTATGGTATTATTTCATTTAAATTATCATCTGATCTGCAGTATTTTCTCAGTCTAAGCATTTTTTTTTTTTTTCATTTATTTTATATTTTCTAAAATGAACGAGAAAAATTAAGTTATAAAAGATTTTTTAGAGTTCATTTATAACATGCTATATTATTTCATGAATTATTGTTTTATATGTTTTTATATGTATGCAATAGGATCATACTTCATATGTGAAATAAAATTTATAAATAAAGCTTTAAATATTTACATTCATTGATTTAATTAACAAAAATAATACAAGCGTCTTATTTCCAAATCTTCTCTTGATTCATCATAATAAACGATGTTCATTTGAAAGCATTTAATAGATATGAATTTTTATAATAGCAAATGAACTTACCTTGCAACAAAAGATTTCTCATTTTGAAAAATGCTACAACATTTCAAGGAATTTTAATGCCTGAAAATGGAAAAAAAGTGTTTACATACTAATAAAAAATTCAATCTATTGCTCAGTAATTATTTAAACTTCAAAATTATCAATAACTTGGTTGTTAGACAACGGAATGAGTGATACATATTGACTGATAATTATCGAAAGTCATTCAATAAATGAACAGCAGTACAAATATAAAATTCTTTTTGTAAAAAGTTAACAAAAAGAAGAACAGAACTCATGTGATGTACCGCCAAAGTCAATTATTGATTTCAGTTCGAATATGCTAACCTTATTTATGCTTACTTAAAAGATGCATTATGCTGCTATCGCCAATAAAGATAATTGACGCCGATTGATAATGAGTATAGCTTAACAAAAAATTTACCGAATTCTCCCACCCAACTACTTTATTCTTTTTGTTATGCAACTCATCACCCTTTATTTTAACTATTCATAATAATATTCCACTGATATTCAAATGCAATTGTTCGCTGTCGTATTTAGACGCTATCCAATAGTATTCATCCAATACAATGAATTTTCCAAGTTTAATTTTATGAATACAATAGCAATTGGATTTATTCCAAAATTAAAAAAAGAAATATGCATTAGTTATATACAAATACAGAAATGAATGATGGTGATTGTTATTAGGACGAATATCTGATTTAAATTCATCGAAATGCTTACATACAGCAGAACGAAATGAGGAAAGGTTTTGTGGCAATATCTGTATAATATTCATCAATTAAAGACAGATCGAAAGATCAAAAATAGCATTATGCATTTACTTTATAAAATCTTGAAAATCCTTTTTCAAAGTATACATTGTTACATTAAGCATGTATTTCAGAAACAAGTAAAACAATGCTAAAGAAATAGCAGAAATTGCAAATTAGTTTCTCATTGGGAATAAATCAAATTTGATTCGCTGAATTTAGAGGAAAATATCCAAATCTATTATGAAATGTCAAATCACAGAAGAAACTCTCGAAAATTGTTTTCGAAATGAATGATACAAAATGAAACAAAACAAACAACCGAATATGGCATATTTTGTTCAAAAAAAAAACCCGTTCCTTCAAACATGATCTCTACGAGCAGCAACAATCTTCATATCAACAGGTGGTGCATAGCAGGCAAGTTCCTCATCGGATATAAGAAATGAAGTATCTAACAACTGATCTACAGCAAGTACTGTTGCTGTATCATTATCAATATGTTCTAATGGATGTATTCGATCTTCATTTTCATTCGTTGAATTAATAGATTCCGCTATCCTTTCCTGACGACGACTTATTATCCTATCTACATCAATCTAAAATCCCTTAATTTGTTTTATATTTATAATATTCTTCTAAATAAAATAACTTTCTAAATAAACAATTATAATAGTATTAATTTCTAATTCACAATTCAAAAGGATTCTTGTAGTTTTTGGAATGATTTTTGTGTTAATGAACTAATATATAAAAATACTACCTGTTCGATAATACCATCAAATGCCATATCCAGTGATCTGGGTACCAAATTCAACGAACTGACCGAGCTTTTCCACGCAATTTTATGTTTTCTAAATATGTTATATATGTACACACAAAAAAAGTAGAGAAAATTTTTCAAGTTGAGCTAAAATCTTTAAAAAATATAACAAAATACATATTTTTTGAAACATCCTATATTGCTGGCCCTCTTAAAGTTCAAAAAAAAAAAAAAAAAAAACATTAAAAAATATTAGATTTCAAAAAAATCACCTAAAAATATGTAAACAACTGAGGGTAAGCAAGGTGATCATAAAAAGCATTAAAAGAACGAAAAGAACAGCTGCCACAGCATAAAATATTAGCAATAAATCCATATGAACATTGTTGTTAAACTGAAATATAAAACCGCAAGTGGCACACTCTTTTTTGCTAATTCATGATTCAGGATTTCAGGCAATAACACATTATGTTGTTGTTAATAAAAAATATTTTTATGCTAAACAAAAAAGATTTTTTTCTTATAAATGTTAGTGAAATGTAGGAATTGAATAACTTAATTACCCATGAAGTACTCAACTGCTGTTATCATTTTTCGTACATTACTTTCTTTCACTTCATCTATGACTACGACTATTTATCATTATCAACATTAGGAAGTTTAGAGTAGAATTTTAACTAAAAGAAATTTAACGAATTTCATAACAACTCACTGCTAATAGTTTCATCACATATGTGAGGCGAAAACACGACCAATCGATAACTATGATCACCGAAGGAAACATTACTTAATGTATGTAAATACGTAAATGCACTAACAGTGTAAATAATATTGTCAGTAGCTAAATAACGCTGTTTTAGAAGTTTAAAGCGAACCTAATAAAGGCATACTTCATAACCAACAAACTTGAAACAGATATTTTTCAGCCACATGCAGCAAATTAGTGAACAAGTTGAGTGCAAATAAGTTTTTTTTTACTCAAATATACTGAAAATTTGTCAAAGCACTACAGACCTGAAAATTACAATAAAATACATTTCGTCTTTAAATATAAGATTAGTACAAAATTAGCACAACTTCAAAAACATGAAGTATACATTAAAAAATGGACTAATCGGTAAAGTAAATAAATACAGTATTAATTCACATCAATGAGGAATATCGTCTTTCAGAAACTTCTTGCAATTTAACCGATACTCTAAGCAAATACGATAATACTGTAGCACGAAAGAAACGACAAAGCTCAAAAAGTATCACAAGAAATTGAGATATACATATGATATTTTTGAAGCTTGAAAAATTACACTTTTCGTATGGAAAAATTGGCTAGCATAAATATTACGCACCTTCCAAAGCATATAAAATATAAACAGAACATATTAAAACTAAAGTAATTTCTCCCAATTAATGACATTTCGAGCAACAAAAAAAAAAAAAAAAAAACAACCAACTCAATTAAAAGTAACGTAAGTTAAACAAAACATATGTAGTACGTTATACGTAATAAGGCAACAAAGGAAACGAAATGAAATCCACATACTTCATACTACTTAAATGATCAATTTATGGAAAAAAAAAAAAGAAAAAACTACACTGAATACAAGACAAAATAATATATCAAATACAAAACTATACTCACCACAACGTAAAATACAAGGTAAAATAATAAGGCTCTAAACATCAAAATTATATGACAGAACCATCTAATGATAACAAGTTCTGAAAAAATATACCCTAAATGTCTAATAGTTCCTACTAAAACATCGCTTTCAACTCTAACTGTAGCGTATTATAGAAAATAATCAAGATTTTACCATGAATGACAGTATAAAATGATGATAATCCACATATAGTAGTGATGAAATGTATTTATATTCACTTTACCTTATTTTTTTAATTTTAATTTAACCGCATTATTATTGTCGGGATATTTCTGGACTACATTCTATTTATTATTAAAAATCGATTATGCAATTTAATCTGGAATGAGGCTTTTTTTTCTTCCCTCAACACTCAGTGTACGACCAGATGGTGGTAACGGCATTGCATAACAGCTATCAAGATACATCTGAGATATTTCCTCTACCAGATCTGGTACAGCAGATACCATACCTAGAAAAATAATCAGTGAATAAAGTAAAATAAAAGCCAAAAAAAATATAGTGTTAGAAATAACTCAACATTATCTCTCCTAAAATATTAAAGATGATCTTTTACTTAAAGATCATCAATCACCTCAAAGGTTAAAATAAATTTCTTGAAATAAAGCTTGACCGTAGATCGCAGCGGTTCTTGACTGATGGCTGAATTCAGGATTTGACACCAGATCTTCGCACGCCATATTCAATTCACGAAGAAAATTTTCCACAACACCTGATTTCGTGTGATTCAATGTAACACATATATGAACACTGGAAAAATATGAAAAAATTGCCTAATATTAAGAAAAAAATAGTTTGCAGTTGTAAAGAGTAAAGAACATTTGAACTTACTCTCAGAATTGAATATAATTACTCACGCAGGCGGATTTTGAAGAGTAGACAAGACCCATCCCAGCTTATTCATACGATCTGCCAAGGCATAAACATTGAGACCTCTCGTTGTAAAAGCAACAGTTGTAACATCTGATTCACATAACAATTGTATGTGCAAACATTTCTCAATGCCTGTTCGTATCTCACGCACTGCATTAATAATTGCCTCCGTTCGTTTTACATAGCTGAAGAACAGGACAGCAAAATTTCCTAATTAAATAATTCTTAAAACTCAGAATCCAAAAATATAGAATCGGAAAAATTTCCAACAAATCCTCCAACTGATGTACTTTCTCCATCAACTGAATTGCTAAACTGATATACATATTAAAGAAAAATCACATCCATTGACGAGTTAATGAAAATGTGTAACGTAGCAATTATCACCAATAAGATGAAATAAATAGTTAATATAACTGCCTTACCCTCGTCTTCCGTTGTACAATAAAGTAGCCCACGTTAAAGCTATTGCACATCCGTCTCTGTTACCAGCTAACGTGGGTGTCATATATATACCACCAGGCCATTCACTGTCGCAAAAGTATTGGTAATGAAGCAAGGATGAGTCGCGATACAGTATTAACGATGTTCCTAATAGAAACAACTTTTGTGACGTTCTAAATGATGAATGAAAGAATTTATACAAACTTTAAAATGTCGTGAAAAGCAAAAATAAAGAGGAAGTTTAAAATACCATTTGGAGCAAAACCATATTTTTGAATATCACAGGAAATTGATGTAACGCCGGGTACACGAAAATCGAACGACTTAACTGCAAAATCACATCGTTCCATTATTGACAAAATGAAACCACCAAGAGTTGCATCAACATGCAAAGGAATACCATATCGTTGGCTCAACTGGAAATCTCGGAACTATAGAACGGTTAAGCATTTTATATTATGGAGTAAATTAAACAACGGTTCTTTTTGTTCCCATTATTAAAACATTAAGGAATTGAAGTCCATGAGCGATTTGGCACAGCCAGGAAAAAGTTAGGCATAATTTTGGAAATCAGCATCCAAAACTATTTACTGTTTCACTGCAAAAGCTTCGTTAGGAATGTAGAAAGCACCTCAGAAATCGCTTCTATGTTGTCGATAGTACCGAATGCATAATTCGGGGCTGATGCCACGAGCTACAACAAAATAAATTAGAAACTTAAATAAATGTAAAATAAGCAACATATTTTAAAACTATTCTGTCACTACAGAAAAATCCGTTTATTTGGAAAATTATGAAAAGAGACACACCATACAAGTTTCATTACTGATAGCACGCTTCATTGCACCTACATCAACCCGCTGGTTTTTATCAACGGGAATATGGCGAATACGCATTTGCAATACTTTCGCTGCTTTATCGAATGATGCATGAGCAGTTGCCGGTACTAACATTTCTGGATGCCTGATTCCACGACTAAATGCGCGATTTCGATAAGCTAAAATATAGAGTAAGATGCGGATAATAGCTAGAATTTGATAATGTACTTTTTTCCTCATAAACTGACTTTTCAGTTAAGTGACATTGACATTTGAAAAAAAAAAAAAAAAAACAACTGATTGTATTTCTCATCTTCTATGAATTGATATTTACCAAAGAAAAACATTCTTCCATGTTTATAGCAAAAACATTCGTACATTAATATAAAACTGATTTATAAAAAAATAAAAACAGTTACCGAAACATGCCAATATATTGCTTTCTGTATCGTTCGACGTAACGGTTCCACAAGAGCCAGGTCCACCATGAAGAAGTGATGCAACAATGCGTACAATTTCTGCTTCCATTTTCCGACAGCCAGGAAAAAGATTAGGATATAGAGAGTCCGAATATACAAACATCTCGAACACCTGCAAAAAAAACTTTGGTAATCTCATTTAAAATAAAAAATTAACAAAGTAATTATACTTGCTAACCTTTTGCAGTAATGCTCGGTGCTCTTTATCGACATCAGTAAAGATTACTCCGGAAACGTGACCTTCGTGAAAAGAAAATTCACTCATTGTTTTATATAACTCTGCCTCATGAATTATATTATTAGTTGCAAGTCCATGCTCCGGCAAGAACTTGTAGAATTCCTGGAAAATATATCAAACTACATAAACAATACAAAACATTGCCTCAGACTTCATTTCCTCATGTTCCTTATGCTATTTCCAGTAAATCAATTAAAAGATTTCATCGTAAAACAATAAAAAAGTCTGCACAGCGTAACAGCATAATTTTTGTCAACGCACTTTTCTCTTATCGTACTGATGTATTGTCTCTTCAAGATCTCTTCTTGCTTTTTCCATTTCTTCTTTTATTTGCGTATTTACCCAAGGCATCATCCGAAATGCGGAAAAAATCTAGAAAAATACAAAGTTAGTATAAATATGCTTTTATTTGATGGAAACATCAAAACCTTAGGATAATCATTCGAAAAAGTAAACTAATTAGATACAAAGGAAAAAATACCAAAGCACGAATACAGGTGGAAAGAGGACGATTTGCTTTTAACAGTCTCCGTAGCCAGATGAAGAAGCAAACAACGGATAAAGTGTATGAGACGATCTGCCAAGGTTCCAGATCTATACATGAACGGTTGAATCCAACACGACCATCATCCACAACTTGCGCAACTAAACGCCAGGTGTATCCACCATTCAGTGTCCACCATTCACTCATTTATAGTTCGATAGCGAAAATATCGGAAATGTACGAAAATCTTACAAATCTAGAAGACTAACAGATCAAATGATCATCTGAATTTCAGTAACCCTGAATAAAAACCATTATATTACGTCATTTGACACGTCACTGTCTTAATAAAACAAATTTTTTTTTTCTGTAAAGTGTAATGTTGTATCATTAAAAATTCTACACCTTAGTTTATTAGGAATCACCAGACAAAATTTTATTACTCCTACTTACACTGATACTAGGTATACGAGATATGGAAAAAGAAATAAGATATATTTAAGCAGTAACCTTAACATTCCAATTCTTGGTAAATCTATAATGAGAAGAATTACTTTTAATGCATCAAAATGAAAAGCAATTTTATTATCTCTATGTCAATCAACTTTTCTTTTTCCTTTCTAACACAGTATGTATAAAATCTGCTGATTAAGATCTAAATCATTCTCAAATATCAACGTTAATATGAGTATGTCATAAATTGTAAGAAGAAAGAGAAGTGGCAAAATATGAGAGCAGCTAAGTGCACAGGAAGAGAGAACTACCTGAGCTCACATTACCACCATTACAATCTCGTAATGACATCCATACCAGCCCTTTGCATCGCTGCTATTTCACCACAATCATTTTCGGCGCGCCGCCAAATACCGGATTGCTGACAAATCTGTGCAGAGATCTGAATATGGTCGTATTGGGGTATTTGACCTGTGAGATTTCTTATCTGTAATCCTGAGATTTACTAGATATAAATGAGAAAGAATTGCTGAGCGGTTTGCCAATAAGAGAACAGCTTTCAAATAATTGGAAAATATAAAACGGAAATCAGAAGTTGATATACTGATATATTTTATGTTTGAAAATTCTGAATTGGGAAACAGACTTTTAACCTCATTCCGGATTTCCCGCCCATATTCAAAGAAGGAAAAAGTACCACTGATTCAATCTTTTTCAGCACAATTTTAGGATGGTAGAGATGCATAATTAATCAATTGTGAGAGTTTTTAGTTGTTAACTAACTGGTAACTACTAATCCACATAATCTGCAGTGTTCATTGTAAATTCCTCTACCGAATTTAGATATGATAATCTTATGTCGTACTTGAAGGAAAAAGAGTGTTAGCGTATCGCGGTTTTAGAACAACCGAAAAGTTTCTTAGGACTTGAAATCTTTCTCATGGGAGGTAATCTATTACCTTACATGAATTTAGCAAATTTTTGTAGATTTTAGCAAAATTTATCTAATACATGCATTAGTCGTATATATAATTTGAACTAATTATCAATCGTGTTGCAAACAGACATTCTGTTACTAGTCGGTTTATTATTTTTTATCGTAGACATCATTTCCTATTCAAATCCAAAATTGACAAAACATGAAGTGCTGATTGCTTGGCATTACTTTCCACTACAAAGATGAATGCAGAAATTGTGAAGTCAAGGTTACTTAACAAAACAATATGAATCTTCTTTCATGCAATTTTTTTCTTCCAATTCATATAGAAAGGATCTGTCCGTTAACCGGTCACTCCCTCTCCCGTAGCATCGTATGAAGAAGGTGTAGGTGTCGCATGGTAAGTGTCACGGGAATCTATCCGAAGACCCTACATGAAAATTGTTCGTGTCAGCGGGAGTCGTATGTTTAGTTGTAGGGTATATTCGATGAGATTGTAGTATGTTGTATGGAAATGTGTCGGACTGGGAAATTCTTTTTTTTTTTTTTTTTGTAATTACTGACATAGCTTTGTGTTGTAAAGAATATTGAACGCACTTGACAACTTCAGTTTCATCTGGATTATTACATTTGTCATTTAATTTTCTTAGGTTGGATTTGCCGAACGATTAGCATTTATTCTCGTATACTTTCATTTAATGATTTCTGTGAATTTTCTAATATTGTAAGCGTACATATATTTTTCAAGTTGAACATTCTATAATATTGCTTGTTTCACTAAAGGATCGTTATTCAGACTTTGTCTTCCCATGTTTCGGTACTGATATTGTGAAGAATTTTATGTAGTTTTTAATTCAAATACTAGGTATGGAATTATATGGACAGCCTGCCGGCGACGCTTTGGAAGATGCTGCAAGCTATGTACAACGGTCAATTCTAAAAATCAGTGAAGATTCTGATTTGTACTACAAATTAAAATACGACCCGTACCAACCAGGTCAATTTACTTTGTTCGTATCAGTTAGATGGATTATACATTATTGTTTGATGTAGTGAAATTGTCTTTGACAGTTCTTTATCTTCTGGGACATTGGAGTCAAGTAAGTAAAAAATTTTGTTGTAGACAGAGTATCAATATCTGGCCTTGCTACGGGAGATTATCAACCACTGAATGACCTGGAGATACCGGAATTTGTTCATAGTCATTTGAAGCCCATTCCACAGGAACTGAAAGATCAGCTTAGCAGTAAGTTTGCTTCTGAAGTACTCGATTTAATTTCTTTTGGTTAGTATATTTGTTCCTTGTCATCTAGTTGATCACACTGACGAATTTTATAGGTACACAAAGCATCTGCACAATGGGTATATTACCCGAAATTGGACGTGCTTATATGACAATTGATGCCGATCTGTATGTTTGGAATTATGAAGATAGGTGGGTTACTCCTTTGTTTTTTTTTTTTTTTTTTTTTCTGAAGTAATCCTATTCTCAGGTATCGGAGATGTAAGACAAAATTTCACAAGATTGCTGAGCAGGATTGGAGCGACGAGTTTCTTTTTTTCAATTATAAAGAGGACTTCATACATTTCATTTATTTACATTATTAAAAGGAATTGTTAGAATTTATTTATTTTTAGTTCGGATTTAGCTTACTTCGATGGGATACCTAATACAATTACTAAAGTGGCAATTGCGAAACCGAAAGTTGGGGTGTTCCAGGTAATTTACTGCAACAGAAACAGATGTTTATTGATATTCGAATTAGGAGATTCCGAGACGTTATCTATATCGTCCACTTAAACTTCATCTGATGTTGTTCTGATCAATTTTTTTTTCATCTCCCATTAAATATATCCTAATATCTCGTAATTCTCTAATAATTCCAGAAACACATTCATTGCTTGGTTATTGTTGCGACAACAAAAGAAATTGTATTATTGGCAGCAAGCTTCACAAATAGTAATAGAACAGTGACAGATGTATCCTCTTTGCCAGACGATTTTAGGCAAGCTGATATGTATCTCCTTCCAGATGCGCTTTTCAAGGTCTTTCTTTTTTTTTTTTTCTTTTTTTATTGTATGTAATTGCAGCGTACTTAGTCCGTTGTTCATACTGCTCCTTCATAATATTGTATTATATTGTTTTTATTATTTCCACCTTGGATGTGCTTTCTTCAAAGGAAAATGACTTTGTAAGAGTTTTGTCCGTTTCTGAGCAAAATTTTGTATTTATAGTATTTGAAATAATAGCACAAAGATTGAATAATTGCATTCCTATTTTACTTTAATTTTATTTCTTTTATAGCTAAAGTAAAAGTTACAGGTTTGAAAGTTGCAGGTTCCAATTGACGACACAACTATATCGGATATAATTGCAACATCAAACGGCCGTATTTTTTTCACGGAAGAGGAAGTTTTGTGTGAGCTTGATTATCAGGTCGTCCACTATTTTCAGATATCATATTTTACATATTCTCACTTTTCTTTACTTAAGTTTCGAGATGGGTACACATAATATTTTCCTTTTAAGGTATATATATATATATATATTTTTTTTTTTCCCTTTATTTACTTCCTCCTTTACTTTGGTTAATAAAGATGAAAAAAACTTCTTTTCTCTCCTCTGGAAACTCTGCCCTTCCTTTTTTCAGGATAAAGGTTGGTTCAGTCGTCGTTGTCGTAAGATAAATCATTCCAAAAGTTTTATTAGTTATTTTTTGCCTTCCGTATCTTTGATCACAGGGAAAGAAGGTAATATATTTTCTTTTTTAGTTGGTCATTGCATATTTTTTGGAACTTGATTTTTGTAAAGATATTAAGAAACTATGGTGGGGATAAAGTTTCTTGGTAATTTCTGTTGCATTTCTAATAACGTAAATATTTTAGAGCGATTGGTACGATTATGCTTGGATGACGCTAGGCATATTTTATACAGTCTTTCTGAAAATGGTTCCATACAGGTTTACGACTTGCATGCTGACGGAAATTCAGTAGTTAAGGTGGCATCACTCAGCTACGGACAAATTCAGGTTCAATTTACATAATTTTTCATTACCTCATTAGCCGTGTTTCTTTTTCTTTTTGGAAATGCACCCAATAACTGTGCATTGAATGTTTTTGAATGTGAAACATTTAGATAGTATAGTCATTAACTAAAAGTTAGCCTAATTAACTAAAAGTTTGATAGTTGACGATGCAAAATATATTTATCATGTTGTTTCTGACGTGCAATCATGTTATCTTTCTTGATGCATTGTTTTGAATAACTAAGCATTTTATGTTCTGACTGGGCAGCGCATTTTAGTTATAAAATGATCTAAATCTAGGAGCTTGCTGCAGCAGAATGCCGATCCGTGGATGCTTCTTTTTTCAACGACATTGTGGGTATTAATCCAATCTCTTATACGCAATCTCGCTATCTGCATCTTGTAAGTTATGAAATCATTGTGCTATCAGAACTTCTATAATAATGTGGGAAATTCTAAGCCCCGTTCCATTGCTTCGAAATAGGTTGACATATTGTTGAGTTTGCTTTTTCGAAGTTGGATGAAAAAAGATACTTTTCTATGTTTTTTGCTATTTCACAAAACTGGTGTGCTTCTTGGAGCCAAACACCTCAACTTTTTATGCCTAGCTACTTGTTAAACATTCATTTCTGATTCAAATTCTATTTCATATTCAGATTGCAACGACAAGAAAAGGTGTTCGTTTATTCTTTAGCTGTTTTCCACCAGCACCAAAAAATGTTTATCAGGTGGCTTCGAAATCATCCTTGATGAATTGGATGGTATGCCTCTTCTTTATCTTAGAATTCAAATTTATGAAAACTTATATTTGATTTAGAAAGAAAAAATAGAAAGGAGTAGTAGAATATGTTACGCATTTGAATGATATAAATCAAAATTTCAGGAAGGCATGAGACCTAGTTGCTTGCGCTTGAAACATGTCCGTTTACCTCCAGGGTATGGTATTTCGCCAGTTTCCTTCCACCCGCTCTCTATTTACGATACTTTTTATTCTCATGGTATATATTTCTAAATTTCGATTCTTACTAATTTATACAGTAGAGTTGTTCCACTTACATATATTAAAAACTTTGGTTTTCTGCTGGATATTTCGTTTTTATTGATATTAGTAGGAGACGAATATGACACTCATTCAAAAAATAAGGAAAAAAAAGGAAAACTTCTAAATAAATGAGATTTTTTAAATTAAGAAAAAAAAAAGAAACCAATGAATATTGTACTTTTAAATATTGAAAATCTTTTGCCCATTCTATAATTTTCATAGAAATTGCTATAATGGCTGGCGAAGCTGGCATCGATATTTCCAATCTCTCGATTTTTTGTTCATCAAACTTTCCAACTTCTGAATGTCTTACAGAGAATGTGGTTAGTTCTTTCTTTTTTTTTTCTTTTTGTATCAGTGCTAGTTGTTCCAGCTATTTTCCGTTTCACTCCAAAAGCATTTGCAGCAGATCTGCTGTGTATATTTGTAATTGGATTTTTTCCTGAAAACTTCATGACTCTGGTTGGCGTACAAATCTTTTTTTTTTTTTTTTGCTTAATATAGGTTTGCGGTTGAGGTAGATTATCTTTTGTTGTAGTATAATCATATTCTTGAGTTCAGATGAATTTATCACTGACCTGTTACATAATAACATCTTGCAAATATATTTCAGACACAGTTACGCCTTAGAAGCTTGGTAATGACGATAACAAAAGCTGTTTCCGGAGCACCTTTTTCTGTATGTTTTTTTTTGCGCTCTTTTTATGGGTCGAAATTTTTTTTCGGCCCCCATGTCCACATTTTAAAATTACACTATGTTTTCTGTATTTCAGACACCTGCAGACTCCCGTCACTCAACAAATCTTTCACTTTTTCGAGATACACCTGGAAAATTCATTATTTTATGTGAAAAGGTATTTATTTTATATATAAATTTTTCTTTGTACATAAATCAATAAGCGTAGATAGGCAAAAACTAAGTGGTTGTTTGAACAGCGAGATTTGTGAACCTTTTTTTGACGATTATTGCTTAGTATGGTTATCCTAATATCAGAAAATTTATGTAACTTATTACTCATATCTTTTTTTTTTTTTTTATTTCAAAGAACTATTTATTCGCTTCTGATTGAAATTCTAGGGAATACAAATCATTGATCATCGTGCTCCCATTGATATGTTGCGTGATATTCTCCTGCAGTTCGGACCTGATTCATCACATGCTAGCTACTTTACACAGTTGCATGGAGTAGTTAATGTTGGCGATATGATTCTCACGATTCTTTGCACAGAGTTAGGAGCAAGCAGTACAGTGAAGGTTAATTTTGTTCAGTCATTGTATGAATGACTGAACAAATACGTCCTGTCCAGCTTTTTATGATAGAAACGATTTAGGAATCGGAGCTGCAATTTTGTAAGGAATGTGCAGTTGTTCGTTTTTTGAATTGATAGTTACCGTTTTCAGAGCTCAGCTTTAAGGTTGTTTTTTATGTTGGGCAATGAAAAGGTCCGGAATAGACATTTGACATCACCTATGCCTACGAACAGTTTGAGCCAGTTGTCAAACATTAGCAGCGGGTCATTTTCTGATATTTCTATGCATATTCGCTGTGAGTTTTAATTCTAGAGATTAAAGTATATTTCTCGAGTGTGGATCTCAATTTTATGATCTTATTTTACTTAAGTCGGTAACATAAGACAGGGTTATCCAATATTAAATTCGCTGAATTAGAGAGTTTCTGCGGAAGTGCTATAAAAATATTAAGAACGCTGAAACTGATTAGTGATTTAAAAATTTCAATTTCCCCATTTGAATCAAATCTTAACTGATACTTCAAATATTCTATCCTTGTTTTGAAGTATTGCGGAATATCTTATGTTGTTACAGCTCCTCTGTTCTCGTCTACTCCGCAACAACAAAGACGTCTTGCTCAGCCGTCAGGAGAATTTTTTTTGGAAGCACATTATGATAACGAACTTTCTGCATCCAGCGAGATTCAAACATATGTTAGCTTACCATGAATCTTAATCAGAAAATTTCTTTAGTTCTCTGTTCTGCAGTTGCTGTTACTTCTTTCTTGAAAGTACAACTTAACAAAAATTCCGAACCAGGAACTTTTCTCATCAACCGCATGTCGCTGGAAACTTAAACTGGTTTTTGGATTGCAGGCATCAATGAGTTGCCGACATAATGCACTATTCCTTCATTTTTCCCGAATTGTTGAAAATTTTTGGACCAAAGCTTTATGCCAGTTGCTTCCAGACAACAAAGTATTAAGAACTGACACTTTTTTTGTGTGTGTGTGTGTTTATTAGTACCTCATCATTCAAGGTTGAATTTGTTATACAAACTTTTGTGTATTAATTGTATTTTCATCTCAGCTTGTTAGTGTGTATGCCGTTGATGAGCTGCAGTGGTTACTAAAGCAGCTAACACCATTCAAAAAGGTCATTGACGACTACGGTTTGATTGGGAATGTTCAGGAATATGTTCAACCACTCGTAATAGATAGAAATACTTCAAGCTGCCACACCGAAGGTACTAATTTAGAATTATGGTGTATGGAGTGGATGACTAATAATTTAATGCTAATGCCACAGCTTTATGAGTTATGTGGGTTATGAGTTTATGAGTTATTTTTCGTTTGGTTGAATTTCGTTTTGCTAGTAGTGATATTACTTCAGTGGCATCGCATTCCGAACGTCGTTCATTATTGGGTTTCCGTCAACTGTTATCACTAACAATAGAGGTGCTAATATTATGGAAAATCTTGTGTGAGCATCAATTTCACGTTATAACAGGCCTTCTCAGTATACAAACTCGAAGCTCTTTGGCTGTCACAAGTCTCTGCAATATAGTATTGAGTGGTCAACAGGTAAAAGTTTTGATGCGTTTACCATGATTATCAGAGCGACCTGATCATTAAGGAGAGTATATTTTCTAGTGATAACAGCAACAGTGAATATGGCTATGGGTAGTGCACTAGTGCCGTAAGATTGGTCGGATATTGTTTCAGTTTAGGTAGACATATTTTAGTTTTATTGATTTGCAACGTATTACTGAATAAGGGATTATTTATGCTCATTTAGTTGTGTGCCGATTTGATAACATGTCTGGTTCGACATTATTTGGGTGATAATGCAGCAACTACTGTGTTATGCAAAGAACTGCGTGATTGTTGTCCCTCACTGTTTTCTGTAGATGATGCTAATACAACGAAGGTAGGCTCATTGTTTTTCAATAATTTTGCTGTTTCAGTATCACGAGAAGATACTTTTTATTCAGTGGCGTTCTGAAGTATAGATCCTATGGATATAATAATAGGAAGCAATTTTACTTTGTTGTTAGTCGTCAGCTACTTTACATTAATTATGGACGACTTATAAAGGAGTTATTGTTAAAGTTGTCTTCGTTATCCGTGAACTCTAGCTTGTATTTATGTGATGGAGAAGCACCATCGTTACAGTTTATCGAACTGCAGGCCACAGAGATGATCGAGGAAGTGCGCCATTTACCTCCATGTTCTGCACGAACAGAAATATTGTCAGAAGCCGTGAAACTATTAAAAATGGGAATTCAGAAAATCAGTTTGCCAATGATTTGTCAACTTCTTTACGAGGGTAACAGCTTATTTCACTGGTTTATGTGGTCCTCATTTTTTTTTTTCTAAGAAAACTTTAATCACAGTGTACTAGAGCAAAAGACAATGTTAGTGTGCCTGAATAATTTATTAGGGTTCTTGTTTTTGCAGTGATGACTTCTCTCGCTGAGTGTTTCATTTTGTAGTTTGGATTCAAAATATCGAACTATTTAATGTTAAGAAATGGCATAAGTCTGTCACTTCTTAAACTATAGCATCGTCTGTATAGCTATAGTCAGCAGATTAGATAGTTATATCAAACAGTTATCAGTTGCTAGAAAAAACAAAAAGTGAGGAAGGTGGGTTGAGTATGCTTATATTACTGCCGCTTTTATTATGATTTTCAGTTTTGTTCTTAACGATTTTTTCTCGGCTAACATCTCCAAAGTCTTCTTTGTTTCTACCGTAATATATAATGTATTTTAGTTGATTATGTGGAAGGGATAGTAGATTTGGCATTAGAACGAGCAGAACGTGATGATACAAGGTTATTAGCTGTAATGGCATACAGAAATTATTGCGGGGAAAATGATGTATTTGCACAAGAGGCATTTGCAAGAAGGTTTCTCTAATTCTTTAAATTAATTATCATGTGATGACCATGACCAGTTTTTTGTTTTCTTTCGCTTTAATGCAATTGAAAATTTTGTAGGAAAGATGCTTATAAGTGTATAATTGACACTTTGGATCGTTTAATGAATGATCAAAAAATTTCGAGTACAGCAGATCTACTTAATCCTTCGAAAGATCTCATCATCCGAAAAGTTCTGGAATCGAAAGATGAACTTGCAAATGTAGCCATTTTTAAATGGCTTCTGGATAACGATTTTAGCAATGTTGTTTTACAGGTTACTTGTTTACTCTGTTATGTTTTTCTCATTTAGTAAGCAAAGTTGCATTTTAATAACAAGGTTTCCTGCAATCATTTTAATTTACAGAAAAGAATGGTTCAAGAAGATGTGTTTTGAAAATATTTCTACAAAAATGACAAAATTATTTTCAAGTTGTTAATCCATTTCAGAGTAAATCTCCGTTCTTAGAATCATTCCTTCATCGTTGTGTTGAAGAAGGTGGTTCGAGTCGTTATTTAGATCTTTTATGGCGATTTCATGAACGCAACGATGATCATGTAAAAGCAGCTCGCCTTTTATACCAACTTGCTCAACGCGAAACGTGCGTTTACTTCATCGTTTAGTTCTATAATATTATTCTGATAACTTCCTGTATTATTTCTCTTTTGTTTCAAGGGATGCATTTGATATTCAACGTCGTGTTGCATATTTGTCGCAGGCTGCAGTTTGTGTTCAATCAGCAGGTCCGCAAGTTGACAAAGATATCGAATTACACGATCTGGTACTAGAAATACGGGACAAACTTGATGTTGCTCAAATTCAGCTTGCTGCAAGGTTAGCTAAATTATTTTCCTCGTCATATTAACCATGTATAATTTAAAGTTCTACTGGAATCTCTGTCCTTTTTCAGATAATTTTTATCTCCTCACCTTCCATCCGTTTACGTGTTCAGACTAACACATTTAACCTTACTTAAGTGGGTAACAAGACTTATTCTTAGATCATTCCATCTATCCTAGTCGACACTACTGGAGGTAATCCTGAATTTTACATTTTTTTTAATTTTTTAATCTCCATGTGTCGTCAACTGAAACAACATTAATTAATATTAATATGGAGATAAAAATTAGGGATTTGGTACTTTCGATGCCGCAAACTCGTGAAACAATTAGAGCCAGAAATAGTCTTGAAAAGCAATTGTATACGGTGCAGGAACTTTTCGAGAGGTTTGCTATTCCGTTGGATTTGCCGGAAATCAAGCTTGCTCTTTGTTTTTGTTCATCAACTTACAATGAAGATGCCATCGAAGATTTCTATACTGAAATAATTGACAGAGGTTAATAAATTAAAATTTTTTTAATATGCAAAAAAAAAAAAATGTGTAGAATTTGCAAATTTAATTAGATTTTGAACAAGAAGAGAAAAGGCGAATTTTCATTCTACCGCATGTCACTATTTTCTTTTCATTATTTGTATAATATATTAGGAATGGGAATATGTTATAATACTGATCGTAATTAGTAAGCAAATTTTTTCTAGCTTATTGAATTGGTTCACAATTACCCGTTGTTGTCAACTAATAACACTGGTTTACAGAGTTGCTTTTATCTGAAAATGAATCGCGTGAAATACGCATTCAACATTTAGGTAACCGAATAGCTAGTTTAGCGAAGAAGTATTCGATGGTACCAAAATATTATCCTCTCGGTATGTTTTTTTTTTCTTTTTTTTTTTCTTTTTTCTTTTTTCTATTAATGTTAGATAGGAAATGTAATTCTTCTAAATATGATATAGTATGTAACGAGTACATAACCGAGGAAAAAAATCTGGAGCATATTATATAATATGGAAAATCTGTAACCCTGTTTTCTATTTACGGAGTAATATGGAACAGAATTATCCTTCTTACCATAAAAAACTTGGTAAGTCTCTGCTGAAAGCAAGGTAAAGCACTGATTCTTTTTTTTTTTTTTTTTTTGATTTCTTTATTGACATCCATTTTTTACTTCTTGATATGTTTTCTAAGTACATATCTATTAAACTACATTTGCCGATTCATACTTTTTATCAAAAATATTTTGAAATATCTTCCTTTCTTTTTTCTTGTAGTGATAATTTTTTTTTTCTACTTTATTCATGATCTTTTCAGAAATAATCCTGTCGAAATTGTTGAGCAGAGGAATGCGCGAAGGCTTCTCACCTTCGTTTTTTCATTTCATTGGCGCAAAAATCGATGCGCCGCTAAATGTTATGGTTGATACATTGTCGGCTACGTTCAGGTAAATTGAATTTTTTTTCATTTTTGACTTTACTTTGAAGTATGATAATAAGTACTGTAGCTTTTCATGTCAGAGAGCTAAACTTTTGCAGGAGAGATCCTTTTTATCACAAGAATAATACGGCAAATCGTTACTTAATGCGGTCAGCATTACATGTTATAACTGAGTTTGTGGAAAATCCTTCTTGTATTTATCGGCAAAAGTAAGATTTGTTGTCATTGTTTTCACACTAGATGTATATTTTTCAACATTTTTCCTTCCAATCAGTAGAGAGAGCATTTAGTTGAAAGGTATAAGAAATGGCACTTAGTAGGAGAATTAATCGGACAAACTGGAACTTTTGAAAAACCCAGTGCAAAAATATTTATTGGTAATTTTTAAAATAACATTCTTTTTTTTTACTGAAATGTAGTAATTGATGTTTTTATTGCAGCAGGACGGCACTGGCTAGCAAATGTTTAGATTTAATAGCGGCATTTTTGATAAATCTTTCGCAGGCTGAATTCATTGTTTCTGATCAGAAAAAACTTGCTGAAACACTGAAATCTTTGCAAAATGTGTTGGAAAATATGTGAACTTTACCAGTGATTTTTTTCAATCGCGGTTGTTCAGTTGTTAATAAATTAACAAAAGGAGTCAATTCCTTTGTGTTTTTTTTTTTTTCGATTATATTCAATTTATTTAAATCAACATGACCTAACCGTAAACACTGCATGCTATAGGAGTGTGAAATAGTACATAAGGTTCATACTCAACCCTGTTTAAATAAGACAAAAATGCAATTTCAAGTTTGGAAGAGATTCACTTATATTCACCATAGGTTGTTTTGTGTAGGGAGAAGTCAGTAGAAAAGTTCAGATTGTTGAAAATTATGCTTTAGAATTCTAATCACAGATTTACTTTCCGACACTTTTGAATTCTCCCTCTTTTTCTCTCTCTCTCTCTCTGTTTGTTCAGTTTTATTTTAATGTAAGAGATGATTTAACCTTTTAATGTGTAAATAATGGAGAAAATCAGTGCAAATTTTGTAAACGCAAAGATTGCTGGAAATTCAAATTTCTTTAGTTTTATTAAGCTTTGAAAGGGAAAGCTTTCATTTTTCTAGATTAGTCGGTCTTTTCAAAAAATGAAGAAACTTTCTTGAAATAATGAAATTTGAATTTCTTATATGTAAGAAAATGCATTTCTTATGGTTAACTTCTAGGAAATTTTTTGCTAATGCTTTTTGGAAGCAAACAAATTAAGTGGAACTAAAAGATTAAATTTTGAACTTGAGTATGAACTGAGTTGAAAATCTTCATATTATAATTCATTCATATGAAATTTGGGAGGTTGGGGACTTATTAAATTTCTTCATTATATGACTTAACAAGTAACCGTCTTATTTCACTGTATGTACGAAAATGGGTCAGTTTAAAAAAAATTTTTATACTTCTGTGCGATCAATATCATGTGGAAATATGGGTTAAAAACTGGAATTCTAACAGATGAAACCGTTAGATCACTGATCTCTAGTAATTCAATTTCAAAAAATTTCATTCTTCAATTTTGTCTTTTTAGTGTCTTCGTGTGTGTTTTTTTTTTTTTTTTTCTTTTTCGATAAATGGTTGGGAAATGTTTTGATTATATCTATTTAATTTGGATTCATTATCATATATGTATTTCTAGAATAATATTAGTGTTTCTTCATGGTATACAGATATGTCTACTTTTTGACTATTTCTTTTTTTCTTTGGCATAACCATCATTTCAAAAATTTGTTATTAAAAGAATCTTCTCTGGCACTTTTATTGTTGACTTGTTGTCACAGTTTTTTTTGCAAATAAAATTTTGTCCGTTTAAAGTTTGACAATATAACGCTATAAAACCATCATTACATTGGATGCTGTTTTGCAATCCGCAATGAATATAAATGGACAAGAAGCGTTATATTTAATCTCATTGTAATTGATAGAATAGCAGAAACTTGATTCTAGGAATTAGATTTAAAAAAGTAATTAGTGAAGTGATAATGACTTGTGTTTGCAGGTGATAAATTATCTATATATCAGTGATGGATGCCTTGCTGAAGAGACCGTGAAAAGTTTTATCCTTGTTTGAGTTAATTATTCGCTTCCAAAACTTTTTTTAATTTATCATTTAATCCAGTTTACTGTGTGGACTTAAGTAATTAGCACACTTCAACAATATATCGACAAATTATTGATTCACTAACAGGTTTCCATTGTGCGTCTTTTTGCACTGAATTTTTAGTTGTTGCTAATGACACTAACCAACTGGACAGTCATTATTAGATGGATACTATCATTCATGGTATATTGCCACAATTCAATATAAAAGAGATAAAAGTGGAGACTTTACGGGAAATTGTAGTATGGGTTGTTATCATTCTGCTGCTGTAATTAACAAGTAAATATATGTAGTGTGAAAGAAAGAAAAAGGTGGACAGATAGGATGAGAAGAAATATTTTAACCATACAAATCTACCATTCCCATCATCTTTTCTTCTCTGTTAAATTTCTACCTTTTAACATCATTTCATTCTTATAATATTGTTTATTTTATCATTCTGTTTCTTTTTTACACTTACATTTTTTTTATGAAATGTCATAAAGTCGAATCGGATTAAATTGAATTTATGTTTTCTGAAATTTTCTTAGCTTAATATATGATAAAAATGAAAAATATTATAGTAAAAGTTTAACTTGATTAATCTTTAGAATAAATCATTCATCTAGTATTGATCTTTAAGAAGTAATACGAAAAAAATAAAAAGCAAAAAAAATTGCCTTTCTTTAAAAATTTTTCTTGTCTAATGTTAAGTGCATTGAGTCAGCATTTTTTTTTCTTTTTTTCTTTTTTTTTTAAGGACTAACGTAAATTTTTAAAATAAAAATAGTGAATGAGACAAAAAAGAGAAAAAAAAATTTTTTTTCGTTTAGAAAAATATTCCCTTTCATTAAATCAAATATTATATATATACATATTGCTACGATATTATGTTCAGCAATAATTCCTGTTTTTTTTTTTTTTTTTTTCCAGAAGAAAACCACTGTTCATTTTAATATTTATTGCAACTATTCGCTTTTTTTTTCGATTTATCCTAAAATTATTTTTGTTTCATTATTATTGTGATTATTACCCTGTTTTTCTCTTTTCATTGTTAACTTTAATATTCTATAGTAAAATAATCATCCTCTATTAGTATCATATATAGTATTCAAATAAATAAATATAACATATCATTAACCCTTCATATTATTCATAGGAAGTGGACTAATATTAGGTATGCAAAGATTTTATAGTAATTGCTAAGATTAGTTTTTGGAATATTAAATGAAAATGTTTAATAAACTAGTTTAAGGTGATTTACTTGAAGAAATTTTTACTACTTTATATTGCTATACTATAGTACATTTAATATTTAGAATTGTAAAAGTTTAAATAAATAATGACATATCATTATTTCATGTTATTTTAGTTTTTTTTTTTCTTTTTGTTATTAACTTTGATATTGTATAAATTTTAACAAAAAAGAAGAAAAAAAAGGAAACACTACAACATCTGACAGTTAATAGTTGAAACACAATAATAATAATAAAGAAACAAGGAATAAAAAAAGTGCGAATAACAATTTCGTTTAATGTCCCATTTTCTTTATCTTGTTTGCATCATATCTTATTTTAGTATTTATTGCTTTACTTTTTTTTTCAAATTCTTCATTATTTGTTACTCTCTTTTGTAAATGTTTTAAACTAAGGAAATAATGTTAAACAAAAATTAAATTTATGCAATTTTTTTCTTTTGAATTCAAGATTGGTCATAAAATAATGGAAAGAACACATAATATTAGACTTATAAATTGGTAATAAATGTATAATACAATGTTGGCTAATGAAATGAAAAACAAGGTGACAATTTTGAAAATAATAAAAATTGCGAGTTAACAATGATTGATCGGAAGTAATCAGTAAGGTTATCTTTTTATAATGGCATGAAAAATTCCTGAAAAATTCAAAATGCGATATCCTCTTGTTGTCATTTGGTATTTGAAGCAAATTAGAAATGTGAAAAAATTAGATGAGTTAGTGTTTCATGAACAGATCGATTAAATAAATAAAAAAAGTTATCGTCATTAAATGTCATTTTCCCTTTCATTATTTTAAATTAGCTATAACGTAGATGAAAAAAAAAAAAAAAAACTTTAAAATATTTCTCAATAAGAAACAAAATATGCATTAAGAAAGTTTATAATAATTGTTTGATCTTTTATCATTAAACTTAATCATTCATTCAAAATTTGATGAAAATATTTGGTCACATTCGAAAAAATGATCAATTTATGGATTAGATACACTGAAAACTACAATGTCGATTGCCTGTATCGTACAACAACAAAAGAACCCAGTTCTTAACGGGAATATCCGACGATGCCATCGGACAATGAACACTTCAAAAGTTGAAATTTTCTCTCATCCATCATTTATTTGGTCTCTCATCAATCTTTCATTTATTTTTTCAATCAATTTAATAATTCTTTTTCTTTTTTTCATAAGAAATATTTCTAAATCAGCTATTTATATAGAAGATTTTCTCAATAAACTCCTTCAATTGCAACATTTATGCTTCTATGTAATCGTAATAAATAAGCTTAATTATTGTTAGCAAAAAATGAATTGTCATTTTGATTAATATGGATATGTTGAAGTATTAGTTAGAGTGCTTTGAAATTCATATCTGCAAAACATAATTGTATATTCATTAATTTAATAAAATATTATGTATGCGTTCCACTTACTGAATGACAATTTTTTTTTCATCAATTTATTTTCTTTCTTTACAAATCTGAAATGATTGTTTACAACAAAAAGAGGCTGATAAATTTGTATATTTAAAAATTTTCTTTCTTTTTCTAGTCTTTTAGAAACTAAATTTTTCATCATACAAAGTTATAAATATTATTAGAAACGGTAACATGCACATATTGTAAAATATTCGCCTTTCAAGATTCATGTCTACCGCTCCTGCCAAGAAAAACATTCCGAATTGCTGCAAGTTGTTACGGAAAACCGATTTGGAACCGTGTTTTTGGGTTAATGAATATGTTTATACTGGTTATCGGCCACCATACTTATCTGCAATGCAATATATGAAATGGTTAGCTTTAAATTTGATTATTCTGCCTAAGAGATACGTTTGCTTACAATGATCAGTTATGATTTAAACTGATTTGTGCTTTGTTGTAAATTATTGAAATTTTTATAATTATTTGATTAAATGATTTTCATGAAAATAAATATTAAATAATAATGGAGAGAGTTTGTAGAAGTAGAAGTGAAACTATTCTTTAGATGGTACAAGTTAAACATGCATTTATACTTTCGATATTTACAATTTTAATTTTTTCCAATTATTGCTTTAATAGCAATCATTAGTATAACACTACTAATCAACTAATTATTTAATTTAATCAGTGATTGTTAATAGTTGCTATTTTTTAATCATTGATTAATTAATAGTAAGCATTATAAAAATATTATTGCAAAAGAAGAAAAGAAAATGTTGAATTTGTAAATTTTAAAATATTTTATTAGCCTTAAATTTCCAGGATATTTCAATGGAATAATGAAACAATTAATATATGGACTCATCTGATCGGTTTCTTCTATTTTACGTGGCGTCAATATGCAATAAATGTTTATTTATTGCCCCCAGCAAATGCTAATGCAAAAGATCATATCATTGCTACAGTATGCTTGCTTGGTTTACAGGTAATCTTTCCTATTACTTTTTATCTAATTGCTTTAGTGATTAAAATGATCAAACATAATAAATTAGGTGCGAAGAATTATTTACAACAGAATGGATGAGAGTGTAGGAATGAATGGAAACATTTTTTGTTGAAGTAGACAAATTATCCGATGGCATTAGTGATAATTAATAAATCATTTCATCATTTCAGTTTATAGCATAAAACCACAACTAATTAACGTGGTTGTTAACTAATGTGATTACAATTGCATCAATTAAAATGTGTTATTAATTGATTAGAAACAGAAACATTTCTGCTTCAAATAGCCAAAACTGTTACCAATATTTTAATTTGTTAAAATGTGGAAAATGTGTATTTCGTAATAATAGAAGTGAACAAAAAAAATGTGCCAAAATTTTTTTAACTATTTTGAAAACCAATAAATAAAAGTTTATTACAATTTTGTTATTGCTAAAAATTCAATATTAAAAACAAACATTTCATGTAAGGTAATATATAATATTCTAAAATTTTGATAACGATTCCTCCTTTCCATTCAGGAATTTTTTGATTTTATGAGATTTTTTGGATCAGTGAAATGAGTCATTCATATGTAAAAACGATCATTCATTTTATTTCAATTTTTTTAAAAAAAATCCAGTGAATTTTTAATCTTCTTCCATTTATCCTTCATAATTTTCACATTAGAAAAAATTGTCAAATCATTCAGATATGCATGCTTTTATCAACGTTTTATCATATCTTCGGTTCAACAAATGCGGAACGCAGACGCATGTTATTACGATTTGATATCTTTGGGATATCAGCTGGTTTACTTAGCGTTTATTTGATCGGTATTTATACTGCATTCCTATGTTTTGAGGTTTGTTTCATTAAAAATTTTTGTATCTTTTTTCAATCAGGTGAAGATTTTATTTTTGTTAATTTTAATGAAGTTTAGAATATGCCTAATACTAATGCCTTTTTATTTTTAGATCGAAAAATACAATAAAATGCCTTTTTTTCTTTCTTGTTTATCATTAATATTAGTTTTTATTTTAATTGCATGTTGCGAAACATATGTTACTAAAAATTTTCCATAAAATATAAAAAGAAATTTTGATAATTTGACGCTTATTAAATTGTAAATTTGCTTGAATGTGAGTTTTTATATAAATTTCCAGAAAGAAATGTATTATTTATTTTTGCAATGAGTTCACGTCTAGAAAACAGAAAGTAAAACACGTCAATACATGTTGAAAAATATAACATATGAAGCATAAAGCTTTTAAATAAAGTTGTAACATTTGATAATTTCATTACTTTCTTGATATGTAATTATTTATTAACAAATTATTTTTAGTATTTTCAATTCAAAAAACTTCTAAGAAAACAAATCTATAAAATTAATTTTGTCTCTTTTTTTAAAAATTCCTTTTTTTTTTGTTGCTTTGTTATAGAAGACATCCCACAAATAATTTATTTAATACATTATCTTAATGTAATTGTTTACCCATACATCATGCACTTAGGTTAATTTCAAACTGCAATAGCCATATTGATAATGATTTAATTAATAAACTGTTTTAATTAGCAACTGTATGTCATTAAGCATAACCTAAGAAGTGGTCGGTTATCAAACTTTTCTAGGCATAACCTAGAAACGATCGGTTACCAAACGTATTACTAGGTAATAGACGTGTAAAATTATTCATAAGAATGATTTAAAATTACATAACAAAATAATGCTAGTTATAAAATATAACAAATTAGAAATGCATTAAAAATATATAATTAAAAAATATTGACGAAAATAGGAAGAAAATCTTTTTTATTAAAATGATATTTGATGTTTGCAATCCATTGTTTATTTATTATAATGATGGTAATAACATTTGAAACAATTACGTTTATCTAACATTTGACATCATTTGATTAAACGATACAGTCATTATATGTAATTATTAAATTGTTTTAATCAATAGTAATCAAATATTGAAGGAATGGCAAAAATATTATTTTGCATTTTTATTTGGAATTTCACTGATAGCAGCATATTTACCGTTAAGTAACAATATTAGTGATATGGCGCTATTTGGCTCACAATTCGGTTGCACTCATTTAACTTATTTGATTATTGCTGCATTAAGTTTTGGACCAGCATTTCATTGGATTGCTTTGCATGGTGGCATTAGCAATGACCATGTTATGGTATATAAAATTCATTGATAAAATTAATGAAAGAGAAAATTAATAAAAAAGAGAAATTAAAATTTCTTTCTTCATTTATCATTTCTAACATTTTGTTAATTGTATATGATTACACTAGAAATAGTTATTTCTAGAAACTTTAAAAGTAATAACTGATGAAATTATAGACTTACAGTCTTATTATTACACTAATAAATAGAATAATTATGAAAATATGCGCTAATCAAGCAATTAATCTTCTAGGAATGGTTACCAAAACTGCTTATTTTATATGGAACATCGGGATGTGCATTTTTATTCTATGTTTCGATGATTCCAGAAAGACTAAAACCGGGTGATTTCTTCTGATCTTTTTTTTTCGCAAAATATTACTAGCCAATAGATTAATATGTTGAATAGCTGAAATTTGTTAATATGTTTCGTATCTGAATATCCAATAAGCAGCTAAATTATCAACCTGAATAATTCTTAAATAAAATGATCAGATGATCTAATGCTTCAATTTTATTCTTCATATTCTGACTTATTATTACTGACTCAAATTTTCAGGTATCTTTGATTTAGTTGGATGTAGTCATCAGTGGTGGCATATCTTAATCTTTGCGGCTATGTCGTACTGGCAGAATGCAACTCTTGATTATTTGGCATCACATCGCTTGCAAACAAACTACTGCCTAATTTATAATCCATTATCAAATATCACTTTAGTGAAATAATTTATGCATCTGCAAGTAATATTGTTTTAAAGTGTAATACATCAGCCGATCATCAATCGACCGTTTGGTCAATTTGGTCAACTGACCATCATTGGCTGAGGTATCAAATTTGTTTTTGAGGACGTAGTCAATTATAAAATAATTAAAATAAGAATGACAATTTGTATTCAATTAAATTTAACTTCAAATCCAAATTCGTAGCAGCTTCTGCAATATCCTTCTCCTACTTCAAATGTGTTTTCGGGATGTGTGCTTTTAGTCAAGTTTGATTCATCCCATTAAAATCATCCGCATTATTGTGGTTCACTTTTTCATCCCTTGAATGTCTAAAAAAAAATATTCCATTTTGATGGAACTTCTTCATTTACTTTTGTATTAATTATTCTTGCACAAATATTTTCACATTCTATGACATATTTCATAATTAATAAAAGTTGGAAAGAATTCTGTTAATCGGTGAATAAATTTGTTTGAATTCAATTTTAACTACAATCCCTAATTTCCTTCCTTCTTAATATGACAAAAATTGGTATAGCACTGTTATGTATGCATTAATTGCAAGAAAAGTGAAATTAGTTCAAAAAATGCCTATCGTTTTTTCTTTTCTTTTTTTTGTAAATAATCAGATAAGGTCATACATTCCAACTTCTTGCCACTAATTTTCTCATTCCTTGTTTTTTTGTTGATGTCATTTATTTGCCGTCAAATGAAATGAAGCTTGCAATAGATGTGATATGAAACTGAACTTTTGAAATAATACGAAAGAAAATATGGAAGAATTATCATTTGTACGATAAAGTTTTTCAGGATGATAAAGTTATGTTAACATTGAATTGAGCATTGTATGCTAATCAAACTTTCATGAATAGAATACTAACTGAAAGAATTGTAATGAATTTAAGAGTAACATTTAAAGCAAAGCCATTCTTGATTCTTATAATGGAACAGTAGTAGTCCTAAAGGATAAATTATTAAAATGATACAGTACAGGGCAAAATGTGTAGACGTTACAATCGATTAAGATTTGATAGTAATGATCGTGCTTCCGGAATTTTATCCAATGTTTCAAGTAATCTTTTTGCTTTCAGTGCTGTTTCTTCATTTCCCACAGTTATGTTATTCAAACGTCTGATCAATTCATGTCTACCCTAAAATATGAGAAGCTAAATTACTCGATAATTTTTGAATGTAATATCATCTCTTTGAATTTGATGAAATCAATCGGCTAGAGAAAACTGCCTATTTAAAAGAAGTTTTGCAAATGCAACACAATATATATTAATTTCACTCTTAACTATTTAATTTGAATTTTTTATTTCAAGAATAAAAGTAATTCCTTGGCAAATCTATCAGGAATTTATATGAAAATATAGTGATATAAATCTTAGTTTATATTCATTAACTTCTAAAAGTCATAACTGCTTGCAACTATTCAAAGATTAGTTGGTTTAAATTTTCACCTTTGGTGCGTAAATAGAGAAATAAATAGTGTAATTTGGGTTGGCAAAAGGATCTTGATTTAATGGAGCGATAACTTCATAAGTTAAAGATAATGCATGCACTGCTGATGACATACACAATAACCAAGTAATTGCACGCAATAAGATTTCTGGTTTATCCGTATCCAGAATTGACAATAAGCCTGTCACTGTCTACAATGTTGAAATGAAGCTAAGATATTTTTACTTTGGATTAATTAGGTAGATAAAATGATACAAATCTTGATCAGTGTACAAGGTTAAAACAAAAAACAAAAGAAACACACCTTACTGCCACTAATCTAACTGATGACTAATTTTTCTGAAAATATTGTCTGAAAGGTATATGAAATGTACCTTAGCAGCTAAAATATGCGGAACCATATCAGGACAACATGATAAATTTACCAGTAATCGAAGTGAATTAATGTTTGCTTCACCTTTTTCCCAAAGCCTATAATAATTAATACGTATATAATTGTCAAGTAAAAATAATTAATTTAATTGATTAGAAGTTTTATACCAAAAAAGTCAAAAAGAAATTTAATTTGGTTATGTCTTAAAATTTCATATTTTGGAAACTTGCATCAGTTTTAAAAGAGTTTAAAAAATTCATAAATTTTATATAAAATTGATAAGTTAGTAAAACAGAGAAAATAATTATACCTTTTGAGACAAACAGGTACAGCTGGTAAAATGATTTTAACTTGTGATCGTGTAATTGTATAGGATAAATTAGTGAGCGCTTGAAATGCAACTGTTCGTTCCATATCCAATGATGAATTCAAACGTTTCACAACAAACGATATCGTTTGTTGTAGTATTTCGATATTTTCCCTGCATGCAGCCATATTTGCAATGCATTGTAATAGCATAACCTGATTTTAGCAAAACAAATAAATATTTCATTGCATAAATTGCAAATTTGAAAAAGTTCACTTATGAAATTAATAAAAAATGAAAAAAAGAAAAACAAAGCAGTTGAACCTTCGAGGAATTTGGTAATGCTGCATGATAGTTCTTCATCATTTCTGCTATTTCTTCAGTTATACCAAATTGGGCAAATAAATACTGGAAAATTGCAAATTTTGAATCAAATATTATTATTAATATATATATATATTGAATAAATGAATAAAAATCGGTGATAATCAATAAAAGATCATTGATATAATCAATAACTGGTAATGTAAATAAACAACACGAGTAATTTATTTTTTACTGCATAGTTAAAAAAATTTTAATGATTTCTGAAAGTTTGAATAACATATTTCTAATATAATATTAACTGTTTGGTTACATAATTAAGTTAATAGTAAAACCTGATTTGCAGTATAGGCAGTAGCATTTGAAATGACTGTCAACAGTGGTAAAAGGATATCCGACGAAATATCAATGCATTTTAATGCGGTACATAGATATTTTGCTTCTGATGGTGTGATCAATTTCTGAACGAAATGATAATTTAATTTTAGACAATAAAATCAAAAGTTAATAGAAGCCATCCGTTTATCATTAACTGCAAATTCATTTTTTGAAAAATAAAAATAAAAATCACGATATGTAAACCTGTGTTCGATAAAGTTTGTTAATCAATGACTTTAATTCATTGCTTGTTGAAAAGAAATTTGCTGATGGATTAACCGTAATACGCCACTGTGGGGAATTATGCTCATCATCATCCGGATCTGTTTGTGGTAAACTCTGCAAAAAAAAAAAGAAAAAAAAAAGAAAACGGATAAGCAAGTCAATAAATAAATAAATAAAGTAAAATAATCTTAGCTAATTTAATGGAGAAGAAAATTAAACAAAAATAGTAGATGTTTGCTTTCTTTTCATTTAAAAACGGAAATTTTGAAAATTAGGATATTTTTCATTTATAAATATTGGTATTCTTATTTATTACTATAATAGTAATATATCACTAATTAAAATGTTTATCTGTTGTCGAATACTGTGATAAATTTTCCGTATACTTTTTTTGCATTCTATTAATCATATGATTAGCTAAGTCATTTGTATAAAATTGATTTATAGAATAGTGAGATTAGTTAACTAATTAACTAATTAATTTGAACTAACTATATTGATTAATATCTTATTACATATCAATACATATTATTTTTCTTTTTGCATCTTTAACTGCTACATTTTTTCTCTTTCTTTCATTCGACAAAAACATGAAATTTTTTTTTTTTTTTTTTTTTTGAAGAAAAAAATTTCAATTTTCACATTTTTATTAACACAAAACACATTTCATGTTTTTTTTCTTTTCATTCAATTTGCAAGTAAATTTGACGAAAAAAAAGAGAGAAAAATAGAAAAGATGCAATGAATATCTAAATTTAAATTTACCGGTCTTTTCTAATTTTCTATGCTTACTGTAGCAAATGTGTTTTATTATGTTACAAAGGTTTCTTTTTTTAACACTTCACTCCAATTTGTAGTACTTTCGGAGTTGTGCTGAACTGATGCGTATAAATTTAATAAAAATATTTTCCCTCTCCATAATGCTACAAATGCGCTTCAAAATATTTCATACACATCAAACAATAATAATAAAATTTTAAACTTCTTGAAATGTTACATTACCTTTTACAAGGTAAAAGCTTACGTAATAAATAAAAAAAAAATATCATACATAGAAGCTCTCTCTACAATACCTCAAGAAGCCTTTTTACTTCCGTATACGTAAAGTATGTTTTAAATACAATAAAATAGATTAATCTGAATGTGAAATCATTCTACTTAAATAATCATAATGAAAAGCAGTAAAAAAAGAGAAAAAAAAAAAGAGAAAAGAAATTACAATGAAACCTGAAAACTTCCAAAACGTGATGAAGCAATTTCAACAACGAAAGCCGATTGCTGCTGTCCCATTTAGTAAACGATGCTATTGATTTCCATCAAAGAGTGATGTGATGGGATGGTGGTAAATGAGATGCATTTATAGGCTTTCAATTTCGATTCTTTTTAGACTCCCATTCGACTCAAGCCTAAGCCTAGGCTTTTGCTCTCCTTATTCTGCCTGTGACAGTTATTCACTGATTTTGCTAGTTGCTATTGCAGTAGCCAAAGCAAGAAATTGATTTATCTTAAGCTATCATCCATATATTCACTTCCAGAAAAACAAAAAAAAGGGAAGTGGATGAAAAAAAAGATGTATATATGGTCCCCATTGGAAAAATTTTTTACATGAAAATTAAATTTAATTGTGTAAAAAGGATGGGTTGATCAATTGAAACAAGTGTGACGAAAGGAACAAAAAAACTTTCGTTTCTATCAAGCACTCTCCAAACGACAAGCAACAGACAATTTTTTTTTTTTTTTCATCGAGATAATCCAGCTTGTTGTTCATTTAGATGAATTAGTACAATGATACTAACTAAGCAAGAATGACGACAATATGATCAATATGATAAGATAAAATATTTCAAATCATTCTTTTTTTCTTTCCCAAAAATTTAAACTTATTTTGCTTAATACATTTCGAATGAATCATGTATCCAATTGTAAATCACGAAACTATTTGATAAGAGATTTTGCATAAATATAGTTACATTGAACAAATAAGTAAATGATATCAAAATTAACTTTATTTGGGAAACAATTTAGCAGCATTTGGTAAGGCACTTTTGAGATCTTTGAGGCATTGTTGAGGCTGTAGACTTTGTAAATTAAGTGTTGTGGAAAAGCCTAAACGTCCTTCACCGATTAAAATTTCTGTATTCTGTGGATCAATACCACATGATGTCGCCAAACGAATGCCTTCACTGTATGTAAGTTTCTCAATTTGCTTCCGCATCTCTGGCCACATCATCTCGGTTATCATCCCTGAAAATTTCATTACTTCTTTATCTGTATAATATATGCCGCTTAATAGCGTCATTTACACGATTAGAAAAAAAAAAAAAAAAAAAATGGCAAAGCGCATCATAAAAAAGACTAAACTAAAATAGAAAATAATAATTGCCACATTAAATAAAAGTATGCTAATTTTCTCCTAATACAAGTATAGTTTTAATAGCTAAGGAGGATATTCGGCCAACTGTTATCAATTATCCTAATAATAGTTAGATTAACAACGATAAAATGCTGAGATAAGTGTCTACCTTTTATCAAGTCCTGAACGAAAAATGACCAAGAAGGAGGAAAGGCACCACTTTCCATCACCACATTTGTGTCAAGCAATTGTACTAATGTCCGCAATGTACCGGAATCAATAACGGGTCGTAATTGGGCCGTAACAGATAGGAACATGGATACAAATACAGATGTAACGTTTTTATCGGGATTCACGACACGTAAATTGAGCCTATCACGCCTTGAAATTGAGAAAAATGTTTGATTTCAAATAGACGTAAATCCTATTTCCAATCAATGAACAATGGTAGGACTTTCACCGTTTAGGTTTGGCTTTAAGCAAGTGTGATCTTAAGTTTCTAACTTTTTGCATTGAATCATACTGCTTTGGAAGCATTAATTGAAAGAACTTACTTTTCCAGGACAACAGTACCGTTTGTAGCTGTCAAAATAGGTGATCCATTAGCCCAAACATTTAGCAAGAAATAGCAAGAAGTACAAAGAGTTGAAAGAAATTCTCGAGACGAAAGAGGTATCACGGGACTTGTTACCGCAATTGTTTCCTCCATCCACTGGAAATTCCAGTCAATCTGCAAAGAATTTGAACTCAGATTCTCTTTTCAAAACAACTTTTTGTTGAGGTTCAGTAACATGAAATGGCTAAATATATGATAATTTACTTAGAACGATCGCATGGAACATCGCAAATTTGGCTTTCAACCATTTCGAAACTCTAAAACTGCATAATTTCTTTAAACATTTGGGATATTTAAAAGTATAACTTAAAAGAACCTGATTGAGGAAATCATTAAGGGCTGCATCATCAATCCAAGTTATTATCCGATCTTCGTTGTTCCATTTCATACTTACGTTTGCATATGAAATTCCATTGTTTTCAAACGAGCGCTTCCAATTAATTTCTGTTACTATCAAAATATGCTTCTCTTCTACTATTATTGATGTTAAACGATAGAATAAGGAAGAATCTGCGGTATTGATAACGTCACGAATATGAGCTGGCAGGATCTCATTTAATGACACGTTCCTGAATCTTTGAAATTAATCATAAATCCTTTTTATGATTTTGAAATTGATTGTAAAAAAAAAGAAAAAAAAAAAAAAGAAAATCATCCATGTACTTACATAATAACGGGATTTTCGATATTTGAGATGTAGTTGGCGATAGACGGACAAATGAGCTGCTGAAGATGTGATCGGATCGGATTTGTTGCGATGTATAACAATGTGCCTATCATCCAGTAGCTACTAGATGTAGCATTAACGGTTGTATCCCGTAAGGAACATGATAACATTCGAACATTTTTCTCCTCGATACGTACCGCTAATTCAACATCACCCACCTGAAATGATTACTTAAGTTTCGAAAGTAGTAAAAAAATACAACTCCTACTATTTTAATTGAATGATGTAAAAGATAATGAAAATGTATAAGATTGAAAGTAAAGGTGATTGAAATGATAGCAATAAAAAATAGCAAGCAGAAGTTATGAAAAGGTAATTAGTTGTAAAAGAACTTACATAAACGGCAAGATCGACTGTTTCATCGCCAAAACTAACCGGCCAAATATTTGGAGTGATGTTTGATTTGGAATTTATTCGAACACTGCTTGCTTTTAAGCGTATCGTGTCAGGATAAAATTTAACAGTAACATTTGAATATGAAATTCGATTGTATGTTTTGATATATGCAAGAGGTAATAGAAGTGGGCTTTCATGTGTTCGAAATGATAAATAAAGTGAACGCGGTGAACTAAGTAATTGATGAGCTGCTTCACGAATAAGCTGTGATGCGGCACCAGATCCGATATCAAGGGATAAATCAGATGCTGTTATAACTGAATATTTCAGATACAGTAGTTGCGCAGAAAAAGTTAAATAAACAAGTAAGAGGTAGTGCATGACGTGCACACCCTCTAAGCACCACCACCATCATCATCTTCACGGCATTAGTCATTGGAAGAACAAGTTCTTGAAGGACAACCTCGATTTTCCCCGCTGTTATTGATGATTGAGAAAGAAGAGAAGAGAGAGGGACACCCATATCAAAATATCCTCCCATCTAGTACATATATGCACATCTGTTTTGTATCTTTCCCTTACTACAAATATTATTTCATGGCCTTTACGCATGCAACTTTTCTACATCTTCTCATTTACAACATTCTTTCTTTTGCAGACATACATTTACATCCTCTTTTACAGGTAGATAGTTATTTTTCAATCATCTTAACATGTCATTTCATTCATTCATTCATTTATTTTCAATACTCTTTATATATTATCTCTTAACCAATTCAGACATCTTTTTTCATTATTTTTATCATTTAAACATAAGTTAATTTTAATATAAAAATTTTTAATTCAGTCTTAAAATAGGAAATTTTTTTGTTAAGATTTATTTATCATCGTCCAATGCTGTACGAATACGTATTTTACCGCGAGCTGTAGCTTATCTGAATAATATCGGAGCTGAAATATTAAATGAGCAATTACCACGTTTATCCATATCAAATCTCAAACAACGCATCAACAATGGCCAAGGATATATTTTACTATCACGAATACGTGTATCACGGTATAAACGACCAACTGAGCATATCATTTCTACATCAGCTCCAAATAAAATCATTTGGATTATGAAAAATTTAAACATAGGGTAGGTAAGATCACATAAATAAATAATGATTAAGCACAATTCATAATTACATATAGCATTCTGAGAGATCATTAATGATATTAAATACAAACGAAAATATGATTTCTACATGAAGCTCATAACTTTCAGATTAATAGGAAGTTTATCAGGCGAAGTAAATATACTAGTACCGATGAAACTTGAGGGTGAAGCAGAAGTATTAGCATACGGTGTTAATTTTCAATTAGAAAGTGCCCTAGAGAGATCAGAAACAGGAAGAGCTCGAGTGTCAATAATTTTTTGTCGTACAACTATTCAGTTAATGAATATTGAAATTCATAATGGTGGTATGACTGGAATAGCACTGAATTTATTTAAGGTATTTCCATTTTTAATTTTTTTTTCTTTTGATCAGTAATTTTTTGCACCCAGATATTCTCATGAACTTGAATAAAAACAAATTTGGCAATAATTACTTCTTTCTTTTTAGTGGTTGGAAGCAATTTATCCCAGTCATATTAAAAAATCTCAAATATTAAATAAAATTCTCTTTTTTCGCTTAGAATTCTATTTCTTTTTAAATAAATTTTCAGCTGTTATTTTAAAATCAAACTTCCGAGAACTTAAAAGATAGGAAATAACACTTTCACACATTTATTTATATTAAAATTTCATATATTTAGTAGTAGTTTTATTTCTTATATTTTGGTAAATTATTATTTTGGGAAATGCCCGAAAATGATGTTTTCTGAATTTGCAATCCTGAAGGAATATCCATCCGTTTTAAAAACTGGAATAAGTGGAAAAAAAAAAAATTAAATAGTTAACATTTTTGTTGTGCGCTTAGCTTTCAATTATTTTACTATTATGTGTGTGCAAACATTAGCGCAAGATGTTAATTTGATTATATTGTGAAAGTTTTCGAATACAGTATGGATAACGTTTTCAGAAATTTGTAAGCCATAAAGTTACTTTTTTATCATAGAATAGATATGGAAGTTGTATTTTATGATTAAGTGCAATTTCAAAATGATAATAGATATTTTAGGTCGTAAGATTATTGCATTTCAGGTTTTCAAAATTTATTCCTTACTACTAATATTTATTAAGTATTATTATTATCATTACATTATTTCAAAAAATTTACAGTTATGATTAACACTTTGGTTTATTTATCCAATTTTATTTGTATATTTTCAATTTACATCTATAGTAGTTCAAACAAATTTCATCAGACTTAATTTATCAAATGTAAATTTCAATAAAATAAATTAGCATAAGAAAGTGTTGGATCGAAACAAAATCGAGTAGATAGTGTGCTGTTTGATTAAAGTATGAAATCTAAAATATATGCTAATTTTATGAGTATATTTTGAAGTGTGATTAAAGTTTAGCAAGGTATATCGGAGCAAATTCGTTCATTGATTGAAACGCTAATTTGCAAAAAAGTAACAGAATTTATCAATGACGATTTCAATGAGAAATTATTACAAACTCAAACAAAAACATCGCTAGCAGATGTAATACGAATAAATGCGTTTGCTGCAATTGGATTACCTAATACTAAAGAATTAATGGAAACTTTTCGATCATATAATGTTAATATTAGTTATTCTCATCTCGAAGTAAGCTTTTTCTCAAAATTCATTAAAACAATTTTTGTTTAATAAAGAGAAATAATCAATCATTTAATAAGGTAAATTCTACCAATAATAGTAATATGAAAGTATACTAAATTACTTAATATTTGTCCTAAAACCTGCTCACAATAATAAATCATTAATTCTTTTATCTTTTAATTAGAATTGTCATTCATTGCAGATTACTTGCGAGCCATTACTATTTTTTTCTTTTCTTTTTTTCTTCACCCATATTTGCATGTTCTAAATTTCCTCAATAAGTGGAGAATTAAAGAAATGAAAGAATAATTTGAAAAAAAAATTTCAATTATCTTGTTGCTATTTACTGCTTTCTTCATGTTCAATAACAATAAATTGAAATTTTTGAAAAATTACAGTATATAACATTGCAGCAACTAGTTTCCAGAATTCTTATTGACTTCAGGTTAGTTAAAGCTTCATTAGCTTTAAGGTATGTCTGTGTATCTGTTTGTGTCAACCTATTTTTGTATGTGTTTGTCTGTGTGCGTATGTATGTATATACGTACGTATATGTATGTGTATCTATGTATGTGGTATGTGTCTGCATGCGTGTGTGAATACTGTCTATTGCTTCGCTTTTTATTTTAATTTAGTATTATTTTATCTTTGCTGTGAATAACTTTTATAAATTGGATTATAAAGTTGCACTAGTTCTCATATGATTTCACTAAATATGGATTTTGAGGCAAAAAAATAAAAAAAGAAAAGGAAATGGAAATCAGGAAATATCTCGAGAATTTCGAATCCATGTTATAATTTTTTGGGTTACGATAATCATAATCACACTTTTCATGACGGATTTCATTTGATAAGTTCAGATGAGATACTTTCAGGAACTAGGTTTCCCGTTTTTATACTAATTTCAGGTTAGTTAATTCACCGTTAATTACAATTTACGTTTGTTCATGGGTTGTGTGTGTGTGTGTTTATGTATGCTTGTATAGACACTAATGACTATTGCTTTTGCTTTTTCATTAATTTAGCACCACCTAAAAAATAAATGCAAACATTTTCGACATAAGATTTGCCGAAAGAATTACAATTTAAAAACTTAGCTTTCTTCCTTATTTAACTTGCTTTTATGATTTCTTATCATTCTACAGAAATTTAAATGACTAACTTTTTAAGCTACAAATCAGTACACATCCATAATTTTATATTTCAGGCTAAATGAAGATCCATTGTGTTACAAAAATACGGTGGAAATATCTAACATGGGTGAAATTTCACTAATCATAGGACAGAACATAAAAAAAACTCCATTCAGTGCTGCACCAATGTTTTGGCCAAAAAAACCTTTGCAAAATGCAATGATACATTTGCTTATATCCGATTATATTGCGAACGCATTACTTTATCACGCTTTCTCGTAAGCTCACGTTATTTGCCATACAGTATTGGAGAAATGCTTAAAAAGGATGAAGTGCAATTATTCATCAAGTAGCAACTGGCAACAAATAATAATAATATTCATTGAATTTTTAAAAATTAGAAAGGAGAAAAGTTTTCGGTTAAAATTTAAGAAAAGAAAACATTTCACACATCACATGTGAGATAGGGTAAAATTTCATATCGATGCATGAAATTAATATGCAATAGGAAGTAAATAGTTCATGCGTATTAAAGGAGAAAAAATTTCAAGTTAAAATGAATGAGAATACTTTTAACGAATACTTGCTTTAAATTAATGAAATTTGATTGCATTTTGATTTCATACTGATCGTAGCATTATGAACTACGCTTTTTTTTTTCAATTAAGAATTTGCAGGGAACGTTTGTTGCAGTTTGTTGTGGATGATCAGACAATTTCGTCTTTAGGTCCATTGCTTCGTACCTCCTGTACAACTGGAATTTGTTTTGCTGATCTGATACCTCAAATAGCTGAACAGTATCCAGATAGCAAAGTTCGACTCACTTTTACGCCCACCCGTGCACCTGTGGTACTATTCCAAGCGAAACAGGGTGGTTCGCGAAATTTTTTAGTTTTTCATTATGTTCAAAAGTCTTACCTTTTCATATCTTACACTTCCACTACAGTAATATTTCTTAAAGAAAAGTAATTCCCTAAATTTAAAGTAATCTTTTAAAGGTCAACTTTAGTTTTTTATTCAAATAGAATTTATGTTTGCAGGTGTACTAATGGCTAATATAAATGGTTTGGTATTTATGTATATTGTAGAATCCAATAAAATAAGCCATCAAGCGGCAGCATTTGCTTTAGACATTGTTGCGAACATAAAGTTACATGTTGAGGTAAGATTTCCCTATAATAGATAAGACAAATGAATAATTTTAATTGTTCACTTGTTCATTATTTGATTTATTTATAGAACAATACATTACTTGGAAAAACATCGGTGGATAGCTTTCAGTTAAAGAACAAATATGGATACATTAATATAAGTGATGATGAATTATCTGATGTTGCATTGCTAAGTTCCGAAATGCTTCAGCGTTTCATCAATGACTTTCTCCGTGGCGGATTTCCAATACCAGTACCAAAAGGTTTTCTCTTAATATCAAACTTATTGATCATAGTTATTAGGATCAGGATATATTGTTAGCTACGAAAATTAATTATAATAATAACTAATTAATAATAATTATTATCATAGTAATCCTTCCTTTTCTTCCAAATACAACGTCCTTGAACCTCTCAGTTCCTTCAAATAAGCCTATCCACTTTTACCACTCTTCCTTACTGTCAGCAGTGTACCAGCCACACTGCATGATATAAGCATTTATTGAATACTACATTTCAGGATATACTTTTAACTACGAAAATCCATACATTCATGGAATTATTACTTTTTTTTTCACTCCTTTCATTCAGAACAGTTCTGAACAAGGAAAAAAATTGAAGAATTTCAGTTTTACGGATCAACATCACTCAACTGCAAATCCTTGATCGGAGTGTTTTCATATCTGCAGACTTTGCTTTGGATCGGAAACGTGTAAACAACCTTGCCTTACAGGCATTTACAGATGTCAAATATTTTCCACCTAGCGAACACATACAAAGTAACTGAATGAATAGAAGAGTGACAATTCATTTGATGTAAATATTTTCACTGTTTTAAAATTTTATACGGCCGACGCGTGTGAATAAATTTTATGTCTGAATTTCGAGTCGCTCAAACTACAAAATATAATATTGGTGAAAACATTTTAATTTACCTAAACTTATCATTTTGTACAAATTTCTTGTCATACCATACATTTCCATCGTTACTGTCAACAAATGGTATACGATGTCAATCTTTTGAACCATTCATTAAAAACGGATCAGGAATGACGATGCATGGATGATTTTCGGATGACCACAGAGACGAGAAATCAATAATTAAAGTTATACCGACTAATTCCCCTCCTCCCCCCACCACCTCCATTCCGCTTCAACCAGAAACTCACATTACTAATCGTACCTAATTCTTAAATTTGTCGTCGTCCAACCGTCCAATACCGGTAGCCCAAACAGAATAAAGTTTAATGTACCCCCCCAAGATATCGCGATGAGAAAGCTTTCTTTTAAATCTTAAGGTTTGGCAAGTACTTGAATTTGAAATAAAAGGTTCGAATTATATGGTTATTTAAGTTTAAGTGATAAATTCTTGTCACTGGATGACTATTTCAGTGCGTTTTTTCAATATTGGTCTTATAAAACTTACCACTTTCTGAAGTTATATTGCTTCCCATCAAATGTATTTGTCAAATCCAGATTCATTCAGTACTGTTTCAGCGTTCACTTTAGAGCATTAAAAAAGAAAACATACATTCGTATTAAGAAATATGGTGATATTTTTAAGAAATGCACTTGCTCACTTCTCTTTATACAAAATTAATTCTGAGGATTCTGTATTTTTTAAGTTAGTGTTGCAATGTATTTGTTTTATTTTTGTTTATCTTCTTATTCTTTTACTTTGCGTAATGTTTATTGAATTGAATGTTTGCTTAATCATGTAAGTTAGTCTGCTGATATAATGAATTAATCAATTAATTGATTAGTTTGAGGAGAACCTTTCTCGGCTTGCTTTCCAAATAAGTTCTGTTATGTTTATATTGAATCATTGAACAATTGTAATACTATTTGTAATTATACATTCTCATTAATTTATTTCGCGGTAATTTCCAAGAAAAAGCATAGCATCATTCCGGTCCAGTTGACTATCTAATCTCTAATTTGGAGAGAGATCGGATTATCATTTTATAGTTTGCTCTTCTACAACATGCAGATATTCTCTTTCTCTTAAATTTATCAAAAATAAGGGTGGAATATGGACGAGGTTTATTTTCCATTGAGAGAATGTTCCAAGCAAATCCACTGCTGACATATATCACTGTTATGATTTCCTTTAATAATTATAACGACATATTTCAGGGATAAAGGAAAAAGAAATGATTAGGCGAGAAGCTCGGTTACGTCTTGAATATGTTTATCGGAAAAGTCTGGAAGAGAAACAACGGTTAATCGACGAAAAACGACGCACTGTAAAGAAATATGTAGATGAAAACAGACCTATACCGACACATTTGAGGAAAGATGCCATTGACTTACAACACGAGGCTGAATGGGGAGGTGGTGTGTTTGTTAAACTATTTCTTATCTTGGCTTCCACTATTTTTTTTTTTCACAACTGCTAAGTTTTAAGTGAGATTTACTATGTGGCAAGAAATGTGAGTTGCATTTTTGGGGACAATAGTTCAACTAAACAACTGGGATGAAATAGAACAAACAGTAGAATTAACATTTATAAAAACTAAATTTTTTGGCTTCATGGATAGTAGGCATTTTTCTTCCCAGTGTTTATTCTGAATTTCTCGACGACTTTTTAGACCAGTCTTTTTGGTGAAATCTGATATTGTTATACAATGCTAAAATACTGCTATTGTTGGCGTTTTCAGGGGAAGTTTTAGCTATCGATGATGAATATCGTTACGCTAGCGCAGTAGATCCAAAAGTTGTATTAACAACTAGTCGCGAACCATCAGCCAAACTTAAGATTTTTTTAAAAGTATTTTTCGTCTATTGATATTTCAAATACAAGATCTCGTAGTTTCTAAATTTTAGACTTTTTGCTAAAATTCAGTGGAGAAAAAGTCGAGAAAATTTATATGTGTTCACTTTGTTGAGCTGAAAATGAGAGATAATGTCTATTGCAGGAAATGAGGCTGATGTTCCCAAATGCGCAACGTATCAATCGAGGCCATTATGATATAAAGAAGTTAATACAAGCTTGTAAAGCTAATGATGTTAGTGTTCACAGGATTTGAGCGTCGTTGTAATTATAGGGAACTACGTTAAGTTTCGATTTTTATGAATTTCGGAGGCAGGCTAAAAAATTAAAAGATAAAGTTTTATAGCTTATTTATAAATTGGTAAAAAGCAATGTATTTTCAGTTGCATTTTGGCAGAATAGCGCTTTTGGTATTTTTTTAATCATTATCTTTATTTAATATAATACGTTTAAGATTACGGATTTTATACTGCTGTATGAAACTCGTGGTAATCCCGATGGAATGATTGTATGCCATTTACCCTTTGGACCTACTGCTTATTTTACTTTAGCAAATGTTGTGATGCGACACGAAGTGCCAGATTGTGGGACCATGTCGGAGGAATATCCACATCTTATATTCGATAGTCTTAATTCAGCTCTTGGACGTAGAGTAAGTCAGGTTTTTTTCTTGTCAGTTTATAAAGTCAGAGGAGCAAACTTCCGAGCAATATTTAAATATTGACTAGGCTTTACAGATTTGTACTTTCTTTCTTTCTCTTTCTCTCCCTCTCTCTCTCTCTCTCTCTCTATATATATATATATATATATATATATATATATAAATGTTTTTAATTTCTTTTTAGTTAACTACGATATTAAAACATTTATTTCCTGTGCCAAAGATTGATAGCCGACGGATCGTCACTTTTAGCAATACTCAGGATTTCATTAGTTTTCGTCATCATACATACAGTAAAGATGAGCATGGTGAAATAAAACTGAAGGAAATTGGTCCACGATTCGAAATGAAGCGTAAGTTTTTATGTCATGAAATGAAATCATACATGAGTCTACGATTGCTATAACTATACCTATTTGCAGCAAGTATATGAATTTGTTTATCTTTATATTGTTTTAGCGTATTTAATCAAAATGGGCACGATTGACAACGCCGATGCCGAAAGAACTGAGTGGGCCCTTCGGTCATATACCAATTCATCCAGAAAGAGGCTTCCTATGTTATCAGTACTAGATTATGACGATTAATGGGAAATGATGTTATTTACCTATTCATTTATTACCTGATTGTGTTTGCATATATATTCTATACCTCGTATGTTTTGTTGTTGCTAATGTGCTAACTATTGCACATGTGTAAGGATAAAAATTTTCTGCTATTTTTTGAAAAAATACCATTTTGAAGAACCTTCCAAGAATCATTTTCGCTATCCAACATGATATGTTTTACGGCGACATAGCTTCGAGGCGAACGGTACCATACATGAACTTCTTGGATCTCAATTGGGCTCTGGTGGGTTCCATCGATTTATGTGTTCGTTCATTCTAAACGTCTATTCTGCTTATACAATTATCGAAACCTAAAGCGGTTTTCTAATTCATGAAAATGCTGTGCGGTTGCCAGATGCACATTTTTAGTTCCAACTTTTCTCCAATATTTCTGCAATAAAAACTTTTTGTTTCTTGTTTCAAAACTGATGGATTGACTACTTTCTTGCTTTAACAATGTTTCATGTACGTTCATGTCTTCCTGTAGTTTCTATTAAACTTCATGAAATTCTTTGAGCCTATCCCGGTTTTATTGACATTCTTGCTACTGGCTTCAATTAGGTTTAAAAAGCAAAGATCATTCAGGCAGTCTTTTTATGACATAAATTAAGCCATGCTGTAAAATAAGGAAGAATATTCGTATCATTTTTCCTCTTTTTCTTTTTAGCAATGATAAGCATGCTAATGGCATAGGATGTTTGTCATCTTTTTGTTTCAATCTCATGATAATATACTCTTGTCAATTGTAAATGTTATTTCACACTAGAAAAATATGTTTAGTTTTGATATTGATTTGAATATAGAAAGTGAATTTGATTTTGTCCTGTTGCAGTTGATGATAGTTGACTAAAAAGCTGTAAGAAATTGCTAGCAAATGCAGCAACAGTAGGAAAAGATGCAGTAGCAGTAATAGCAATATCAGTTAGCAGTGGTTTTAACGAAATGATTATAAAAGATAAGCAGATTGAATGCACTAGACTTATATAATACGATTGCTTTTTGGACAGATTTTGAGAGCAAAATAGTGTGAAATTTTTGCATCAGAGGAAGCATACATAGAGAAAAGAGAAGTGAATGAATGAGATTTGAAGAGAGAAAGATTAAGCTCAAGCTTGAATTTGAACCTTGTCTTATGAACGCTCATTGATTCGTTTTATAAGTGAACTAGATTGGAGGATAGCTGTGTGATATGGTTACATCTTTGTTTGGTGCATGCACATTACCTGTACTTCAATTTCAAACACCATCTTCAGCAACATTTTCTTATTAATTCCAATTAGCTTCTCTATTTCATTATCAGTTGATCAACCTGTTATTGTTACTGTTAATCTTCTAACAGCCGACTTTCTACCACATTATCTTATCATTACAACACAACAATCTATTGTTCATGTCGCCGAATCTACACATAAGTAATTCTTCACCAATCAACTTTTCATCCATCAGACTATTTCAGTCTCATTCATTTTGAGACTTTACTTCAATCAATAATGAGTTTAGTAATCACAAGAAAACCAGCATATTAATAATGTAATCCTTCTTTTCGGGATGCAAGAAGCAAACAGAAGAACTGAAAAGTTCAATTTGATTTCTTATCAAATTTTATTACCAGATTATTTGGTTACTATTTGATGGAATATATTTGCATCTGATACTCAGATACATAATGTCACTTTTCTAAGGAGATCATAAATTGAATTTAAAGTGAACATAAGACTTGATGAAACATCAATAAATTAGACTAATGTGATATTATTTTAACAATTGATGGTTAATATATTCACTATTAATTGTAAATTATTGCTAGTTGCAATGAATTTAATTATATATCAAGAGTGCGAAACATAATGAGTAACACATATACTGAATTGTCGATTTAAAATTTTCAGTAGAGTATTATAGCAGGATGAATGTTTCATTTAAAGGTTTATTTTCAGATTTGAAAACTTATATATTACAAGACCGACAAAAACAGTTGAAAAGCATCTGATTCAGCCAGCAAAAACAAACCAACAGTGTAGTACTGGTGTTAGGAAGGTGGATGAAAGGTGGCCGAAAAAAGAAGAAAGTATTCGAATAATGGTTGAAGCAGCAACACCCTGTGCTTCTTCAGTGATTGTTTCTGATATAATGCATCGTGATAATGGTATTATTTCCTCTTATTCATAATAACAAATTTTTTAATTAGCATTTTTTTTTTACTGTAGATAAATCATCAATTTTATAGCACCTCTTAAAGTGATTGAAGTGAGTCATAATATTGTGCGGAATACTAAGGAAACAATATGGTTGTTATTAAGCAAGCCAGTGGCTAATGTTAGCATATCCATTGCTATTGGCAATCGAATGTTACCCGTTGAACGATTGAAAACACATGATAAGGTAATGTTTAATGTTAAATAGAAATCGGAAAAAAAAATCACTGATAAAATTTTAAAAATATATGATTGGAATACTGCTAGAGGAGAAAAGGTGTTGAAATTACAGCAAATTAAAAAGGCTTGAGTAAGATGGACAAATGATTTCAGCTGGTCATATTTTCTTTGCCGATTCTTGTCATTCCGGATAAAGTAGATAAAACATCACCTGCAACAAAAAGTTTTAAAATATTGATGAGAAGTGATACACAACAGTTGGAACTTCCAATGCAAGTACATGTCAGGTGATTCAGCAGTTTAATATATGTCATTTGATGATTAATATGTCATCGTAATGGGTTGACATTGCAATTCAATAGGCTGCCCAAACTGCACCTTAGTATTAGCATCATATTTTTGTAGTAATGAAATATAGGTTGGATATTAAGTGGAGGAACTAATATTTAATTCATAGAAAAGAAATATGATTCGATTTCACGTCACACAAGATCAGATCGATCTTCCTGTTCTTGTCCCACCTACCGTCTACTACAGAAGAGTAGATAGAAGCTACGAATTCTACCGCTTTTCCGCACTGTAAAGTGAATCGCGTTCTCTTAATAATTTGAATTCTTTCTTGTTTCCGAATCGAATAACCGTAATCCAATCACTAGTTCAAATTTCTTTTTTTTCGGGAGGTGAATGCTATACTAATTTAGTGCTACGAGTAATGCAAGCGATACAGCGGAGATTGTCGATAAGGAAGCGCTAATAGCATCGTTGTTTGAATTTGCTGCGGAAGGAGAGCCGTTAGCTTTGGTAAAACCGTTAGTAACGCTCCTTGGTACACCTGACAACGACGGCTGCAAGTCTCTTTTTACTTTTTTAATTTTGTAAAAAACAAATTATTAAATCGTATTGTAGATTATGGATAAGTACTTGTGGATTGATAAAAGTACTTGAATTAATTGAATTAGATTCAGAACTGAAGTCAGGACGCATCATCTTCCTTTCCTCTCTGCTATTAATACTGCGTACGAAATGTTACATCAAAAATATAACATGGATGATCTGAATAAGTTTGAAGTCTTTAATAAAATCTTTTCTCGTGAAATGAAACGTACGAAATAAAATTATAAGCATTTTCTGAGGTAATATATTGATATAAATATGGCCGTTGAAAAAGTCGATAAGCACGTGCTAGTTTTAGTGCCTTACACGTAGCAGCACGTAACAAGCAAAATTTTGCACTAAAGACAATACTGTCAGTGCTATGTGAGTATAGCAGTGAAGCGGAACGTCAAAGAATTCTCAATGCACCAAATGTTCGAGGTCAAACAGCGCTACATTGTGCGGTACGAGCTGGTGATGCGGACTGTGTACATTACTTGATTAGTGCTGGTGCAAAAAGAAATGTTGTGGATAATAATTTGGATACAGTAAGTTATTTTATAGTTCGACTTTATTTCCACTAAAAATACAAGATTAAGTGGTAAAGTTTAACCTACAAGGTTTGTACAGTATATACGAACTTCATTCAGTTTTTCTGTCAAGAGGACTCCTGTTCTTTTAGTTACAACATTGACTTCTTTGATCAAAAATATTTTATCTCTCACTGAATCTTTGGAATGAATCTAAGAAAAACATAAGTAAGCGATTTCAGCACACCACAACTTATTAATTTTAGTACTAAACTATTTTCAGGTTGCGCATTATTTGGGAGAGGCTTATAATGATGCAATTTACAAAGAAATTCTGGAAACGAGTAGTAGTGAGGAAGTGGAAAGTGGAGTTGAGATCAATAGAGAGAATATTTTAGCCAAGAAAAATTGCTATGGATATACACCAGCTCATGTCGCTGTTAAGAAGCTAAAATTAAGTTTGTTGGAAGCACTGATAGAAGCTGGTGCTCCAGTAGATATTCCTGACAATAATGGCGAAACACCGCTCTTGACAGCACTCTATATGGATGACGCTGACGCGGCCTCTCTACTTGCTCAGGTTTATCTTTTCTATTGTGAGATCATTAACTGCACATTAAGAATTTCAGTTCTCTCACAAATTTCTTGAAGAAAAACTGGAACCCTTAAATGTGTAGTTGTGTTAATTTGTTTTTGTTAATGTTGTACTTTCAGCATAATTGTGATGTTAATGTAGTGTCGAATTGTGGAGACACACCTCTCAAAATTGCATGTAAAAAGAAGAACCTTGTTATGATCGGATGTCTTCTGGATGCAGGGTCAACTATGGATTCTCTGGGAACAGGTTTCCGAAGTTTAACATATTTTTTTTCTCTCTCTTTTGCCATTAATTAAGCTACTCCTTGAAGTTATGCGCAACTCTGGAGAATCATAAAGAAAACTTGCCAAGATGTATAAAGATGTAATGCAGGCGACGGACGACCAATAGAAGCAGATGACGAAGATGTGCAGCGGATTCTGAACGGTGAACGGGTTGAAGTACCTAGTGTATACGCACAAGACGATCCTGGAGAACAAGAAATTAATGAATTACAAAGTGAAGAATCGATTAGCACGGCAACAAGCACCGATGCTGCGACTAGTTATCGACTTCGGACACTCAAAGGTTACATTTACAAGTTAATTTTTCCCGAAACACCTACTAAATTCAGTCAGCAATTAGCGCAATACGATACATTTTGAAGTTCTTACTTTTGAATAGATTAAACATAATAAAAAATGATCAGAACACCAGCAAATTAAAGACACATCTTTACTATTATACAACTGAACTAAGCTAACCGTAATAAATAATCTGTACCCTCATAGTAATATTTCAAACACAAAACTTCACCTCTGTACAACAAGTGTGTTATTCAGCAGACATAGTTTTTTTTTTTTTTTACTATCACAACAATAGATTAAATACATTTAATACAGAATAAACAGGATCAATTTTTCTACCACATTTATTTGGACATGAAGTTTAATTCTCAGCGGTTTTTATTATCTTAGACGACGTCTCCTGCTTGGATTATTTAACAAGGTTACGACTGTCAAAGATACTAGATGTGGAAGACAAATGGACGATACTGGCAGATCATCTCGGTTGTGGACACATGGTAGAGTTCATTCGTGTTTGTCTAGACGACTCTTCCTCGCCAACTATGATGCTGCTTGATCAATATGAAGTAAGGTTTTGAAAATCTTATTCAAAAAGAAAAAAAAAAACTTAAAAGCCAGAAGTATATCTAAAAGTCAATTAGTAGGTTCTCGCGAAAAATTATGAAATGAAGTTTACCAATTCGATGCTATTATGCTTAATATAGGCTGGGTCTTGAATGAAATTCTGTGATAAATCCTAAAGATATTCTTTTGCAATTTACCATCGGATTTGTTCAAATAACTACTTCAAAAACGTCGTGTCAGTTTGTCTCAAACTAGTAGAAATGCTTATAGCAAGTTCCAAATGCAAATTTGTCAACTGTAAAACAGTCCCTGGAAGATATGGGCGAAACACTTGGGGTACGTTTGATACAGGCTGGAAATGAGCAACAATGACGGATATCTAGATTTTTGTATTTTTGTGATCATTTTTTTCACATCTATTTAATGTTATAGAGAAAAGATTTTTTGATGTTTGTGATATATTTCAAAACTGCGGTTACCAAAATCTAAGTAAAAGCCATTTCGAAATACTCACATCCAGTTTACTGAACTTACACAGATAGTAACCTTAAAACGAAAGCTATTATTTTCTAAGTACAGGAAAGATATAGATATAATGAATCAACATTTCTAAGAAATTCTAATCATAATGAAAAATAAATAATACATTAAAAAAGAACATGGATAACTTCCTCGATGGAATGTAACGTTTCACGATGTAATGACTTAGTGATTGCGAAGATAACGCTGTCGCAAGTAATAATTGTAGGGCATTGTGTCACCTTTTTTCCATTCTGAATACAGCAACTTGAAAAGGAATAAATGGAATATAATCATTAAAGCACCAAGCATTAGCCAAAACATTATTGGAAGACCACCCAAACGATGACCATGTCTATGAAGTGCAATTAATCCAAGCTCATGAGCTGGAGCATCCATAACCTAGAACAAATAATCTTGTAAAAAATCATTTCAGTACCAAACCTAATGTCTGTTGCTGTTTCTAACAAGCTCACCTCTTCCTACAAAAGAATTAGCACACATTGAAAAAATACTTTAAAATCTTGAATAAATAAAAGGATGAGAACGCATAATGTACTGACTGCTAATGCAGTATTGGCTTTCTATTTCACGACGGTTGAAATGACTAATTTTATTCATTGAGTACAAAAAAATAGTTTTCGTTAACTGTTTCGGATTTCCCTTTGCCAACCAAATTTTCGACTATTGTAGATTTCTGAAAACCCATTTCTTACCTTTAACAACATTATGAACAGTAACATAGAAAAGCACTACCTCAACAACATGTATCGTTCCTCGCAGTTGCTCGAGATGGTTTTTGTTATGTGAAATATATAAAATCGGAGTAGCTGGTTTAGTTATTTTGATCGGAATATGTACATTTGAGCGTCCGATAGCTATCGGATGATTTAAACATGCTGCATCACATGCGAACACCTAAAGTTGAAAAATTCTTGAAACATAATAGGTAACTGGTTAAGACAAATACAAACGTGTGAAATTGGCATTTGAACACCAGAAAAGCTCTGCATAGAGTTCTTGAAAGTGTAGCGGTATTAATCATTAAGCTACTCAGTCAATCCATGTTTTCTTTTCATCAAGAAAACAAACTGAAATCAAAATGCTATTTTTTTTTAGAAATATTATTTTTTAAAATATTATGAATCAAATAATATCCAACCTGCGAATTGGATGAGATCATGAAATAAGGTCGATTACCACTATTTAAATGGACACTTATTGAAATCTTTGTGTCAGGAGAATAAGATAAATTCTTAACAGTAATTTCTCGCAGTAAATCAGCTGGATCAATATCTACTTCCAAATGCCCATGAGAAAATCTTTAAAAAAAAAAGGAACGATTTAGGAAGAGATTGTCATGAAATTCACATCTCGTTAGCATATTTGCAGAAAAAAAAAAACAATTATGAAACAGAAATTTACTTGGATGCAAGAAGACTGAGGACAAATGCTTCGGCAAGACCACTAGCGCCAGCTTTGAGAAGACCAGAACAGCCACGCTTCTCCAGTGTTAATAACCAGATATTCATTGTTTCAATAATTTCATTGACATTATCGGATTTCCTCCATAGACGGGAAGGTACGAGAAGCGTTGAATGCCCTGTATAACACATATCTATTATTTTCCTTGATCCTGCTGCTGCCTAAAATAGATGGCGAGTTAAAAAAAAATGCATATGCAGTTGAACATAGATAATCTCTTCATATCTACGAATATATGGTACATTTCATAAAATATTAAAGTTACTACTCCATAATAAAATATGACGGCATTATACTTGCCACTTCTCATTCGTCTGAATAAAGGAAAAAATAAAGACATCTACCTCCTTTTGTTCTATACTAATTCCAATTTCCAATATTGGATCACGCATATTTGATAGCAGTACATAACGTGCAGCGTTGATTTCGTTAGCATTAAGAGCATTTGGAGCCAGAGATTTTGAAATATCAAACGTAATTGTATTCAGCTAAAAAGCATGTATTAAAAGAGATAAATTCAGTCAGCAATCACAACACAAAATTTTCAGGACTGCATTGCAATCGTTTAATACCTTCTGCCAAGCAGCTGAATGTTCGCGGTACAGAAGGGTTCCATCCAGTAAACTGTAATCTGCAAATTCCTGAAAATACGAAAATACAGTAGCATGTACTTGGGATGAATCAATTACCAAAGCTTCATATTTCGCAAAATTAGATTCAGCCAAACATATCACTTTGTTTTATATTTATGCCATCTTAAAATCCGTATTATACCACCTTAATAGGTTAATATCTTGCTTTCAACACAACATTCAGAACATTCCATTGAGACTATCTATGCATAACATATCTTAATACTCCTTATGTTTAATAAATTAAAAATTACGAACTGTAATCAGAAATGCAGTAAAAAAGAAGTAATCGAAAACCATTGGAGAATTGTTCACGCCTTCTACATAAGGACAATCTCCGAAAAAAAACATGTCAAATGAAAAAACTTTTTAACATAAAATGTCAGAACAGGTTAACGCACCTTGGTAATACCTTCATTCAGCAATCGTAACTCAGTATTTTTGTTTTTTCCGATGAGTGAATGTGAAATATAATTAATGACACAGAGAAAGCGCAAAGAAATTTCATGCTTCTGCTCGACCGTAACGGTTTCAGGGATTTTAGTACAAGCAACAACAGCTAATGTATTTGTTCCATCCGACTCGAAATAACGCGTATATACCGGATCGGTTAAACTATTACTGAAATTTATAGCACATTTTGACGAGATAGATTCCAATATTTTTGTATGTTGACTTTACTCATCCACGTTCCACGTCTTCAACAATGGCTTTTCTATCGAAATCATGTTGCCATTTTTCATACGAAAGAAACTTTTCAGTGCTTTAATGCACTCCACAATGCAGTGGTGTGTTATTTATTAAGAAGCAGCAGACAGTGCTTGCAAACTTTAGTAATCTAAAAAATAAACCTCTTTCTCTGTGTCCAATATTTCGAAATTTCTACAGACAATTCAATTTCGACATCACCATTCTGAAAAGGAAACAAAAATAAGTAAAACGAGATCTGCCTGAAATTTTTAGCGTAACAGAATAGTTACCGATGGATTTGTCGCCTGAAGTTCCTGGATCAATAGATGTGGTCTTCTTCGATGAGCATAAACACGTTGCGTAGTACAAATACATTGGTCCTTCTGTAATAAGAGGCTGATAAGATGTACTGATATAATAACTTTTATAAAACGACTTCCTGAAACAAAACAGGTTAAAATATAAGTGGGAGAATCAATGATCAAAACCAGTACAATACGATAACATCGAACAGTGATGATTGTGCCATCACGATAATCATTTATATAACTTTCAGCAAACGATTCCGAATCCTGAATTTTTGCATCAATAATAGGAGAAAAGGCACTTCGCACTGATAAAACCCGAGATGTTTTTAGTCGCAACTCTCCATCGCTACCTATTCCGATAAACCTTAAAGAGCTCTTGTTAAACAAATTGCTGCTCTTTAATAAATGATGATACACCAATCCGACCAAAAGTCATATTTAACATACATAGTCCATTTATTCATTCAAAAAATTTAAAAAGTAAGTATGAAAGAATAATAGAACTAACCCATTGCCGATGAATCCAAATTTTTTGTTGGAAATAGCAAGAAAATTATCGTTTTCAAAAGTCTTCCAAGCATTCAGACGCTCACTGAGGCATTTCTTAGATTCTGAGACATAAGGCACAGAAGTTGACGAAGATATAATGAAATAGAGTGAAAAGAGGATGAGAACAGCCGTTAAAGAGACCCGTCTCGGTACTGAAAGTTGCCGCAGCCATTTCCGTAGCTCGAAATCATCGAAACGCCTGCACTGAACCCTTCTCAGAGTTGATAACATCACTAGTTTATCACATCAAACTAATCATATATCTTTCCAAGCTACTGATTGCAACATTAAATTCTGAAACTTTAGCATGTATCCATCACTTCATCTCGAAGCCATTACTTGTCATATCGTATCAAAGCTTATTTATATTATCAGTTAAATATAATTTTGTAAAATACAATCATATATGTCACAATGAAAGGTATGGAATATTGATAAACGTTGTAAAACAATGTTCCGATGTGACAATCAGTTGAACGATGAAAGAATAACAAGGAGAAGGACGTCATCATTTCACAGCGAGAGCGTTCGGAATAAGTGGACCGTATTTGTTGGCTTACAAATTGAATTGACAGTGGTCTGTACTGTTCTGTATCTTTGGGGTTACAGGGTGGAGTGGTGTTGTATGCTGGTTGAGGGTTTGTGGTCATTAGATGATGTTTATTTCAGGTTATCACACGATGTTCTATCCATGCTATATTGATCTTGGAAAAGCAGCCAGGGAGTTATTCACAAAGGGATATAGTAAGTTTACTGTCTCCATTCATATGATAACACTATGTTTACCTCAAACATCAAATAATCCCTTTGCATCAGATACTCGAAAAGCAGTGTAACTTTTGTACATGCGGTATAATCATTTGTATATTCAGATTATATATTTTCATTCAGTGTAACTTATATATTATTTATTGAAGTAAGTATGCATTTTTAATCCTTTGTATGTCTTACACTGTATCATCAGTTTATGCTCACTTGTTTTTGTGCAAATAATACATGTTAGGTTCAGGTATTCAGAGTTGTAAGCAGGTGAAGAAAAATTCTTTTTTTAGACATAAAAACTACCATTCTTTGTTTTATCTCGTTGATTTCGCCATTGGCAGATTTTTCACATTTTGTTTTAGACTTTGGCTCTCTGCGAGTCGATGCATGTTCGAGATCAGGTGAAAACCAGGAGGTTGAGTTTTCTAGTGCTGCTGTACACACTGTTGCTACAGGAAAGCTTGCTGGAAATTTCGACGTTAAATATCGTATGCCTTCGTATGGTGAGTGAATTCTTGTTTTATGAGCTGTCACAAAAACTGCTCGTGCTACTATGCGCGAAGTACTTCCATAACTAAACTTGAATATGTATATGTATTGGGTGCGTTATATTTTTGGTTATGTTAACTTAATTAAAATAGGTGATTCGGGTGTTAATGAGTCAATTTTTTTAAATATGCAATTTCTTCGTAAATGATATCTATTCTGATTATTTGTTTGATATTCAGTTTTTGTATGTAAATAAGGAAATACTGAATTCCAGGTGTGGTTCTGACAGAGAAATGGAATACGGAAAATTTATTGGGTACAGTTGTCGAAATACAGGACCGCTTCGCTCGTGGTTTAAAACTTACATTAGATTCATGGTATGCTCCACATAATGGCAAGCGATCAGGTCGAGTGAAGGCTGAGTGGGTGAACAGAAATGTCACGGTGCATTCTTTTTCTCGTAGTTTTGAACTTTGGTGTTTCCAGTAGCTGATGATTGAACTGTTGTGGTTCATTCAAAAAATGGTAGCAAATTTGCAATATTACTAATATACATTTGTATGCTGCTGGTCATTCCCACCTCTTTCTTCATATCCAATGAGGGTTTTAAAGATTGAACTGCTTATTTAAGCTTTGATATTTTGTATTTCTTAGATCGGTACTCAGCATTGAACATTTTGTCACATATGCTGTGCAGTTGTTCCATATGTTCATTTCCTTTAACCCAGCGCAAAATTATAGAATAGTGCTATCTTGGTGTTATTTGCCTTTTTCTAGTGTAATCTTGATGTTGGTTTGGATACCGGTCCACATATCAGTTTTTCTGGAGTCACTGGTTTGCATGGGTGGTTGATGGGAGTACAGAGCGCATTTGATGTTTCGAGCAGTCAAGTCAAGGTACTAGTAATTGAATACATTTTTGAAATCCACTGAATTGCTTGGTAGCGCAGTTATTAATTTCTGACACCGTCCCTTACGGTCCTGTGTTTAGTGCTCGTGAAATATAAAAAGAACATTTTTGCAGAGTCTTAGTTTTGCGTTTGGAAGAGTAGGAACAGATTATGTTTTGCATTCATATGTGAACGATGCACGAGAATTTGGCGGTTCATTCTACCACAGTGTTGCTCATGTTATTACATTTTTTTCTTTGTTTTATATGGATTTGTTAATGATATATAATAATCTGTGGTGCGACATTCCATTTAGTTGTTTTGAATGAAAGTGAAGTTTCTATTGGAGATGGTGAGCAACACTTTTTTTTTTTTTTTTTTTTTTTTAGAGAGTACAATGTTTAGACAGTGAGCAAACTGCTTGCTAGAGTTAATGTGCTAATCAGTGCAGTGCTGTAAGGGATTTCGAGGGTGATCTCTTTGTAACTAATTTCTTTACATTAAAAGGGGTTTTGTTAGCTGCATCTACTTCCATTAATTTCTTAGATCACAAATTATTGCATTCGTGACTTCTGAAAGTCTTTCTTTTGCAGAATTTGGAAATTGGTGCTATGTTTAGCTGGATGACAGGTGAACCGGGGGCTCGTTTCGGTTTAGCTATGAAATACTGTCCTACACAGGATCTAGAACTGAAAGCCAAAGTCGATCATGACTCAAAACTTGCTTTTGCACTTACACATCACCTCTCAAAAAGGGTTTGTTTTTCAAGGAAAGTTGATTCAAATGTATGCCTTCGACCTATCAACCATAGCATAGCATGAAATACACGCTTGTCATTGTACCTCACTAGTTATTATACACATCCAAGTGTTCTGGAAGGTTTTATTTCTGTATGAAATATATCTAGCAAATCAGTTAGTTGAGATGTCTCTAAGGAAATTAGTTTGAAGGAACGAAGTAATGATTTCAATTTTTTTACAATTTTTCTTGGAACATTCTTAACATGCTTAATTCATGATGAATATGGCATTAAGTGGTCATGTAAATTTCAGCTAAAGTTGACGCTTTCATCACAGTTTGGAATGGCGTCATTCAGTGAAGGACATAAATACGGAATTGGCTTGAACTTCCACCCGTGTTGTTGAGTTTTAAAAAAAGCTCATTTTATCTTAACATATGATGATACTTGTTACACGCATACGAGTCAGTCTTCATTGTTTGTAAACCATAACATAAGGGAAGTTTTTTAGAGGCAATAGAATGTATCCAAATTAGCGATCAGTAATTCATTTAGTGTGGTAACTTCGTGGTGCCCTTTTCACAGAATTTTATGAAAAGACTATTATTATTGTATGGTCATGCTGTTCTCGTGTTTGCGCCAGTAAAGTTTTTATTTGAATTCGTTATAGCATATTTGATACAATTTTCATTTTTGTTTGCAGGAAAAGAATGGAAGTTTCTGAACTAGTATAATTTCACAGACGTAATTCCAACAGAATTTGAGGAAATTTTAGTTTTTGCAATATCTGTAAATGCTGCTGCGCTTCAGAGGGTGTTTTTCGGATCCATTGGTTTTTTTATCTCAGTATGAGATATAATCTCTAAAAGAGTTTTTCAAACATGGTTATGTGGGTATGAGTGGGTAAACGAGCTTCAAAGATATCATATGGGTGTCTTGAAGAAAGTCCTGAATTTATTGGGCCATTTGAAGGAAGTAAATTTAAGCAATGTGTGAGAGGATTTCAGCAATAGTGTAATAGCACAGTCGACATTTGAAGTCTCATCAACATCTTGAGTGTAATGGTAATTGGAGTTTCCAGCTGACCCATCAACAAATCCAGGAATAACTTGGATTAAATCTACCATTTAAAATTTACAGTATTATTAGAAGATGCTTTCAAGACAAATTGTATTTTTAAATTTAAAGTGATAAACGAAGTCCCCAAGAAGAAAAAGAAAACCCACTGCTAATTTGAATAGGATTCGTAAAATTTTGAACTCGAATTGTAGTTTCGGTCCTTTGTTATAGTTTTTTTTATTATATGCTTAAGGAAAAAGATAACTGTATGTTTGTATACACATATCAATGAAATAAGTGAAGAGCTCATATACGTGGATTGAATTTTTTGAATAGGCAAACTAGACAAAAAAAAAGCTTTTTTGTCTAGTTTGATTAACTGAACTAGCTTTAAAAGTGGAGGAATTGTTGAGAATGAGAACGAAGAATAGATAAGATTGTGAAATGAATGAGTGAGGAAGAAAGAGATTTGTCAGATCTCTTTGCATCTTTTTTAACAATTAGCTCATCAAACTTCCCCATTACTTAGCTCAAACAGACGTAATGAATGTGGTAGCTCCTCTACATCTTGGCATTTTATTACTTATCATTTCAACTGTAACTGGCAAAAAGGTATTTCTAAATTTTCTTCATTCTTTTCCATTTATCTAAAATTTTCTTTTTCATTCTTACACATAGCTTTAATCTCTTACGTTTACTATAGATATATCTGTAAAAATTTGTAACTTGAATATAAAGCAATATATATCAAATATATGAATTTATGAACAAATTTATGGGCACTTTTCTTTTTTTTTATTTGGTATTATTACTAAGATTTTGCAATGTTTTGTGGTGAAAAAAATTCTTCCGGTATTTAATAATACTATTTAGAAATTTATGTGAAATAAATTAAAATCAAATTTCAAATTTGAAAAAGTTTGAGAAGATAAGATCTGGAATATTCGTACTTCGTACCTGTTAACATTTCAAATAATATTGAGAGGTGCTTCCAATAATATTTTTCCGATTTTTTTATCGTTCATTTTTTGATCAAATTTTCAGCGTATTTGAAATTTTTTACTTTAATAAAATAGAAGTTTAGTTTGATTTGTTTCATAATTTTAATTATAGCTTAATTCTTCAAATTTGATATTAGATATCGATAATGCAGATCAAATTAGGAACTTTTTTTTGAACTGAATCTTTCAAGAAAATTTTTGTCCCTTTTGTTCTGTTAATTTCTAAACTGCACATTTTGATTTAAATGTGGTAACAATGCAGAATGATTTAGAAAACTACCCACTACTGTAATTAGTTCCAACAAGATAATTGGATATCGAAAAATGAAAAAGAAAAAGTATTAAATTTTAAATCGCACATGTTTACACTTTAAAAATTTTTTGCACTTTGTTAACAGCATAAGGTCATTTTTCATTTGCTGTTTCAATATATAAAACAGAGAAAAATGGCTAGTCTTAATGTTTTTTTCTTATGTGCAAAAGAGATATTATAACTTCTGACCTGAAATGTTTATTTTTTACTGTCAAAAGGAAAGTTTTTCCTCATTTTGTAAATCATTGTTAAAGCTGCTTTTTTCTTCAATTAAAAAGATGATGAATGATTAAAGCATAAGTTTTTCTTTTTTTAACAAACCAAATTTTTGCTATTTATTTTAAATATTGAAGTGAAGTTTGCTTTTAAAATAATTAAAGAAAATTAATACAGATTTATTTTTGAAGTATAACATAATGCTATTATAAAAAATCTGGAAATATCAATTTAGAACCAGTTTTGTTATTTTTAGGAAATTTAAAAAGAAGTCGTTTTAATTCATTATCTAATTCTTTGGTACTAAAATGATTAGCCAACTGTTACCTCACACTAATAGCTTCATTTTTACTTTTAATGGCTTTTTTTCCGAATTTTTCTTTTGATTAAAATATTTTTGAATCGTTCCGTTTTTTTCGTACTATTGCATATATTTCAATTTATTCCTATACAATAACATTTTTTTTTCTTTAAAAAAGAAGGTAAAGGTTATTAAATAAAAGAGATTTCACAAAAAACTTTAAAGAAAAAACTTTTTTTCCAAAATTTTAGAAGAAAGAAAATGATTGGGATGAATTGGAAACATTATTGGAAAATATTGATGAGCAGATTACAGAGCCAATTAAAGATTCTAAACTTGGTTTGTTCATTCACTTATTTCAAAAAATTATTTGAAATAAAAAAAGATAAAATTATTACAACATACCAAAAAAAAAAAAACATCGCCAATAAATTTGTTCTCAATTTCTTTTTTTTGTTTGAAATAGTCTTACATGCGACTAATGTTCAAAAATTATATTGGATGATAAAAAGAGAAGTTAGCGGAGATATGATTCAATTTCAACTTGATTTTCTCAACAATTCTTTTCGCAATATACTCAAAGTGACACGAATAGCAATAACACGACTGTTTACTTTTTCCGTTTGTTCTCAATTTTTTTTTAAAATGTGCACTGAAGAAATGATTTGTTACCTAAACTAATTTAAGTCTGGAAATTCGAAGGTTTAGTTTAATTGTCTGAAGCAAACATAAGTAATTCTTTTTCACGTAAAAAATGAAAATAATTTAATATTTATTAAGTTTCAACAACACCAGTAATACAAAACAATCCTTGTGAGGATTATATTTGTGGATGGGGTAAAGAATGCGTTATAGACAAAAAAGGTGAACCATTTTGTGAATGCATTTCGAAATGTCCACTAATGGATGATGATCCGCTTGATCAGGTTTCATTCAAATCTCTCGTAAAATTTAAATTTTTAAAATTTAAAACTGCTAACTACCTACATTATTGTATTAATTTGGCATTAGTACGATATTTGCTTTTTCAAAATTGTTGGATAACTGGAAACACATATTACTGTTAGAAATATCCAAAATGATTCCCAAAATCTAAAAATAAATTTTCATAAAAGTAATATTTTTAGGTTTGCAGTAATATGAACCAAACATTTTCATCGTTATGCGAACTGTATCGCGAAAGATGTCTTTGTAAACACAAATTTAAAGAATGCAAAGTTAGTCAATGTCATCAACTTAATTAAGTTAAGCAACTTAAGCACATAAAAATTATTAAAACTTGAAGATTGAATAAAATTTTTGATTTTTTTTCATGCTGATTACTGGATTATGTTTATACTTCAAATTTACTCGTTTATAAGCATATGTTCTATTTACTGAAACATAAATTTACTTTTTAATTAATAATTATGAAATTACTTACTTAAGTTACTGAAATTATACCTTAATATTATCTTAAATCATAGTAAAATGTATTAAAAGTTATATCTTGAACTAATTCATTTCCAAATGCGCTGTGTTTTACAACTGTGAAACTTTCATGCAATATTTGATCGGTGAAATCAATTAGTAAGTAAATAATAATTGTTCTTTAGAACAAAGTTAATGCAAAAGTACATTTGGAATATTTGGGTGCTTGCAAGAAGCTTGAACCATGCACTGACGAATTGATGGTACAATTTCCAACACGAATGGCTGACTGGCTTTTCCAGGTATATCCAATAGAATAAGATTTTTGTAGAAGATATCTGAAAAACAAATTGTTTATTAAATCATTTATAAACACTAAAGAAATGATTTTACAAAAAAAAAAATGGAAATTCAAATTCAGTTGATCATTCTAATAAAATTTATCAAACATTAATTGACGACTTTTTCAAGAAAGATGTAAGCAGTTGTTGTTCTATTCCTATTGAAACTAAATTTCACATGACTCAGCTTAAAATTGAAACATTTTGAATCATTGAAACGATGATAATTTCATTTCGAAAGTCAATATTTGTCGGCTAGCTTTTGATTTTTTTCAAAATCAAAAACAGTGTTTAAATTTTTTCATAATTTGGAGACAAATGTTTTGTTTTTACTTATAATAGAAATGACAAGCTTTATTAGCATGTAGAATAGAAGGAAAAAAATGTTGATCAGTTGAAAATTTAAAAAAAGGTAAAACGCAATCTTTGTTTTGCATGTTACTATTTTATATCCATTTTAATAATTTTTAGGACTTTCTTCTTGTTTAAAATAAAATTTTAACTTAAAAAAAAATTTTTTTCTTTTTTGGAGGTAATGCGAGAAATGAAGAAACGACGAGAATTGCATAATTTGGAATGGGAAGAATTAATCGCTGAAGCAGAATCTGATGATGAGAAAAAGCATGTGTATCCGGTAATATGGAAGTTCTGTGATTTGGATATCAAACCTCATGATAAGCATGTATCACATCATGAACTAATTCCCATCACAGCACCTGTCATTCCTATGGAATCATGCATTAAACCATTTCTCGAGAATTGTGATATCAATAATGATGGTAACATTTCTATCAAGGAATGGGGCAAATGTCTTGGCCTAAAAGAAGGTTTATATATATATATATATATATACATATATAATTCAATTAATTATTTGACTATTTATTTGCACAATGATTCATTTATTCAGCTTATTAAGGAGTAATCTGATAGTTAATCAGTGGTTAATCCCACAACATCATTTGAAATAATAATGAAATTAGGAACATTGAAAATAAATTTAATTAACCTAAACATGTCAATATGAGATTTCTTAATAGCAGGAATTAATAGTATACGATAATTGATAATAAGCAGTAGTAAAAATTATCAATAGCATGCCGAAATAATACTAATTTGAAAAATTAAGCACTTATTAATTAACTTAGAAAAAACATAGAAAATTATATGATTTTTGCAAAGAACTGAAAAAAAAAAACGCTTCATTAGTATAATTGAATATTTAAAAATTTTTGAAATTAAATGAAAAATTGAAATATAAAAGTTTGTCGATTAATCTAGTTAAGATACAATCTAGCGAAAATGTCCCAAATGCATCATAAAATAAGTTTCTGAAATTCTAAATATTTTTGGTAATTTTTATTTTTTCTTTTTTACATTTACAATGTATCAAAAATATTACATCTTATTTTAATAAGATATCAAATTTTTTTCGTTTGCAGGTGAAATTCAGGAGCGCTGTTAAAATGAAAAATGTATATTCAAACACTGCCAATTGTAACTTTTATTGGATTCGAAAGAAAAGAAAATTTTTCCCCTTATTTATTGTTATAAAGCAAATTGTCAGTTCTTTTCATTATTTCATTAGTTTTACTATGTCATTTTATTATCATAATGAATGAATTATTCAAGAAAAAAAAAATTTTCTTTTTTTTGAAGAAAGAATATAAATTTTGATTGCTGATTGAGGATCAACATTCGCCTTATCATAATTAACATATCACTTGTTATCTTGGTAATTTCTTGAAAAATAAAAAATGAAAAGTAAAATTAAAGCAAGAAGAAAAAGAATAAAGTACTACAATGGTTTTTTTCATTCCTATTTACATAGTTACTATTTTATTTACGCAGTTACAATGAACAAAATGAAATTAAACAATAACAAGTTTTCTTAATTTATCAAATTTCACTAATTGCAATTGATCATTCATTGTAAAACACTATGAAAAATTCATTCAATAGTTAGAGTAAAAAGAAAAAAAAAGTGAAATTTTAAAAATGCAAATTCGTTTCCTTTCTTTGTTAATTTCTACAAGCTTTGTAGTATGATTTGGATCAAATTTGAAGAGAAAAATAGTCGTTTAAGTATTATTACACAATGTAGCTAATTAATCCTGATGAAACAAATGATACCTTATCATTAGATTGATCCTATTTTAGTTTTGAGTGTATTTTGAACAGTTACCGGATGTGCACCTCTGATCCGAACATAATTATGTCACCACCCATTGCAATTATAACTGTATATTCTTAATTAAGCTAAAATTAATATCTATCAGTGCGTTGGATGATTTTCATACATCCATCGGATATTAGAAATTGAAGGGTCAAAATCATACAATAACATTTTCTACTAAATATTGCAAAAAATTAGGGAAAGAATTAAAATTTGATGAATAAAATTTGAAATATTTTTTGGTGAGTCAAGCTTAGATCATTCATATGTTAGCCAAATTTTAAATGCTTTTTTGAGCAACCAAAACTAATGCAAACATAGTATGGTTGAGGTTAAAAACAAAATTTAAAATGTCAAAAATTTACCAGTGTATTCTGTTTACTTATATTATTGCATTAATCAGTTAAGCATGAAAAGTACGTTTCATTTTAATGAAATTTATCATAGCAATTCATGAGATCGTTGAAATAAGTCACTTTTAGCCTATCATTCATTGACAATGGTAAACGACGATATAAAATGTGGGACAATTTAAATAACTTGCATTCTAAATGAAATTTTAGTCATTTAAGCAATAATAACATAATTTATAATATTCATTGAAACAAATTCGTCAAATTTTTTTCCAAACATTAAAAGTTTTTAAATTTAGATTTTTAGCATTTTTTGATGAAAAATCAAATGAAGAATGAAGATGATATCAAATAGCATATTTTCATAGATTAATATGATAAAAAATGTTTGCAGTATCATCCATTGAAATGAATACAGTGGATGATATCTGGTAAATCATTTTGGCTCTTTCAGAATGCAATACAATATCTTAGCAGTATTAGACGAATTGAGTAGAACTAGATAGTAACGGCATTGGAGGTGGCATTGTTGGTTCACGCCAACTTCCTTCATCCATATGTTTACTGCCATTCCTGCTAGTTCGTTCTTCCGGACATACTGCTTTTTCCACATCAAATACGGTTAGCTTACCACTTCGTTGCAAAAATTTCATCCATAAAGATTCCGTAAGACGTGCACATACAATATTACCACCATGTGAAGCAATCATCTGGAAATTTCCGCTTTAGAAGAATATGCAATATCGATTGATCAGCTGGTTGACAAACTTCATCATCCACGTCAACAGATCGATTAAATGATATGTAGTTTTGATGACTGATATTTGTGAGCCAACTTTTAGAATTTCCAGAATGTCCATATGTTGCGCTGTATTCGATGTGTATAATCGTGCCACTATCAAAGGTGCGTTGCACTGAATGACCGAATGTCCTGTGACTCTTCCTTTCAGTTTGTGACTAATTTACCCAAATTTGAATAACTGTAAACAGAATATTCAAATAGGAGAGGTTTAGAGGGGACTACCGGCAAATAACTCCACTCTTTTAATTTGGAAAGTCCTTGGTTCGTTGATAGTAATGAACTCCTTCATTCACCAATGGCATCTTTTCCAAAATGAACAATATTTCCAAATCAAAAATTAAATATAACCAATAATGCAGAATTAGAATTCATTTGGTAAAATTTCCGCTTGATAAAAACATACGTGCAGAATGAGTACACCGTCGGGACGAAGGAAATGATGCACAAAGCGATGAGTTTGATTGGATTCACATTCCAGGAATTTGGTGACAAATGCATGTCTCCAGTCTGCAAGCGATAATGATAATGTCCAAATGATCATATTTATGGCAGTACCAAATGAGAGTAGTAGAAGCCAAAGCCACAAAAACAGGAATATCTTCTCTGTCAACATATTAACAACGAGAACGCATTGCACCGTATGTCGATGAACATTGCCCAAAACCCGTATTTCAAAATCACACAGTGTTACACGTGGAAAACGTCCTGAATCACGCCATTCTCTACCCTAGAAATCTTGCATTAAATTTCAATTATCAGAAATACGCGTATCAAATGATACTTGCACCTGCAACGCATATGAAATATAAAGTAGTTGGAATTTCACTGAATTGATAATATTCAAATTAATTTATATTTGTAAAGTTATAAAAGATGTTAGATGGTCTATGTTGTAGTTTGAAATTGATATTCAGTACAAAAAAGCTAACTAATTTTTAAAAAAATTCATAAGAGATTCTTTTTCAATTAAATATTTGATATTGAAAAAAACTTGAAAATAATTTTAACATAGAAATTGAAGTATAAATTCAAAAAAGGTTGAACCATGATGAGGTCATAGAGAACATGACCACCGAAGAATGGATAATTGGATGTTTCCAAAAAGTTATTAAGCATAATAAATTGTAGGATAACGTTACACAGATGTAAGCTTTTCACGAAGAGATAAACAACTGATACATATGCTCCATAGATTTTACCTAACTTTAGCACTGCAAATAAATATACCTGAAACTAGTGCTAAAATTATTACGCTTTTCTGAATTTTAAGCAAAATTCCAAACTTAATTGTAACTCTATAAAAAATTGTTAAGTAATTTTTTTTTCTCTCACTTTCTGATTTTTTCCCTTTTTTTTTTACTTTTTTTTTTGATTTCTTCCGTGTAAAACACGTATGAGAAATTTTTCAAAAATTTTTTATTTACCAATAATATTTTCTGCTCTGTCTAAGGGAACTTACTGCATGTTGATTGCAAAATTTGAATGAATTCTGCACTTAACTACGAAAATTAATTTAATCCTTTATCAGAAATGGGAATCAGTAAGATGTGGCTATGAACGATTGAAATTTAATTAACTTTTGCATTATACGAAAGGTATGGTTAATTTTTTTAATCTATCAGGAATCAGATAAGATGCAATTAAGTGTAGCAATTAGAATTGATTTTTCAGATTAACAGAAGCATCCTTGATAAGTTCTTATTTAATCATGAATTGATGAGTTTTTCTTGCTGCTTTTTGATTTCATATTCCATATGGATTTCTTTAAAAAAAAGATCTAAATATCACTTGTCATATTATCATGTATCATTTTACTTATTTGTTAGTCTATTCGTGAATCATATCACCGACCTTTATAAGATGAACTATATTTCCAGCTTTGTATGAATTACATTTTGTTAGAATGCTTTGATACTATTTGGTCCTGATGAATTAGATGTTTAGGTTTGATTTCATAGCAATATCTGACATAAATACTCACACTTTTATTTCGACTACCATAATCACGTTGATATTTCAGCGCATCATCAATATGCCTAGTCAGTACTTCAACAGAATGATCTCGTATTAACGGATCGACATTTTGGTCCTGGCTTGCCAATTGTATCACCAGTGACATGTTCAGTCCTGCAGTTTTTCTATTGATTTTCATCAACTGTTTATTTCTGACTTAAGCTATCACATTTGCATCAGATAATGCCTGAGCACATCTTTCTCCTCCCATTGAAAAGTGATAATTTTGATTCTTTGCTCTTCTGCATACATAGAAAAGTCCTTGCAACCAATACCTTTTTCTAATGAAATAAATGACCGTCACTTCCTAATCCTTTAAATGATATTTAAATAAACAACAGAGAAAAATCGATAATTTGTGCCTGTGGCAAAGTAAAGATTTCAAAACCAGTATCAGACTCATCAAAAGATATGATAAGATATTAAAGATTAATTTCAAACTAGCTTATCTGAATCACACTATTCACTGTTTGAAGTTTTCAGCAGCAAGACTAATTAGAACATCATCCTTGCTGTGATAACAGGGGGAAAATTAAGACACAATTGAATATGTCAAAAAAAATTTAATGGATTTGAAATTTGAAAAAGTTTGCTATAATGACAATAATTAAAAAGATAATTACCTGATTGTGTACTAAGTATTCGCCAAATAGTTGATGGCATATGAAACATGATGGCTGCAATAGCTAAAGCAAATGGAACCCATTGATAGTAACCAATTTGTCGACGCTCTCGATCATCCAAACGATGCGGTATTAAATCCTTCAATAAAATTCTAAGAGTTATTTCACATCTAATATTGTTCAAAAATTAAAATATTTATTGCACATAATTAATCGCTACAACTATAGTATCCTAATCTTTTTAGTTATGATAATAATTCCATATTATTGCTGGTAACACTTAATTCAGTGAAACATTAGTCAAATCTATCATTTGCAACTTCATTAATAGAAGTAAAATTTTCTTTATTCTTAACAAAAAATAATCTCATACAAATGGATAGCAGACAGGAATGAATTTGAAAACAAAAAAAAAAAAACAGAAAAAAACCTCAAGAATATGTCTACTAATCATTCTATTTTTTAAAATTTTTGAATGTATTCAACAAACACAAATTTAATAAAAAACCAGCAAATACAGTTTCAAGAAAATATGAAATAAAAAATCAAAAAAAACATTGTTGTTTTTTCTTTTTCAATAAAAAGCAAGAAAAAGAAAAAAAAAATATTTTTAGGAGAATGCATTTCTAAATCAAATCAAAATATTAATTTTCTTTTTCTAAAGATGAATGATTAAATCAAACAATTCAATCCAAAATGAATGAAATGAAGCCGTTAACATTCTATTAATTATCAATTTACATATTCCTCTTCCTTCTCCTGCAAAAAAAAAGAAGAAAAAACAAATAAACAACAGCAACTTTCTGTTTTCAGTTTCTAGCTGCCTGTTTTTTTTACATCTAAAGTTCATTCTTTCCTACATTGTAATAGACACTAACACTCGCAGAATGTTCCATCCAACAAAAAAAGAAAAAAAAAAATCGCTTTACTTCTATTTTGCAAAGTTTTTTTCTTTTTTTTTTGACATATATACATAAAAAATCTTGTAATCTTGTTCTTTTCTCTTTTTATTATACAAAATAATTCTAAGCTTTGCTTTTTTTTTTTTTGCAACACACGTAACAAAATTAAATAACCTGGAATGGTACCCAATAGGTATTCTGAACCCAACAATAATTTTCCGTATACTGTTCCATAGCTTTGGTAAATTGAGCTGGTACAAAACATTCAATTGGATGGCCTGGAAAGTGAGATATGAAAGTGGGTGAAAATGTGAAAAAAAAAAAAAACAATTTGTTTAGGAATAGTCCATTTTTTTGTTACGTCTTCAGGTTAACTGGATATATTGAAGGCTATGATTAGTGTATGTGCGTATATGTATTTGTCGTGACTAGGGGAAAATTTTCCATTCCGGAATTATTTATTAATCAGTCACAGGGTTATTCAAATTCAATCTGTCCAACCAGTTTCTAATTATCATTACTTGTAATCACATAATGAATCTAATGTAGTTATTATCGTCATATCCTGCAAATTATCTCCAAGTGATGCATAAATATTCAAGTAAGTGACAATGATAGCTAACTTGTGACTGTGCCAATTTAATTTAAATAGTCAAAATGAAAAGAAAAACTGCAAAATATTTCCACTATCTAATATTGTTTATACAGAAAGGAACTGTTATTGAAGCGGAATCATTGTAGAATTAAACAATCAATAACTCTCGGATAATCTCTATATTTTATCCATAATTTTCTTCCTTTTTTTTGGTTTGCCAAAAATTCTGATAAATTTTTCCATCCCATGATAATTTTATAATTTGCATAAGTGATAAAGCACTTTGTTCTAATACAAAAATATGCAAATATATATATATATATATATATATATATATATAGATAGATAGATAAAAAGAGACATAGAAAATTATTACCATATTGTTTAGCAGATACAATAATGGAGAATAAAAAGAACATTGTTGAAGTGTAGAGGTAATGAAGACGATCCACGAAATCATCATCTACTCTTGGTTCAAGAAGTCTTAAAGCAGAGGTTAACAAATGCATGCCAACTCGATAACTACCAGAAACCATTCTTTCTTTTTCCTCTGAAGTTAAAACAACGTCACAGTCGACAAATTCAATATAAGAAAAGTTGATTCTTCGTTTAAAGAACTCACTTTGAACTGCCCATTCATTTAAAGTCAGCTGGCAATACATTTTTGTTCCTCCTTTCTAAACGTCACTTGACTCCTCCTTTACTTATACACATATGCACCCAAACATTCTCATATACAATTGTATATATACATATACATCTACATTCCTGATTAAACGATTAATTTGATATGTGAAATTAAATTATAAAGATTGTGAGGAAAAAGAATTATTATATTCAAATTTCTATCTACTATACATCAGATAGATTATAAAGAATACTGTTATAATTTGAATATACGAAATGAGATGATCAAGTAATATTAAGGGAATTCATTTTTCCATCTAATCATCTATAAGTATTCAATATTTAAGCCAATTAGAGTAGTTCTGATTAGTTAATTTAACAGTTCATAACAATAAATAATTTTGTTTCCTTTCAACAGTGATATTCCTGTTTTGATTATTGCTACCTGATCTTCTCAAGTGAGCTATTTCAAATCAAAATATTGAACACTTACCATTTGTTATTATTTTCTTATAACAGAAAAAGAAAAGATCAAATTTATAGAAAATATAAGTAGCGATTCTAATATTATAGGTAAATAACAGCGCTGTGCTGTTTAGTTATTGTTCCCTGGAATAAAGAGAAGATTTCAAACCTCCATAATAGAATACCGTTTAATTCATTTAGATTGCTCATTAATTTTCTAGTGAATAGCTAAGCAAAAAGAGATAAGCAAATTTTGCTTAATTTTGAATATAACTCTTAGAAATGGAAAATAACCTACTTGTGATACCGAAAATGGGAGATGCTCTCAAACTTAACTTGCCAAATTTAATCTTCATTCAATCTTATTTCAAATTGAACAAAATGAATTGTTGCTTGTATTACTTCATTTGACCAAGTTCACATCTCAGAAATATCATTCTGTAAAATCTGAATACAATATGAGAAGCCTAGCATTGTAGATCCATTGACAACAGCAATATAATACACATACTCTCAGTTTATCATTCATATTTCATTTGATGTGATTGAAGCTTAAAACTCTGATTTCCACAATCATTATTGTGAATATTGCTTCTAGAACCAGCTCCATCCAGCTTGAATGATTTTGATGACTGCCATAATTCTGTGAAATTCTTCATCCAAGTCTATATCATAGAATGGGCGACTTTTGCGATGGTCAAAATGACAGCATCTGGTATTCAACTAAGATGATAATATTTTTTTCAATGCTATACCTACAATCCACTTGACTGTTGCCACTAGTTCAAAATTTCTTTGAAATAATCTCACCTACCTGCAACCCAACAAAACATGTTAATGCAGTTAAGAAGCACTATGAGTGAAACTCCATTCTAGCATGTCCTGCATGGTTACAGGTAATTAAATAAGCTATTTTTGCATTTTCATTAATGCAGCTTAATCTTGGTGGAATTTCAAATGTTGCCACTGGTTCAAATGATTATGTCAGTTTGTGAAATTGATTTCTTTTAGTAACTTCAATATCATAATAAATTATCTTGATTAATGTGATGTGACGCCATCGTCATTCATAATTATCATTGGTTGTCATGTCAGACACTATCACATTTTGGATGATTTATTATGATATTAGATTAGTTTTTCGCTTTTTTAAATTATGGTTACATTATTTCACTTCAAATATATCATGAAATTTATATTATAACATAAGATACGCTCTATTTCTCATTTTCGACTCATACTTTAATAATTTTAAACCAAAGACCTACTGGTAAGCATGGAATATTTCCCAAATATTTGCGGAAACGAAAAGAGACTGAAGATCTCAGCATAAAGTAAAATGGATTTCAAAAGTTTGACTAAATTCAGACGATGTATTTCGTAGAAACAATTAAAACTGTTGGTGGAGGAAAATGATTGGTCAAAAATCATTGCCACAAATACATTACGCTTTGTATTTCTTTTTTTTTTAAATTTTGGACAATTTTAATTTCACCTTCTTTTTCTCTTTTTAAATAACTTTATTGATTTAAAATCACTTACTGTACCACTGATATATATACTATTCTTCATCTTTTCATCATCATTTAGATAAGTACATCTTTTGAATAATTTAATATAACTTCTGTTCTCTTACAATTTCCGTTACCAACCTTTTTTTTTCCCCCTTTCAATCTTGTTTTTGTCCACATATCGATTGATATGAATGTATGAATGAGTGAATTCTTTATTGGCCGTCCCAGCCAGTGGTTTTCTTGTCGTTCCTAAATTTGCCCAGCATTTCTGCCTTTCCTCAGTGAAAATTATAGCTGTGCTGTGAGTTAGAAACTTGCTTCTGATACTGGAACTTCTCGATTAGCGTATCAGCAATAACAATAGCACGGGTAAGTATCATACGTGATGTGTTAGCACTGGGATGAATACAAGTTTGATTTTATGACCGGTTCATGAAGTTATATTTCATAATGATGCATAAATCAACCAAAAAAAAAATTTTTTTAAAACGACACTTTAAAATATACGTAAATGATATTTTAAACAAGAAGTTAAAATGAAAAGGGTTTATGTTTAGAAAACTTTTGTATAATTATATTTGAGATGCAATTACTGATACAGTTAATGAGAATTAATAAGAAACTTTCATTCACTAAATAATTATAGTTATCCTTTTTATAGTTGAGAAATTTTTCATTTGCAGTGGGTTGAACAATAGATCTAACTTAAACAGTTTAGGTTAGTTTACTTTTACATGTCATATTTATTTCGAAATAGTTTGGATGTAATCAACATTTTATACTGCGAGAAGATTGTTGAACAGATAATTAAAACTTGGTATTTCATCATTTAAAATAAACACAACGTATGTTATTACAAATTTGTGACAAAATGCTGCCATACGAATGATTGTTTACAGGATGGATGGAATTTTTATTCTTCCTTGAATTTCTAGGACATTTTTTTGCAGTGGATTTTTTATAGTAATTTTGTAAGAAGTAATAAATTTTAAATCTGTAGAATTGAAATTAAATTAAGAATATTATCAATTGATTCGAATTATAATAAAGATTTCTTTGTGTTACCATCATTGAAGTTTCCCTTATAATAAGAGCAAAAGTCAAAACATTTTGTTGACGTCTTCTGAGTTTAGCATATTTATTTCATCCTGTTTCGAATGAATTGATAATAAAAATAAGAATGAGTTGTTGTTGGGTTTTTCGTCCTAGATTACTGATTATTTTTGTATACTTTTAATTTCTTTTTTTTTCGTCTATTTTCCCTCTATTTTTTTCTCTTTTTCTCCCTCCCTCTCTCTCTCTGCCTCCCTGTCTATTCTACGATTAGATATCCCGGAGTTTTCCACGTTACATTTAGTTTAGATTTCAGTATGTTCCGATTCTTTACTTTCAAAAGTCCTCTTACTTTGACATCCCGCATATTCCTTCCAATTCTCGGTGATTTGACATAATTTCACTTTGCTTACTGTGATTTACCGGATTTTTTGGTTGTGATATTTCTGATTTTTTTAGAAATCGTTATGATTGACGAAGCGATAGCAACGAAAGAAACAGAATTCAAGGAGTGCTTAGAACTGTGTGAAAAGGGTGTAAATATGTGTCGCATTAAAGCTGGTCACTTGGTACCATCTCGAAATGTCTACGTGGAAGACCAAAAATGGCTATGTTATCATTCGGATATGTGCTGGAAATTTGTGCCGTTAAAACTGAAATCTGGCAAGTAGCTAATTTCTTGAATTCGCTTAGAATTGGTAAAATGTGCACATCGCAATCATATCTTTTCCCCTTGATAGCACCTCTGATATGTGTTTGTATTCATCACTGTGAGTAGCTTTCTAAAAACTTAAGCGAATATTAAAGCTATATTAATTACTTATATTAAAGCGAATCTTATCGGTTCAGACTGTTATTTTCCTTTCGCTAGTTCCTAGTCTATATCTCTCCATTTATATTTCGATTTTGAGCTGAACAAAAAATTTGGAACTTTCTGAAATATGATGCAATACAAGTGGCCATTTTTCAGTAAATATTGACGACATTCTGGAGATTCGAAAAGGATTCAGTTCTGATAATCTTCACAAAGCTTCCAAGAAATATTCATTTCGAGAGAAAGTGACGGTTAGGTTTTACTTTTATGTTTTGAGTTGCTATGAACATTAAATATGAATATTTATATATGCATTTATTTACATGAATTTTTTTATATATGCACATATTTGCATGATCATTTAGAAGACTTAATTTAGTAAGAAGCGAAAGTCGAGTAATTTTCAACCTTAAATTACGATGCATATTTATGGTTCGTATACAGGATTAAACATGTGCATATTGTTACACTTTCTTATAGTAAAAATCACCCTGGCGTGCTATCCATATTGATTTTCGGATATTCAACAAATAAAAATTGAAGGCAGAAATGTGTTTGTCTGTAATCTTAACTCATCGACGCATGCTTCATAAATCGATTGATTTTGCTGCTGAAAATTCATCTGTGAGAGATAAATTTGTAAAAGGTTTGCAATATCTTGTTGATAAGAGAAATCAAAAACACGTGTACTTTGACGAAGAACGTTGGCTTTTGGACAATTTCCGGAAAGCTGATATAAACAAAAATGGTCAGTTGATTTTCACCTTACTGCAACGAGTACTTAATATATTTTATGGTTTTTAATTCTACAGAAAGCCAAAAAGCTTAAGCTTGCTTAAATGCAAAAATGGCAATAACATTCGGTCTTAATATTACAACACAAATCCCAGGGTCTTTTATAGGTCTGGAGGAAGTTTTGATAATAGTTTTCAAATCGGTAAAGACTGGTACTAATGGTAGAGTCTGGTAAGAGTGAATCAGTTAGGGTAGTTTAAGTGGTTTCGTGAATTTTCAGAAAATTCTGATGAATGAGGCAGTACACAGTGCAGTAATTCTGAATTCATTTTGTCTAAGTGTAGTGTGTATTTTTTCGGCTTTTGTTAGGATGCCATCTTTTCCACATAACGCAGTAGATGAACCACCAGTAGAATTTATATACGGAACAATTTTTTAACTAACTGAATCACATAACACTATTTTAATGATTTTCTAATAATATCATTGTCTGTAGGTCTGACCTTATTTACAAACTCACTACCAATATCCAAAATCTTTAGTATGAAATCGGTTTCATACTCTCTGTTATGGATTATAACCAGATTTATACCAGTCTGCTTCTATGCTAAATTTCTTATTAAATCTTATCAAATAATTTTAGGCAGATTAACTTTTGATGAAGTACTGAAGCTGTTGAAAACGCTGAATCTTCAAATCAGTAACGAATATGCACATGCTTTGTACACGGTCATTTTTGAAATGGTTCATAAATGAATGATTTATGTGAATGAATCCACATAAATGAATGATTCCAGATTCGTTCTTTTCTCTCCAGACTCTCTTTTTTTCACCAGTCGAGTTCACGTCCAAAATTTCTCTTCATGATTGTTCTTTATAGTTGTTGAAGATGATTTTGAGGGAGATAATCAGATGTGGTTCCAATTCATTATTTATTTGCTACCTTTAAATTTGTCTGTCCCGTTGTTGATGTGCTTCTATGTGTCGTTGAATTTTCATGTAATGTAAATAATTTTCCAACTTTTTCAGCAGACAGATTCTTTTGGCAAAAATGATGGGCAGCTAGACGAAAGTGAATTCATTAACTTCTTTTATCACCTAACGGATCGTCCAGATCTGAAGCATGTAATGAGAATGTTCAGTGCAACAAATGACCCAGCTTTGTCTATTGTCGATCTAAAAACATTTTTAACAACCGAACAACAGGTATGTCACAGCACATTCATTTCATATGCTTGACATATGTATCTTTCGGTTTATTCAAAAATTAGAAATTTCGGTTTATTCAAAAATTAGAAATACACAATTTTAGTACAGTACATTTTGAGCTTTCGTTATATAGTTCAGGTTAAAAAGGATTTCATCAGTGGACTATATTTGCAGTTTGATGATATTAATGAAAAGAAGGTTGCATCAATTATCGATAATTTCGGAACAGCAAAACAAGGCGTAAAAATACTTGGACCAATAGGTACAATGTTATGTCTGAATTTTGTGTATCATTTCTCCTCATTTGTTGCAATTATTATTGCAATAAGTAGGATTTGCAGTTTACTTATCATGTACTAGATAATTCGATCAGCAATCTTGGCAGTTGCTTGACAAAGAATGGTATAATTGTGTTACTTCATGATGTGGTATACATCTCATTGTTTTTAAAAACATAGAACTGGCATAATAATAGCAAACTAATAACTGAACTAAGGAGTCATTTAAAAGGCAGAACCTAAATATGTTATAATTCAAGTTAAAATCAGTTTGCATCATTATAGAAAGCTGTAAGAATGCTAGACCATTTTCAGGTTTTCGTTGGTTACTGCTCGGTGAGTGGGGCAACATCATGAAACCTGGGCACGAAAGAGTTTTCCAGGACATGGATCATACACTAAGTCATTATTACGTCAACTCAAGTCACAATACCTATCTTACTGGATTGCAAATAAAGGGTGAAGCAACTGTTGAAGGTTACATCAATGCGCTAAAAAAGGGTGTACGACTTTTAGAATGTACGTGTTATTACTTTTAATTTCAATGCATGCATTTTCAGATTTGAGATTAAGTAGTACCTGCTTCAGTAGACGTTTTCGATGGCGAAGAAGGAGAACCATGTATTACGCATAAGCGTACATTTATCAAGACGATCACCTTGCAAGATGCACTGAAAGAAATTGATGTGTACGCCTTCAAAACAAATCCATATCCAGTGATACTGACTATAGAGAATCATGTTGGCTTACCTCAACAGAAAGCTATGTCACGCATTTTTAAAGAAGTTAGTTGTGACCGTCGAAATATTTGTATATACTTGTACTGTTTTTGACTTGAAGTATTTATTATTCGAAATATTCATTTTTTACTTCCTTCGAAAGTCATGCATTTTCTTATTGTATATATTTAGGTACTAGGGGACAAAATATATATGCGACCCGAAAACGGAGCTTCTCAACCTTTACCTTCTCCAAATGCTTTGAAGAATAAGTATCTGTTGCGCGGCAAAAAATTGAGAGCAGAACGAGGTCTTGATCGGAAATCCGATCAGGATATTGACAAAAGGGTCCAAAACAATAGTGAAAATAAGGACATCAAACTCGACCCAGAATTTTCTCAACTGATATCACTCCCATCAGTTAAACTTTCGAATAATATCTTTAAAGATATCGATGAGCGTTAGTTTTATTGCATTTTAAAGATCGGCTGTTATGAAAATAAAATGAACTTTCATAATTTTTTTTTTCAAGCTCAGCTTCAGCAAATGCTTTTGTATTTATGAGCGAAATATTCCTTTTGGTAACTTACAAATAGTCATTTTACATTCTGTTCAATATTGAGATTATAAGAAATGAAATTCGAGCTGTTTTTAGATCCAATGGATGGTTCCTCTTCCTTATCCGAACGGAAGATTGCAAACTATATGGAAAGCGGTTATTCGCTTGCTGCTTACACATCAAAAAGATTTGTAAAATCATTCCCGAAGGGTCTGCGGCAGGATTCAAGCAATATGGATCCCATCCCTTCATGGCTCTGTGGTATACAATCAGTCGCAATGAATATGCAAACTACAGGAGAATATCTCGATTTAGTTAATGGGCTATTTCGGACTAACGGTAACTGTGGTTACGTGCTCAAATCAAAGACACTTATTGGTGGACTTGGTTGTTTTTTTTTTTTTTTTTTTTTGGAACTATATTTTTATATTTTTTTATACTTTTATAGTAGCTAGAAAAGATTTAGGCTGGAAGTATGAGCAGCTTGTCGAGATCAAGACACGTGTACCTCAAATTACACGTAATAACTTTAGGCAGATTTTTCAATCGAAGGTTCTAGAAGGATAAGGTCAAAATTAAGTTGATAAAGTGAGCAAAGCTTAATGTTCTACATTAACTTGTATTACTGGCTTACAGTTCTTCACTAGTTAATAGCTTAAATGAAATGGACGTATTTAAACTTCATATAAACTAAAAATATTTCATTTTCCAGACCCGCGTATGCCTGAAGTATCGAGTTCAGTTGTAACAACGATGCTAGTTGGGGTGGGCTACTTTTACACGACTGTTATTTCGATTCTGATTATAACGAGTTATTTTGGTAGTTTAAAAAGTGTGGAATTTTAATACAGGCTACACTTTTTTGCAAAGGATTGATCTACTGATTGTCCTGTATATCGTTTTGTGTCTAGAGAATGATACAAGTTATGCTCCGTGAATAAAATATATTGAAATATCGGGCACATACACATCCATTTTATTCATGTTCTTCGAATTTCAGGTTATAAGTGGGCAATATTTACCCACAATATCTCAAGCAAATGATGTTATCGATCCATATGTAACTATTGAAATCTTTGGGATTCCAGCTGATTCCCGAAAATTCCGGACAAAGACCATCCGCAACAACGGGTACATTTTTTTTTTTTTTACCTTTAGTCAGCAATGAGCATGTTTTCTTTTTTATTAAAAAATGGTGTGGCTATGGTACAAGTTTAAATTCTTTATCTGTAGGACTTGTTTTTCTAAATATCTTTGAAGTAATATGTTTTAGCTTTAATCCACAGTTCAACGAAACGTTTACATTTCCGCTTCATTTCCCTGATTTTGCACTGCTTCGTTTCTGTGTGAAAGACTTCGACTCAACTTCAGCAAACGATTTCGTTGGTGAATTTACAATACCGGTGAAAAGCATTCGTGCAGGTTTGGAACTTTATATCAAAATGTTAGGAAATAACGATATAAAATAACCAATTCTAACATGTTGCTGGATTAAATGAAGTTGTCTGTGGTATCACGAATCTCTTTACGTTTTTATGAGGTTTGTGTATAATTACGTATAGTATGACGTCTCACTATAGAATGATACACAATCCCAATGGTATAACATGCGTATTTTTTCCTGACCACACGTAGAACCCTTATTCAGGCTATTCACACATACGATTGAATACGGGCAATTTGCGCACAGTGGACGAATGTGCCTCACTTTTTATACGAGTCGCGTTTGAATGAGCTTATTGCTACATTATGTATATATCAGTAGTTTTCCTGGAAGTTTAATTTTCCAAATGCTTAAACCAGTTTATATTCCTTTTCAAACGGCTCAACGAATTTTTCTTATCGTCTCTCATCTCATTTTTACTGACTTGTCTGCTATAGCTGAAATACATTTCCTTAATCAGATCTACCAGTCAATTCATCACAACTCCCTCCCGTTTCCATTTATAACATTGAATCCGCTGCCGGGCATATATTTCGCACGTTCACTTAAGTTCAATGTAAGGTACATCAGTGTAAAAACATTAGATTCATTCCAAATAATCATCCCATGCCTTCAAATGACATCTACAGAAATGATTAATGGGGAAATAAGTTCTTGGGACTAGGAAAGCATCAACAGTATTGCGACAATTCTTTGTATGTTTGCTTAGCGAAATGTAAGATATGCTTCGCAGTTCTCTCTAGTCGCGATTGTTTTGTGTGATAAATATATTTTGCGACTACTGGATGATTGAAATCAGAAACCACTGTTTAGAATATTTTATATACCCGAGTTTGGTTTTAAATAATGCATCATCATTAGTGTAATAAGAACTGAATTATCCCAAAACGAGGGAACCTGGTCCAAATTAAAACTGGAAGAAGACATAAACTTTTAGTAAGCAAATGTTAAGTAATTACTACAAACGAGCTGGAAAAACCAATGCGTAAATATTTAATCAGTAGGAATGAGATAATACTGTTTAAACTTATGGCATTATTTCTACAGCTTTATCATAGATAGAGACAATGGTATACTGAAAGGTAACTAGTTCCTATACTGGAGTTACAAGAAATTTCATTCGATATAATAATGACTTCTGCAATTATACTACCCGTCGCTTGGAGTTAGTTATTATTTTGATCAGCACTGTGAGTATAACACTAATCAAATGTGAAATGCGAGCTGTGAAATGGAGCCTTTTAACAGCAACTTGAGCTTAATCGTACTTCATTAAGTTGACAATACTCGTGCTAATTATCCAATAAGACTGAATACTACACATGGTGACGCGGCATTACCATAAAGACTTAAAGAACAAGTACGTTGAAATAGACAGGGAAAATAAGTTGAGCAAGAGCACTGTCAATCAAATACGTCGGCAGTATAATGGATTAGTGATTCAAGAAGAATGAGTCAAGAAACAAAGAAAGATGCTAATTCGGTGAAGTATTAAGGTAACTGCTCCTTCTTACTTTTCACCACTTCTGCGAGATACTTAAATCTGAAAATGGGAAACTTTTTCTAAATCAATTACCAAAGAGAAAACAAACAAATTAATCTGGGATTCAGCACCCTGAACAGAAGCAAAGAAGTGTAAACAAGAGTAACTTAAGTACAAACTAGTTAGAAAAGGCTCACAACTAAGAAAAGCCTAAAATCGGAATTCCAGGCTTGCCCAAAACTACCATGGAAGGACTAGCAGTTCCAAACATTCCACTGGTTACTTCCTTCTTCTACATCTTCTTTTCAGTAGTGTTGTTGAGAAAAATTTACAGCAATACTGGAAATAATTTACTAACCTCTGTATACATTCCCTCTTCGATTTCCCCACAAAATTCGCAATATTTTCCCAACGGGCTGGATCTGATGAGGGGAATTTTTTAAGTGCTGCTTCAAGTAACTTTTGCTCCTCTGCATTCCACTCCAGTTCACTTCCTTTTGCTGAATTGACCAAAAAATCCTTCACTTTCTTATGTTCTTGAGAGTTACTTAATGACTTCAGTGTTTTCACCTGAAACTAAGTGATTTTAAACTTTAATAAATTGGAAATGAATTCAAAGTGAGGAACAACTGCATTAATCATCCTTTTTTTCTTTTAGTGGTATGTATTTTGCAAAATGCTCTATTCTGTAGGTACTAAATATAACTAGTGAGCATAATAAAAAATGCTTCTTTTTTTTTCTTCAAAACGCATTTTATGATGTACGGCATGTAAAACGAAACTGCAGTCGAAGTTGCTAAGTGATTCATAAAAGACGCTGCCAGTGAACAATAAAAATAGAAAACCTGAATCAAGACATCTTTTTCTGTTTTCTTTTTTGCATGTTTATTTTCACGGTGCTCATTAATATAGTTTGCAATCTCTGACCACCTAAAAACACTTCCTTTCATTTAATTTCACAAAACAAAATCTTTTGAAAACTTCCATATTGTGGCCAGCTTCAACGTACATTCTATCTATCTGCAATTTATAGCACCATATAGTACTGAAAGCCAATAATGACGAGGTCTGGAACAAAGTAGAAACATGAGTTCCAACCTTTTGATGGTGCCAATAGGATACAAAGTAGTAGCTTTAACTAATAACGTGATTTCATCGGGGGACCAACGAGATATGGTATCAGTAGTATATTCAGGAGGAACTCCATTTTTCGTTTCAATACTTTCTGGAACTTCTTTATGAATCTGAAACAGTTCTATAAAATAGGCTACAGTCCGTACGCCTTACTATTTCCTTTTTGAGGTTTCATCTACGTAACTGGAAATGATAACAAAATTTAAGTGAATAAGCACCATGTACTGTAAGAGGGAATAGGAGCTCATACTTCATACCAGTGAAATCTTTTTCAAGTAAATATGTGTACCTGAACCTTCAAAGTGTCCATTGCTTCTTTCAAACTGCTTAATAATTCAAGCCTGGCGGTAATTTCATTCAAATGAAATGCATCCAGCCGCAAACAGACATGTTCAATTGCTTCCAAACATGACAACTTGGATGAAATATCTGCATCCCAGTAATTCTTACCCTAAGCATTGCAGATTTTTTCAGAAGTATTATTTTGTTAGCAATATCTTATTACGTAATTACTTAGTGCTGCTTTTATTGTTTAATTTTGGGCCACGTATAAACTCAGAGGAAACTCACGGTACAAGCAGTAGAACTATCCCACTTATCTCACTCGCGTTGACTCGAAATACTCGTTTAGCCGATAACACAGGGTTATTTTTTTGGTTTCTTTGAAGCTTTTCTTTTATGCGTGCTACTGTTGTTACTACTAAACCAGTACCCAAAGTAAAGTTCTTAGAGGTATGGACTCAACAGGCGGATTAGAACATAACGAATTCGATGCAACAAACAAACCTCAGCTGTCCTACGAAGTTTTCTTCGAGCTTCACCAAGCAGTTTTTTCTGTTGCTCTTTTATCCGCTTTTCGTAAGCCAGTTGCTGCCGTTGTTTTTCTAATTTTTCTTCCTCTATTTTCTTATTTTCCAGTTCAATTTCCTGGAAGAAAAGATTGTAAAATTATTTATCTCTGCAAAAAGCAAGCTGAATCTTAAGTTCAGACCAAACAATACCAATTTTTTCTTCTCATCTTGGGCTTTTTTTTCTTCCAAAGCTTTCCTGCGTTCGTCCCTTTGTTTCTCTTTTTTCAGTTTTTCCTGCTCCTTGAAAATTGCTATTCGAGGATCTTTACGGTACGCCATTTCAACAAGATTTCTGATTCGTTTCATTTCGTTCTTACGCCGTTTCTCCCGTTCAACCTAACAAAAGATAGCAAAATTTTATATGCAAGTTCATAATTTGAAAATAGGAAATTGGTATGCATATTTATGTTAACGTAAAGAGAACTTCCGACTGATAGATAATTTAAACGCAATACGCAGTACCGTACCGACGACACTCTGCTACATACGTATACGTACTACTCTGAAATTTTTTCCTAATATGAGCCATATATCAATGATTTTAACTTTTGACTTGATACCTATTCAAAAATATAAATATTAACCTTATTTATTTTTTCAATTTCACGCCTTTCCCACCGATCTTCTCCCTTCTCTTTGTCCTCTTCATCCAGATATGAGAATTCACGCCATGAATCCCAATTAAACCAAAATGAGTAAAACCTGTCTACCTCAGCTTGTACACTATTGATATCGCCTAGTAATGGTACAGGCTGTCGAACAGACCATCTAAAATTGATATAAATTTATAATCCTTTATGTGGTGTACAAACATCTCATTTCCTTTACAATAGAGTGTTAAATAAGTACAACAGTGTTAGCTTGATTTCAACAATTTCAGAACAACAGATGATAATATTAAATTTCTACACTAATTTTATCACAGTGTTCAAGCATTAGTGAAAATAAAATAAAGAAGAAATACTTCTACCACTTAATCGCATGCTAGTACATATAGGAATTTCCAAGATCAAACTTCACTCAAAAAAAAAAGTTTGAAACTCTACCCAGAAAGTTTCTTTATTATTTATTTATTTATTTTTTACAGCACAAGCAGTGTTTCCTTTTTACAGCTTCACACACGCGCAACGGTAAAAGTTATGAATCCACAATAAACGATTTAGTTGGATAAACTTTCCGAAAATACAGATCATATAATATTCAACCTAGAAAAGAGTATCACAGTGGCAGAGTTTTAACTGAAAAAAAAAAGTAAAATCATTTACAACCTTGCATTCCTAATAAAGACCGGCGCTAAAATATCGTAGAAATTATCAGGACTGATTATTTTCTCGTCTGGGATCGAATCATCGAATAACGGATCTACAGAATCATAGGCTCTTCTTTTCTGCTCCGATAATCCTAATTGCTCATAAGCTTTGGTAATACATGTAAAGTAGTCTTCACCATTGGTGGCTTCAATCCTTACTGCATTATTTTTATCCGGATGATGCTTCAGCACTTTGGCACGATCTGCAAAGATTTTTTACCAAGAGTGAAAAGCGACGAAAAAAAAGATAAGTAAAGAAAACGTTTCACAAGTTTAAATAAATTTCAGTTTAGGAAGTCCTAGAATTTTTAGACATTTAATAGAACTTAAATTTTCTATTACCAAGACACAAACCGAAAATAGTAGATTAATCAGAAAATATGAGACAATAAAATCATACTAAAACAAATTTTTTATGACCCACAAGCAGTACGAATCTGCGAAGTACTGGCTTGCCATCGTAAGTTTGATAACCCGAGGACTTTATAGTGGTCTTGATCCTTGCAATATTTTGAATCCAAATTTCTCAAAAAACTGAGATACTGCTCGTCATCCGGATCCATAAATTCATTCACTTCCTAAATTCATATTGTTTCTTCGTTTATTTAGAAAAAAAAAAAAAAAACATGACATTAATAAAAAATTAAGTCAAAATTTTCGGATTAAATTCTCTTCTTAAAGTAAAAATCGATACATAGTTTCTATTGCCTTCCGCACAGCCCAGATTAGTCCAATTTCCAGTAAAGCGTTCAATGGAAGGTGACTGTTTCAAAATAGGTTCAGTATTTACACCAAGTGTTAGTTTATCGCGAATAATTCTTAATTCGTACGAAATCCCTGCTTCCTCTATTTTCCGAGTATTTCGATTAAATCCATAAACGGCTAAATCCAGTCCTGTTAACGGCATTATAAGCCTGCAAAATATATACACATAATAAAGAAATTAGGATTTCGAATCATACGAGTAGCATGAATAGATTTAGAAGAGTAAACTATAACGCCGGTAGCAGTATACCCATTTTGCGTAGCACAATATCACTAACTCTCCTAATCGTTTTCGGAAGATCCAGTTTTTGGAATAATTTGCTCCAAAGTACACAATCAGATAGTATTCGGTTAACAAAAAAGAAAAAAAAAGAAACAGTATCAAACATCTAATGAGGGACAGGGGAAATTGAACTTGTGAAGTTTTCTGAAAACTTTTCTCCCTAACTTTTAGAAACAGGTTACATCTCTTAGGCTAGAATGAAATCCCTTGTCCCGAGGTCCACATTACACTTCCGGATATCCCGTGTGGAATAAATTCCTACTTGACGCAAGTGAAATCTCTCCCATTCTCAGAGCAACTCTGTTAAAAAGGTATATTCTAATTGTAGAGATTCAAATTCATAGAGTATTTTCTATTTTATGAGCCATCCGGTGGTCTGTTACATTCGATTGGTTAATGTTTTTGTTTGGAATCTGTTTTTTCCTTGAGGTAATACGGTCTTGGTTGTCGGATATTTGTACTCTTAGTTGAATGTTATCATTGATATTTTTTCATTCATATGTTAATTTATTCGTTATCCTATACATTTCCTTACTTTGTTGAAATAAGTTTGTGATAAGAGATAGGACAATAGTAAATACAAGGGAAGAAGAGAGAAGAAGAATTAGCATGTATCATTATACGGAATGTATGGGATTTTTTTTCATGTGAATTTCTATAACAAATGAAACAGTAAGCACTTTCTGACATTCTAACACTTCATATGGATGGCTATAATAGACGTGCAATTAGTATTCGTAAGAATCGTTTCGCTTAATGAGCGAGAGTTTAAATATGAAGGGAAGAAACAAGTGTTGCGAGGAAAAGTAAGGAAGCGCAGATACTGGCTACTGTTGAATAACTGAGAAAACTACTACAGATTTTTTTTTTTTTTTTTTTTGTATACGTGGTTTGAATCGCTTTTTAATTCCTTATCGACAAGAATCAAACTGTAGTTAAATTTTCTTTGCAGATGAGGAGAAATCATGCGTTGAAAATGGTCCTGTTTCAGTTATATTCTGTTGGCATAAAGAGTATATTACCCGTGAGAAGTTGTCATTCAGTAAAAGCAGAAAACTTCAAAGTTATAAAGGGACTCAGTGGTTTATCAGCACTTGATATTGTTAAGGAACATGGCATACCAATTCAAAGAGTTTCACTGAGTCGTGGACTTGCACTAAATCGTTTTGAAAAAGTACTTTTGTATTCTATAGATTTAGGTTTCAAACACACATATTTTTGAATTTTGGTATCCACCTTTTTTGCAGGTTTTAACGAAATTCCTTAAATCCACTTCCTTTGTATTGTTTATATGGTGGAGCTTTCTCCTCAATTTATAATCTGTTTTGCAAGCTCTTGGTATTGTTGACTTACAAATTTTATTGCATCCCTCTAACACCAACTTTATATTTTGAAATGAGATTTTCTTTTTGAAAAAAGGACAACTTACTCTCTTGCATCTTTTTCATTTCATCAAATTTTCCAGTGAGCCGTCTGAAATCAGCAACTTTATGCTGTATTTACTGTGTAGTTATCTTCACGTTTTCACCGGATCTTTCCGATTGATTTTTCTCCATTTTGTGAGAATTATCCATCTCCTATTATAGAAATCGAGTATATTAAAACGAATTATATTTGATAGATGGTTGTATCTTGATACTTATGTAAAGTTAGCCTTTAATGCTGCAAACTCATCATTAAATGAGCAGTAGCAAAAAATTTTATCAGTTTTATGATTTCTTTTGAACTATATGAAATTTGTCGATTTTTTGAAGGATTTCCTCATTTATCCGGAATATTCTGATACAGACGAAGCTGATAAGATGTTACAATTGTTATCTTCACTCAATAAGGACATCAAAGCAGCAGGTTAGATAGCAGGATTTATGTTGCTGCAACATTTTTTGTGTACTAGGATTTTAGATATCCTTATCTTTTATATATATATATTTTCTTTTCAGCAAATCAGAAGGACTCTCTTATGGCTGTTTGGGATAACTACAAACTTTCTTCGTACGTTGTTCCAAAGAAATATGGTATGATGTTTTGGTTTTCATAATTTTATAAAAAATAAAGAAGAAAGAAATATGTCTGGATATTAATGACAATTGCAAATCATGGGAATTTATATTTCTGGCTTTTGTACCTCTTTTAATAAGTATTATCAAATTGAAAACTAATGTTTTATCTTCAGTCTTGAAATTCCTGTTTCAAGTAATTTACAGTAGAAATATTCAGGTGGTGTCGATATGTGTTACAAAGATCTTTTGACTATTTGTGAGGGATTAGGATCATGTTGGAGGTTTTATTTTCGTTTCGAGCAGACCCATTTAGCATCATCTCTTATTTCGCTGTACGGTAACGACCTGCAGAAGTTGCATTATTTACCGCAAATTGCATCGGGACTAATTCGACCTGTGGTTGGTTTTTCCAGACCTGAAATGTTAGTTTTTTTTTCTGTTTAAATGCTATCACTATTTTTGTAATAATTCACGAACTACTGCGGTTGTATAAACCGATGTAATCCATCGACGTCGTCTGCGGGTAATCCATCGTCTCCGTTTTCAGGATGAAGTGGTGTACATATGTTTCTGTGGATAGATTTTTTAATATTTTTAGGGAACCAAATTTGAAATCAGTAACATCTTTATGTGACTCTACTAATGGCAAACAAAACCTGATTGCAACAAATTATTTTATCAATGCAGAAGATGCTAATTTACTTCTTGTTTTTGCTAAGCAGGTTTGATTCACTGGTCAAATATAAGTTTACGATTCTTTGTCTCTATTTTACTTCACATACTCGTTTGAACTACGAGGAATCCTTTGCTATTCAACGGCGGTAAGAATAATTTCCTTTTTATTCTTACCGCCGTTTTAACTCTTACTTTCCAAACTGTGTCATTTACATATTTTACATGCCATTGACTAATTTTCCCCTATCACTCGTGCAGTGAATGTGTCTATAACAAATTTGATCTTTATAAGAAGTGCTTGATAAGTATTTCTAGGCTGGAGATAAGGTAGTATGCTACATTTTTGAACGAAAAGATGGAAACAGTGTTTTTGAAATGGGAACAAAAACATCTGTTTTTGGAAGAAACGGATTGGAAGGTAAATATTTTTTTGGACCATTCAGGATTCCCTCCAAAGTTTCATTGAAAGTTCCAGTTTTATGGAATTTCATAGCATTTCCAACTATTTTTAATTGTACTGCCAATATTTTTTTCTTCAGTTAATTTATTGGATTTCAAGCAGATGACTGTAGAGTCAAGTGCAGTGTTGGGAAAGCCTGTAGATGGAAAAAAAATCTCACCAAAAACATTGGTAAAACGAATTACATTTGGTGCTGCCGTCGTAGGTTTTATGAAAACGTTAATAAGTATGTTGTACATTGTTTATTCTGTATATCAGGAAAGAAATAAATCATGTTCATGATTTAATTCAGTCGAATTGCACTCCTCTAGTTATAACTCTCCTTATTTATGTTGCAAAAGATTTTTTGTGATTAGCAACATATATCGAAACACGGTGGGATATGAAGACTTTATATGTCTTAACCATTATTCATGGCAGCTTAAATGAAGACAGTTTTTTTTTTTTTTTGAACTTGATAAGGTTTCACATTATCAAGAAGAATTGCTTCATTGCGTAGAGATTTTTCCTTATAATTTATAGAGTCTTTGTCGGAATACTGCAACAGAACATTGCAACAGAATTTGCCATTAGCAGAAATGAATGCTGTCAAGGTAGGTGAGTACTTCTTACGGTGATTGTCTGTTCTGTTGCATCCTTTCTGAATAAAAGATAGAATTATTTATGTAGGAACATCAAGATCTGTTTTTTGCTATGGGTGATACAGTGAGTATTTAGCATTTGGTAACGAAACTTGCACTAAATACTTACGTGCTTGAGTCAATGTGCTACTATGTTGGTGGACTTCACGATGAAAAACTTGTATTATCGCTGGATGTCGAAGAAGCAATAATACATGTGAGTTGCTCATGCTTTATGGTTTTCAAATTTCGTGGGGTCTGTTGTTATGTTTAATTCTATTCAGAGCTGATTATGGCTTCTGTTATGTTTAATTTTATGTTCTTGAGTCAATGTGCTACAATGTTGGTGGATTTGCCATTCAAATTGAAAATTTTTCATTGTTTGTGTTAAGTATAGCAGACATATTTGTTTGCAATATTTTTTTTTTTGGCTTTTATTGCTTTTATTTTGTAAATTTTTGTTTAGAAATATGCTAGACATTTGCTTTCTGAAGCTCTATCGTCGACTATAGATGTTGTTGGAATTAATACTGCTACATCCGGTATGAATTTCAATGAACTTCTGGATGAGATAATGGCATCTCTTTTGCTTAGCAACACTGAATTGGATCTTAAAAAATTTGTGGCGTCTCAAGTTATTATGTCGTATGCAAACACTAACGCAGATAGCATAAAGTTAATAAGTTTCTTTACTACAAAAAATTTTTTAAAGATCTGTTATTTTACGATTATCGATTTGCAAGTATATTTACATGAACTGGGTGTGCAGTTTTAGCTTTTGAGCTCTCTGTTTGAATTTCAGACAGTGGCGCTCCTTCGATAAACGACTGTATGAGCGCATTTTTGGCCGTGTCGAAAAAGCAATTTCATTTCACGATCCAAAGTTGCAACATTTTATTGCAGAGCATGCACATCCATCATTGAAAGTTTGTTTTTAAATGAAGCTACAAACTGTTAATAAACATTGATGTATATAATGTAGATCTCGTTTTTTTTTTTTTGTAAATTGAGAACTATTTTTGATGAGGTTATGAAATTCAAGGAATCTTATCTCAGATTTTACTATGTTTCGCCCTATTCCAGTACAGTGATTGCCGTGGTGAAGACAAAGTTGTGTAAATTAAATTAGAGTAAGTATTGAAAATGGTCTTTGATTGTTAGGAAATATATAGATAATTTTTTGTTTGTTTGCAGGACGCATGCATTAATCTAGAGCACACGATGTGGAGACTGGAATCATTGCTTAATTTGCTTCTTTCAAATCATGGAAAAAGCATCATAAATGACTACACTGCACTTGGAGCTATTTCAAAAGTAATTGAATATAATTTTGGTATGATTACAACTATAGCACGATCAAGCCGATCTTACTCAATTGGCCTACGAAACAGTGATCTTGAGGTATTTCAATTATATCACGTAGCATTACCATCCCTTCAGTTACATGTTAAGATTTGCGGTACTGGGAACTTTTGGTTAAATCCTTAGTAGAAACAATCTAAGAAATAACAATTGCTTATTAGTAGTGATGTTCTGTCTTCGACATTGACAACATTATATCTCACTAAAACACCGATTTCCTCTTAATTGGCAACAGAAAACAAACTTTACCACATGAATTAACACCGCCATCACATAATTTATTGGAATTAACACTCTTATCACATAAATTATATCACATAACGTTATTTTTCCTTGAAACCTATCCGACAAACTCGTGTATACAAGTTAAGTTGGCAGTGCTGGAAGCTTTCGAAACAATATTAGTTAAGTTCTGTTATGTTATCATTATTTTATTGCCTAAATGTTCATGGTTTCTGATTTCTCGTGAAATATGAAGACTATGTTTAGATATCTTGGGCACAACTGTATTGTTCGGAAGCAGCTAACATGTCAATGGCTGAGTTGAGGAAGCTTTATGATTGTAAGTTATTCGTTTCTCATACGATATTAATTTGTGAAATATTAGTAAAGAATATCCTAGTGAACTTTATGCAGCATTTGAATGTATGTTTGTGTTCGAATGCAGTAGTGTGGACAGGGAATAAATATCTTCCTCAGAAAGGCCATGATTAAGGTTTCAATTATGGTAGTTAGGACACTTTCTACAAGTCATAGCTTCATTATGTGAGAATGAGCAACTGAAAAAATAGAATTTTTTTAATTTAGTCGTAAAACTTTTCTTTAAAAAAAAGTAGTGTCCGTATGGCTGACTGTTTAAAAGAACATCCATGAGTTCAGCATTTTAAGTTCTATAAAGCTGTCATGAATTTGATTGTACCCGAAACATTGCAGATTTTCGATTTGAACGAATGAACTCTGTGCACGCTAAGATTGGAGAGTCTGTTTTGAATACTGGTGAATACTGCATCGAAAGTCCAATTACTCGAAATTGGTAATAATAACTCATAATTCGATTGTTTTCAATTTTTTTATTATTTGATATCTGTAGAAGTTTCCCAAAGCAACTCGAAATAAAACTTCAAGATCAGTTCAGTTTAACAGTGGATATGCAAAGAGAGTAACATAGCAGAGGTACACATTCAAAATTTAGGTCGAGTTTATTTCACTTACAGGTATTCTGCAAAGACTACGGCCTCAGCAATCTTTCATATATAAGGATGAGGAAAGTTATCAAATAGTCCCATGATGCTTTCAAAAATTAGAGCAGAAGAAGCAAAAGACCACACCAGCAAGACATCTTATATTACAATACTAAACTCATTTTCATCCCTTGTATGTCCGAAAAAATATATAAAATGTTAACTGAATCATTAATATAAATTAAAAAGTGGCTATTTGCTTATGAAACATCACTTTTAACAAACAGCTACATCATCACTTACAGGAAATGTTTTGAACTGAATGTTTGAATAGTTTCACATACTGTCCTTTAATGCATGTAAGCGCTAAAAGATACATATGTCAGCGAGTGGACTTCATCTGTTTTTCTGGATACTAAAAAAGGTTATAAGAGGATAACCTAAATACAACAGGTGAATCTGTCACCCTATTTCTCGTCAAACAACTTCCTCTCCCTTAATTATCCATGCAACTGCATCTGCATGAGTCCCCACTACATGTACAATCATTAGCTAATATTATCGCTTTAACGAATATGATTTCACAGTTATTCCAGCAGTCCCATACGGAAAATTACCGTTGTAACAAAAGCCCGATTGGAAGTTGTTCCATTCTGAGCGGTTCCTGAAGCGATCAGGAATTTAACGATTGTGAATTATTAGCGCGTTCATTTCGAATTTGAATCACTTCGCATATCTTGATTAAATGGAGTGGGTGGTTCACAGAGCGCTGATGACGAGGACTGGAGGGCTTAGTCTGTTTTTTCTCACACTAGCATTATCTCTGTCTGATTGTTTCATGTTTGATATTAGTAACAAGAGGAAAAAAAAAAGACGAATTCTCTCCTGATATATATTGAGAAAAACTATTCTTTGGCCGATTTAGGCTTTATTCGATAAAAAAACGAAGTCACTCTAAATTTTTTCTAACTATATTTATTAAATCTTATCAAGATTCGTCACTGGTTTATCAGGAAATGATTTTGGAGGCAAAACATTTGATGATATTTTTGTGGGAAATTTTTACCTGTTTCACCTCCTAATATTGGCAATTTTCACTAGGATTTTGGAACACTGTACAAAGCATTGCGATTTGTTGAGTTTGAAGAAAAAAATCTTTTTTTTTTACTTTGATAATTCAATTTAGCCATTCGGAAGCCAGTTAATGTCCAAAAATATGAAGAATGTAGACATTTAAGATATTCTATTATGAAGATTTTTAATATAGCTGAACTTAATAAAATTGCATTTAGTTGCATTCTTTCTTTGTGTTTTTCAAGCTTAAGGTAGAGACCAATAACTTTTTTTGAAGGATAAGTGGAGAAGACAGAGAGTAGTTACTAATCTGTGAAGGTGGAGTTGGAGTATTTATCTTTTGTTAGTGTGACAAGTTTAGATGTTTTCTGTTACCGTGTTACTCTTCTTGAATTGAAGTATTTTTTCTTGGAGTGGCTTCATGTAAAGGACTTGTTTATACAGATTTAAACCACCGTAAAAAAAAAGTGTCTCAATCTCCACTTCTGCGCTGTTAATGTTTATTCAGATTTTGGCTTCGTACTTATATATTCACGGCTTTTCTTTAAAAATAATCCAGTGTTTTTGTTTATTCTAGTTAGCAATGTCTGCGTCAATTAATGCAGAGAATGAAGCCGCTGATCAGGAGAATGTTGTGGCTAGTGAACGTGACACTTCTCCTCCACCAGCAAAAGTAACAAGAACTGATCGGAAAGAGTCGATATCTCATCCACGAAAACATTTGGAAACGGTACTTTCGCAGAGGTCTGAAGGATCGGATGAAGATTTATGTGCTGGTGATGCCGTTAAACCTTCACAGATCGATAGTGATCAAAGCGATTCACCTGCGGCAGAATCTGATCGTATCACTCCTCTCCCGAAGTTCGAATGCAATGATTCTGATTCCAGCGAAGAAGTGACACAACTTGCTTCAGATTGTGGAGATCTGCTCAAGGATGTGGAAAATATTACCGAATCATCAGACTCGTCGCATTGTTCGCCTGAACGTACCAAAAATGATGAGCATTCTTCTGGTTATCCGGCAACTCCACCGGCTAGTGGCGAGCTACCTGGATCCAGCAAAGCACCTGTAAGTTTTCACTAATTTCCATTAGACTTTTTGTTTCTGAAAATCTTGTTTTTTTTTTTAAACTCGAACTAAACCTTTTACCGACTTTTTTTCGAAGAGAAATTTCTTAGCTATTGTTTACTTAAAATCAGAGTGCAGACTGTACAACTGCAACACTACGTAGTCAATCGCACTTGTTTTCAGCATCGGCACACTTTGTAGTGAAAAATGAATGTTTTTCGATTTTTTTCAAAATTTTGTTGGGTAGGGAAGTTAGTTCATACAATTTTTCGTTTTCATTTTATCCTATAACTTTTCAGTACGTTTCTGTTGCATTTGCTTTTCAGACGACCCCGTGTTCTACACAGACAGATCGCATCACCAGCTTGCGCAAACGAATGGCGGTAAGTTTTTGGTTTATTTCAAATTTTTTTTCACAAGATTTATTTTGACAAGAAAACTGTTATTGAAATATCATAGATAGTAGCTTTTATACTGTCTTCTACATGAAAGTTGTTCAAGAACAGTAGAAGGGGTAAGTGAAGTAAAAGAGAGAAGTGAGTTAATGAAGTCGATTTCTAGATCTGCATGGTTAATCTTAATTATCAAGGTTTGTCAATAATAATTAGCGGGAAGGAAAGATTATTCAGCTTTCGTTATTTTTGCTTTGCTATCTTCTAATTCATATTCAGATTTATTCACCCAGCGATAGCATGTTGTCACCTTGCACGATGAAACTGAACCGACCGAAGAATTTCTTCCTCATGAGACAGAAGGCTAAAACTTCATCGTTTTTGTGTGCTGAAGAGCTAAGTGAAGAAAATAATGATGCAGATGATGATGAAATGGGAGATGAAATGAGAGGTACTGCCACTGGTGAAGCGGATGCACCTGCAGATGATGAAATAGATAAAGCCAGTGGTGATGATACTGTTCTCACAAAAAACCAGAAAGGCTTTGATAATAATGATATTATCTAACTTTCTTTGACTTTTACTTATGTGCTTCATTACGCGCATATACAATTATTTTTAAAGCAGATTCAACTCGTGTTTACCTACTGTTGCAATAGACATCTTTCAACGGGAATGTTTTTTTGTTTTGTTTGTATTCCAACTCATTCAAGTTTCTGACATTTTCTTAGCAAACCCTTTTGTCTTAATTTCTAATTCTGTACGCAATTATGGATCTTTGATTCTCTGTGCAATCTACTGACCATAACCTGTTTTTCCAGCGCCATCACTTTTATGCTTCATTTCTCTCATGTAAAATAGTGTTTTAATCACATCCTTAATCCAACAGAAATTCGTATGCTCATTACACTGTTACCGTACGACATCTTTTAATGAGAATGTTTAAGTTGCTGTTTTTTTTTTTATATCTCAGCTTGTTTCCTCTGTTTTTGTAACAATAACTGTTTATCTCATTATTCTCTTTCTGCTTATGGGATGAAAAATTCTTGATGTGCTATATAATACTCCATTTTACTATATCTTCTGTTCTTTAATCTTTCTTGGTAGATAGAGCGTAAATCCCAACTCACCATATAATCATTGCCTTTCTTTCCTTTATATCATTTATTCGCCCTGTGAGATCATTCCTTATTTTTTATCTTCATCTTGTTAAATTTTTTAGAGAGTGACTTTTAGAATCTATTCTGTGAATAATGTTTAACGGCAATAAAGCCGAACTTTATTTGATCTTGACAGATCAAGTTGAAACCATACATATGTTGCAATGTTGATCATAACCAGAACTTAACAAAAAAAGAACAGGTATTGCCTTTAGAAAAGAATCAGTTCGAAAGTAAAAGCTCATTGTTGAGACAGGTATTTTGCTGTCTTTGCGCATGTTCACCAAATTTCTATAATTCGTAACTCGGCAAACAGTACTGCTTTGATTTTTTTAATCAGTTATGGAGTCTGAGTCAAGTAGTCACAGTTATAGAATCTGACGAAATTTGTATATCAAACGAGATTCCAAAGGGATATGTCAATCACTGATGGTTGATTCCGAAAAAAATTTTTTTTATGACTGTTGGCAGTATAACGCAAGTATGCAAACGCACTATAACCGGTGAGGGTTGATTTGTACGTCAGAGTATACAATAACTGAATATGGGATGTATTAATAATAAGGATAAGACGAACAATAAGGATAATGAAGCAGTGAATAGAGAGGAAACAGAGGGGTAAATTAGTTACAACAGTGATAGGAGTAACCTTATTCATTAAGCACTTTGCACTTCAAAGAAAGTGATATGAAAAAAGAAAAAAGATTTTAAAGATAACAAACTACGCCAAGTAATAAAATATAAACTGATAACGAATTATACAAGCTGTCTGGGACATATTTACTACTATAAAAACATCGATAAAATTTCCAGTTATACAAAGAAAAACCTAAAACTTTTAGGGGAACTGCTTCTGTTTCACAGAACTAAGATAAGCAATTAAAAATTAAGAAGGAAATAAGAACAATGACAAACTGTATTACGTCCGCACAAATTCAGCAGAGATCATTTTTCGAACGTTTACCAAGGGCAGTGAGACATGAAGCATATTTGCGTTTGACTGAATTCGATGCAGGACACACATCATCCTTAAAAAGTATTAAGACGGTACTTGTACAAAGCGGCAGTAGTAAGATTAATGTGGGCGAAAGTAATTCAACATTCAGAATGCATCGAAATGAGAACCGGAACCACTGTGGTTAGATTTTTATGAGTAGGTAGAACAAAGGATGATTATGAGAAGATAGTATACGATAGTATGTAGGTAGTTTTCAGTACCTTACGCAATGCACTTGAAGGTAAAGTATAATTTCGTTTATAAAACATAAAGAATATTCAAGTAAACATTTACTAGAAGCTTCTGGGACAAAGACCTATGGTCCTTTTCCGCTGTGAAATGCTCCGTTTCGAGATCTGATCGCCCATATTGACTACTATCTTGCATTATTACACTAGACATCGATGCACTCAGTGCAAGATTCCGCTCCTTCTCTTCACATCGTAATTTCAATTCCTGGAAACTTCTCTGCAATGATAACATATACGATTTACAAGACAAATATAAGAGACACAACCCTAGAACGCTGAAAAAACCATTGAAAAAATCTTGACAGTTGTGGCAGGAAAAATATTTTTACTTCTAGATAAAAAATGTGACTTTAAGAACTGAACGTAGCAACTGACTCAATACTGAACGCCCAATCATTCAGCGTTTAGTAGTGTTGACGACATAATAAAAAAATGAACACTCCTAAGTGTGTTCTCCTAAGAGCTTCCTAAATAAGATTCAGAGCAATAGACTGGTTACTCATAACTCCAATCCAATCAGCAGCAAAGTTTATGATGGTGATTATGAAATGAAATCAACAAAAACATTATTCTAATGTCCATCGGGCTTTGTTTGATGATTTGAAAGCTAATGATGCTAATGCATAGTCTTTTTTTTATTAAAGATATTTTACGCACCACCAGCTTCTCGCACTGCTCATCGACAGTGTGTAGCGCTTTTCGCAATTCCTGATTTTTTTCATCCGAGTGTTTCAGCTTCTCGATAAGCTCTCCGATTAACTTTTTCTCTTCTGTATTTTTCATTATTACACTCCCCTGAATAGCAGAATGCAGCTTTCTTTAAAAGAATTTTAACAAAATCCATGAAACAAGATTCCAAATATAAGATCTAAAGAGGCATCTTTCATAAGTACCAATGCCAAAACTGGTCAAAACATTCCGATCTCAGAAAACAGACTCATGAAGCCAACCAATAAAGCTCTTCTTGTAATGATCTCAGTGGTCTCAGTGATGATACTAAACTTTGAAAATACCTGCATACTTACAGATCTGACAAGTGAATCTTCGCTACGCTTAGAATTTGCTTCCATGATAGTAACATTGGAATTATCGGACTGTGTAAGCGAAATTGGAGAAATGCATATACTACACGTCTGGAAATGATGTAATCAAAGTAGGAAGAATAATGCAATCAAGATAGGAAGGACAATGCAAATTAAGTAACAATCTACCTCAGAAAGGCCGAGAACGGAATTCTCAAATTTATTCCCACTTATCAATCCATTCTGACTGCTTCGATTTGGAATGTTTTCCGTTCCATTTCTATCGCACAGAACTTCACTTTTTCTCTAAAAAGAAAAGTATTACGGCTAGGTATTTAGATTAAGGCTATGTCAAACAATGATTAAAAAACAAAACTACTAATTCTGATAGTACACGTCAAAATATTCATGTATAAAAATTTGTAAAACGTACAGAAGTCGTTCTAGTTTGCTGAGAGAAGAGCAACTTATTGTGTTCACGCTTCAGTTCATTGTAATCACATCTAAATAATTATATATTAATGTAAGGAATGGAATAAAGTTAGAAAATAAAACAATGCAAGTTTCTATCATAATAAATTTAAACCATAATTTATGAATTTGCATAAAACCAACGAGGGCAATGATTCAATATAACTGGTCACTCATTAGGATATCTAAAACTGATCACAGTTCATAGTATTATTCAGCTTTATGGTTGAAATGAAGTACTGGATAACGTTAGTTATAGCAATAACTCGAATTCATACAATGGTACTTTGGATAAAATTATCTTTTTTTTTAAGAAAAAGTAAGATGGAAAACCTTAATTTTGCTTTCTGTTGCTTTATTTTACCGTTGTCTTCCAATAAAAACAGACGGGTTCGCTCCGCATCATTCAGACATGACTTCAATTCAGCTATTTCTGCTTTTAGTAAATTTATCTCGGTCTTGCCTTTGTCAAAATTCTAAAACAAAGCAAGAAATCCTATTTTCCTTGAAAATCAGACCAAATAAGGACTGTAATACCCAGTACCTACAAAAGTTCTATGTTTTAAAAATAAAAGTGAAAGTCTAAGCTGTAACACCTCTGCTTTGCTTTCCTGAGCTGCCCGCATATTGCGGAGCCATTCACGCCGTTCCTCATCGAATTTGGCTTGACTCACTTCCTGGCTCTTGCGTAATTCAACCATTTCACATACCAATGCTTCTTCACGAAGTCGATGCTAGAAATAAAATTTAAGTATGGTTTGTGTTGTTTAAGTGCATAATTTTTATGAATTTTAGTAGTCTAATAAGTTCTACAAACAAATGACTTCAGCATACTCCACGAATGCTTCATATTATCAATGCTTAGTGTGTTAATTTGTCTTTTACATATAGATCTTGTAAAAGCTTATTACTAGATTCTCCGCTCCTGCTTTTCTAAAATTACTTCAGTGTCATTTTATCTCAGACATTTCATTATATCATCTAGGATTTTCTTAAGTTTAATCATTTACCATATTCACTTGTGCCTCCAGAGATGCGATTTTTTTTCTCGCTTTCAACCAATTTTTCTGCATTTGAACAAGCTTCCCACGTTCTGTTTGCTTTCTTTCTTCATCTTTTTCCTCTAAATCTGTTGTTACAACCGCAACTTGAAACTCAGCATCTCCCATAGCTTGCACCGTTTTCCTCTACTTTACCTAAATAAATTCAAGTAGAAATATTTCCACTCCATTTTCTTTTTCGAGTCTTTAAGGCCCTGTATGACTCTGGTAGCTATAATGATCAGAAAATGAAAAAGTAACAAACACTTACTGAAATCACATACATAATCTCAATAATTCTTGCCCAACTCCTATTTACAAAAATAACAAGTGAAACTTTCTTTACAATATCTATTCCACTTATGTTTTCTTTTATGATATCTAATGAACATCATTGTACATATGAACCATGAAGCAAAGAAAACTAAAAATCCACCTCAACCAGTCACTTTTGCACAATGTATATGCAATAACGTTTAAGAAATTCCGTGTATCTCAGAATCTCAGACTCTTTTATAAAAAATGGCATAATAATTCTATATTATTTTAAACATTTTCATTAATCCTAGATCATTTATCAGTTCAGCGTAATATTTTAATTATGATACGGATGCACTCCGTAAAAATTCAACGACAATAGACTGGTTATCATATCACTCTACTGGTCAAAGAGAATGCAAAGAATGCTTTTGAATTGAAAGTAGTTTAATGAAATAGTGGTCAGTTTTTTTAATAAACTTTTCTTATTGACTGGAATAAAAGGCAAAAATATTTTGACCAAAATTCACGTACAAGTTTATGAAATTTGCAAAAATTTTTTGAGAATATTAAGCCCTACAAAACAAATCTATCAGGATTAATTCTCATTCCACATACTCATATATTCCTTTTATGTTAACGTATCAGCAAGTATTACATACCGATATAACTTTGAATAGCAGCATGGAATAAAGCCCTGCTTTAACACCTAAATATAAACATATGTACATTTATTTTCCGACCAGAATTTTTCGTCATATAACCATCCGAATTTACAGGCACAAGTATGCTCCAGTAAGTTCTGGATGATTATAGTGGGGTAAATTTTTGACCAGCAAATATAACTTATGCTGATGATTTATCAGATACTTTTATCTGACTTATAAACTCAAAAGAGAATTCCTACATTTTTTGGACAACCATGCGTTGGCCTTGCCATTTAGGTATTTTTCTCCCAACTTTAGTAAGCCAAACAAAACGATAATAATCAAACACTCCCTATCAAGCTACTTCAAACTTCACATTCGAATGCCGAAAACATCGCTTCGTAGTTTCGACCCGGTTTACTGTACACTTGTCTCGTTGAGTGATAAACACATTTCAATGAAGACTATGTGAAAAAAAAACATCTCTCAAACGAAATCATTTGTGATGTGTTATTAATTAGCATTTGAGCAAAAAAATGAGAAAGAAATTTGACGTATCTTTGATTTTAATAAAGTTTAAAATTTATGAGAAATGCTTTCAATGAAAAGTAAAAATTATCTTAAATTGTAATTTATGGAAAGATATTCTTTTTAGAACTTGAAAATTCATTTCATTACAAGCCAGAATTTGTTTAGAGTAGTAAAGATGCAAAAAATATATTGGACTAGTGTGTAAATGTACATTTATGGATGAAAATGAATTAGTGTTAATGGGCCTAAAAGTGCTAATTAACCGCTAACAGGAAAAAATCTTCAACAGAGTTCATTCAGTTCAACAATCTGCAATAAATAAGCCTTTTTGTTCCCATGAAGCTTTGCTTATTTATTGCAATTGGAGATAAATATACTTACGTTTGTGGTTTACCTCTCAAAAACAGATATCTTTGTATCATCTTTGCAATTTTACAGTTTCTTGTTGCTCTTACTTCACTTCTTCAGGTCACCTTCTTTTATTAATATTTCAAACTATTCATGTATTATGTTATCGCATATATGAATGCTAAACAAAAATAAATACATGAATAAAAGTCTGTCCAAATAATGCTAACTTTTCCACTTGATATTGTTATAAAAGTGCCAAGAATAATCAATTTGATGCCATCGTATAGATAATTTGAATAGGATGGGGAAAAAAATCTAGTTATACTGTTATAATTAATAATTTTATGACTTTAAAAAAATTTGAAAAAGTAATAAAAAAATAAAATTACCTTATTATGACATTATGGAACCTATAATAATTTTAATTTAGCAACAAATAACCGCTAATAAATAACCGCATTTAGTATGCGGTAGTGTCAGTTCTAAGCAATCATTCAATATATAGATGATTCTATTGATTGTGCATGGAAGAACGCTTTCATGTCGGTTGAAATTGGAAGTTTATGAAACAGTTACTGATGAAAGAAAAAACTATTTGCTTGATTTTCGTTTAATCGAAAGCCTAAACTAAATTGATAGATAATAATCCATGCTATTATATCAGCATGCTTAAAAGATTATCTCCATTAAGGTTGAGAATTTTTCGGAAAATAATCAAACCAAAAAACTTTTTTTTTTTGCAAAATTGATAACATATTTAAAATCTGAAGAAAAAAGTATTTAAAAACAGAAAAAAAGGAAAAAAATGAACGAAACAATTAATTTAGCATGCCTACTCGATACGAAAAAACAATACCATTTTTGCATGCCAGTCAAATATCACAGCAACTTCAACTTCAGCTGAGATGGTAAATTTCTTTTCGTTTTTAGAAATTACTTTTTTAAAGTCATATACATTTTAATGAGTGATAAGTTAAATGGAACTGTTTGCCTGATTGCATCCTTAATTTGCTTCAAAAAAAATTGTTTAAAGCCGTATCCATCATGAATCTATATCATTTGCATGACTAAAATGTAAATTTAATGAATTTAATCCAAGAAATATTTTCGTACTTTTGATAAAATGAAAAGTGAAATTTGTTATTACTCAAGAATCAAACTTTCGGTAATTTCGTATTATCATACAGCATCAGATTTGATTCTCTTCTCTTTCTTCCTCTCTCCTTAACACTTTATAATCTGAAATACAGTTCCTCGTTTCAGTTTTTAGCCTATGATATTATCATATTCGATTACGGGCTAATGCATCGCATACTAGGGACCAGTGAATGTATTGCAAATTATCTGGACGGTGGTTTTATGCGTTCTGTTTGGTGTTTGTCACATACCAGTTCATTGTTTTTACTGTTAATCGCATTATTTTTCCTTATCAAACCAATCTGGTTACTTTGGCCAGGTAAGTGTATTCGAGTCCACATATCACTGCTATTTTTACTATTTTATCATTGATGTGAAACGGTTCAGAATCTATTCCATTCTTCAGCAGTGAAATAACGCAGAACCTGCGTACTTTTTTAGTTCAACAAGTATTGAAACTTCTTTGATTAAAATTTTCTCAGCACTTTTGATGCAATCATCTTATGCTCTCGGATTAGCAGTATTGACAATGGCAACAGCGCCAAAAATGCTTGACGCATTGAGCGGCAAGGTGGATACAGAATTCGGCACGGCATTTACTGTTTATCTGATGGGTTTCACTTCGAACTGGCTTTTCACTTTTGTTCTGTGGCATCACTACTGGTATGTTGAGGAGAAACTCAAAGTCATCTCTTCCAAGAATGCTCCAACTATTTTATAAATATAGCACTAAACGAGCAAATTTAAGCAATCTGATTATCAAAAATTTATGCATACATCATACCTGACATCATAATGAACATCGGTCAGTATCTAATCAGCCAATAGATAAATTTCATAATATTAAAAACCTATATTGTTCTTTGACATTTGATATTTCTGGTTTTTGGAGGAACAGAGAGAGAGAGAGAGGGAAAAAGAAGGAAGGATTTGAAGGGTAGCAAAATTTGATTAATTAGGAATAAAAGGATTCAAAATTTTTTCTTTCATTGAAATATGCCAATTCTATAACAGATGACTTTACATATATGATCATTTTTAAATAATCGAATGACATTGTGAGTCCTATTACGAATGTATAAAAGGTGATGAAAATTATCACTTAATCATTTCGTCGGAATTGCTGTGATGAACGGTAATGGGATCGGAGTAATCATTTTGAGTTCTAATTGAAATAGCACATCGGTTGTTTCTAATATCATCAAAGCATCGCATCTTGCATGCTTGAATTATTCACTGAGAAGATTTAAAAAAGTTTATTAGTAACAACATAACAGTACGGATTAAAAGTTTCTCCATTTAAATAGAAAAAAAGAAACCTGAAAATGAATTCCTATATCAAAAGAGAAATTCACCTGAATAATACTCTTTGATATTTAAGGCAGTTACAAAAAACACGTCATGCTCAGTTTGTCGTGAAATCCACACTAAAATCAAAGTAAGAATTTTATTAGGAAATCATAGTTAGTGAGAAATTTAGTAAAAATTTTTTTTTATTTTTCCACAAATAACATTTGCTTTCCAGAAGAATTCTAATTTTCCAGTAAAAAATAATTTCCGTTTAAGAATGATCAAAAAATAAAAATAGATTTCTCAGATAGACGGGAAGGAATGGAAAGAAAGAAGGAAGAGAAGAAGCGGCTTGCGAAGAAACTTTGAGAAATGAAAAAGTGTGTGTTTAGAGGAGGAGAATGGTTAGATTTCATTTTGAATATCCAATAAATTTTGGTTTGGTGCAATGTGGTGAGGATCAAGACAAATGGCTTGAGAAGGATTGCATAAAAAAAGTGAACCATCAACTGTAAATAATGAATTTTTTGTTGATAATATTATACTAATCGAATTTCTCGCTAATTTCACTTTTGTCAGTTTTAAACTATTCACCCGATACAAATTAGATTAGTAATAAATGCTGAAATGTGGAACTGTCACACAAAAAGAAAAGACATTGTTGTTTGTTGTTTGCGCTCTTCCTCTCACATCTGAACGATATTTGGAATAGGTGAAGAAGATGATAACAAAGAAAGAAAAGCAACCGTACTTTCTCACATATCAAATTGCAATGAAATGCAAAAGATGGGCAAATTAAAGTAAAAAAGCTAGGGAGTGGAAATTCTGAATTTATGGGACGAAGTGAACAACTAATAGCATTCTTAACAAATAAAGGAATTATTTGAAAACTAATTGGGATTGGCTGGCATTATCACTCATTTTAGGTAACAAATCTTCTTAGTATGTGTAAAGAACTTTCGTCGATCGATTTTCTACCTGTTCTAAACGTACTGCTCTTGTTGTGAAATATATGAAGAACGCCACCCATTTTTTGCCATTCTCAGTTTTAATAGAAAAAGGGGCCATATAATCTAATCCAAAATATTAATCCAGAAAATAGATGGTTTACATTCAATTTACCTTCCGCGATACAACCCAAATGAAGAGAGTTTATATTCGATTTACACAACAACACGAGGAACTGTACCATGTAGGAATTGCACATATACTATCGAAATTGAGAACAGAATTAGATAAATTTATGGTTTGCAAGAGATGGAGATGGACTTCCAGCCGTGCAGAGTCATTCCAAAAACTCGAGCCATATGTTCTCGAACATTTGAATATTACAGACATACATATGAACACACACATAGACACACGTTTTGTCTGTATTGTATTTGTCCCTTGCCAGGAAGAGGCCGTCACAAGCATCCGGAACAAAACAATTAGTAGTGGAAGGCACGAGTTGTCGATTTGCGACTACACAGTCTATTCAGATTACAATTGACTATTATGTTGTCCTCTGCAAAGGGCATGAATACTGTGTATAGGAGTGGCGGTGGTGGTGATGGAACAGAATCACCAAGAAAGCTAGAGATCTTTACTGCTAATATTGACGGTGCTGGACATGTACCTTCTGCAAGTATTGACTTAAATAACGCAACTTCTACTACTACTGCTGCTGATTCCATCTTGTTCTCCCTGGATAACAATGAGAAAGTGATCGTTTTCAGTGATGCTGCTGAAAAATGCGCAACAATGGTGCTTTCCGCAGTATTTGAGGGTATGTCACTGAAGCTGGATAACACTTGTCCCCTATCCAGTGTAGTACCGGAACCGGATTTTGTTACTACATCCAAGAAGTTATTGGAGGGTACCAAGTTCAATGCATCTAAGCACTGTGCATATTCATTAAGCAAGTCAGATTTAATAGAATTGAAGCGTAGTATCGTTAAATCAGATTTCAAACCCGTGCAAGACCCACTGTCAATATCAAAACTAAGGAAAAACTGTTCCGTTGATTACCATCCATGGCATAGTCCCATATTTGAAATTAGTAGTTTGGATTCCTCACGATATATCTGCGAAAGTCTTGTCGAAAAATCATCTTAAATTGTAATTTATTTATAATTCGGTGGATGGGTTAATTGATTTAACAAATAAAGAATTTAACCATGTAGCAAATGCTGAATAAAATATTGACTTGGAAGAGTTTCGTAAATTTTGAAAGTCTGATACAGTAATAAATGCTGAAATGTAGAAGTGTCACACAAAAAGAAAAGAGAAATACTGTACATTTGCATGTACCCACCGCTATGGTAACATTTGCAACCCGTGCGGTCAATTATACCATTTCCGCCACTTTGTTTTCTTGCCATTCTCTCACCTTTCGTAAGTCGGTGGAGTAATACCTGCTTGTTTGTCCGTGTGCACTATTCATCTAAGGCCTGATCCGGCGTTTTCATTGGGACACATTCAAATACTGGTGCGATCTGCTGGTAAAATTGAGTTCTGAGGGGTCGGGTAATTCGTTCATCTAGTGATTTGTATGGAATTAGTCAGGGATTTAAATTATGCATGGGCGAAGTATTTTTAAACATATATGTTGCCTAAGCAGGTGTAAAATATGTCCAAGTGAAGACAGTTTATTGACGTTACGTTTGTGTGAAGTGGTGAGAAGCCGTGATTATGTCAGATGAGGAGAGAGGAATGCCTTGGTCAAAGTTCAGTAGTATTCCAAATAAATTGTGGCAGTTTTTTTCGCGAAATTTGGGTAAATCATTTAAATGAAACATCCTTATTATTAACTAAACACTCATTTCAATTGCGTTATTCAACACAGCTTTTTAATTCCATGCACTTGTTAAGAACGAAACTGTAAAGCATGGGCCATTCATCAAATACTTCAGCTGTTTCAGGTAGAACTGATGTATGACATTGACTAGTACGTAAAAAGTAATATTGTCGTACTAAGAATTTCACTTCAAATCAAACAACAGCAATATTCATTTTTTTTTCTTTGTGATACAAAAAAGTGAAGAATTTTTAGATACCAAAGACGAAGTTGTTATTGAGAATGAACATGCGGATGATTCCAATACTAGTGGTTGGCAGCGATTGAAAAATGTATATTTTAATAAAGGTTTGTAAAGATATATCCTGTGTTTGTAGATTTTGAAATTTACTATGCTTGTGATGTTACAGATGTACATTTTGAGACGAGTATATTGATGCCATGTGTAGAATGGACATTTATTGGTACAGTATTCTTCACAGGTCCTCTAGGATGGCAGAGAGCTGCTGACCGTTATAATCGTTACGCGAGGGGTCGAATATTTCTTAGTCCACGTGACGCACTGGTTAGTAGTCATTTATACGTTTGCTGCATTTGTAAAGTTAGTGGTACAAATAACTTCTATACCGATTGCTGCAAGAAATATTGTCAATTTTCTAAAGATGTGACTCCCATTACACATCCTTAGACCACTTACCTATTTATTTCTGGTCTAAAACTGTAATGTCAATTAAAATTACCTCGTTTTTGTTTAAGAAGTTTTTCAGAGGCGTAAATGGGATTATGCATTTACATCATTTCTGCGCTTGGGAGCAATTAACGGTACTCTAGCATCATTATATGTTGGATGTATGGTGTAAGATGTTTTTTTTTTTCTTCTCGCTCTCTAATATATTCTTTCATAGATCATGTCTTGACATCTTTCTGTTAATCTTACAAGTGAAATTAAAAAAAAAAAAAATGATACACATTTGATTTTAGATGGTCTTAAAGAAGTAAGCGGCAATGTCAGCACATTCAAAATGTTCAGGAAGTGTTCCATTTATTTAGGAATTTGAAAATGAAGACTGATGTTCGCATTTTGTGTTATAATTACTTTTAGAGCAGCGATCACACATGTTGCAGCATGGCGCGGCCATTTTTCACTTTGGACTATTCCCATTATAACAAGTGAATGTTTGCATTTTTTTTTTTCTTTAGAAATCAACTGAGGGTTGCGAGATTCAGTGAAAATGTGAGTATAGAGTGTAGAACGCAATGAAAAAGAACTGATCAGAATTAGTTAATTACGTGATTTTTCGAAATTAAAGTGAAGAAATGTCTTTTATTTCAGCTTCAGTGTCATCTGTAGTTGCATGTCCACTAGGTGTGCGAAAAATGGTGCAAGCAGCAAGTCTTGGGTTAACGTGCGGGTATCATTTTTGTTATTCTTTTTTTTTTTCTTAGATAATTCTAGTAGTAATGTTACGTCAGTTTATCGATTTAATTCTGGAAGTGAATGCGTAAGGCTTTACTCTTGCGTTGTTTGTGTTTGCTAACTAAAATTCAAACACTGATATCGTGATTTTTTTTTTTCGCTTTTTGCCTGGTATGTTATTTTCAGGCTGACTCTATCGTTGATCATGTTTAGCGTATCATACTTTTCCGCTCAAACAGTAGATGACACATATCAACAATTCAAACGAGAATATGAGTTGATATTAAGAGCTGAACGAGTTAAAGACGAAAATATCAAAATATATCAAAAAGAACATAAAATTTGGTCTAGAAATTTGGCAAAACTTCTGATGGATAAGGATAAAGAGCTAGAAAGTGAAAATTCTGAAATTCCCTCCAAATAAGATTTCGAATAATGAGTAACACTTTTTCTACATGCTTTTATTTTAATCTATTCGTTGATGCATCTCTGAATTTTTTTATGAATGCTTTGAATCTTGTATATTTATCAGCCTCAGTTGAAACTGTGACATTGAGAAATATAGTTATATGAACTTGTTAGTGAACTGTTGGATGAGTTTGCAGGAATATGGCGTTCAAGTGGAGTTTTGTTCTAATCACTTTAATTTGCCCATCTTTTGCATTTCATTGCAATTTGATATGTGAGAAAGTACGGTTGCTTTTCTTTCTTTGTTATCATCTTCTTCACCTATTCCAAATATCGTTCAGATGTGAGAGGAAGAGCGCAAACAACAAACAACAATGTCTTTTCTTTTTGTGTGACAGTTCCACATTTCAGCATTTATTACTAATCTAATTTGTATCGGGTGAATAGTTTAAAACTGACAAAAGTGAAATTAGCGAGAAATTCGATTAGTATAATATTATCAACAAAAAATTCATTATTTACAGTTGATGGTTCACTTTTTTTATGCAATCCTTCTCAAGCCATTTGTCTTGATCCTCACCACATTGCACCAAACCAAAATTTATTGGATATTCAAAATGAAATCTAACCATTCTCCTCCTCTAAACACACACTTTTTCATTTCTCAAAGTTTCTTCGCAAGCCGCTTCTTCTCTTCCTTCTTTCTTTCCATTCCTTCCCGTCTATCTGAGAAATCTATTTTTATTTTTTGATCATTCTTAAACGGAAATTATTTTTTACTGGAAAATTAGAATTCTTCTGGAAAGCAAATGTTATTTGTGGAAAAATAAAAAAAAATTTTTACTAAATTTCTCACTAACTATGATTTCCTAATAAAATTCTTACTTTGATTTTAGTGTGGATTTCACGACAAACTGAGCATGACGTGTTTTTTGTAACTGCCTTAAATATCAAAGAGTATTATTCAGGTGAATTTCTCTTTTGATATAGGAATTCATTTTCAGGTTTCTTTTTTTCTATTTAAATGGAGAAACTTTTAATCCGTACTGTTATGTTGTTACTAATAAACTTTTTTAAATCTTCTCAGTGAATAATTCAAGCATGCAAGATGCGATGCTTTGATGATATTAGAAACAACCGATGTGCTATTTCAATTAGAACTCAAAATGATTACTCCGATCCCATTACCGTTCATCACAGCAATTCCGACGAAATGATTAAGTGATAATTTTCATCACCTTTTATACATTCGTAATAGGACTCACAATGTCATTCGATTATTTAAAAATGATCATATATGTGCAAGGAAATTTATTTTTCTTTAGAAATGATGATACTTTTTCTGTCATAAAATTAGCATACTTTAATTAAAAAAAAAACTGAACCCTTCTATTCTTAATTAATCAAATTTTGCCATCCTTTAATTTCTGTTACCCCTTTCTCTTTTTTCTTTCTCTCTCTTTCTCTTCAAAAACCAGAAATGCCAAAGATTAAAGAACAAGATAGGTTTTCATTAGTAGGAAATTTATCTATTGAATTCATTGAACACTGATCAGTGTACCTTATGATGTTAGTTACAACATAAAGCTTGAATTGGTAGTATATGTTGAAATAGTCAGTCGTTTCACTAAAATGCTTTTATCTTAATTGTCATTTGCGGAATCAGTCATAAGAACCAATATCAGCCCATCATGCAATCACTTTCTTCTTTTCTGGATAAACTTCCGGAAAAAGCCATAATTAGTAAACCGAAAGACGAATCCATTCCTTCGCCTTCTTTCAGTTCTTCCACCAGCATTCTTACATTATTCACAACTGTTCAGTAAACAATATCAATATCCTTTCAGTTTGAAATTTCGTCACGATCGTATCAAGATTATCAGGAATGATCAGTCGTTTGATAATAGTTACATTGCACATAAGCCTAACACAGTCTCTAGTGCAAATTTATTGGAATATATTAGGATATATAAATATATGTATTTCGACCAAAATGTCACATGTGCGCTTTCTTAATTTCTAATATTATTATATATATTAGAAATTTAATTTCTAATAAAAGACCATACAATTAAAGACGAAAAAAAGAAAATGAAGATATGTCGACGCTATAAGTTAATCATACGGGGTAACTTATTGAAACTGGGTGGGAACAACTGGTAGCCATGAGTTTCCGGAAAATGAGAAATCACAAGTTGGAATTGGGTAGAGCACGGCTCTCGTTGTAACGAAAATACATACGTACACACGCACACAGACACACACACATACGTACGTATATGCACGTACACAGACATACATACAAATACACAGACATACATATGAACACACACATAGACACACGTTTTGTCTGTATTGTATTTGTCCCTTGCCAGGAAGAGGCCGTCACAAGCATCCGGAACAAAACAATTAGTAGTGGAAGGCACGAGTTGTCGATTTGCGACTACACAGTCTATTCAGATTACAATTGACTATTATGTTGTCCTCTGCAAAGGGCATGAATACTGTGTATAGGAGTGGCGGTGGTGGTGATGGAACAGAATCACCAAGAAAGCTAGAGATCTTTACTGCTAATATTGACGGTGCTGGACATGTACCTTCTGCAAGTATTGACTTAAATAACGCAACTTCTACTACTACTGCTGCTGATTCCATCTTGTTCTCCCTGGATAACAATGAGAAAGTGATCGTTTTCAGTGATGCTGCTGAAAAATGCGCAACAATGGTGCTTTCCGCAGTATTTGAGGGTATGTCACTGAAGCTGGATAACACTTGTCCCCTATCCAGTGTAGTACCGGAACCGGATTTTGTTACTACATCCAAGAAGTTATTGGAGGGTACCAAGTTCAATGCATCTAAGCACTGTGCATATTCATTAAGCAAGTCAGATTTAATAGAATTGAAGCGTAGTATCGTTAAATCAGATTTCAAACCCGTGCAAGACCCACTGTCAATATCAAAACTAAGGAAAAACTGTTCCGTTGATTACCATCCATGGCATAGTCCCATATTTGAAATTAGTAGTTTGGATTCCTCACGATATATCTGCGAAAGTCTTGTCGATTGTGACGAAATTAGTGCTTCCCAGCCTTTCGTACTTTTCCCGTCCATTAGGTATGCCTTTTTTATACGCATCTCTTACTTATATCTCAAAAGAAACCGGAAATGTGAGCGTGAAGCGTTTTGCGGCGAAATAATCCAATTTTTTTTTAATTTTTTACTTAATTTCTTTATTAAATTATTAGTTTAAGTTAACCTCGTAAACTTTCATCTATTATCTTTTTTCTCTTGCCCTTTGACCGCTGATATAAACTCCTCTGGAACAACTGCTTTAACTTCAATAAATGACATTACATATCAAATGGTTGGATTTTACTGTGATATGTGAAAGCAATAAGAAGTACTATATTTGGAAGTTGGCACACGTAAACACTTATTTCAAAATGATACTGAATGACAATCGAATAGAGATCTTATTAAAAGATTTTAAATAGTATGGTACTTTAATTTGATAAGGCAGTAATTACAACGTATCCCACGTCTTCTTTTTAACTTCACTTTCGCTTCTCATCCAATATAATCCATTTGTTCCTCTTTTAATATCACATCACAACTACGTTCAATATCTAGTTCTTTATTGTTTGGAATATTTTACTGTGTTTTTAAACTTCATCCATGGACACAAAATAACTAAAGAAAAATAACTGGACTGTGATTGATTGCAATCTTTACATTTATAGTTCATGAAGGAGAAAACACGAAGAATGAAACAAATTTTCATTACAATGCATTGCTCTTTCCCTTTTTCAATAAATATTTTAAGTGAGAAAACCTGTTTCACATTACCATTATTCTTGTCCTTTGATGCCTAGAGTCATTGATATTATATCAATCATGTGTGAGATAATTAATCTAAATATTGGATATATATGACACTTTCAGAATAAAAATGAGAAGAAATTTGTAAAAATTTCTGAAAACAATGAATGTAATATAATTTTTTGTGAGATAGTTAAAAGAATTAAAGTATGGAGGAAAATTTATCATGAATTGTTTCAAGCATAGTATATTATTATTTCTAAATTTCACTATAGCTTTAAAAGTGTCTTCTTTAATAAACGTGAAGAAATATCTCGGGACCGCATTCCACATTTCATATAACAGCATTATTTAATCTTAATTTCCTTAAAAGAATATCGAAAAAGTGGTAAGTATAGACAACTTAGACAGGATAATATTTCATTTGATTCAATAATAACACTAGCCAGAAATATAACTCATATCATTTATCGTTATGCGACAAGAGAGACAAATTCTTAACAAAAGGAAGGGAGGAGAGAACAACTGTGCTGACTATGAAATGATTTACATTTTAAAAATTCAAAGAGAATATTGATTTATTTATATATACATAATTTAAGATTTTGAGTATTTAAAAAAGTCAAAATTTGAAGCTTTCCCAATCGTTTTGTTAAAAAAGGACTGTGTGCTATCTCTTCAAAGATTACTTCTTCCTGAAATAAATTATTGCAGATCCAATTTCAGGCTACTGGTTGCTGCTCTTTTATGCTGTTGTTTCATTGCACTTTCAGTGAGTACATCAAATATGGCTGTAGCATTGATTTGCATGACATCCTGTACCATAAATGGTTATAAAGGTGATCTACAATGGCGAAGTGAGCAGGTAATGGTAACTCATTTCAATCCACTCTTATCATGAACTATAAACATCTCAAACCAAATTAAAGCTCCGAAATGCGAAGTTATGCCATTATTAATCCTATTCAACTGAACACATAACTTTTCCTGCCTTTTTTTATGTTCATGCAACAAAAAGAAAATTTAAATTCCAAAATATTTTAAAATTTAGGAAGGCATAATATTAGCAGCACAAAATGTCGGTTCACTTCTGATGGTGATAACAGGACTGTGGGCCGATCGGATAAACGGTAAATGGATGATCGGTGGTAGTTTATTACTGTGTGCGATTGCTAATACAGTTCTACCAGTGATGGCACATGAAAGTGTATGGTATGCAGTTGGTGCAAGACTAGCAATTGGCGCAGCGGACGCATGCCTTACACCTGCTACCAGTTCTTTGATAACACGATGGTTCCCACAAAGTGAACGAGCAGCCGCATTGGGTATTGTTACAGGTGGCCGACAAATTGGTATAAAACTTATGCGTATACGCTATTTGTAAAGTAGTAACTTACGTTATACTGACATTATATGTATATGATTGATCTACATAATTAATAACATGAATGCTTCATATTGCTTGTATTTGACATTCGTGATGATGATACTCAATAAACTTGGTTTCTGGATTACTTTCGAGATTAGCTATGGAGAATTATGTTGCAATAACCAATGGGCTTAAACAGACTTGAATAAAATTAAACTCAGATGAAATAAGCGAAAATAATAGAAGGGGATGGTTTAGGGAAACATTTCATAAATAGTTATTTAATGGAACTCTTTCTTTCTGGTACAGAAATACGTTTTCAGGAATAAATTTTACACAGTTCATAAAAATAACTTTCAGCTATCTGAAAATGAATAGGTTGTACAGGATAACTTCATTTTTAGGTACATTATTTATTCTGCCAACAGCTGGTTACTTGTGTACACGTAAAGATATCATGAATGGTTGGCCTGCTATATTCTATCTTAGTGGATTGATTTCTATATTAGTTGCGTTATTCTGGATTCCGATGGGAGCTGACAAACCTTCCAAGCAGTACTGTATATCACGTCGAGAACAGATATTTATCGAAAGCAGGTTTTCTTTTATGACTTTAAATCATTCCACACACACACAGGAGGCCTGGTTTTCTGTTTCTTTGACCTTTCTCCACAGCCTAAATTGCATCATTCAGATCTTATTCATCATAATTATCGATATTTCACCTTACTAGTCAGACTGTTGATGTTTCAAATCATTTAGTCCTCATTAACAAATACAAAAAAAAAAGCAACAATTTTGGATCTTGACTGAAGCTTGTAACAATCTATCCATCATGTTTTGAAATAAACCCAAATCATTAGCTGTTCCCATCTAAATAATAAATCATCAAATCATATTTTGTAGAGCAGAAAAAGCTAACTGTTTAGTGGAATCTCAGTTTCTTGGATATTTTTGATTTTGAATAAATTTTAGGATAGCATGCGAATCAATCGGTAAACGTACCGCTTCACGTCACACACCGTGGTCTGCAATTGTTCGATCGTCGGCATTATGGGCAGGAATCTTTGCGCTTATATGCCATGAATATCCACTTGTTATCATGCTGCAATTCTTGCCTAATTATATGCGTGACGTGTTGCACTTTGCACCTGCCAAGAATGGAATAGCTTCAGCGTTTCCAATAGTCTGCTTATTTATAAGCAAAGCTTTTTCTTCTAGCTTTTCAATCTGGCTCATAAAACACACTGGCTGGACTAAAACTACTATTTGTAAGGTACTTTTTGTGAATTATGAATAATAGTGAACAATGAAGTGTAACTCTGCTATTTACTGCTTTTCTTCACAAACGATTGAAATAGCCAGTTATATTAGGAATCAAGTGGAAATATGGCCATACCAAGATATTTTGAATTGCTTTTGAATGAATACGAATCTCAAATATTTTTTCTTCCGAAACTTTCCCATTTTTTTCCTGTCCTATCCTGCTAATATGGAGTTATTGTTTGAAAAAAAAAGAAAAAAAAAAAAAAAAAAAGGAAAGAAAATTTAGTTATCACATCAACATCAATAAGCAGTACTGAACAAAAAAAATAAACATTTACAGATATTCAACGGTATTGCATCAGCAGGACTGTCACTGTGCATCATTACGGTACCACAGTTTGACCGAGAACGATCTTCTTTTGCAACAATTCCTTTATGTTGCGGAATGCTTTTTGCTGGTTTGTATTTAATTTTATCATTTTACATGTTCATAATTTGGTCTAAAGTCTATTTCTAACTTCACGATTCACATGTTTTGAATGAATTTTCTCTCTCTCTGAGATATGGTAGAGAAATAACTAATAAGATCTTGATTAGAATGCATTTCTGATTGCTAATCTAAGATATAGTGTCAAAATGTTACATGCATGATGTTTCTGTAAAAGGATTGTAAATATTTTAATGTTCCACGAAAAAGTTGTATAGAATCTAACATCTGTTTTCTTCTTTTTTCTTGAAGGATGCATATAGGCTGTTTGACGTGCTGTTCGTTCGAGATTAGCTGACAGTTTATTATGATAATAATGTTGTTTTAGGTTTACATACTCCGGGCGTACAAACGGCTTTGGTGCAACTTGCGCCACCGTATTCAGGTATCATCACAGGTATTTCCTTTTTTTTTGTTGCATGGTTTGGCATCGGTAATAAACTTCTCACGAAGCATATTGTACAGCATGGTACAGCGGATGAATGGGCTAAGGTATGTTTTGAATTGACTGTAAAAGCAGTGTTTTTGAAGTAAGACACTAGAATTTGACTATATAAATGGCATTGTAGTAGGAAGTGACATTACAATGGATACTTCATGTTCAGAAAGAGTAGATGTTATAAATGCTACTGTTCTCTTGTTAATAAGTTATCCGTTTTACATAGTTTACTTTTTAAAAAAACCCAAATTTCAGGTATTTTATGTGTCCGGCATAGTAGCAGCCTTACCAGTTGTAGTGTTTACAATCTGGGGATCCAGTGAGCGGCAGTGGTGGTCGGCACCCAGTTCAAAAACCTCAACACACAGCTTAAATACACAAGCTACAGTAGTTTCCAACTGAAGCTAGTCAACCGAGATACCAATGGATTACTCAAGAAGAACGGAATGAAAAGAACCGTAGCGTAATATCGAAAGAATTGGATGACTCTCGGGAAAAGTGAAAGGCATGTTTCAGAGGAGGAATTAACAACTAGCTATAAAGAAGAAATAATACTGTTGTTAGGTAATGTATGGATTACAAAGCGATTTGTTTCATTTTAATTATATTCCTCGATAATAAATTATATTAGTCTTACTTGTAAAGCATGAACTAATAGAAAATTAATGAGGGGAAAGCATCGATGAAATCAGCAAAAAACTGGAAAAGGTCGAGCGAGAGAAGAAAAAAGAATTGAAAGGATGACATCTTCTCTCGCAATGTAAATAGTAAGGAAATATCACTTTGATGCATAACATACAAAAGGGTGATTTAGCATCAGCATGATGACCGAAAAGAGGGAAATGACATATTGTCGTCGATTCGAAATTTGAGAAACTATCGATGATGATGTGATTATGTTGGCCGTTCAGTGAAATGGAATAAGTACAGGCCATTGAGGTGAGTTGTTTCCGGCTAAAAGATCAGTTCTTTCGGGAATTAATGGATTATCGAAAAGGAAAAAGAGAAAAAAGTAGGAGAGAAATGATTGTTTTATGCTATATTCTTCCTATCATCTAAGGAATCAAATTGCTTGTGTAATAATATATTTTCGCATTGGATGTATTAATCATTTCGTTTGATAAAAAATAGTGTATTATAAGATTTGATTAAATCCAATTAACTATTAAAATGACAATCATTTTATAATACAACAAAGTCCCTTTAAAAACTTCATTCATTCAATAACACCTTGCTAATGAATAATTCCGGCCTTGTTTAACGCATATGTATGTGTAATTAATGTTTATGTTTAAAGTTTAAGCATATATGTTATGCAGTGGAATCAATGAAGCAATTTCATGTTGTAGCGTCCTCTCTCCCCTTTTCCTCTTCAATCTTATGACATTCATTGCAAAGAAACGTTTATATCAACGTTGGACTAATTAACAGCTTATGCTTCTCATTTTATGCTTACCCATCTATTCATTTATATGTACATTTTATGACTGATCCGTCACAAAACTCTTTTTCAATCTCTATATTATATATACTTGTGTGTATGTGCGGGTATATGTGTATGTGAAACTATGTATAGGTTTATTGTTAAGAAAATAATTTGCAAAAGGATGAGATGATATTACTTATTTTTCAATCCAATAAATCTCACATTCTCTTCTTATTTTTCAATTTTGCCACTTTGAACAATAGAATAGTCTTTTGGCATATGCCATTATAAGTCCTTTTAGTTTAATCATTTCGATTTTACTTTCCATATGGCATAAGTATATATCCCTTTACATGTTTTTATAATAGCATATTTCATAAGTAAATAAGAGGCAAGCAGACAATTTGTCACATTTATATCATTCTAACCTTCTCCGCACTCCACTTTTCATTTCGCCCTCACTTGAATTTCCTTTACTATTTTTCCATCTTTATCCAGTTACACACCTTTGATACGTATACCTTTACTAACAATGCAACTAATTCGATTAATCATTAATTACTTGTTTTGATTCCATTTTCCCGTCATCCCTAATAGTTTGCTTACTTTTAATTTCCGATAATCCGGTGTTCCGTAGTACAAATACAACAAATATTCTGCTCTTCTTCCTGTGAAATAGCTATAATGTTAATGAGAGGCAGAATACTTTCATTCTTCTTTCCTTCTTTCTTCTCTGTTAATTTAGAAAGGATTTTATGGTCTCACAAACCTTTCATTAATAATGATGGTATATTACATTTCGTCATATATCCGGAATCAAGGATATTAATAGCAATGATAGTTGAGGCACTTTTAAGTGATATAGGACGCTGCTTTCTTTCAAATAGGTTTTGAAGTATTCCTCTGAAAGTTTTGGCATCGTTTCAATGGCTTGTTTCAGTCGATGAATCTTGTTGTTTGTTCGTAGGGGATTATTACAGCTGTTCTGTATCGGCTTGAAAGGGTGTTCATCTTTTTCCGTTAAATTGGCCGGTTACTTGATTTTTGGTATATAACTCAAAAGTTTTCGGTATACTGAGTTCCGGAATGAACACAAGATGCGTTGGTGGGTGTTTCCTTAACTTTATATCGTTTCGAATCTTCCATGCATTTTTGGCCATTTCTGACTTGAAATACATCATAACCATTTGGTCAATAATTATGGCATATCACGCTCGGCCGTAGATTCTCGACAATTAGTGATACACATTCCTCTGGATGTTAGTTCTTCAATTATGTTTTTATATGCCATCTCCTTTATGTATTTTATCATAAAGAATAGTCACTTAAGAAATAACAGGATTATAATCGGACCACTTGACACAAAACGTCATGGATATATACAAGACGTTAGGACCCTTTTCCTCTCCATGTTTTTGTGATCCGAACATACTACGCAGTTGTTTCTTTACGATTGTAATTGATTGGTTTGAACACAATGAGCAGATGGATTTTGATGCAGGATTTCCAGTAGATAAGGCACAAATGGAATCAAACTTCCTATTCAGTGGTTCGATTTCCTTTTTAATCATATTAACTTGCAAATTTATATATTAGCAAACTTTGTAAAGCTTCAGAAGTATAAGACCGTACGTTTTTTCCTTGGAATTTAAATGTGACATATTTGCAGCTTATTTTAAGACTTTAAACTTAGTGCCAATATCATTTTTGATAAAGTGTAGCCATGTTAAAGGCATTGTGTTAAAGGAGCACAGATACCGAGCTTAACATTACAAATATGTTACCATGTTAAATGTAAATTAGGATTCGGTTTTCAAGCGAAATGAATTATGTTATTGCGATATGAATGTCGAGTTTATTGACACTTGACGGCCTTTCTATCTATTTTCAGATATTGTTTCTATTTCCAACAGTTATGACATTGCCAGAAGAAGTTGGTAAAACGCTTGAACAGTTTTATATTGAGGTTCATACATTTATTTAAATTTATTCTAAGAAAATACCGATCGAGAGTGTGAATTTGTCTTTCCTTTTCTCATGCTGTTTTTATCAACACTTTTGTTTTCACTTTTCTATTTATTCTACACTGTATATTCGATTAACATGCACAGGATGACTCACAAGAATTATTCACAGTAAGAAATATACAGATAATGTCTGCGCGGATTGCAAGATGACTAGGAACAGGTGCAATTTCGTTGTCAGTTTTATTCTGATATGTCGGAAAACTGATATATGCTTTCTTAAATAACTGTTTACTGGAAGGCAGCAATAGAATAACTAATTAGAAAACAAAGTGAAGTTTTTGTCATAGTTTAGTAATACGGCATCTCTATAACATCCTGCTGCTGATGAGTGTTGCTATCAAGTTGTAAATTTAACGGTCGCTAATGTTTCACATATATTCCTTCTTTTTGTAATTCCCTCTTTTTCTGTCACATTTTTCTGTATCGTTGTGCATGAGGCCTTCCAACTAACGAATATTTTGTTGATAAAGAAGACCAACAAATGTTTTGTTGATAGTGTGCATTATCCATAGTTCAAGAAAAGGTCTTTTAATATCTTTTTTCAACAATTCCGTTTCGTCTGACTTATCAAATCATTCTTCACTTGGTGGAACTGTCTTACGATAATGTTTTTCATACCATTACAAAGAATTAATCAAAATGGTGCAATTTTCTTCTCTTCAGTTGGTTATCGACTACATATCGTGCATAATTATTGTCTTAGAGTATTTCAACTTCTTGACATCATTCATCAATAATGCTTTTGTTAAAAGCGCAGTTATGCAGTTTTTTTTTCTTTGAATAGTTTTGTGGATAAAAAAGTATTGCCAGTAAATTGTTATAAGAATTATTTGTGTTGGAGATGTATTTTATTTCAGGATGGAGTACTGCATGAAATTAGTGAAAAAATACAGGATGAACTTGTTCAAGGTCTCGAAGGAGGTGCTTCGAAATCATCAATTGCCATGTTACCTTCTTTCGTCCCTGCTTTACCTGATGGGAATGGTTGGTTGGTTAACATATATGTGTACATATATATTTATAAACTTTTCCAAATATTTTTTTGAAATTTCAGAGATAGGTAAATACATTGCAATTGACTTGAGTGGGAGGAACTTGCGTATTATGTTGCTAACGTTGAAAGGAAGTAACCAAGAACCAGAACAGATTAACCATAATTATGTTTTCCCAGCTTCTGTTATGAAAGGAACTGGAGATCAGGTTAGACTTTTTTAAGAGATTTTGTACTGTTTTATGCTTTGCAGCCGTTAGGTCTTCAAACATATAATTCATATACCACACTTGCTTTCAGGTTTTTTAAGATTGTATTTCAAATCATATATGTTGTTATAGCTGTTTACATTCATAGTCAATTGCCTGATGAAATTCCTCAACGAAGTAAATCTATTAAATGCTTCACTCCCGGTCGGTTTTGTTTTCTCCTACCCATGCGAGCTGCTTTCAATACGCTCAGCGCGGCTGCTTTGGTGGACAAAAGGCTTTGATATAAAGGACTGCCTGCAAAAAGATGTAGTCAAACTTCTGGAAGAAGCTCTCGAATTAAACATGGTTTGTCTGCTCTATAGCTATAGCTCTGTGATCCTTTACTTTTAATTATCTAACGCCGATGTATTAATGTCGGAATTTCTTATAGGCTATCAAAATTTACCTCTGGTTTTATTTCAGCTAACAAATGTGAAAATTGAAGTAGTAATGAATGACACCGTCGGTCAGTTAGCTGCAACTGCTTACAAATACGGTCAAGAATGTGTCGTTGGTGTTGTCATTGGTTACGGGTAATTTTTATCTTTTTATTTTATTTCAATTTCCTTTATCGGAAAGCAATATATGGGATAGGATGTGGTACTTTTTTACTAGCAAAAAAATGAACGCAAGTAAGAATGGGTGATGAAGATAAAAGAATTGAATTCTGTGCATTTTCTAACTTTCAGTTGTAATTCATCATACCTGGAAGATACTGCGAAAATCAAGAAATTCAATGCTGCTGCTTCTGGATATAAATTTGACAAAATGGTGGTTGTTACTGAGTGGGAAGAATTTGGTGAAAAGGTAATCTAGAACTACAAAATTTTATCGTAGAAAATGTACAGCTTAACTCTTTAATAGTAGCGGCCAGTTATCGTATGACATGATGTGAGATGCTGAGGTTTATTTAACAGTACAGTGTACTCAAAGAATTTTTTTTTTTTTTTGTGTTCACAGTGGTAATTGGAGTAGTTAAAGTAGCATTAAGAAATTGAATGTATATTACAGGGTGAATTAGCAGCTGTTTTAACGCAGTTCGATCGGGACATTGATGAAGTATCGGTTCATAAAGGCAAACAAATGTAAGCATTATTAGTGTGAAATAAATGGCATAAATTTGCACATTACTGTTAGGTACTGTGAATATATCTTTAAACATCAAAACAAACAGCGTAAAAATCTATTTATTAAGTGAGCTTTTAGGCGTTATTTTCTAGAGATTTCAGAAGAAAAATTGGTACTTAGGCATTATTTATTTACAGGATTGATAAACTGACTGGAGCTTTATACCTCGGCGAATTGGTACGCCGTATCCTCATGCAATTTACATTAGATGGACAATTGTTTAGTGGAAAATCTTGTGAAAAACTGGGTGAAGTGGATTCCTTTCCAACTAAATACATTTCTGAAATTTTGAGGCAGGTTTTTTTGCAAACATTTTTTGTTTACTATGAAGTGAAAATCTAGGATGTCATCTTGTTATTAGAATAATGCACGGATTTTTGTATTTTCATCACTACCAGCATATAGTACAGTATGATATAATTATGTGGTATAGTCTAAGAATGTTGTTTGCGTTTCAGAAAGACTCATTTTTATGGTGTGGCAACTGCTGGAATACTGGAAAAATTTCTGTACATCGCTATAAACACTGCTAAATAGTACCCAGAGATCAATTAAAGGATCCATATTGTATTATAAAATAATACTGTGGTAATTTTTTACACATGAATGGATTTTCAGAGATGAAGAAGGGAGTTTTAAAATTTGTCGACGGATATGTGATGAACTTGATGCGCCTAGTCACTGTACAGCTGATTATGAGATCATCCATGAAGTATGCCATGCGGTATCTCAGAGATCTGCTGCTATTGTTGCTGCTGGTTTGATATTCCTTTCAAATGTTTTATATTACAGTTTTCATCCACAGATTTTTACAGATATATACTTAGAAGAGAGTTTTTACCATAGAATAGGATTGCCAGCACTGTCAGTAAGTAACATTTTTCCTTGAAAATAAAAGATTAGTACATCGTCATTAGTACATCAACCAATATTTTTCATACGAATGGATTTTCAGCAATAGCAGCGTTATTACGCCACATTGGTCAAAGTAACATAAAAGTAGGAGTGGGTGGCGCATTAGTACAGTTTCATCCGACCTATCTCGCATTACTGGAGAACAAACTGCATGATTTGGCTCCTGTGAATATCAAGGTTTGTTTTATTTGTAGTATGAGAAATAATTTTGAAAATATTATTTATAAAATAAAAAACACGTTTTATTACACATTGACGTTTTCTACTCAACGTTGTGCGTGCACAATGTTTGAATGTTTTAACATCACTATTGTTTTAGTGGGAACTGGTACCAGCGGATGAGGGTAGCGCTAAAGGTGCTGCTATAGTTGCTGCAGTAGCTGAGAAAATGGGACTTTAAGTGAAAAGAGTTCGACGCTTTGTATGACTTTCTTTTTTATATTATATCAGTATCTTTATCTAATTAATTTATCCCATTTCTTTTTCATTTACCCTATTTTCGTCGTTGTTGGCTTCAGATATGCAGTAATAGTAACGGTCATTTTATCTCAATTAGGATGATGAAATCAGCTTTCCAAGTAATATTTTCAGAATTTCATGTTTTCTGAATTCCACAATAGTAGCTTCTCAGTGCTCATTTAGTAGATTTATTTAGTGCACGTTGTCATATGGGGGAAAGACTAGGTATTTATTTTTTGAACTGTTTTACCTCAGTGTGATATATGTATACGTACGCTGCTAGCAACTCAAAGGATTCGATCTTTATTATCTCCGATAGCTGTGATTTCTAGGTTGCAAGTATGGATGGAAATTGATGTTACTTGGATCTGCTGTTTCCAATTTGTTTTTGTTAAAATGCGGATAGAATTTTTTTGCTTTTCTTATGTTCTCGAAGTTTTCTTTCTGTTATCCTAAAGTTTTTTAATTCAGCTTCTGTAGGCGCGTTCCAGTTAACTGTGCAAAATTTATTTTCTAAACGATTTTGAATTCTTAAATTTTAAGTGTATGACAACTATTCGGCTTTAGGTCCGTCCTTATGCATGTATTTATAAAAGTATATTCCATCTGAAGGTAGTTGTAATTTATGAATTATTGCACCAACAAGAATCGCTTGTTTCAATTTGAATTTGTGGGCACTACTGCCGAAATTTTCATTTATGATTCCCATGTAAATGCATATTATGTTACATACTCGCACATTGGCATCTTACATGCCACCTGATTTCTACTATCTGGTTTTGTTTTTTTTTCAACTTTCAAGACACTATTAGCTTCGTATAGTCAAATTAGTTTAAGATTTATATCACATAAAATCTTATTTAGGTTAGGGTGCTATTCAGCGTATTTGTATTTGCAACAAATTAGCTTGTGGATACGTCTTCTATTTTTTGATAACTGTTGTGTACTTACCCCCGTTGCTTATTCTTGCTGTAGCAACAGAAGGCAGATAAGGGTGGATGAACAGCATTCGGATTGGAATATTTTTATCTCGAACTTTCCGGATTCGTTTATTTGCCAGATGTTTTAGTTCTCCATCTTGAAAAAAATTGCGCTTTTTTCTTTTTATTTTTTATTGGAAAAGTAGAATAATATGAGTTCGATACATGCCATCATTTGCTGGTTAACACCCATGATTTTTGCTTATGTTAAATTCAAGTTTTAAACACTTGATAAATATTATTGGCATGTAAAGGGATCAGTATATGTTTCTAGTTTGTTTTGTGTTAAATTATGAATGTGTTATGTGCTTCATTGACTAAGTAGCAGTAATAATAAAATAAGTTCATTGATTGCATCATGCATACAAGGTTTTGTGAATTCTTGTCTGAAGTTATTTGAAATTTATATAAGTTAGGAGATCTCTACATCACGAGATCTTGTTTGATTTTATATTAGTGGTCTGGTGAACTATGATTCTCGAGCCGTTACTGTTTGCAAACTTTAACGCACATCGAGAATGGCAAATGTTTTATGTTGTTGTAACTCATTAAAGTTTATGCATGGAAGTGGAATGTAAGTCTAAATAATTATGATTTAGACTAACCTGGAATTTAATGCACTGAGCAGTTCCTTTACATCATGCTTTGCAACTGTCCTGGTTTTCTGCATTATAAGTACTGCCTTGCTTGCATTCTTGGTCGTACCAGATGCCCATTGTAAATTAAATTATTGCTATGGTTTGTTGCGTTAAAAAAAAAGACATTTGCATTGTAGAGGGGGAAAGTTGATCTGTTTTGTTTCTAAATACTGGTAAGTAACATCAACCACAATTTGATATCAATCACGAACAAAGCAGCAGATTGCAGCCATATGTACGAATTATTTTGATAAATGGTTCCCGTGTTTATCAGCTTTGCGTCTAATGCATATTCGTTTTTTGATTAAATTCTAAATCCCTTAAAGGAAGAAAGATTCCCCACTTCTCACATTTATGTTCCCTCAATCCTCATTTATTTCATTCCTATTTCTTACGGCGAACAACATCCCGAACTTTTATGCCGTATCGCACTGCACGAAGTCTGATATCGGGTGTAGAAAAATCGTTTTCAAAGAAAAGTACCTATTACTACTGAGCTCATATTGGACATCTGTTTAGATCTCTTGCATCCCAATTTCCATCCTACTATTGGCAAGGTGTTTGAAGTAAACATAACTAATTTGGTGAATGCTTCAAATATTCCAATTATAGTGAGGACGAAATGAATATCACGCTGAAGAGAAGTGATACGATCTTGAAGCTTATAGAAGTGTAATTAGTAACATTGTTGAATTTCTGTGTCTTATTATTTTTCAACTGATGAGTTTCATATGAGATTATTCTACTGATGATTCAAACATGCAAAACTATAAATTCAGTGATCAGTGGTACATTAAGTAGGAGGAGAGGAGAGAAGTAGTATAGTAGTGTTGAAAAAGATGTAAAAAAATAGTAATCGGTTGTGGGTTGTCGAATTTTCGGCAAATTCCAAAGAATATTTTTGAAAATTTGTAATATCTTACAAAACATGCAATTCAATTATGGTCCAAATAAGTTGTTTCTGAAAGAATAGTTCGTCTAACAGAAATTATAGGCTAATATTATTGATTTCATTTTAGTTATCCGACTGTGAAGTTTTAAATTCTTCTGCAAGGAATTTAAGATACATATTTGGAAAATATACAACATTTCCATGTATAAAATTGCCATAAAAAATTCTTTATATTTTTTCAAATTTTTATTTAAAAATAAGCCAAATTTCTTCAAATACATTTGACCAGTTTGCTTGTTACATATTTCAGACGTCAAGTATTATCAGTTGGACCAAATTATAATAAATCATAAACATAAAAAGTGGGAAAACTTGTATAGAAGATAAACGCTGTTTACCAAAAAATAATGCTAAATTTCGTCATTTGTTCTACTTTGTTGATGAACAAAGAAAGGAGGAGTAAATCCAAGATCGCTGATTTATGCCCATTAAATATTACGATACGAAGCTGCAGCTTGCAAATCATCCCAATCTGACAATTGTAAACCACGATACTTGCTACTGTCCTATCTTAACTTTTTCTTCTACTTTTTGTTCACCACATTCTCTACTAATGAAAGACTCCTTCTGTTCATTTCATATGTCCTCCAATCTATCTAACCAGGAAATTAAAAAAGATTTCTTTCCTTCTTTCTTCCTGTCATTTTTGTGATAATATACTGAAATTATTTTTGTCTTCATTTTCATTTGCTCACATTTGTTCTCAGCCTACTTCCAGCATTCATTCTTAGCCACTATTCTAATTGTTATATTAAAATTATAACTTCTTTTTTTTATCCTAGTCATTTTTATTATCATTCATTTTATTGAAACTTCTTTGATTTCCCAATCATTTAATGTTCAACTGATCATTTATGTGACAGTTATACAATATTCCAGATTAATTTCTAGAAGAAATTTACGATATCAAAATTTAAATCTTATTCATTTAATTCTTCTGTCCCATTGCCAATAGTTAAAATAATACATCTTCAACTTACTAATAATTTACCAACAAAACGTTGGTCGTGAACTTAAAATTTGAAATATGTCCCACTGTATTAATGAGTTTGCAAAACTTTAATTCTATATATTAAAAAAAAAAAATGAAACAACAGTTATAAAGATTTAAAAATTCCATCAAATATGTAAATTGTACCACGCATAAAAATCGTATAGCTTCTGTATAATCGTTTCACGCAATAGATGGAAATTTATTAATCCCATCACAACGACCATTATTGAATTGATTAAGTACTTTAGTACCATAATTATTGTGTCGAAAAATTTATTTTTTTTTATAAAAAAATAAATAGCTTCAAAAATTAGAACTTTATAAGAGATTATATACAATAATTAATTAAATTTACTCTTTTGTCGAATCTTATTTTCATCATTATTTTTTCCTCCTTTCCAGTTATTGTCTAATCATGATGAAAATATCCAACCATATCCAACCATCATCTAACAAAAAGATGAAGATCGATATTTCTAATGGATTGAAGCAGATGAATCACCTCATTAATGATAAAATATTGAAGAGAAAAGAGGGAAAGGGAAGAAAAAAAAGGAAGGGAAATGGTTGTTGTGAATGTAACACATACGGCAATAAGATGAGTAATACTAGAATACTTTAAATAAAAATGACCTTTCTAAAGGTTGTTATAAATCTTTACGTGAAAATTTGATGAGCTCAGTAGGAAAATAAAATAGTGAGTGAGAGTGAGAGAGGAAGATGAGAATGAAGTTAGGGAGAAGAGTTATATTACTAACTGGAAAAATATTCCTTTCAGTTCCGATGATCTGATGATTGCTTATACTGATGAAAGAAGAGAAAAGGGTAGATAGAAGATGGAAGGAAGGATGAACAGCAGCTGCACATACAGGAGAAATGGGTAGGGAAGTTTAGGCCGAACAAGAGAGCTCTCTCGGGTTCCCTATATCAGTCCTATCTATCTCCCTTGCTAGCTAACTTCAGCTCCTGATTCTCCTGACTATCACCAGCTGACATCATCCATTTCTGCTACCCTCTCCGGTCACAACTACCAATCATTTTTAAATCACCAACGGCTATTTGTAAAGAAAAAAAAACTTGTCCAATCGTTGAGTATTGGCGATAGGTAGTTGATTTTCTCTCTCCTCACTCTTTTCACCTTTCTCTTCTCTTTTCCTAATCTTCTATGCTTGTTTATTTGCTAACAAAAAGCGGTCAGTATCAGTATATACAAATGTTAGCTGGTAATTCTCATGATCATTTCCTGAAATATCCGATTCCCACAGTCTCTTTCCTCTTCTCCTCTTCGACAGTTTAAACCACATTTCATTCATAATTTCAAATATTAACTAAATCATCGGTTATTCATATCAAATCATATACCATTGCATTTTTTTTATTGAATTGAATATATCGAAAATTAATTATACTAGAAGATTATCTTCTTTATCCCTTACGAATTTTCCGAGAAACTTTGCATAGAAATGATATGCTTGTTCAAAATATTGCTTACTGTATTTAGCAGCTAATACATCGTATCATTAGCTGTTAATTACAATAAGTAATACTACAGTATTAGTAAAGTTGAATTTCTAGCATAAATCCATCTCGGATGGCATATATTAGGTTGTACATACTACGAAAGAGTGTGACTATTCTAACAAATGAAAGCAAAGACGAATAGATAGAAAGATTTGAACATATCGGATAAATAGAATTGCTATAATAAAGAATTCATCAGTTACCAAATCATTCTTTCATTTAAAATTACGCATGCTTTACGATATGTAACATAATATTATGATGTCGCATGTCGCATCTCTCATTATACGTCTAAATCAATATATACGTTTTTTATTAAGTGAAATTAGTTAACAAAAGGTGAAAAATTAAGAGAGAAAATAAAAAGAATTTGATTATGGATCGAAAACTAATTACTGAGTTGGCTACTTTTAATTACCAAATAACAACACATTTTTTATATGGATATATATCCTACGCACATCGAAAGTAATTTACTCATTTTTTTTTTATTAATCATTTCTAAATGTAGAAGCATATTTCAAATCCATTATTCATTCCTTGTTTGAAATGCAGCAGTAAATTCAGCCATATCTAGGAGCAGCAAATTAGCTAATAGGAACAGAATAGAAGATAAAAAAAATTGTGGGAAATTTGAAATTAACAATTTTTAATATATATGTTGCTTAATTTTGTTAAAGACTTTTCCTGTTAAATTGCAAATTATTAGACGATAAATTTTTCATACATACATTCTTCTCGGTCCGGATCTAGAGATTTCACATCTTTGGCATTATTTACAAATGTTTAATCATCATCCCGCCATTTAGTTGGGATTATTCGGCAGCGAATAACTGCTTCTTCAAAATCCTTGCATTAGTTTCTTAAAATATCCCACTCATGCAATGCTGAGTAAAATCAAGAAGTGTATTGCTAGGTCATAGGAAGTAATTAAAATTGAAAAGATCAAAATGTGAAGTCTTAATAATGCTGGTATATTGTAGTATATTATTCAGTACATTTAACTGCATAATAATAATTGGAATGAACTCAAAAGTGGCGGATTAAATGAAGATTATCAAATTTATGCAGCATTCAAGATTGATGATGGTACCAGGCTTTACAATTTGAATTTCTCAAACTTTAATAATGAATCATTTACTCACTTGTCGAAATTACAATAAATGATGTGCATTATTATTTTTAAATGTTAAACAATAAAAGAACTATTGAACTTCATTTCAGACAATTTATTTTTTATTAACATGTTAGTAATATGAACACTGGTAAGACTCTTTTTTTCTTTTTTACCCCCTCTCTCTCTCTATTTTTGTTTCTGGTACTTTCGTAATTGTATTAATTGATGAAATGATGATAAAAGTGAAACTATTAGATAGTTAAAAGATTGTACAGAACGTGAGATAATTCAACTGGAGAGAATGAATTCGGAGATTGATAAGAAAGGTTTTTGGTAATTCTGATCATTTTCTTTAATCCTTCTTTTTTTTTTATTTCTGTTCCACTTTTTTGTAATGTTTTTATAATCTTTTTGTTTCATTTTCTTTTTCGATCCTTTACCATTCTTTTAAACA